CGCCACCCTGCAGCCGCTTGAAGATGTTTGCGCGAGGTATGCTGATGGGTTGAAGACGCACGAATACAACGTGTTCATTGGACTTCTCGACCAGTACTACCAAGTTGAGAAACTCTTTGCCTCCGGCACCGCCCGAGATGAAGACGTGATTTTGAAGCTTCGGGAGCAGAACAAGGATGATCTCCTTTCGGTTGTTTGGACTGTCCTGTCTCACACCCGTGTTTCCGCCAAGAACAATTTGATCGTCGCCATTCTGGACATGTACAGACCAAACCAACCGAATGTTGGTAACGTTGGCAAATACTTCAGACCAGCCCTTCGGCGCCTCACTGAGCTCGAATCTCGGGCAACAGCCAAGGTTGCCCTCAAGGCTCGTGAGCTCCTCATTCTGTGCGCCCTTCCTTCTCTTGAGGAGAGAGCATCCCAGATGGAGCACATCCTCAAGTCTTCAGTGGTCGAATCCAAGTACGGAGAGACCGGCTGGGAGCATCGCGAGCCAGACCTTGACGTCTTGAGAGAAGTAGTGGACTCGCGCTACACTGTGTTTGACGTGTTGCCCCTCTTCTTCGCTCATCACGACCCATGGGTTGGTCTTGCCGCTCTGGAGGTGTACGTGCGCCGCGCCTACCGTGCCTACACTGTCAAGCAGGTTGAGTATCATAATGATGTGGAGCCTCCATTTTTCCTGTCGTGGGATTTTGTCCTCCGCAAAGTCGGACAGTCCGAGTTTGGACTGCCACTCGCATCTTCGTACCCATCTGGACAGGCAACTCCTTCACAGAACGGCAACCAATTCAAGCGCATTACATCCGTTAGCGACTTGTCATACCTCAACAAGCTTCAAGGAGATGATGAGCCATCCCGCAAAGGTGTTATTGCCCCTTGCCACTACCTAGATGAAGTTGATGAGTGCCTTGCTCGTGCACTTGAGGCGTTCCCCAAGGGAAGCTCAGAGAAACGTCCCAGCACCACCCAGCATCTCATGCCGACCCTCGATAGTCAGAGAAGGCCACAAAGGACGGAGACCATTGTTGAAGACGAGCTGACAAACGTTTGCAACATCGCCATTCGCGACATCGAAAACCTGAGTGACGAGGAGATTCTAAACCGCGCGCAAAGCTTGATCGACGAGTACAAGTCGGAGTTGTTGGCCCGCAGAGTCCGTCGTCTCACTTTCATCTGTGGGCACAAAGAAGGCACCTATCCTGGATACTTCACCTTCCGCGGCCCTACCTATGAAGAAGATGTCAGCATCCGTCACAATGAACCCGCTCTTGCCTTCCAGCTTGAACTTGGAAGATTGTCGAAGTTCAAGATCAAGCCAGTGTTCACAGAAAATCGAAACATTCACATCTACGAGGCCATCGGCAAGGGCGACGACCGGGACAAGGTCGTTGACAAGCGCTACTTCACCCGTGCTGTGGTCCGACCAGGTCGTTTGAAAGATGAGATCCCTACTGCTGAGTACCTTATCTCGGAGACTGATCGATTGGTCAACGACATCTGCGACGCTCTCGAGATCATCGGCAACAACAACTCTGATTTGAACCACATCTTCATCAACTTTACTCCCGTCTTCAATTTACAGCCCAGAGACGTGGAGGAGCAAGTTTCCGGCTTCTTGGAGCGCTTCTCTCGCAGATTCCTCCGCCTTCGGGTTACGGGCGCTGAGATCAGAATCCTTTGCACTGACCCTGATACTGGATTGCCGTATCCTCTCCGCGTCATCATCACCAACACCTCTGGATACGTCGTCAAAGTTGAGACATACGTCGAAAAGAAGGCGCGTAACGGCGAATGGGTGTTTGAGAGCATTGGTGGCACTACCAAGATTGGTTCAATGCATTTGCGGCCTGTCTCTACTCCCTACCCAACCAAGGAGTGGCTGCAGCCCAAGCGGTACAAGGCTCACATCATGGGCACTCAGTACGTATACGATTTCCCTGAACTCTTCAGACAGGCCATCTACAACAGCTGGAATAAGGCGGTGGCGAAGCATGCGCCGCTCGCCGAGTCGAAACCAGAGATGGCGACCTGCCTTGAGTACAACGAGCTGATCCTTGACGATGCCGACAATGTCACTGAGGTGTCCCGTGAACCGGGTACCAACAATTGCGGTATGGTGGCCTGGATTTTGACCGCCAAAACTCCAGAGTATCCAAGAGGCAGAAGATTTATCATCATTGCCAATGATATCACCTACCAGATCGGCTCTTTCGGCCCTGTTGAGGACAGGTTCTTCAACAAGTGCACAGAGTACGCTCGAAAACTGGGCATTCCTCGCATTTATCTTTCTGCCAACTCTGGTGCCCGCATTGGCATGGCCGAGGAGCTCATTCCTCACTTCTCCGTCGCATGGAACGACGAGTCGAACCCAAGCTCCGGCTTCAAGTATCTTTATTTGACTCCCGAGAAGAGAGAGCTGCTGAGCAAGACCGACATCATCACCGAAAAAGTCGTCGAGGACGGCGAAGAGCGACACAAGATCACCACCATCGTTGGCGCCAAGGACGGACTCGGCGTGGAATGCTTGCGTGGCTCCGGTCTCATCGCTGGCGCTACATCCAGGGCCTATGAGGACATCTTCACCTTGACTCTTGTCACCTGCCGATCGGTTGGTATTGGTGCTTACCTTGTCCGTCTTGGTCAACGTGCTATCCAGATCGAAGGTCAACCCATTATCCTGACTGGTGCCCCTGCCTTAAACAAGGTGCTGGGTAAGGAAGTTTACACATCCAACTTGCAGCTCGGTGGTACTCAAATCATGTACAAGAACGGTGTCTCCCACATGACTGCCAGCGATGACTTCCAGGGTGTCGAAAAGATCGTGGAATGGCTGTCCTTCGTTCCCGACAAGAAGGGGCAACCGGTCCCAGTGAGCCCGCCTTCAGACCCCTGGGATCGTGACATCGCGTTCTACCCACCCAAGGGACCTTACGATGTGAGGCATCTGATTGCTGGTAAGGATGACGAGGAAGGTTTCCTGTCAGGTCTCTTCGACAAGGACTCCTTCCAGGAAGCCCTTGGTGGCTGGGCCAGGACTGTAGTCGTTGGTCGTGCCCGCCTCGGTGGCATCCCCATGGGTGTTATCGCAGTTGAGACGCGTACTGTCGAGAACGTCACCCCTGCTGACCCTGCCAATGCTGACTCTATGGAGCAAATTGTGCAAGAGGCTGGTGGAGTGTGGTTCCCCAACTCTGCCTTCAAGACAGCACAAGCCTTGAGAGACTTCAACTTCGGAGAGCAACTTCCATGCATGATCCTTGCCAACTGGCGTGGTTTCTCCGGAGGTCAACGAGACATGTACAACGAGGTGCTCAAATATGGTTCGTACATTGTCGATGCCCTCGTCAAATACGAGCAGCCGGTCTTCGTCTATATTCCTCCTTTCGGCGAGCTCCGTGGTGGTTCATGGGTAAGTTCCACGTCAGTCCCCTTTCATACCGACGAATGCTAATATCTTTGCCAGGTTGTTGTTGATCCTACCATCAACCCCGAGCAGATGGAGATGTATGCCGACATCGAGTCGCGTGGTGGTGTCTTGGAGCCTGAAGGCATTGTCGGCATCAAATACCGCAAGGAAAGACAGCTGGAGACAATGGCCCGCCTGGATCCCACTTACGCTGGCCTTAAGGCTCAGTCACTTGCCAAGAACTTGAGCGCTGAACAACTCAACGCTATCAAGGCCAAGATGACTGAACGTGAGCAACTCCTTGGACCTATCTACTTGCAGATCGCCCTTCAATTCGCCGACTTGCACGACCGTGCTGGTCGTATGCAGGCCAAGGGCACCATCCGGATGCCTCTGGAATGGAAGAACGCCAGACGCTTCTTCTACTGGCGTCTGCGACGCAGATTGTCCGAGGAGGTCCTTCTTAAGAAGCTCAGCACCAGCTTGGCTGCAGGCACCGCCCCGGTCACCGCCACCAATGGTATGACGCAAAGAGAGCAGAATCTCGCCACGTTGAAGAACTGGTCCGGTCTGCTGGATGCCGAGTTCGAGAAGGATGACCGTAAGGTGGCTGAATGGTATGAGAGCCACAGGAAGGAGGTCTATGCCAAGATCGACGCCGTCAAGACTGACGCAGTCAGCAAGCGGGTCGCAGAGTTATTGATGGGTAACAAGGAAGGTGGATTGAAGGGTGTTCGTGAAGTGCTGAGCCTCGTGCCCACGAGCGAGCGGGAGCAGCTGGTCAAATACTTGACTGGTGCATGAGGGTTGTAAAGAGTTAATTTAGATGTGATGATTGGTTTTGGGTGGCATGGAAATTGAAATGCCCGAGGGTTACGAGGACAATTTTGGGGAAGCGCAATGGGTCTGGCTAATTGGCGGGACCTGTTTTATGGTCTCTTTATTTCTTTAGTTTCGTGAATCTGTAGCATGTTAAAAGCAGTGTTATGCTCCTGTTCTATGTGTTTTGTTTGTATTATGCACCTTTCTTCGGCACCTCGACGCTGTGAAGAGGGCCAAGCACGGAACAGAGCATGCCATGAGATGGTCTGCGTAATGAACCAGGTTTCAGAGGCTGCTGGCGCGCCTTGCTATGGCTTCAACAGTAAATACAATGGCTTGAGCCTCTTCCAGCCAGTAACGACCCCTGCCAGCATTAGTGCTGCTGACAACTCACCATCAGCTGAGGACTTATACGAATCCCCCGCCTCGTATTTCTTGATGAAGCCTGCTCTAGGGCTGTCCTCTCCGGGCCGAATACGATGAATCCAGCTTTACGAACGACGCCTGCAAAGTGAGTTGGTAGGGATGCCTTGACCGTCCAATATGCTTCCTCCTCCCGGCCTTCAGCGGCTAGACAGACCGCATTCCAGAGCTCCAACATGGACTGACCTTGTGATATGCGACACAGGAGAGGAGAAAAAAGGATTTGATCCCAGATATTTCCTTTGTTGACTGCTCTTGCCGTCAAAATCTCAATACCCTTCAGACAAACACCTTTACAAAAGCTCACAGTGGACAGAGCTTCCCCCTGGACCGTGTTTGGAACATGTCAGTCCCTACAAAAGCCGCCTTCATCCACTACGGGGATTTCGACAGCACCACCCGGAAACTCCCAGTGATGGAGTTCATGGAGCGCTTCCGCGACGACTATGACACGAAGTCGTTCGATCCGAAATGGTACGCCCCGGACTATACGTACGTCGCGCCGGACGGCACGGTGTCCGAGGGCCGCGACAAGGCCATCGCGGCCATGAAAGCCTTGTACGGCCCGCTGCCCCAGTGGAGGCACGAGGCATTCTACTTGAACTGCTACGAGGTCGACTCGGGTGGCTACGAGATGATCGGCAAAGCCACGCTCTGGGGCAACCTGCCAGGCGAACCTGCCGAGGGAGAGTCGAAGAAGACCGATGGCCAGGGAAAGCAGTGGGACCTGGCGATGCTGGGCGCGTATCGCTTTCACTACGTCAAGGAAGGGGACGGCTTCGCTTTGAAGAGGATCGAGCTCACGGGGGACACGGCGCCGTTGGTGGTCGGTCTGCTTAAGAGGGGGGTTCTCTCCCCCAAGGATCTGGGGATCTGAAGTTGAGAGGGGGCGCCTGCTAAGCGTGTATCACGCTGGAGCAGGATAGGTTACGATATGAAAGGGGTTTAATCACCTGTGGCAGAGACCATCAGTTGCTCGAATGTTCATAGTTTGAGGTTGAGTCTCAAAAAGTTTAGTTGCTTTAATTTTGAATATATGTTTGCAACATTTGGGAGAAGTCAGATCAGTAAATTATGAAGATTCCGTTCATGTAGTCTAGAGTCATAAAACCCGAGGCCATGTCAGGTCGAGCTCGTAAAGGAACGTAGCAGAATACTTCTCGTGATGCTGTTTGACAGAAAATATGCAGCCTCGTCGTATGGGTTTGGTAGACTATTCCAATTCAGGTTAGACTGGTGTTTCGCAAGGCTCTGCTATCGATAAGGGCTGCGGAGTTTGCGCATAGAACTTTTTTTCTACCGCTCCATTTTCAAACTTGAGTCCTGTGATCAGACCTTTGCTAGCGGGCAGCGCCGGTGTTAGAGCGGTCGACTGTTGTCTCCAACTCTGCCCTTTACTTGCACACCAGTATTCTCGCATGGGCGAATCCCGTCGGCTGCGGTGACAGCTCAAGATAATGTCGACGACCGCGACGCAGACCAGCACCAAATGGTCGGTAGAGTACGACACCGTCCGCCGCCAGAAGCTGTTCAGAAATACGCCGAAAGATCGAAGCGCCTTCCCAGCTCTTCAGGCTGCAGTGAAACCACATATAGAGTCCTTCAATGCTCTGTGGGACGAGAAAATCATCGACGCCGGGCTCAAAGATATTGGGATCTATACCGTGGTCGATGGCGACCTACGTAACCCGAGTCGCGCAATTCAGCGCAATAAGCTTGACCTGAGAGTGACGGAGATCATCCTAGAGAAACCCACCCTCCCGCCGAGTAACAAATTCAGCATTGAAGACCGGAACATATACCCCTCCGAATGTCGAGAGCGGCACACAACCTACAGAGGAAGATTAAGAGCCAGACTACAGTATAGAATAAACAATGGGGACTGGCAGGAATCAGTCCGGGATCTCGGACAGATGCCCATCATGCTGCGATCCAACAGATGTCACCTCGAGAAATTCTCGCCGGCACAGATGGTCCGCCACAAGGAGGAGTCTGAAGAGATGGGCGGCTATTTCATTGTCAATGGGAATGAAAAGCTCATCCGCATGCTGATCGCGACAAGGAGGAATTACCCCATGGCCATTGCAAGAGCCACCTTTGCCGGGAGAGGACCGACCTTTTCGAAGTTCGCAATCCAGATTCGGTCCGTGCGGCCAGATCAGACCGCGCATACCAACACCCTGCACTACCTGACAGATGGGAATGTCACCTTCAGATTTTCGTGGAGGAAAAACGAATACCTGGTGCCTGTGGTCATGATCCTCAAAGCCCTGGTGGATACGAACGACCGCGAGATTGCGGAGGGCATCATTGGCGCTTCGTCCTCGAATAAAACACCCAGCTCCTTTGTTGCCGACCGGACAGAGCTTCTCCTGCGCACGTACAAAGTATACAACCTGAAAACAAGGGCACAGACCCTAGCATACCTTGGAGAGAAATTTCGACCTGTTCTGATGCAGCCTATAACGATGTCGGACGAGAAAGTCGGCGAGGAGTTCTTGAGGAAGATTGTCCTACCACATCTCGGCAACGTCGACGTTACTCCATCCCAAAATAACGACAAGTTCCAGCTGATTCTATTCATGATCAGAAAGCTCTATGCGCTTGCCGCAGGTGATTGTGCTATGGACAATCCTGATGCAGTCTCCAGCCAGGAGGTCTTACTCGGAGGCTTCCTGTATGGTATGATTTTAAAGGAAAACATCTACGAGTGGCTCATGGGCATCGGTGCTACGGCTCGAGAGTGGCTCAGGGCCAAGAACGATGCCAAATTCACAGATCCCTCGTTCGAGGCGGATTTCCTGCCCAAAATAGTCAGGAGAACGAACGAAAACATCGCAGGGAAGCTGGAATACTTCCTCTCCACAGGAAATCTGGTCAGTCAGACTGGGCTCGATCTGTCTCAAACATCCGGTTTCACCATCATGGCCGAAAAGATAAATTTCTATCGATTCATCAGTCACTTTCGGTGTATACATCGAGGCGCTTTTTTCGCGCAGTTGAAGACGACTACTGTACGCAAACTGTTGCCGGAAAGCTGGGGATTTCTCTGTCCCGTTCACACTCCTGATGGCGCTCCCTGTGGCCTTTTGAACCACTTAGCTCACCAGTGCCAAGTTCAAATTAAGCGGATTGATACTTCGGGTATTGAGAAGGCGGTGACGCAGCTGGGACTATCTTCCGCTCCTTTAATGACAGTCAATGAAAGCCTATCCGTCCAGCTTGACGGGCGTATATTGGGATATTGCGCCGCGAAAAGGGCAAGAGAGATTGCCCAGCTTCTCCGACATTGGAAGGTGAATGGGGAACACAACATTCCGAATGAACTAGAAATAGGCCATATTCCTACCTCGAACGGCGGTCTCTATCCTGGCCTGTACCTCTTCACTGAGCGGTCGCGAATGCTACGACCTGTCAAGTACATTCCGTCTGATAAACTTGACTACGTCGGTCCATTCGAACAGCAATACATGAACATTGCCTGCATGGATGCGGACATCATACCCACGTTGACAACCCACATCGAGTACAAACCCACGAACGTCCTATCAATTTTGGCCAACATGACCCCTTTTTCAGATTTCAACCAATCGCCTCGAAATATGTACCAGTGCCAAATGAGCAAGCAAGCCATGGGAACTCCTTCCTCGAATATGATGTGCCGAACAGACAACAAAGCCTACCTGCTTCAGACGGGGCAGACGCCCGTTGTGAGACCTCCACTCTACAACGAGTACGGACTGGACAACTTCCCCAACGGGATGAACGCCGTCGTGGCGGTCATCTCGTACACGGGCTACGACATGGATGACGCTATGATTATCAATAAATCTTCACACGAGCGAGGCTTCGGAGACGGTGTCATCTACAAGACCAAGGTCTACAGGCTCAATGAAGACGCAAGGGCAGCTCGGTCAAAGACCGAAATCAAGTCACTTTTTGGCTTTGCAGAAGGCGACCCAAACATCTCGCAAGCAGCGATCCAGGCGCTCGATCCTGACGGCCTGCCTGCCGTTGGGACCAAAGTTGGCGAGGGATCAATCGTTCTCGCCTACCACAGTGTCATGTTCGATCCGTCGGAAGGCAAGCTCAAGAACTTGGACGGAAATACCATGTACTTCAAGTACAAGGACCCCGAGGAAGCTTATGTTGATCAAATCCGACTGATCGGCTCCGAGACGGGAGACCAGCCTTGTCAGGCGATCAGCATCAAGTACCGAATTCCTCGACGACCTATCATCGGTGATAAGTTCTCTTCTCGACACGGCCAAAAAGGTGTCTGTTCTATGCTCTGGCCGAGCGAGGATATGCCCTATAGTGAGTCCGGAATCCAGCCAGACGTCATTATCAATCCCCACGCCTTTCCGTCTCGAATGACTATTGGTATGTTTGTCGAATCGCTCGCCGGCAAATCTGGGGCCCTCCATGGTCTCGCTCAAGACTGCACGCCCTTTTCCTTTGACGAGGACAACACGGCCGGAAATTATTTTGGCGAGCAGCTTCTGCAGGCCGGGTACAACTTCTACGGCAACGAGCCCATGTACAGCGGCATCACCGGCAAGGAGTTCGCTGCTGACATCTACATTGGGGTGGTCTACTACCAACGACTGAGGCACATGGTCAGCGACAAGTTCCAAGTGCGCACCACCGGACCCGTCAACGCTCTGCACGGGCAGCCCATCAAAGGACGAGCCAAAGGCGGCGGTATCCGTGTGGGTGAAATGGAGCGGGACTCCCTGATTGCCCATGGCACTGCATACTTGCTCCAAGATCGACTGATGGACTGCAGCGACAAGCAACGGGCTTGGGTCTGTCGAAGCTGCGGCAGTTTCCTGAGCACCATGATGGTGCCGAACCAATTCACCATCAAAAGGAGGGGCGGCCGCGTCGAGCCGAGCGGCATCGTCCGCTGTCGAGCATGTGCGAGGCCCGCGACGTTCGAGGACAGTAAGGTCACGGTGTGGGAGGATGGCGCCGGACGAAAATTCGTGGGTGGGGATGACACCACCGTCGTCAATGTGCCCGGCGTGTTGAGGTATCTGGATGTTGAGCTGGCGGCCATGGGGGTCAGGACGACGTTTGAGATTGAAGGATAGTGTCGTCGCATTGTCGACACCACCAGATACAATGAAGAAGAAGTTTTGCTGGCTGGCTAGCTACATCGTGACCACTTCCTCCCCAGGACCTCCACCACCCTTTGTCTCGGCGGCCTGTTTCTTCTTTGCCTCTCCCCTCTGATCTGGATTGATCAGCCCCAACCTCACGGCAAAATCACTCCTGCCCACCTCCTCGACCAATTCCTCCGCCATGTCCAACCGCCGCGCGTACTTCTTGACGTTCCCGGGCCTGGCTGCGCCCGTGACCGTCCTCCCGTTCATGACCAACTCGTCCGCGGTGGAATTCTCGTACATGAGGAGCACATGACTCGCCACGACGGCGCCCACCAGCGCAACTTTCTCGCCGTCGCTCGCCCCGCCCAGCGCCACGACGGCGAGGTACACCAGCACGGCGGCGATCCCGTCCAGCGCATCCATCATCCAGACGGGCCGAGCTGTGGGGCGCGCCAGCCACGCCCCTGAGGTGACGGCTTTGAGGTCGTCGACCAGGCCCCGCATGCGGATCCAGCGGTCCTCGCTGAGCAGGATCAGCAGGTCGCCCCGGACGCCGGGCTCGGGGGCGCCGTGCCATGACGCCGGCGATGTGCGGGCGCGCAGGGAGATGATGGTGAGGACGCGTGAGATAATGATGAGGGCGAGAGATGTCGCGAGAGCCGGGCCCGTGCGGCCGGATGGCGGGAAGAGCGCGAGGCTGGTGATCAGCAGCAGGACGGGCATGCTAGAGAGCGAGACGACACGGCGGGGGAAGGAGGAGAAGGGCCACCGGGGCTTCTTCTTGTCGTTGTTGTTGTTGTTATTGTGAGGGGCGCCCTTTTGAGAAGAAGAAGAAGAAGAAGAAGGGCGAGGCCCTGGCCGGGGATGATGAACGTCCAGAGTCGTCAGGTGGCCCGTCCGCCCGACTTTCTGGAGATACATGACCGTCGCTTGGTTCTCGACGCGGAAGACGTACTATAACAAGTTAATATCATCGTGTCAAAACAATTCTTAATTCCGATACAACGAGCATTCAGGGGCGGAGGAAGGGGGAAATCCGACTTGTGAACTACTACGTAAGGGAGGGAGGAAGGGTAGACGAAGTAGGTAGGTAGGTAGGTAATCTTTCGTTCATTTTTCATTTCATTTCATTGAATCCATCCACCAGCTAACTGTTCCCGGTCACATGTTGTTACGCTTCTTGAAACGGCGAGAAGAAAAGTTACTTACCCCCGTCGTCATGGCGGCACAGGCCGGGAACTCGCCCTGATTCAAGGCATTCGGATTGCCCAGCCCGGTCTGCATGCCCAGACAGACCCGACACGCTTCCCGCAAGATCCCCAGCATAGACGAGAGGGATGATAGCCATGTATCTGTATCTGTATCTGTGTCCGTGTCTGTGTCTGGATCTGGGTCTGTGTCGGTGTTCAGCGCCGCGGCGGTGTGGAGGGGCGTCGTGGAGGAGGAGGGGAGGGTTGCGAGGAGGAGGATCGGGAGGAGGGAGAGGTTGAAGGTGTCCATGTTCGTGTTCATCATATTCACATCTGTATTGTTATGATGATGACGATGATGGCTCAGGTGGATGGACTAATCCTTCCCTTGGATTGTTCGACCTTATCTATCCTCGCTGAGGTAGGTGTATAAGGTATGTTACGAATGTCACAGGTGTATATTCATGATTGATGGGGTCAGGTGGTTTGAGGAAATGTATGGGGGGATACAAGATATAATTTAATGAATTGGACAGTATTGTAGACTGTCTCTCCTTTTTTCCAAAAAAAACAAAAAAACAAAAAAAAACGATTCTGCACGGAAATGAAATATGAAAATATTCCAAGATAGTAAATCAACCATCTCGGCCTGACAACGGGGTGGTTTTGAGTGTTTAACGGTACGGCTGGATGGAATACGCCTCATGAATCGCCGCAATGGACCTCGTAATATATGTACTCGTGCTCAAGATTGTCCTCATCTCTCAGAGTCTATCCTTCTGTACAGCAAGCAGCCAAGGACCGCTGTTCCTCAACCCTCGTCACCGTGGTTATCCTTGACAGCGTCGTCCGCATCGCTGTCCTCGTCCTCGACGCCGACGTCGACATCGTTGCTCAATAGAGCATCTTCTCCACTCTTCGTCTTGACAACCTCGACTGCCCCAACCAGTGCTTTCGTCTTGGTGGCTTGGATGCCGCCCGAGGTCACAAACAAGAAAATCTCACTCGGAAAGTTGTCGACGTGGTTGAAGAAGTTGCCAAAGACGTTGTCCTTCTCCTCGTCTCGATACATGCGCTCGTAGATCTGTACTTGCTTGAACTGGTCCATCTCCTCCCGGTACTTGTCAAAATCGATGGCTTCTTTACTGAGTTCGCTTTTGGCGCGCCTGTTGTAAGATTCAAACACCGGCCGTTCGAGCAGAAGACCCAGGCTAGGAGCCTTGGGGATGGACAGCCTGTCAGGACCCATACTTTCCACCAGGCGTTTGGGATCACATCCGCAGCGCACCACGAGCGCAACCATCCCAACCATCTTGCGGATCTGGTGCATCATGAAACTCTGCCCGTGGACTTTCATACTGAGCCATTCCGTTCCATTGATAAGAATAGGCGTCCTGTTGACCAGGAAGGACTTGATCACTCGTTTGGCGCTGGGGTCCTTGAAGGTCTTCTGGATAGTGTAGTTGTGATAGTTGCGAGTGCCGACAAATAGACTGAGCGCTTCTTGAATTCGGTCGAGACGTTGAGGAGGAATGCGATAGGCCCGTTTGGCAGCGATATAGGCTTGCCGGACGCGTTTCATTGCTTCCTCGAGGACACGCGATCGGGATAACTTGGGCTCTTCTGTTGCGTCTCCTGCATCGGAGGCGGGTTCTTCGTTGTTGCTCTTCTCGGGAGCACGGTCCTTGTCCTCGGCTTCTTGTGGAGCCTCTGGCTTAGAAGTTTCAGGTTCAACCTCCATGACTGGGGGATTCGGCGGGGGAGCACCGCTATTCCCGTCATCCGTCGGGCGTTCTGTTTTCAGCCAGAGTGCTTTTTCCAAAATGGCACGGATCTCTTCGTCATACTCGGCCAGAATCGGCTTGATCATCTCCTCGTCCACCTTCTCCCAGTACCCTGTTACTTCCTCTTGTCTCTTTCTGTATCCGTCCACGTCGTCCGTTTTTTCTGCCCACTTCTCGCAGTTTCTCCCCAAAAAACTGCTAGGGTGGGGTGGTAGAAAACTATGTGTCGGGATCAGGTACTCATATATGCGCGAGTCGACCATCTGGTAGGCGCTGAAACTGTTACTTGTCCGTTCGTAGCCCCAGACCCGGATCTGGGGAGTCAGATTGTTGTTGATCTTCTGCACTATGTCTTCGTCCTCGATGATCAATTTCAAGGAGATCACGTTGCCGGCGGCATGGACGCCCTTGTCGGTCCGGGCGCATCGCACAAAGGAAGATTTCTTGGGATCGTCGGCGTTGGCCTTAGAGATGGCGCCGGCCGCGACAAAGGCTTGGAAGAGGTCTCCTTCGATAGTTTTCTGGTCGTGTGCTCTGAATAGACGGTGGTCAGCCTCTCGAACTACTAGCCCAAAGTTGCACAGGTGCTCTTACAGCTGCATCCCCTTGTAACCGGTACCAGCGTACCCAATGAGCACAGCAACCTTCTTTTTGGGTCTCCTCTCCTCGGCGGCAAGCACTTCCTCGCTGAATTTTGTAGCGTAAATGGGCAGTGCATCCTTGCCTTGGTCGATCCGTTGACGTTTAGCGGCTTGCTCATCCTCGTTCCGTTGCCTTTTGTCTACTTTGGTTTTACTTAGCAAGTCAGTCTTGAAGATCCAGAGCCAGAGAATGGTGAGCGAAGTAATCCATCACGGAGCGCCCTTTATCTACGGGTGCATCCCAGAGAGAAGAGACAAGACTTACGCCCACTCCTTCCTCCCCATATCTCTCTTCTTGCCCTGACGACCTCCTCGACCACCTCGGGCCGCTCGCCCTCCAGGAGCATTCTGATGCGGACGTCTTGCATCTGAACCACCATGTCCTGGCTCACGAACTTGCGCTGCTCCGTCTTTGGGAGAGGTGGGAGTCCTCGATTCGGTGTCGATATTGGAGGTTGAGGCGCCCTGGGACGCACTCGGCGCGGGGGCCTGCGGAATGCCAGTCTCCATGTTGGCGACCTGTAGAACATGAATCAAGAAGCCAGGCTTCAACGTGAGTTTACGCCTGCATCTATTTTGAAATTTCTAGGTGTGCTCCAACTCCAACTGAATCTGCGCTTTCCCCGCAAAAAGCGGCTCGCCGGCTTCCCGGTTCGCCGTGGCAGGGTGGTACGGTGAATGCACATATGGCCAGACGCAACTAGGGAATGAGTCCTGGCGCATTAAACATCACTTCTGTTCTCCTTCTATCGATGTAGGTCTTACTGTCGGCTGCCTATATACCCCATTGGCCGTGTCGAGCGGTCCCCCCCTCTATGACTAGCCCTAGTAGGCTGCGCCATTGATGGTGGCTCCAGCCATGGGTTTGACTTCCACCTCAACCGGCTCGTGGCCTATTCCTCTCTTCTTCGCTTCCTCCAGAATCGCAACGGTCGCAGTGGCCCCTATCCTTGTGACGCCAATGGACATGACATAGAGCAGATCGTCCAACGTGCGAACACCACCGGCGGCTTTGATCTGAATCTCCGGTTTGGTGTGCTTTCTCATGAGCTTCAAGTGAGGTACCGTGGCGCCCTTGTACATGTACATGCCGTTGGGCTGCTTGACAAATCCATAGCCGGTTGATGTCTTGACAAAGGCAACGTCAAGGTCCGAGCAGATTTCACAAAGCTTGATGATGTGTTCGTCTTGCAGAAAGTCGTTCTCGAAGATAACCTTCAGAATTGCCCCGTGCCTGCACACTGCCGTATTGATTGCTCCAATTTCCTTGGTGACGTACTCCCAATCGCCGGAGAGCACTTTGCCGATGTTCACCACCATGTCGATCTCTGTGCCCCCTGCCTCGGCGGCCTTCTCTGCCTCAAAGACCTTTACTTCGATAGTGCTGTTGCCCGCAGGAAAGCCAATGACCGGACAGACCGCAACGCCTGATCCTTCAAGAGCTTTCTTTGCTTGCGCGATGGCATACGGCTTGACGCACGCCGTGGCTGTCTGGTATTTCTGTGCAATTTCCAGTCCGGCCTGGATCTCCTGATCCGTCATGGTCGGATGTAAGAGGGAGTGATCAATCGTTTTGGCTATCTGTGACAGCGTCACTCTGATCGTTTTCGGTTCTGACATGGTGTTGAACCTGTAGGGTAAATGAATGGACTGAACCTGGTACCGCAGTGATTAAAGCCAACACAGCTTCTATCGTCACTGGTTTCAAGGTTGATGCTTTCGATCTGGTCGACAAAATTCCAAGGCGCATTTTAATAGTCCAGGCGAGGTCAACGGGAAGGATTCCGCATCTGGATAACCCGGTCCTTTTTTGGAACTCTGCGGGCCGGTTCCTCGCTGTCGAAATAGCCCATGCCAATCAACCCAAGACATGGTAGGTAGAACTCCATGGTTGATAAGATACGGTATCTGTGAGGACGTTGGGACAACATCCACTCCTATAATGCGAAGCATATATATCATACGAGCCGCAGACTTGTCGCCCTGATCAAATATCGAAATCCGATTTGCGGAACTCCCCAGATTGGGTAGGTCTCAATTACCTCCTTGGATAGCAGGCTGCCCATATGATCTTTTGTTGAAATGCCTTTATGAATAGCAAATTTGCGAGGGGAAATGGGCAAGGAAGAGCGCGAAGACGGAGCTCGCTGTCGATGACCAAAAGTCGGCTAAGCCATGCCGTGTCTCCGAAATGCGAAACATCAGCGGATGCGACGTAGCGTCGTATGTGTTGGGTGAGGTATAAGTCCACGGAGAAGGTTGACCACAACCAGCCTCGCTGGTTGGCTGGTCGCTCTGAATAGCCGGAAAAGGCATAGTGCCCTAACGTATTACACCGTTTCCGTAATCATATTCTTGCTGCTACAGCATTGGTGACGTGGGTATCTTGGTCACTGGAGGAGAAAATCGAATCGCGAGAACGAGATTGTCTTCATTGAGCGTTGATGGGTTCAAGGATGATCAAAACAGTTTCGTTTGACCTTTAGTACAGACTTGCCTACCTATCACTCCTCTTCATCAGCTGTCATCATTTCGACCAGCAACACTAAATTCGAAAAGAAAAAGTTAGCGTTCAAACATTCGTGTGCTAGATATATCTGCGTTCTCCGCTCCTTTTCCGCCACCCTCTTCTCTTGCTCGCAACATACACTTGGGATTGCAATTCTGTCACAGTATCCGAGGTGACAAAAAGGGAACTCGAGCCTGCCCAGAACACCTTAGACGCAAGGAACAAGAACTCGATCAGACATCCCATCTCAAAATGACATATACAGTCTCGGAGATCACGGACCTGCGCATTTATCCCATCAAATCATGCCGAGGGATCTCTCTGAAGTCGGCCAGGTTGACGAGGCAGGGATTGGAGATGGATAGGCGGTGGATGGTGAGTATCGCGTGTCGCCCAGAATCTTTCCCCTTCACTCCAAGCAATGCGTTATACCCAGATTTGTTGTCTTCCCCCCACCGCTGATGGCTGACCCATGCATGGTGGAGTTGTTTAGTTCATTGACAGCAGCAATAAGTTCATCACCATTCGTTCAAAACCACAAATGACTTTGATCAATACCGCCATTGATCACGACTCCGACAACCTGGTCATAACTATAGGCCATGACACAGACAAGCAAGTGAAGGTGCCAATTCACCCCAGTGAGGAGTGGCTCAGTGCCAACACCAAAGAAGTTTCGGTCGACATCTGGGAGTATATCACTGACGCCTATGCTTACACGGATCCCAAGATGCTGGCCCTGTTCAAAGAGTTTTTTGGCGAAGACGCTTGTCTTGTCATGAAGGGTCCCGAGCCAAGGATATGCACCGGCAACGGCTCCCCGAAACAACTGGGACGTACAGAAAGCGTCAATTTCCCGGACGTACTCCCCATTCAAATTGCCTCTGAATCGTCGCTTGCCGAGCTGAACTCGAGATTGAAGCAGAAAGGCAAGAGTGCAATTACCATCGAGCGTTTTCGGCCCAATATCATAATCAAAGGAGGGGAGCCATGGTCCGAAGATTCGTGGAAGACAGTACGAATCAACGGCGACTCTTCGTACTGGACTACGCTCACAGGCGGCAACCTGCACGCAATTGACGTTGACGTGGTCGCGAGGTGTGCTCGCTGTACGGTACCCAATGTCGATCCCGACACCGCAGAAAAGGATGCCCACCAGCCTTGGGATCTGTTGGTCAGTTACCGTAGGGTTGATGAAGGCATCAAGTTCAAACCCTGCTTTGGAATGTTGTGCTGCCCGAGGAACGAAGGAAACATCGACGTTGGCATGCGATTCGAGGTCATGGAAGTTACCGATGCGCACAGATACATCAAAGGGTTTTAAGACGTTGAAGGTGACGATTGCAAGAAGAAGTTTATCCGGCGGCTGTATATTTCGTTGCTGTGCTTTGACCTGACATTGTCCAGGCAGCCTTCTAGTGGATGTTATGCGCAGCGCCCAACGATGTTGAACATTTCAGTCATCAGTTCTTGTGCTACCACACAGCGTTTTTCGTGTCGACAGCTCCAAGCCTGGTCAAGCCAATCAATCGCCTTGACGAACTTGCTTCTGCCTTAGTCAACCTGCCCGCTGCTCCGAGGGGCCAAGTACTGTTTTAACTGTCGCGAACTTCCAACATCGGCGGATTTTGTAGCACCGTTCCACTCCTGGAGTCGATGGTTCGAGGCTGCTGATTCTATAAATGCCTTATCGTTGTATCATATTTCCCACCGGAACCGAAGTCCGGTTGATGGTCTTCGGATGCACCGCCTTGATGCATCAGCATGACTTCTACATCAGGCGAACAGGAGCTCCAGCTGTGACAGCATGCTGCATGATAGGTTTTTTAGTAGGCGGCACGACGGTTGGTCTGGGTGGCAGCTTCGGTTGGCCCGAGCTCAAGCTTGCCCGGGGGCCACAAAGCAAGCTTGTTGCGTGTGAAAGCAGTCTCAACCTCAACGCTGCAAGGATTGGCGGTGATGCACATGCTAGTGGACGGTTGGAGCCATCTTTTTGCGTTGTCATCGGCAGCGATCATCGATCCCAAGCTCCCAAACAGGTGACGATAACCCCGAGAACAGAGCTACCTTGGATGAGGTGAGAGGGGGGAACCCAGAGCTCTTAGCAAGGTCATGATTGGCGTGAGTACCTGACTAGGTACCAAGCAAAAGGAACCAGTAGGAAGGGAAGTGAATGCAATGGATGGTCATCGATCAGAAGCTGTGCTGGCAGCTGGGGTGGTGTGAGGGAGGTGTTGGTTGATTGGAGGGTTAAGTTGTCGTTCCTGGTTGTAAGGGCATCGGAAGCCCGGGACGAAATCGGTCCCAGTGTCTGACACTGATGCCCGAGTTTCGCTGCCTGCGCAGGTGGCAGTGAACCTGGGAGGGTTGATGTCTGACAGTCCTGGATTTCGCTAGGTTTGCCTGGGTGATGCCAAAGGTTAACGGGCGTGGGCGCTTGGAACAGCTGCAGCTTGCTGAGCTTAGAGAGGGGAACCACCGGAGCATGAGGGAAGCTGCCACTGCCAATTAAAGCCCCCCAAACCAACCAGGGCAAGCTCCTCTCCCCAGAGCTTAGGGTACGCTCACCCCTCAATCCAAGCTCAAAGCTCTTTTTTCTTTCTTCGACCATCCCACCAACTCTCAACAGTCCAAAATACCCTCTCCTCTCTTTCAAACCGACCTCCTCTCCTTCTCACCTCGTCGTTTCCTTGCACACGCGTCAGAAGGCCAGCAGTTGACTCTGTTGTGTTGTGCACGCCTTCAACCCTATTCTTCCCGACGAGCAAATCATGTGAAGGAGGACCCATCATTACGTCGATTCCCCTTCAAGCTCAAAAACAGCCAAGCTTGTTGTGGACTGTCCGATCAATGCCGCCGACCTTCGTCCTTCTCTCCTAACACTCGCACCTGCGGTTAGGGTCAGCGCTGTGAGAGGCCATGCCGCCCAAACCTGCCCTCACCAGCTCTTTTCTCGTGTCGACAGATACAGAAAATGAGGTTGTGTGTCCGCTCACAAACCAAGATGGCTCGCAGTGTAGAAAGAGATGCATTGGGGTGCGCTCGTCCTAACCCCATTCTGCGCGTCGCCAACCCGCTGACCCCGACATTTACAGGAAAAACGCTACCGGTCGATGCAAGAACACATTCGACGCGCCCACCCAGACCATTATATTCCCAAGTTACCTGCCACAGAGGAGAGTTTCCAGTTGATGATCAGCACTCCTCCTTCGCAACGCCCACAAGTCCAGCCAACTGCCGCCCTTCCTACTGCTAGGGGCCTTTGTACGTTGGCTCTATGATTCCCCTTGCTTCATCATACTGAGAAAGAAATTACAGCGGGTATGAGTGGATTATTTGAACAAACCGGAGCAGGGACCGTGTCTGCGCAACCTCCTGGAGCGGCCAATGCTGCTGTTGCCCTGACACAACTCCATCATTGGGACTCGGATTTTGTAAGTATCCCTGAGGGCACAAGACTACAGCCACGTCCAGAACCGTGCTCATTCGCACACCAGGATGTTTTCCCAGAATCAGACTACAAACGTGAGACGTCGGGTCTCGAATTACCTTCGCTACGCGCTCAATTTCATGAAGACAGCCTTCCACCTTTCCAGCCGGCTCGTCCACGCGAACTCTTACCCTCCATTCTACAGTCTCCGGGCAGCCGGTACTCATCGCTACCGCCCATCCAACGACGCGGTGAGAGACTTCCGCGACCCCGAAAGCCGTCAATGGGACAAAATGCGCGCAAGGGCAAGCACGAACGCGGAAAATCTAGGGAATTTTCGGCCAAGGATTTCTCCCGACGGCTGAGCGTCGAAGGCCGAAAAGCAATGTCTGCCGAACCACCCACAGCGGCGTGGGTTCAAGGCAAGAGATGGGAAGATCTGATCGAGGCTGCCACGAGTGCTACTGAGGCTGATGATGATCGTGATCTCACTCCCGTAAGTCAGACGACATTTTTCGATTGTCCTCTGTTTACTTGCTGCTGCCAAGAGATCGAAATTCTGTAGAGGAACCCCCCGGAGGATGGCTCCCCAAGAAAAGGGTATATTGTCTTGTACTATTTTACTGTCACTACTATTGCCGGAAACAACAAAAACGAAACGAACGACTGTCATGTCTTGCTATACCCGCACGAAAGGCACACCCACACACGCGCCAAAAAAAAAGGATCAAATGCGAGCAACAGAAGTCGGTTCCCGGGCAAGAGGAAACTCGTCCCTTGTGTCGGTCGATGGTTTTTGAACAGTTGGCGGTCCCAGAAAGATCCACGATTGATGTGTGTTTTTTGAGGACCCCACGACTTCAATCACGGACCGATTCAATGGGAAAGGAGATGACGAAATGCCCGGGGGACGGACTCTCTGGAGCGAGCGGAAGAATAAGAAACACCAGCATTGGTTTTTTATTTTTCTCGGTCAGGCCACATGCGGGTGATGAAACCACTCTTTTTTTTCTGTGGCGGTCGGGCCAGGCGACTGAGACGAGCCAGAGCCAGGGGGGTTTCTGTCACCGAAAAGTTTATGCACCCTCAGTTAATTACTCTAATGTGTACACCAACCTCCTCATTTTCTTTTACTTGTTCGCGTTAGACTATCGATAATCAACCTTGCTAACATGCCCTTGGCATTCACTTACAGATGCCGCAGTCGCCAAACTTTCCGCCCTCTACCACTGCAGCTGCCACCACCGCTGCTGGCACGGGCACCACCACCACCGCCGCTCGTAGATTGTCCGCCGCGGACAATATGTCGACCAGTGGGGATGTCAACAAGCGTTCATCGCTGCCCCCGGGCTTCCGTCCCTTTGGTCATCACCTGCACCACCAACCTGGGCAGTACAATGCCTCTCCGCTGCAGCGCACTCTGACTCCACCACCACCAGATATCCTAGGACCCAATGATCCTGAGCCATTCCCATCGGTCGAGTCCCTAGAGAGCGGGGGATCGGGTCAGAATTTCCACATCTCAGGCTCCGGCCTCCCTACATCGGCCTCGTCCAACGATAACACTAGCCCCCTCCAGCACCATTCACACCCTTACCAGCACTCCCAATCGTCCTCATTTGGCAGCAAATCGGATGTGTTGGAGATCTATTGTGCATCCTGCAGTCGGCCGTGGCTATTGAAAAATGCCTTTGCATGCACCGAGTGTATCTGTGGCGTCTGCAGCGACTGCGTTGGACAGATCATCAGCAGTCCTGTGGTCACGGTCCAACCAGGTCTCGCACCGATGCGCCGCGGATGCCCCCGCTGCGGAGTCATGGGCGGGCGCTGGAAGAGGTTCAACATTGACATTCGCTGATGATAACATTCACAGAAGGCTCAAACTAGATTTCCCAGGGTGGTTCGTATTGTGTGGGAGGAGGGGAAGGCGGGAGGGGATCACCTAGCTTCGACGCCCCCCTGCTCTTCGCCCCTACCCACCAGCCGAACAAGAAGCCAGGGAGAAGACGCGCGCCCAGGAACCACCCCGTCAAGCGAGCGTGACTGAGACATCATGATCCTGTCAGCCGTGAAATTACCGCAGTCTCCGCCCAGCGCCGAGCCAACCGGACGCGACAGGGACAAAGGGAGAAATTACTCTCTCGCGGAGCAGGCCGGCGAGGAGATGCAAATATTAGACTCGAAAAGAGTAGTCACCGTAGACGGGGGGCGGCCACCCCCCCGGTCTGTAGGAGGACAAGAAGGCAAGGGCAGAAAGTATAAGCGACGAGTTCCTAGTCCAGCAACACGAACTCCCCCGCCAGATGAAGGGTAGTCGCCGCCGGGATAGCGCAGATTGAGAGGAAGGAGATGCACAGGGATTGCTGGGAGGTCCAGGAAGGGCTTGAGTGGTGTCCAATCGCTTCCACACGCATTTTGGTTTGCGCAATGTCAAAAAACGTGCGGGATGCCGAGGAGATCCAGGGGCCCAGATTGGACAGGAAGAGAGTGGGTGGCGGTCGACAACCCAGTTTCGCCAACCGAGCTGCCTCCCAAGTCTCCCTCCCTCCCTTCGGCCACGGCACCCTACAGAGGGCGGGAATGGGGCCTGGCGCAGTTAGGCGCGGCATCCCAGGCGAGGAAAAAACTTGAAAATGGCCCTCCACTCGGACGCCACAAAGTGGCCCGTCAGTGACACTGACCTCATCAAGTCCGACTCATGACGATCAGCGTTTTGCTGCGGAGGCATACCCATGATTCCGACGAGTAGGAGTTGCAAACTCTGACACAAACACGTCGTCCAAGAGAAAAAGCGAAGCGAGCACAGTCTTTCTTCTAGAGGGGAGGGAGGAATCTCGAGGAAGTCCGCAGCCATGCTCACAGGAGATGGCGGGTCTTGGCGACACCCCGTGTGGCTAGTTACGTTATGCATATTCAGCAGCTGACACAGATAACAGGCTGAGACTCAAACAGCAAAAGGAAAGACCATGCAGAAGACCATCTTCGCACAGGAGCATCACATATGATGCCACTCCACTCGCATGCACGACCCGACCTGGGTGGGAAGTGGCTGAAAAGGAGGGTGTGGGTGCGATGGGCCGAGGGTGGACTCTTCCTGTACCCGGTTCCCATGTCCGCCCCCCACCCTCCCTTCCTGTACTCGGCGCATTTTCCATTGGACCACATTCCAGCAGATGGCAGAGGCCATCGAGCGCCCCATGCGACGCCGCCTCCCTTTCTGCGCATGGGTTCTGAGGCAATAATTCGCTCATAGTAGGGCTTGGAAACAGATTGTGAGAATCAGACGAGTCAGACAATGGGTTGTGGCTGTCCCAGACACATGGCACACATGACCCTCTTCTTGTACTCGGTAGAACGTTGGAAGAAGGTCGAATCTGAAGAGCAATACGAGGAAGTCTAAGCATCCATACAGATTTGATCACGGGTGTTTGTGCTTCTTTCCATCCGGTTTGATTGCACCTCTTGGGTTCAGCCTTGTTATTGCACAATGCTTGTTGCTGCGACTTCAATGACAACGGCAGCAGTTTAACCTGACATGCTGCAGCAGATGATCACCCCGTCCGTCCCCTTATCAGTTATCAGACGCTGGTGCTTATGCAGTATACAAAGACGACTATGATTTGTCGGACATCGTCCGTTTCCTCCTTGTGGCTCCCGTCTTTTTGCTTCTTTTGGTGTTGTAACTTGCGCAGTGTCACTTGTTGCGCCTTTCAATACTATAGGGAGCCTTGCAAACATGACTGTTTATAGCCCTGGAACAAAATAATCGAGAAAGAGCAACTTGCTCCCTCCATCAAGGGACAGTTCTCCCTTCTTCGTCGCACACTCCTCATTGAACCGACCTCCAACTTCGACCTGGAGACACCATCCCCCGATTTGCATGTGTCGTGCTCCAGTCGTAGGATATAGTGACTTCCTGTTGACCTCTTTGAGAAGAAATGTCATCGTCTGAGTGGTTCCTCCCTATCTCTGGCTGTGTGCAATCAATCATCAGTCAAGTGGACATGATCTTTCAATGTCGTCGACTCTGACTTTCCTTTACCGGACGTGATGCGTCTTCATTCTCCATCACACAATCCACGCCAGGAGCAGACGCCTCGTTCTGTAAAAATTGTCCGTCCGTGCACTGGCGCGTCTGTCGGTCAAAAGTGTATCCGTTCCATGAGGCTGTGGAGCGAGACGGCGTGGGTCGGTAGCGGACAGAGCCCTCGAGCTCTCCCCAGATTTTTTTTGAGCCCATGGTCGGGCTGTATCGGACTGCGGTGCAAAGGTACAACGCAAAGGGCAGGTATGCCGCACAGGGCTCGAGTCTCCCGCAGAAGACCATCCGCGCTAGCCCCTAATCCAGCCTAAGCGTGCACTCGGCGTAACCAGATTATCACTGCCGTCGGTTCAGGCGCGACTCACCCTCCCATCTTCCCATCTTTCGGAAGCACGGCATCATCCCTTTCTTGCTCCATCGCGTTGGACACAAAGATGGCAGGGCCAGCTGGTGGTCGCGACCAAACCTCGCACGATCCGACAGGCAATTTCGCCGGGTCTGCCTCCTCGCACTTCGCCTCATCCTACTACCCAATCGACACCGAGCTGACCAACATGTCGCCCAGCTACCCCATGCCTCCCTATGCGCGGCCGATGGAAGAGGGGGTAGCTTCAGTGGACAAGATCAATCACGGAGAAGCCATGAACAATAGCTTGGCCATAGGCCCGAATGGCGCAACGGCTTCCTCTGCCACCGATCCAGCGATGGCTCCTCCGCAGACACCAAACCAGGCAACCTTCCCGCCAGCTGGCGCACGGTCAAGCATGGATGCAACCTCTGAAACACCCCAAGACCCTCAAACGGGTGACAAGAGAAAACGGTCAAAGGCTTCTCGGGCATGCGACGAATGTCGGAGGAAGAAGGTGCGGTCACAAACTTTGACAGCAAAAGACAAACCATGATGGCTTGGTGCTAACCTACCTTCAGGTCAAATGTGATGCACCCACTGAGGCTGATGGTACGCCAAAGACATGCACAAACTGCCAGAAGGCCGGTGTGAATTGCGAGTTTGAGCGCAAACCCATGAAGCGTGGTCCCAGCAAAGGGTTAGTGATTTTGTTGATGGAGCTTGACTCGCAAGGGTGGCCGGCGATGAAAGACTGACACGTGCCCCAGGTATATCAGTGCGCTGGCAGAGCGAGTTCACGGATTGGAACAGAAGCAGAGGCAATCGCTGGACGCCGGTCCTGTAGGGTTCGCCGAGAGTTTTTCACCTGATGAGCCAACTGGTCCTGGTTTTAGCAATCGTGCCTCTTCTTTCTCCGCTTCCACAACTGTCAACCCATTTTCGAGGGCTGAATTCCAAAGGGATCGCATTCCCAGCACTGGCGGCTGGGGCATCAGCTCGATCGCTCCGAGCCTTCGATCGCGTGCCAGCGGAAGCCTCGCCATCGCTCCCAACGAAACTCTTCCAGCTACGATTTCTGAAGAAGACGCCAACCCGAAACCCGAATTTCGCGATTCTCCCAGGACGATCTTTAGTCAGATTGAAAACTCTCATCGTCCGAAACGGCCGCGCCTTCAGGGATCCAACGAAGACTCGCCACCTTTCAAGATGGAACATTCCTCTCTGCCCAGGTACTATGAGCAGTATCATCCGCTCTTTCCTTTGCTGCCCGACCACGATATTGTCGATGCGGTTGTCAGCAATGCCGATGTCGATATGCAGCATGCGCTCGCTATCGCTGTCGACCTATTGCCAGACCTCAGAGCCGGAGCCACCCTCAACGGCGCTCACAATTCCTCCTTCTCCTTGAATCACGATCTCGACCCAGCCATCAGCCGTCCGACCCGAACCCTCAGCTCTACACAATTCGCCAACTACGAAAAGTTGCTGGAGTATCTCGGCAATTTGGTCAACGGGGTGCCGGCAACTCATTCGATGGATACCAGTCTTGCGCTGGCCTGGGCTCTTGCCCTGATCTCGTTGACGTGTGAGTATGATGTCAAGCACCTGGCAGGCGAAGGCGACAAGTCCAAGTTGCAACTCCTTAACCACAGCCGATATGTCTTGGTGCAATTGCAAGTCGCAGCGGCCCGTGGTGAGGCCCCGACCTCGTTCCCCGACCTGGCCAGTTTCGTCCACACGGTCAACCTGGCTACGAACTGCGTCCTTCTCTTGACCAAATATCACTGGTTGAGTATCGCTCTTCACCCAGGCGAGGTGACTCGCTCACGCTACCTTTCAATTCGAAACGTCGATCCGAAGGCGATTACTGTTGAAGCAGCATACCTGCAAACCAGCTCACACCAGCTTGATCTTCTCTTTAAGATTATCCTGCCGCACGAGGATGCATCTACAGATATGAAGATGGCTCACAAGGACTTCTTGCAGACTGCTTTTGATGTTCACCTCTGCAGCTATGACGAAACTCTCAGAAACTCCGCGATCGTCAAGCAGTTCCACTGGTTCATGGAGCTTTTGATGAGCCCGTATCAACCACAGACACCTCCGTTCCCAACTCCGATTCTCGACTGTGCCGTCAATTTGGCCAGTGTTCTCATTGAAGACGCAAAGGCCACCTCTGGCGCCCCACGGTACAACCCTCTTGACCTTCACACCTGGTCTGTGGCCACCATCACTCTTTGCGAAATCATCGCCGATGTGAGCAGTAAGCCGATCGTCGACTATGCAAGCAAGCACCTCGAACAGTTGCGCGCAGAGCTCCAGAAAAAGTCGGACGCAATGCACAAGCACTATGATTTTGAGTGGTTCTTTGGGGAGAAGATGAAACACTGGACGGACGGTCTGATGTCGATGATCGACTACGCTTTGGAAGAACATGTTTCTGCGGTGGGCGAGAACAGAAGCAACGCCGTGATGCTGGTCCCCAATTTTGCGGAAATGATGGAGAAAGGATGGTTACGAGCTCTTGTTTACTTTGCAGACAAATGAACCCTTCTTCACTTTGCGAAAGGACGAGACACACCCTGGGGATGTACGATGGATGGTGAATACGCGCTACGTGCACATACATGTACCATATTAAGCTGAGCTGGTCCTCCAAGGCGAGGGCGATGTGTTTCCACAATACCGAAACACCAAACTGAACGGAAGACGATAGGAGCTGTTTCCCCCAAACAGAACCATTGAAAATGAAAATGGAATATCTCAAGAAGACAGAGACTCTATCACCGAGGACCCTCTCCAGCTGTCTGTCCACATTGATTGTCCTTTGCTCTGCTGATGATTGTTCCCACACCCAGATAGGACGTACCTAGCCTTATAGGTTTGCAGTTTGGTCGGATGACAAGGTTGCCCATGTGGGCTGTGAAAAGGCAACGACGGGAATGGTCAGAGGAGAGATTTTAAAAAGGGAGGAATCAAAACTGACAGAAGCGTTCGGTGGAAGGACTTTGTTGAGGTCTCCGACTTGGTCCTTTTCTCCCTTGTTGTCTGTCTCTGAGAGGAGATGCTGGAGGTTGAAACGGATCAACGTACTTCCCATGCCGAACAGTATCACGCTGACACGGCTTCCGGCATCCTCACCATTTATTCCTCCAGCAGGGAGGCAATTGTTCACTCCGCACGCTCTTCTATGGAGATGGAGATGTGTGTCACGTCTCGGAGCTTGCCGCTCACGGATATGTCCTGGTAGGTATTATGCCGTCGTAACGTCAACAGGAGCGATATCGACCCCCTGAAAGCTGCTGCCTAGGGCAAGTTGTGTGTCAACCTCGCACTTATTGACTCAAATCTATATCAGGAATCAAGTCAAAGCTCCTTCCAGGTAAAGTCACATAGTTCCAAAGAGTCTATCCGGGGCGTTCATGTCGACAATGTCCCAAGCTGAGCAGCCAGGGTTTGTGAAGCTCGAACTTCGTACGGCCTATGGCCCGGTTTACCGCAATGTATCGACCGAGCCGCCACGAGATGCCCGCCCGGACGAGATTCCGCTGATAGATATCAGCCCCCTATACGGCGATCTCGAGGCGCGAAAGACTCTGGCCAAGGACATCAAACACGCGGCCGAAAATACGGGGTTCTTCTATGTTCGAAACCATGGCATCCCCGAAGCCACCATTCAAGCAGCCTTGAACGCGTCACGGGTTTTCTTTGCACAGCCCGAGGACAGGAAGATGCTGGTGTCCAAGTCCAAGGGGAAGTGGTACAATGGCTATTCAGCCAAGAACAGTGCTATGGCCAGTCCCTCCGAAGGATGTCAGTTACGGGCCCCCCTCCCCTGAGACGTGCTCGTGCGTTTTTATTGTTGCCTTGATTTGACCCCTGGCACAGTGGACTACCGCGAGTCGTTCGCGTGGAGATACGAGCCGCAATACGATCCAGATCCCAAGGACCCCGACGCCGTGCCCCCGGAAGTCCAGCCGTACATCCGCGGAGAGAACTATGTCTGGGAAGGCACGGAACACCTGGCCGGGTTCAAAAGTGACTGTATCGCCTACTGGCAGGGATGTCTCACGCTGGCGCGTCGGCTCGTCAGGATATTCGCCCTCTGCCTAGATCTGCCCGAGGACTACTTCGACGCCGTGACCACCTACCCCGGCAGCGACGGCGTGTTCAATTACTACCCGGCCATGTCGGCTGAAGACGCGGCGACGAGCCAGGACGTCGGTCTCGGGTCGCACACCGACCTCCAGTGTTTCACGCTGCTCTGGCAGGACATGAACGGCGGCTTGCAGGTGCTCAACAGAGACGGCCAGTGGATCAAGGCGACGCCGATCCCGGGCACGTTCGTCGTCAACATCGGCGACTACCTGATGCGCCTAACCAACGACCGCATGAAGTCTACCGTGCACAGAGTCTACAACCGGTCCACGGTCGACAGGTACGTTACCACTTCGCACAGCACAGAACAGAACAGAGCAGTACAGTACAGTATGTAAATAAAGCTCGGGGGTGGCGCTGACGAAATCCGCCTTTGATGACCAGGTATTCCATGCCGTTCTTCTTCGGCTTCAATTTCAACGAGAAGTGCGGCGTGCTGCCCAGCTGCGTGGACGAGACGCACCCGCCCAAATACGAACCGATCTCGTGCGGAGATTGGTGTCAGTTGAGGTTCGAACAGACCGACATGGATAACAACAAGAACAATGGCAGCAGCAGCAGCAGCAAGGTCGCCGTGTACTGATCGAGATCAAGATCAAGAGAGGTGGTTAGCAGGAATGATGAAGCCAAGGTATATATATATATGGCCAGCCAAGGGAGTGAGCAAAGCAGGTCATCTAGATCGTGAGTGTTCAAGGCATCTATGTCACAGAGAGGAAACAAGGCGAGTCCCCTTCGTTTTCAGGCACGGAAATATACCCTTGCACGCGGCAGGGACAGGCTCAACGCTGACCTGGGTGAGGAAGGCCGAAGGATTGCCTTGTTCAGAGAAGTCACGCACCTGATCCTGGATGCTCCAGCGTATGCTAGCCTATTTCAGAGCAGGGAAAGGAAGTTGAATTCTCCTTGGCAGGCTGCTTTGACAAGCCTCAAATGGCAGTGTTTTATATGATAATGTTTTAACTGAAGTCGGCATCTGGCACTGAGCAAGATGGAAAGACTCTTGGTCCTTTCCCTGTCACCCAGAATCCTAGCCAGACATCCATCCCCTATTTGGCCCATTCTGGCGCCTTGTCATTGGCCTCTCCAATATCCAGCGCGACCAAAAACCGGCTGACCATGTTGTAGCTCGCGACCGTGGCCGTGATTTCCACAATCTCCTGGTTACTGAAACCGGCCGCCTTGACTTCGTCGAACAGGCCCTGAGGCACGGACACCTCTCGCGTCATTGCATCAGCATATCTCAGCACAGCCCATTGGCGGTCGTCGAGCGCCCCCTTGGAGGTCGGGTGCAGCTGTTTCACCACCGACAGTTTCTCTTCCGTAAAGCCAGCCGTGTTCAAAAGGATCGGGGCGTGAGCGTTCCATTCAAACCAGGCGCGGTTGATCAGGGCCGGACGGCAGATGGCGATCTCGCGGATATCGTCTGGCAGGGAGTTCTTTGTCCGCACGGCACCGAGGAGGGCATTCCAACCTTGCAAATCAGTCAGCGTTGCACATGGTGGCCCAGTGAGTGTCTGGGGGCTACGACAAACCATCTGCGATCTTGGGAGCGTGCAGAAGCGTTAAATCCAGCGAGATCAGGCCCATGGCACCCCGACGTGCCTTGACCCGCTCCAGCACCTCTTGATCCTCTGGGGAGAGGTTGGTGGGAGGATTGGGGACGTAGTCGAGACGCATGGTGTCCAAACGGTTTAGGGGGTTTCCCTATTCTAATCTGTTTGATTCCCGTGAAGAAGAATAAGGAGAAGAAGAAGAAGCAGCAGAAGCAGCTGGTTCTCAGGTGGTCAAAGGTTCGCAGTCAAGCAGAGTACGGACACGAGAAATCTTTCCATTGATCAATGCCATCAATCTCGAATACCCCGCTAGCCGCAGGCCACGGTGCCGAGCTTGAGCGTGTGCGGGGAGCATGTCGGCGGTCATCCATTTCTTCTCCAACGGCGGAATTGCCGCGCCTCATTTGGAGGGGGTTTTATTGGGAGAAACGGTTCTGGATATACTGAGAGGTGTGGTGATAGTTGGTGTTGGGGTTTCCATTGGATTCTGGTATCCATGTGTTGGGGGCACAAGACTCGGGGTACCTTGGTACGACAGGGGCCATGCTGTTGCTGCTTCACAGTCATCGACAGAGTGAACATGAGTACGTAGTGGATAGGTAGGTGATCAGGCTGTGCTGGCAGTCATAGTAGAGACGGCACGATGTCAATAGCTGTGGGTATGTATTGTCAGCAACCCGGCCTCATGCCGCACCTTATGTCCCCCAGTGTCGCCCATCGTCAGTGGAGAAATAGCTGTTCAACCCAATATCTTATTCTCATCATCTTCCTTGTTCTTTGGAGTTTCAATCTCACTTCCATCATGACTAACGAGGTGCGAAGCTCTGGTAGATGTTGGACAAGCATGGATGCCGCGGATACCCCCGGAATTCGCCAATGTGAGACAGCAGCAGGTAAGTCGTCGTGTGCATCCAAAGCTAGCCAGGAGAGCTGGGAACCGGAGCTTGCTGTGCGTATTCGATGTGCCCTTAGGCAACCCACAAACCTTGGAAAAACGGACATTTGAGCAACATCCACCGCGTTGATTGGCATTGGTATGCCTGGCTTATCATACGCAAAAGGAGGAGGAGAGGAGGAGGATAATACCGGTGACTGTTGAAACGAACGTGGACAAGCGGGCTCGCAGATCAGAAGATCAGAAGATCAAAAAGATTAGGGGTTGGCGTGCCCGGTGAGGCGCAGTTTGCATGCTCCAAGACCGCAGGGTTAAGCTTCGTTGCGCTATACAACTTCTCATTTGCTCCGTGGCGACTTGTTCCGTGCGACCGCGACTCGACAACTCTAGAACCAGCAACAAACTACCAACTTCGCTTCCGGGAAATGCCTGAATTGCTGCTAAACAATACCATTTGATCACTTATCCAGCCAAGCTAAAGTTTGGGTCCGGGAGCGCGAACTGACTGCTCCCTCACCTCATCCTCTCCCTGTTGCGCCATCACGAGACAAGGTCAACACACCGTTCCCAGCTTGCCGGCTTGAGGCCATCTTACTCTCCAAGCCATCGCTCTTGCGTCACCTCGGATTGACCAGTCACTGCATCGCTCCTCACTCCTTCTCTTGACTCGTTATCACCTTCGGAAGACCCTATCATCCCCTCTCCATCCCACTCGTTCCTATCGAAGCGGACGGAAACCTCGTGCCTACCTACCCAACTGCTTCGCGGCTACTTAAACCTGTCTGCCCCTCCTCCAGACCGAACGAAACCTCTGTCAGCCCAGATGCCTGGAATTCGTACGTCCCTCCTCTGAATCTCCCACCTGCGCAAACCCTGTCCCTCCGGTACTCCGGATTAGTTTCTTCATACAAGATCAACATCCACATCCCTTTCTCACACAAATTCATTAATCACAGCTCTCGACGCAATGGACAAGATCAAAGCTCTCTTCAAGCGCAAGAAGGCCAAGGAGAGCAGCACTGCTGGTACGAAGACAGAGACCAATGGCACTCCTGCTGCCGTTCCTAAGCCGACACCTACAGACACTGCCGCCGCGCCTTCGACCAGCGACCCGGCCGCTCCTCCTGCCGGTGAGTATATTCCGCGCGCGCGCTCTCTCTCTCTCTTTCGCAGTGACAGCGGTACTAACTCGTCCTTTTCACAGGCACTGCCCCGACCGATGCTCAAGCGGTCGATAAGCCAGCCGACCCTGCTCCGGTCAACACTCCTGCTGCCACGTAGGGTGCGTGGTCCGGGAACGGACACGATGCTTGATGGATGATCAAGAACCCAAATCTCCTACAACGTCTACCCAGTTGTCAAGATAACGCGCAACCGACCTCCTATCAGGCCTGATCACTTCCCCGAACACGGCTCGCGGAGTTCCATTTTCATAAGTCTAGCACTGTCCCTCAGTCTTGTCGACGAGCGTCTAATCAACCATTATACCCCTTTTGACGCCTACACGAAACCTGCCGTAACGACGATACCATTCGTTCTTCAGCAATTCATTCCCTAATCACACGAACACATGACCACAGTTGGGCTAACGGGCCGGGAAGGATGGTCGGAGAATATTGCTTTTCACGCACCCTTGAACAATTGAGATACCCCAAAACGCATCTGTCTCGAACAGGCAGATAGCGAAGCAGCATGATCCGAGTTCAGAGATACCCCCAAGTCCTTCAGATAGTCGCCCATTCCGGGCCAGTAGCATAGGAAATCACAATTGGCGTTTTCCATATCGTGAGTTCGCTGCTGCTATTGGCACAGGTTCTTCTGTTACTCCCGTGCAATGAATCGTAGATGTACACTCAAGAAATTTCGCCGATAATCGCAGCGTCACCTCTCGCAGTAATAATATCAGGGTGGCCTGGACCACCATCTGGCTCAACAGCCTGTTCTGCTCTTTGATTTCTTTGATCTTTCCATCGCAAAAAAAAAAAAAAAAAAAAAAAACATAACCAAGTACTCCAGGCCTTCCAGCAAGAGCTCAAAGCAAAGGACACACTAAGTTCGCAGGCATCGACCCCCCAATCATCGACCAGTTGGTGATTGCGAGCCGCTGCCTGGTGCGCGGATAACATCCCGCGAGCCTCTCTTCGAACATCACCCCGTCCTCGTGAGGGCGCGCCGGCTATACATGGCTGTAATATCCTTGCGCCGACGCTTATGAGTGTTGAAAGCCCTCAAATTTGACTACATGGCCGGGTTGAACGACGCTTGCGCATGACGCCATTACTTGACGACGGGAATGACCTGGACGGTCAAACTGACTAGGCAGTCAGTCCTCTTTCCGTTCTTCTCAGGGCTCCGACTCTTGTTGCTCGCCCTTACGGCAAGTTGACATCGAGCGTGACCAGGACAGTATCCCCTCCCCGTTTTCCGCTGTTGCTGTTCATCCCTGTCCCCACGGAACTCTTACTTCGGAGAGACAGGCCGCTCTTTGAGGTCGGGCGCGATGCAGGGTAGATGCGTATCGAGCGCTTGGATTTGTCGCCGGGAATCAAGGACAAGAGGATATCTTGATGTTGGGAAGAGGGGGCCTGCGTCGCGTTCGGTTCGTCAAAAGCACTGGCGTGATTGACCCCGTTGAGCTGCTGTGACAGAGACACCATCAGGGAGCGGTGGTTGTGGGGGAAGATTTCGACAATCTGGTCGCTGGCCCACCGGGCGATGCCGTCCAGAGCTTCTTGTTCGCGCTGCACCTCTTCCGGGCTCATCAAATCTTGAGGCGGAACGGTCGATGAACCCCATGTCCCGTAGCTGTGGCCGGCTGGGTAGTCATCGTAGAGGAGACGGGCGCGGTCAGACTGTCGACGCCGTCTGTTAGCCCGGAAATCGCCCAGGAAAGTGTGGGAAATGGTTCACTTGTTGGGCGAAACTAGACCGTGCGTAGGGTGTCCGTGACTTACCTCGTGGTTGGCGCGGCGGCCCACGCCTAGACAGGAGAGGCAGACTCCCATAATGGCGCGGGATTGCTTGACATGAGAGAGAACGGAGGGGCGAAAGAGAATAGGCTTATCATGAAACTTGAGAGAGCGTGATCATTGTGGCTTGCTACTGCTTTCGCTCGAGAAGCCCGAAAGAACGGCTCAGAGAAGCAGGTTGCAGCAAAAGGGTGACACTGAACTGACTTCAGCTCGAACCTTTGAGAACCGCTGGATGCTGACCACGTCACTAAAAGTATTTCCGTTCCGACCACAGTTTTTCCGATCTGCTCCCACGTCTCCATGTTTCACGGCCCTTGCTTTCACCAAGAATCCGTCCTCGAGTCTACCACCACGGGTATGCAGACTCTATCACCGGAGTACCTAGAGTCCAGGCAGTTAGATCGACTGTTCTTTTCGCGCTCTTACGAGTCACGACAGGTTGCCTTAGAGTACTCATCACCACCGTACTACGGTATTTCAGTGTAGTCCTTGGAGATGACGTGCAGTGCCGTTGTTCTCCCATTCATCAATGGAACAGTGCTCGGAGCTTGCAAGTCTACTGTCGACCGATGTTTCCAGCTGAGACATGCCCTTGCTCATTACCCTATGATTGGAATTCATGGATTTCTATCTTGAGAATACCATTGTTGACATTGCTTCGGACGATCATCACCCTTGCATCAGATCTTTGCTTGCCAAGGTGGACATCTCACACTCCTCGCGAGGCTCTCTCCAGTGCCAAATCACCTTTTGGCCATTCCAGCCACATCATTCAGTCCAAGGATATGCGAGACATTGCTGTGTGGTTTCCTGAACCAAGATTAATCTGAATCATTGTCTTCAAGGTGGTATTTACAATGTTGTTGGAAGACTGTCCGAAGCTATATATACAGGCCCTGGCGGTTCAACACCGAGTTTGCAATGTCCCCATTAAGCAAGTCCACTCTCTTTTTTCCTACAGTCACTCGTTCTCGATATTGTCACTCATTTGAATCCAGTCTTGCATCCTTTTGCCCAATATGCGTTCTTCCTTGATTTCCCCAGCCTTGTGGTTGGGTATGACGACAGTCGTTTCTGTTGCTACTTCTCAGGACCCTTCCTCAACTGGGGATACAACAGATGCCACAGCCTATACGTGGCCTACTGAACCCTACCCTGGAGCAAGCATTTGGCTTGAGTGGATCAGCTCGGCCAGCGTCAGCTCCGGAACCACCTCGGACTCAAGCTCGACTGCTTCGACTTCCGCCTCTTCGCCCATCGATGGCACAAGCACGACCGTTTCGACGACTGATGCTACGACATCTAGCTCAACAACCTCCTCGATTCTGGACTCTGCAACACCAACGTCTGTCTCCGTCACGACCACGTCTATCACTCAGAACTCGGCCACCTTTTCTGGCTCATTTACAAGCTCGACTACTTCGGGAGGGGAGGGTCCCGTGACCACTGCCACTTCCTCCAGCGTGATGTCAGTCTCAGGCTCGGTCACCAGCACAACATCTGCTCCTTCTTCTCCGAGTACGTGCCCATACGCGGGCCTGACCTTCTTGAGCCCAGATGACACGTGTGTGTGGTACGACTTTGTCTGCAATCGCACGTACGCGGAGAGCAGTTTCCGAGGGAGCTGGATCACCAGAGGAAGTCCAGAGCTGTGCGCTGAACGTTGCGATACTGCAAACGAGAATCAAGGAGCCGGGTACTGCGTGGGCGTGGTTTTCAATACTACAGCCACAACCGACAACTGCAGAATGCTGAAGAATACCAAGACCCCCCTTGACAGCATCGACACTATCGCTCTTGTGCTCGTCCGTGATCTGAATTGTGGCAGGGTTGCCGAAACTACCACCACGACGGCAAGCTCTACCACAATTTCTCTTTCGACTTTCACTACCTCTCTTGGTTCCGTTACAACTGGGTCCGCCAGCGCTGTGTCCGCTTCGTCTCCATCGCCAAGTGGCTCTACTTCAGGCGTGACTTCAAGCACCCCCCTTAGTGCTGGCTCCATCACCACAACCACAACTTCTGGCAGCACGATCACAGGCGAGCCCGATACCACCTCCGTGAGCCGGTCCTCGCGCAGCCGCCGCCTCTCTGGATCCCACAGCAACAGTTGGACCTACAGCTGGGGCAGCAGCCATTCCAGATGGTCTGCTACCTCTGACGGAGCCTCTACTACTGCCGGTCAATCAGTAACGGGCTCTGCCGCCACCACGACCACGACCACGACCAGCACAAGCTTTGGTTCCAACGACACCCTAACTAGCTCCTCTACAATCTCTAGCCCAGCAAATGCAACCTCTACCTGGGCCAGTAGCACGAGTGCTCTTTCAAACGCCACTGTTACGACGAGCATATCGGCATCTCCCATTGCAACTACCACAACTTTGTTTAACACTTCCATGACCACGTGGACGTCCTCTCTCAACTCCACTTCTGCAGCTCCCTCGGCAACCACGACTTCGTTCGCCAACTCTACCACGAGCTCTGTCTCCGCGACCACTACCTCTACAACGAGCAGTAGCTGCCCTGCCTCAGTCACCACGGTGACAATCACAATTTCTGACGGCCCTGCAAGCGTTACTGGTCCCGTCGTCACCGTCACGGGGACAGTCACCGAGACAAGTACCATAACGAGGACGACCAAGACGATCACTACATCAACTGGTACCCGGACACGCTACACAACCACCACGGAGACGGACACGGAGACCGTGACCACGACATTCACCTCGTCCACGACCATGACGAGCACTGCCACGGTCACCACGACTCAAACCTTTGGTCAGCGCTGGGGAAGGATTCATTGGTAAGCCATGAACGAGGACAGTTGACACCCAGATGAACCTCGGCGGCTATCTTGAAAATTGTCCACTATCTGCGATCGCAGGATGGTGAGAACAGCTAAGATCCAGCTCCGTGCGAGTTTTCCTACATGGCTGGCACGGGAATGCAAAGACAAGAGCAGGGTTCCCACAATAGAGCTGGTCATCGTCAACAACAAGTTACTGCGTTATCTAGAACGAGCTTCTTCTGGAGGGATTTCGAGTGCGAAAGTTCTTGCCTAGGTTTCCCTTTCTTCTAGTCTATTGCAATCAGATCTAATTTCCAGAGCACGAAATCTTCAACTTCAGGTCATAACTTTGAGTCTCTTGCGGTGGCTTTCCTCGACCACACCTGCACGTCCTTGTCCTCAATGTAGTTTGCTGGGAAGTACTGCGGGCCGAGAGTCTTCTTGACGACCTTCCCCGTCCCACTCTTCGGCAACTCACCCTCGATGATTCTTAACAGGGTCGGCATTTTGTACCCTGCGAGACGACTTCGGACGTCGGCCCGCAGGTCGTCCAGGCTCAACTTCTGCGGATCTCTACGGTTCTTCTTGTAAAAGTCCTGGGCGACCTCGTCGTTGCGCAGGGATACCACCGCACCAACTCGTTGCCCAAATTCCATGTCGGGCACACCTACCACCATGGCCTCTCCAATGTACGGCAAAGCCAACAGTTCGCGCTCGATATCCAACGCCGAGATCTTGTACCCACCGGATTTGATGATGTCGACCGAGGCGCGCCCGACGATAAAGTAGTACTTGCCTTCTCGTCGAGCCACGTCGCCGGATTTGAAGTAGCCGTCGGCGTCGTGCGCGTTTGCAGTGGCTTCGGGATCGTGCAGGTATTTGGAGAACATAGTAAAGGATTTGGCGAGGACTTCGCCTTCATCTCCCTCCGAAAGCTTCACATCCACGCCATAGGTCAATTCCCCTACGGACCCGTCTGGAATTTCTTCGCTGGGGTCTGCGGGCATGTTGAAGACGACGCCCAGCTCGGTCGATCCGTAGCGCTGGACAATCCGTCTCCCGTTCATGAGACCCGTCCAGAAGTCATTGATCGGTTTGGGTAACGCGGAGGTGCCACATAGACACACCTTGAAGGCGGCGGCCGCCTTGTAGGTTGCTACCTCACTGGGGGGAAGTTTCGTGGCGTGCTCGAGGTAGTATCGCATCATTCGCATGTAGATAGTAGGCACGCCGGTGAAGTGCGTCAACCCACCTCTCCGCCAGCGATTCCACGTCCATTCTGGATCGAAACTGCCGGACTTGAACTCGATGCAGGCGCCCGTCTGGATGAAGGGGAAGAAGGATACCCAAATTCCAGTAGCGTGGTGGACGGGAAGGAGATGAAGAAGCACGTCCGTCTCCTGGAGGCCGATCTGCTGTGCAAAACACATCGAGCCATCCACCATGGCAGCTCGACGGAGCACGGCTCCTTTCGGGGGCCCTGTCGTGCCTGAGGTGAAGATGACCACGCCCGGGGCATTGGGATCGAAATACCGGTTGGAGGTGATCTTGATATCGTTCAGTGCGAAGGGCTTCTCTTGTTCGATCACCCTGATGGGCACACAGGCGAAGTCGGGATTTGTTGTATTGCGGATTTCCCTCGCAACATCCTCACCCAGCTGCAGCGCTGGGGTGGCTGTAACGAGAGCCACGGACCTCGCCTTGTTGACATAGTAGCAGCCTTCCTTCACCGGCTGAGCGGTGCTGAAAGGCGAGGCAGCTGCACCCAGGGCCAGGACGGCCAGCACACCCACAACAAACTCATAACCCCCAGGCGCCAACACACTGACATAGACTTCTCGCCCATTCTGCAGGTCCTGGACGGTTTCGTGTGTCAAGGCATTCCTTAACACCCGACGGAGCACGAGTACATCACTCAGGAGCTGGGCGGCTGTCCTTTCAATCCCTGCATTGACGTCGCGTATCGCCGGCCTGGGATTGGGGCGATGTGCAAGGGTGAGCAGGCGGGTGAAAAGGGGGTCGGCGGGAAGAATGTGGTCGGCCGAGTGACTTGGGACGAAGTCGGTTCTGTCGAAAGGCGGCTGCTGCTGCTGCTGCTTCATCTCTCTGTGTTTTGATTTCACACCACCACCGGCAGCGCCTTGGAGAGCCGCTTCTCGGGCAGACTTTAAAGCCATTTCGGATGAGTCGCTATGCAGCCGACAACTCCCCAGACGAAAACGCCGAGTGTGCCAATCACGGCGATTTTGCGCCCACCGATACCATCGGCGCTGTTGGCCTCGGCAGTTTGGCTGCGATGATGAGGGGAGGCAAAGGTTACGGAGACTGCTCATACCACCGTCCGGAGATGTTGAGGAAGGGAGATTGCCTAGGTCCCGAGTACGGAGTATTTCTTGAAGGACTGACTTCCTTCCTCACTCTCCCCTTCACCTCTCACCGTCCAGGTGTCAGAGAACAAATCTGCTGAGGTTGTAGAGACTCGCTTATCCACCGGATACACTCCTCGAAAGACATACTTCAACTATGGCTGATTTCACAGACAAGCTTCGACCTGCTGACCCCCAGGGCCCAACTCTCCTATCCCAGGAGAGAGCCGGGTCCAGCGTGAACACCGATCAATTGGCAACCCACTTGCTTTCCCGCAATGACTTTCTCAATCGACAGAAGAAAGTCCTCGCCATCCTGGAGCAAATCCCCATCTTCTGCAAGAAAAACCAGCTCAACATGGCCCGTCCCGACCGCTATCATCTCAGCCTGGCACGAGCAAAGATGCTGAGGAGACTGACTCTCAAGCACGGCTGGGACCGCGACGACTATCTCATGGCCGACTATCTGATGGATGAGATGGGCCCGTACGCTCTGCATGGGACCATGTTCATCACTTCGATTCGAGAACAATGTAACGACGAGCAAAGAGCCTACTGGCTGCCCAAAGTCGAAAATTGGGAGATCATCGGTTGCTACGGCCAGACTGAGCTCGGACACGGCAGTAATGTCAGGGGCATCGAATGTCAAGCCAAGTGGGACCCTAAGACCAAGGAGTTCATCATCCACAGCCCTACCATCACAGCGAGCAAATGGTGGAATGGTGCTTTGGGTCGAACGGCATGTCATGCTATTGTGGTTGCACAACTGTTGCTTCCCGACCCGAACACTGGCAAGTACAAGTCCTATGGTCCGCACCAGTTTATCGTTCAGATTCGGGACAAGAAAACCAACAAGCCCCTGGACGGCATTGTGATCGGTGACATTGGCCCTAAATACGGCTATCCTGGGATGGATAACGGCTACATGCTCTTCAACGAGTTCAGGGTACCTCATTCAGCCCTGCTGTCCAAGTACTCCGGGGTTGATCCAGAGCGCGGAACCTACATCAAACCTCAAAATGCCGCCCTCGTCTACGGGTCCTTGACTTTTGTGCGGGCTCAGATCATCATGCACGCGAGACTCATTCTCGCGAGAGCCGTCACGGTCGCGGTTCGCTACCTCTCTATCCGTCGACAATTTCCAGACCGAGATTCCAAGGACCCAAATGCCCCTGAACAAGCCGTGCTCAATTATCCCACCGTCCAGATCCGCATCCTCCCACTTCTGGCCACGACCTTCGCTCTCCATTATACAGGCGAAGCAATGTACAAGCTCTACTACGGCACTCGAGAACAAATCGAGAAGGACGGCGACTTATCCCGTCTGGCCGAGATGCACGCAGCCTCCTCTGGTTTGAAATCACTGTGCACCACTCTTGCGGCTGACGGTATCGAGACCTGCCGTCGGGCCATGGGAGGTCACGGATTCGGAGGTGGCAGCGGTATGATCGCTCTCAACAACGAGTATCTGTCCAAACCCACTGTCGAGGGAGACAACTGGATGATCACGCAACAGACCGCGGCCTATCTGATCAAGAGGATGACCGAAGTGACGAAGAACCCCAGGGCGAAGCCGGTTGACACCGTGGACGTCCAGTTCCAAGACTTTGTAGCCAACAAGTCCAGATCATATGACTTCGACATCCTCGGACACCCACTGGAGCTTGTCAAGGCCTTCAAGCACAGGGCTTCATATCTCTCCTATCAAGTCTACCACGCCAGGGTCGTGGAGAAGAAGCCCTGGACCAGCATGATGATCAGCCTGCACAGACTCAGCCGAGCCCACTCCGAGAGTCTCCTGGTGTCGAACTTCTACACCGCAGTCTTTGAGAGCACTCCCAACCCTCCACTCGATGCCGCGACCTTGAACGTTTTGGAGGCTCTGTTCCGCCTGTTCGCACTGTTCACGCTGGACGTATCTGCTTCTGAATTCCTGCTGTCCCGGGCCTTGTCGGTCGACAAGCTGCAGCTTGTGACCCCCGCCATCCAAGATCTGATGGCACAAGTGCGGCCCCACGCCGTGCGACTCGTGGACGCCTGGTCTGTCCCGGACTACTTGCTCGAGAGCGCATTGGGCAGCTATGACGGCGACGTATACAATCGCCTCTTCCACAAGGCACACAAGGAGAATCCGCTGAACCAGCTGACCTTCAATCCGGATTGGAGGACTGAGGAGATTGTGATGGGCGAAGGCGAGGAGAATGCCCGCAGACGGCTGGAGGCCCTGGCACTGGGCGTGACAGGGCACGAACAGTTTGGCGCGGTCAAGTCAAAGTTGTAGGAGACAGATGATGACAAAAGAGGTGTAGATAGACCGGGAGAAGAAACCATGACTTCCTATATACACTTCTCAATCTAGATCTTCGCCTTTGCCGCAGTGCCGACCCTCTTCCTGTGCACGTAGCTGATCGCCTTGAACTTGTCCAGGGCTTCCCCCCACAGTTCTGACCTCAACAAGCCATAGACACCCATGGTGGCGCGTGGGGCAATGGTCTGGGCGAACTCGACGGCGCGAGCCCTCATCTTGTCGGGCTCACAGATCTCGTCGACGATGCCGTCCTGCAGGGCCGCCTCGCCGGTCCACTTGTGGGCCTCGAGCAGCATCTTGCGGGCGATCTTGGGGTGGAGCTTGAGACGCGGCAGGGCGCCGATGCCGTCGAAATGCAGGCCCAGGTTGACAGGCGGCATGCTGATGAAGCCGCGCTTGCTGTTCATGATGCGGTAGTCACACGAGAGCATGAAGGGGCAGGCGCCGCCGAACGTGTGGCCCGTGATCAGTGCCACCGTCGGGTACGGGTAGTCGACCAGCGTGGCCAGCAGCGGGTAGAAGCCGTCGGCGTTGGCGTAGATGTTGGTGTCGGACTCTTCCAGCTCCAGGCCCGTGCACCAGAACTTGTCCGAGAAGGACGAAATGATGACCGCCCCGGGCGAGTCGGGCTTCATCAGGTCCCTCTCGATGTAGCGCAGCGCCGCGATGATGGTCTGCGCGTACGCCTGGTTCAGCCGGTTCTCGGGCGGCTTGTGCATCGTCAGGACATGCACGCCGGGAGCCGAGGGCGGTGACTCGATGGTGAGGTTGGGGAACGTCGGTGCCATCTTTTTCTTAAGTTTGCTGGAAAACGCCCCAGAAGGAAGAACAGTGGTGAAGATCGGGTGGCAACCTGACTTGCTGTCCTCTTGCTGAGATGTCCCGAGAGAGGTTGATGAGGGTTGGATAGAACTGTATAAAGCGTGGTAAGCTACATTGTTCTTTCTTTATCTCCCCTTGCCGACAATTGAGCTTCGGCGGCACGTCCGATTTGCCTCGGCGATATCAATGCAGCCTTGCAATGGGGTTCGTGCGGGGAAGCCAAAGACTGTTTGGGGTAACCGTCCAAACCGGGATCTACCTCGGCAATGGAATAATGATGTTCCAGCCGCCGAGACTAAAAACCGTCACTAACCTATTACGGTATGGTGTCTCGTGGAGCATGGCTGACCTCACCATTGGTGTCTCATCAGGGGCTGTTGTTCGTCCACCGCTCAATGTTCGACGTCAGTCCTCAGCGATGCTGGTCGACATGTTTGTTTTTACAGACCTGTAGAGCCTCACGACCGCCAGAAGTGACGAGGAAGTACACAGAAGGGTCGTCGAGTGCTCCCCAGCAGAAACACGGGAGTCGAAAAGCTCTTCTCGTCTCAAGAGGATGCCCGGGCCAAACTCCACACCGTATGCAACCACGGCGCGTACAAAAGACACTTTCCCCCCTCGTGCTTGACGGCCATGCTTGCCAGGATGAAGGATAATGAAGGTCATTATTCATGACGGCGCTCGTCCGACACTGCCTCTGCGTACATGTGGTCAATCTGTTTCTCCATGAACCCTGGTGCCCACCCAGCTCGAGACGGGTTCCCTGATAGTCTTGCAACCTTCCTGGGTCACCCACTCCCGGATCATCCTCGCGAAGCAGGATTGATATAACCCCCCTTGCTGTCATTTCAAAATGGTCTGCCCCCAAGTGCAGCTTTTACATGGCTTTTGAGTCATCACAAACAGATTTCCCTTTCCACCAATCGACTTTTGTTTGAGGGCTGACTTTCGGACATGTTCCTGCTCAGGAGGCTCTTTGCTACCCTCGTCAGCGTGGTCCCTCAAAACACTGGAGAGAAACGGCTGGTCGCACAGCCGAAGAATTGACCATCCAGCTAGCCGCCGGTGTTCCAAGCAGGTCCGGACGTACCTTATGGGTTGTTTAAATTGGGCAACCTGCTGAGCCAGTCGGATCTGGCGCTGAAAAGAACAGAGCTGCGTCTGCTCTCCAGCTCCGCGATCTGCCTCTCGAGGCGGCGAACCTCGTCTTCAGACTTGGCAATACTGGCCGAGAATCTGTCGCCCTCGGTCCTCCACCGTCTCAGGTTGTCCCTTTCCTTCGCAAGTCGTCTCTGTTTGGCCCCCTTCTCCTGGCATATCTTACAATCTTCATCAAGTCTCATTAGGTTGTCGGTATCGACGAGTCTAGCGCCGCACGTCTCCCCCATCCGAGGCTGGCGAGGACAACGCTGCTTCATGTTGCCCCACCTCCAATCGCCGCAACGGAAGTCGGTCCGAGCATAGTAACACATCTTGCTTGGCTTAAAAGAGATCAGAGCGAATGAAGTCTGCGGAATGCTGCCTCCGCCAAACACCGGTCAGCAAAGATTTATCCTGCTTCCTTGTGCTTCTCCGGCATAAGGCTTACCAGTGAACTGCTGCTTCTCAACCTTGTCTTGAGACGTGACTATCGACAGCAATGTCCCGTCCTTCAGGGGTCGTTGTCGCCAGAGAGTTCTGCTGGTGCCTCGTGTCACCTGAGTGTACCTGCAAGTCACTGTTGTGGGGCGGCTGTTCTTCAACAATAGGATTTGTGGATGATTGTATTTGAAACAAGACACACATGGGTCGTGGAAGCCGAAAAGTGTTGCGTGGGTTTATTTTCGACAGTTCAGGCTTCTTCACCCTTCTTTATAGCTTTTCTGAACGAATCCCTTTCCGCCGATCCTGGCTACGTGAGACCTCGGTGACTTTGACCAAAGGCCGTTGCAATCCGGACCGAGTTCATCCATCCGGTCACTTGAGGTCAGAAGATACAGCTCCTACCACTTTCCCCGCTGTCGACATGGTGGTGGCAAACCAAATGTGACGAGCGAATGCATGTTCCAGCATGCACGAGACCCTCAGTGGATGTGAGCTGGTCTCCCCCCTCATCTCTGACGGATCATCTGCCTCTGGGCCTTGATCAGAATGTCTACCACTGCATGGTAAGCCAAACTTTGTTTCATATCCTATGCTTCTCCTTGAGAGTGTTGCGGCGTGGCAGATTTTGAGTCGTGGACCGTGGAACTTCGGACCCGCCCAGGCTAGCAAACCAACAGGTGGATGAGTTTGGAAAGAACCATGAACGCACTCAATTTTCGGTAAGGAGCCGTGCTACAGCTAGCATCTCTGACGACGACGACGGGTCGCAATTTCCACGGCCCGCACTGCCAGGGCTACGCAGATCGCAGCCAGAGGGCTACACTTCCCATCTTATAATGCTAGCCAACCAGCCCGTGGGCAGACCGGATGTTTTGAAGTGTTTTTCCGGCCCGACGGCAACAACATAGCCGCAGCCATAGTCTTTGGCACGGCCGAACAATCGTCGAAGACTCAACCTCCCCAGAGTTTCCCGTTCTCTCACACGATCAGCCTGCCCTGGCACGGTCCGTCTGCAGCGTGGCGCCCCTCAAGTATGTGTGTATGGAGTGGCAACACGGTTGGCCCAGCTGGCGAGCGAATTTCTTTGCGCCTGAATTAGCAGGGAACTGGATCCACACAAGTTCCTACCCCTGTTCCTGCTCATGTTTCCACCCATTTGAGGAGGGTAAGATCGATAGCTTGAGAGCATGGCTAATGGGCGTTTGACACGAGCACCACACAATAGAGAGGGCCGTCAGCCTTTTCGGTCCCCCAGTTGACCAGGGGGGAAGGTGAAATTTGTTCCTCAGCATCAGTTCACCTGGCCAGAGCGGCGCTTCCTGATTTGCCGATCGGTCTGCTACATCACCATTTGGACCTCCGCATCATGATTACCCTGGACATCGGTCTGCCAGCGAAGACCTTTCAGCTCTCTCGCCATCGAGCTGGCGTGGTGCAATCGGGCCTTATCTGCCTTCAGCACGAGCCTAACGCAGAGAACGGCCTGCAGGATGTTGAGCTGGCTCAAGGATATTGGTGGACGCCGCCATCAAAGCGGTCATTTACACTTTCCTGCAGACGTCCTGGGGTAAGGCAATGCGCTCACGAGCAACAGGAGAGTCTGTCGGCCCGCAGGTATCCTCGTTTTGCCAGCCGTCCCGCCCCAGAGCAACATCCATGAAGGGACCGTGCATGAATGGAGCTTTGCATGTTTGTTTGCCGGTTTGATGACAGGATTTGCCCTTCCGTTCACCACTTTAGGCCTGGTGCTGGTCGTTGTCCGACCTAGCACTCTGGGCGCCATGCCGATCTGAGTACTGCCACCGACCTCGACGAGGTGCATGCTCTTCCTTCCACTTCGATGGATCGTTGGGTTGCGGCGCATGGGTCTGCCTCTGACTTCCAGCTCGACGTCTCAACGAGTACCTCTCGCCTCAGCTTGGGCACCATTCAAAGCAAAACCCGCTCGCCTGCTCCTTCCTTCACCTACCACCAGGCAACCGTTTCGTATCCCCATCCTCGCTCTCTCTAGTGAGCCCAGAACGCATGATCCCCGTCTGCCCTGAAGTATTTTCCGTTCAGCAGACCTTGCCGAGCTGAGGATCCTGCAGAGTTCTCGCTTACTACTGTATAGGCTGAAGTCTGGGCCTCCTGGTATGTAACCAGGACAACTCCTGAAGGCCTGTTACTGGTCGTTGGGGATCCGCCTCACTTCGTGTCAAGGTTACAGGTCTTTGCGGACGGCGTTGGAGTGCAGAGTTCACGCAGAGCCCGGGCTTCATCCCGTGTGCACAAAAGACATTCTTCCTGCACGAGGCAAACCCTCCGCAAGCTAGACTCGTTTCTTCTTTTAAACCTACCGATGGATGCCACATCAGATGAGCGACATCTACGGCCCGCAGTTACCCCCTCTTCCAGCTCGACGAACTGAACCTTCTAGCCGAGCATTTTTCTCAAGGTTCGAGCAATCACCGACCCTGCTGCGACCGTGCTCTCTGCCACGCCTGCGGCTCTGCGGCGCGATGGCCACCCATTCAGGGGAATGGCAACCCCCCCTCCTCTTCGGGAGAAGAGACATGGACACTCCTTTCAGCCAGCCTTTGCTCAGGCCTGCTACACAATATCCTACGTAGAAGGTGTCGACTTCTACGGTAGACATGCACGTCTGTTGGATGTTGGATGACTTGAAAATCACTAGAAGTCTCGAGCAGCTGGCACCGATGACGAGGCATTCGTAACCATCTTGAGATGTGGTGATTGATCCCATTTCTGCTCATTTGACGGACTGTTTTTCACCAAGAAATCTGACGTGAGGCAGGATCTGCAGTTCTGCCTGGCATCCCGATGCTTCGAAAACCTTCTTCCCGGTCCATGAACCTGTGGTTCGTGTCGGCCGGTTATGCCTATCAGCGTCCTTGTATCCCTCCGACTTCCCTCGCTGCATACCTAAGCTGCAGTGCAGGTGTGGCTCAAAGGAGATCGAATTCCCCGTGCTCTAACCACGGGCGACTGTGGCTGAAATGCTTGGGATTGCACCACTGCCTGCAGCTCTAGTTGAGCAGCCCTCAGTGATAGCCCACGGAGGGAAACTTCATCTACAATGAAGGGCGTCGATTAACGCAGTGCTGTCTGGGTGTTGAGAGAAAGACAAGACTCGCAGACGGGGACAGAACAAAGCTACTTACTTGATGTCAGTCACTCACAATCACGGGGCTTCATTCCATACCAGCCTGGTACCAAAGGTGACTGGGGCAACAAGAAGCAAGCCATCTGGGTGGACAAGTTCATAATGTATTTATATCTCAACACGAAATCCTCCTCGAAGACTCTGACGGCCACGTTATCAGCGGTCACAAACGAGATTGATCTCTCCTTCCGCCCTTACGATGAGTTTCGCAATCTGTTGACGCCGTGCCTTTAGACGCTGGAAGTCTGTTTTCCCTCCCCATCCTCGATAGTTCTTCTTGCCACCAAAAGCCGCCCCCCCTTCTTGCTCCCCTTGCACTTTTGGTTGTCTGTTCGTACAAAGACAGGTCCCTTCCTCACATAACTACCTACCCAGGTGCCTTCTTCCTTGCTTGGGCGCACTCCCTCACTCGTGAGATCATGCTCCAACTTCTCCTGCACTTCTCTTCCTCGCAAGGTTCTTGTGCAGAGTGTGCTCCTTCATACCCAGCGCGGCGATGGCGGCCAGCACGGCCAGGCCGAGCCCGGCGACGAAGGCCCCCCGCAGGGCGTCCATGTAGATGTGCAGGACGGCGGCGCGGTCCCAGCCGGCGGGCAGGTGGTTGATGCCGTCGAGGGAGTCGCGGATGCGGCGGATGACGTGCTCGCTACCCGGTAGGGCGCCGTAGCGGTCGCGCAGCTCCTGGGTCAGGATGTTCTGGAACACGGCGCCGGCAATGGTGATGCCGATGGTCGAGCCCGTGGACCGGAAGGCGTACGACGCCGCGGTGATGACGGCCTGGTGCGCGTGGTCCACCGCGCTGATCATGCCCACCAGCGTAATCGTCAGCATGCCGCCGTACGCGAAGCCCAGGGGCGCCGGGAACACGAACGTCTCCCACGCCGGCGTGTCCAGCTGGAACGAGCACAGCAGGCCCGTCCCGGCTACGAACGTCACCATCACCCCGATCATCTGCGCGTAGTACCGTCCGGTGGCGCGCATTAGGATGCCCGACGCCAGGCTGCCCAGCGACGTCGCGGCGGCCAGCGGCACCACGCGCAGCCCAGCGGCGGTGGCCGACAACCCGCGAATCTGCAGGTACAGCGGCACGTAGTAGATAGCCAGGAAGGCGGCCATGGTCCCGAACCAGTTGGCGAGGCAGGCCGTGAGCACGGTGCGGGTGCGGGCGATCAAGGCCACGGGCAGCACGGGCTCCGGCACCCAGCGCGGCTGCGACTCCAGGTACATGAAGGCGGCGAGGGTGGCGGCCGAGAGAACCAGGCTGGCGACGATCAGCGGGTGCGACCAGGGCAGCTGGTTGCCGCCGGTGTTGAGCCCCAGGAGCAGCAGCACCAGGCTGGCGACAAGGAAGGCCGAGCCCAAGAAGTCGATGCGCGACAGTGGCGGGCGCGTGCTCGGGTTGACGGGGATGTCGACCAGGAACACCACCATGACGGCCGACACGGCGATGAAGGGCACCTGAAGCAGAAAGGCCCAGCGCCAGGAGAGTTTGTCGGCGAGCACGCCGCCGAACACGCCGCCCAGGCCCATGCCCAGGCCGTAGACCAGGTTGCCGTAGCCCTGCCACAGGCCGCGACGGCGCAGCGGGACGAGGTCGCTGGTGATGTAGGTGGCAATGCAGGTGAGGCCGCCGCCGCCGACGCCGGCGATGATGCGGCCGGCGATGATGGCCCCCGCGCTGGGCGCCAGCCCGCACAGCAGCGTGCCGGCGCCGAAGAAGACGTTGGAGAAGATCAAACCCCACCGCCGCGAGAAGATGTCGGTCAGCTTGCCCGACAGCGGCTGGCACGCCGAGTTGGCGATCAGGTAGCCCGTGGCCAGCCAAGAGAGGAGGGAGAGCGAGTCGAAGCTGGACGAGATGGGGGCGGTGAGAGTGGCGACGATGGTGGTGTCTGGATTTTTGGAGGGATAGCAGAGCTCGTTAGAACAAGTGTCACATGTTGTGATGAGGAACTGTCAGGGGACCTTTGTGCGGATGGGAGGGTTGGACACCAGAATGGCATCGAGGGGGAGACAGAGTGAATGAATTGGATGGACAGATGGACAGATACACAAGCAAGAAGAACAACAACAGTAACAGCAACAGCAACAGGCTTTGGACATACCCAACGCAGCGAAAAAGACGCCAATCCAGGTCGCGGCCATGATGGCGACGAGCTTCTTGGTGCTGGGCTCCTCAGCCAGAGCGATCTCATGGGCGTCTCCCGTCGTTTCTGGTGCCGGTTCCGGTGCCGGCGGCGCGCCCTCCGGGTCGACGCTGGCGGTGCCATTAATATTCTGCTCGTCGCCGAGGAGAGGACTCGTCTCGGTCGGAGGGTGGTCCTCCCTCGTGAGCGCCATTGCTGGGACTTTTGAGTGGGATGCGAGGGATCCTTGAGAGTGATGGGTAGATGAATGGGTGGATGGATGGATGGATGGATGGTTGTGCTTTGATAGTCTCCTCCCGTTGAGTATGACAAGGGAATAAAGAGACGTGCTCTTCCTCTCCCTCTCCCTCACTCTCTCTCACACACACGTACACGTACACAAGGTGAATGCTCCGTGCTCTTCTTGACTTCTAACCCTTGAATCTATACTCTGCACTCAGCACTCTTGTGACTCAATATCCCCGAGGCATATATATATATATATACCAAACCAAGAAGAGGAAAGAGAAAAAAAGCACCCGGCCAGACTCCCCTTGTGATACGGGACAATGATCCTGCTTATCAACCTCGTCGTATGTATGTCTGTATGTATATATGGCGGGCAGGTATCGTGGTATGGACGTAGATAATATATATTTATTGGAGAAAATCAAAAAAACGAACGGAAGAGCTCTCCGCCGATCACAAGAAAAATGGAGGTTTGAATGAAGGTTGATTTGATTGGTTTGGGGACGAGGATGACGGCGGTGATGTGCGTTTTAGTGGCGATGGTTTGATACGTCCAGGAAAACAGTATCATTATCTCACACGACATCTCCTGCTACATGGCGATTGGATGGTTGAGTTCTCGTAAGTACGTACACGATAGGTGGATGGATCATTATGAATGTTTATAAATGCTCAATCGATAATACAACAATCTATGTACATGAGACACCGCAGCACGGAGAAGAGGAGATTTATACACATCCCCAATACCCACTCAATCAATCCCTCAAGGCTTCGATATCGACAACCTCTTTCACGGCCTCCGTCGTCAGCACAAACGGGCTGTCGTCCTGGACACTGACGCTGTCTTCAATGCGCACTCCCATGTTGCGGAAATGCTTCGGCCACCGCTCGTCGTCGGGCACATAGATCCCTGGCTCGATCGTAATGCAGTGGCCCTCTTGCAGCACCACCTTCCTCGTATATCCCACCGTGTCGTGCACGTCCAGGCCGATGTAATGGCTCAAGTGGTGTGGGAACAGGCTCTCAATGGCTTTGGAAGAGACGTCAAAGCCAATCTGCCGCAGCTCGCTGGAGAGATATTCTTCGGCGATATTGTGCAATTTGTCCAGCGACATGTTCGCGCTGGCCCGGCATAGAGAGATCAACGACCGCTGCACGGTGAGCACGGCTTGGTACAGATCTCTCTGCGCGTCGCTGAATTTCCCTCCAACCGGCCACGTTCGCGTGATGTCGGCGATGTAGCCACCATACTTCCCCCCACCGTCCACCAGCACCAGCTCATCGTCCCGCAGCACATCATCGTTGCGGACATAGTGGATGCTGAGTGCATTCTTACCACCGGCAACCACAGGCTCAAACGCGCTGGTATCGCACCCATTCGCAATGAAGCGATAGCGTAGGTACGCGTCGAGCTGTTTCTCATGCGTCCAGGCCTTCCTCATGGCTTCCGTGTGGGCCCGTCCCGATGCTCTTCCAGCCTTCCGCATGAGGTCAATCTCGGCCGAGCTCTTGAAGGCTCGCAGGTCGTTCATGATCGGTCGAAGACGGTGCACTTTTCTGGACTCGATGAGCTCTGCGAATTCGGTGGTCTTGCGGGACGCCCCAAAGAGAAACCGCTGCAAGGCCGATCGGTTGGTGTCGGGACTCGTGATGTCGGTGTACACCTGAGAAGCCTCACCCACCAAGTCCGGCAGGACCTTTTTCAGCCGGGAGATGTCGCCCGTCTCGTCTGCATTGAACACGTCCTTGGCCGCCTGTGTGCCGGATCTTGCGCCATCCCAGATCTCTGCCTTGGGATCCTTCTCGCGGACGAACAGGTGGAAGGTATGGTCGGTGCCCGTGGGGTCTTTGCCAATGACGGCGAGCGCTTCCGGTTCGTTGAAGCCCGTCAGGTAGAAGAAGTCAGGATCTTGGTGAAACTCGTAGAAGACGCTGCCCGACCGGAACTGGAGATCGGCCGCGGCGATGATGGCGATGGCTTTGTCTGGCAGTTTGGCCGCGAGTCTCGTGCGCCGGTCGGCATACTCCTGCGCGGTTATACCTGGCGTTAGCTCCCCCGGTTGCAGGAGATGTGGATGGGTTTCATGGACAGGCTGGCCGAAGGAGAGATCGGCAGCATTGACGGTCAGAGTGTTGTATTGGCGCAGCGATGGTGCCTCGGACCATGAGGCTCGACCGGCCACCCGGGGATGGTTGAGGACATTATTGGCACGGATGAGCGTCTGCCATAATGTCCTCCGCACCGACATGCTCTGATGAAGCAATGTCCGCTGTGAGATGATACGAGAGACGGAGGGTCGACGAGATCGACGACAGGCATGTTTGAATGGCATCCATCGAAATGTCAAACGCACTTCTCCAACCAGCGAAGACGCAGCCTCGGGTCGAGTTTCCTCATCCGGCCTCGGCCAATGACGCCGACGCCCTTTGGGTTTGATATACACTGGCAGCTGGCAGGGCACGGACACTGGCACATGAGTCACTAGTTCGTCCATATACGGGTCCATCAGACATTTATACCATCGAGCATTCGCCCTTCCCTTCGACAAAAGAAAAGAAGGAACTATTGACCAAGAGCAACCATGGTGCGGCATCTCGAGTACCCTAAGAAACCTCACAATACTGTGAAGAGATACAACAACAGAGGTGAGATGGCACGCCCTTCTGCACAGATATTGTGAGACCAACATCCTACAGGAACTTATGACCTTGGAATCATTCACTCAATCATCAACACCACCTCGGTCCTCCATGTCTCGTTCGCCCCCAGCCCCGAGCAGCCCTTTCCCGCAATCTTGCCAATGATTGGGGTTATGGGTTCGTTCGAGTATCCTTCAGCCAGCATTGAGGAGCCGCTGGATTGTTATCTTCACGGATATGTCAGCTCGAGGATTATGCGCCTGGCTCGAGAATCCCCGGACGGCCTGCCCCTCTGCGTCGCTGCCACCAAGGTCGATGGCCTGGTGCTGTCCCTGACCCCCAATTCCCATAGTTACAACTACCGATCGGCGGTTTTGCAGGGCTACGCCAAGCCAGTCGAGACGGACGAAGAGAAGCTGTACGCAATGCGACTGATCACCGACAAGGTGGTCGATGGACGATGGGAAAACACTCGAGTCCCCCCTGACAACGTCGAGATGACTTCCACTACCATTTTGAGAGTCAAGGTCGAAACCGGGAGCGGAAAGATCCGGCAAGGAGGGCCTCATGACGACGCAAAAGACGAGAATAGATCCGACATCACCGAAAAGGTCTGGACCGGAGTGGTGCCCGTGTATGAGGCGTTCGACGCCCCAATACCCAGTGCCACCAATAAGGTCAAGGACCTTCCACCATATCTTGGTTCATACCTGTCCGAGACAAACGATCACAACAGGGAGTCGGCTCTCAACGCTGTTAAGGAGCCATGAGGAGGCTGATAGCAATGTGGATAATGATGCTCCCGTGCCGACCGAGGAAGCGGTGGAGCTGGTTGGGGGTCGATAGGCGGGAAATGTGGCATGGTCTCGTGATCGCAACACCCTGAGGGAATTGTGTTTCCCATAGATAGCGGGTGCTCGGTTGAGGGTTTCCCTAGTCTCTGAATGACATGGGTGCATGTTCATCAAAGCCATGTACGCCACTCGGCGGTTTCTTCGATCTTTGACGCAACAATGAAGCGGTGACGCAAGGCTGCTGTCAGGCAAGAGCTCATGGACTCGTTCCAGAGAAATCTCTGCGCCACATCGTTCATTTCGTCGATGCTCATTTTGAACCTCGAGAGAAGCGTTCTCGTCACGGCTTCGCCCTGTGGAAGCGAACACCCTTCGATTTCTTTGGTCGCTGTGACCACGCACCCACCCCATAGAAGACAATCATTTTCCAGTTGAGAACCACGGACCATCTTTCGGGAGCACTCGAGGAAAGTTTCTGCCATTTCCTCGCGGTCCAGTTGGAACGAGGCCGTGTATAAGTGAAACACCGAGAAGCCCAGCCAGAGCAGGCGCTCGATTGGTGTCAACCGTTCTCTGAGCACTCGAGACTGTTCACGGTCTCTTGTCGCTCGTGAGGCGAGGCGAACGATTTGGCCTCTTTCCATGGCTAGCCGTTCGATGACCTGGATCGAAAGAATCCTGCGCAAGGCCAGCTCTCTGAACCCTTCACAGACCCGGGAAAGGCGCGCTGACACCTCGGCGGAGAATGGGAGACTTGGGTATATCGGCTCGTTGGGAGTGGACAGTCCTGCGGTCAGAAAAGAGGAGCAGCCCAAGGGGCCGCTTGCTTGTCCCTTCATCCTGGGTTGAGCGTATGACAAAGCATCGTGGCTGGGACTCTCCTGGTGTTAGATCTCCATCACAGCGTTCAACCGGGGCTTGCAAGGAGACCAACTCACAAGCTAGAAGGACGTTTGGTCGACGCACGGATATCACGCTTGCGCATGTCCTCATCGTCCTTGAAGCGACCCAGATAATGTAGTGCGTTGCGATGCATGGTGAATGATGCATCATCTTCAAAGTAAGCCTTGCACGGGGTCTTAGCATATACCCACCCGGGAAACAGGGGCCATGTTTACGTACGCAGACCCCAGCCAAATTAGCAATGGCTGCCATGACAGCCTTTCGAGTGGAACCGGGGAAGAGGAGCAGTTCCCTAATCTTCGACAGAGAACCCCCATAATGGTAGAGCATGGCCTTTTTCAGCTCGGGGGTGTGAAGCAAGTAGGTACACAATATCCAAGTGATGAGGGCCTCAAATAAGACATCGTGCGTCATAAAGAGCTCGAAATAGGCAGGACTCGGTGCTATGATCTCCCTACAATGGTCGATTACAGCCGGAAAATAGTCCTGAAATGCAATAGGGTATCGGAGGAATGGGTCGGTTCGCAGGCCACCAAAAACGTTGTCGGTAGAGAACGCTGCAAGAGCTATTAATGATTCGGCTCGACATTCCGGGCAGCGACAGGGGTCCGCGTGCGCGTCGACTGAGAACATCTCTGGGGAAGATCCATGTGTGCTTAGGCACACCGATGGGGAAGATAGCGAGCTGGAGTGGGCCCTCTGGTCCCCAGGAGTACGAGTAGGCGGTACTTTGGTGTTCGCATTGGCTGCCGTGGCATGCTTCAGCAGGGGCCATTGGGATCGAACGTCCAGAGCTTCGTTGGGGACGTTAGGTTGTTCAGGCAGATGATTCCTATCACCGAGACTGCGGTCCACCCTTGGGATAGGTTGTACTCTTGCCGTAAGGACTTCAAGGCCACGACGCCGTTCATGGTTCCTACGCATCGCGTGTGCCGTGATCTGACTGAGCTGCCAGTTGGGGACACGGCCGGGCCTGTCGACATTGATGAAATGAACATCCATCGGCAGTTGACCGCCTAGAGTTCGTTCTCCCGCCTGGTCACCACCGTCCTTCACGGTATGAAAGACTCTATAACCCATCCTGATCGTTTGGCCTTGGGCAGTCGCGTATGCCTGATGGGTTTTGTTTACTTGTAACGACCTTGGAACCCCCTAAATATCAAGCCTGGAGAAGTCATGTCGAGCACCGGGCTTGGTCGAGGCTTGACGGATGAAATCCTTGTCTTTTGTTGAAAGCATGTTTTTCTTCAAGCAAGCATGTGTAGAATGGAGTAAGACCAATGTCTTCGTATGGAATAGGCTCAGTGGACTGCAAAGCGGCCTGGTGTGAAGGAGAAAGGAAACCCAGGCTTCCGAGATTGAAGGCTGTTCAACCCATAGCTTATTCAGGAACTAGACCTACCGCATCTGGAAGAGCTTGGATCTCGTATTTGTTTCAGCCCCCAACTGTGTGTCCATTGTAATAATGCTGCGTAGTATTAGGGACGATTACCCAAGCATTGCCGGTTGCGGCTTCGGATGTGGGTGCGGGTTGCCAAGACCCAGTCAAGTTGTGGGTTGGTTGAGATGTGTGAGCAAGCCTGAGATGAGGCTTTTCAGCATGAAGAGCTCAAACAGCATTCATGACGGTCGACACGATCAGGATTCATCCTACCTGTACTGCTTGGTCAGGCAGAGTCATGGACCTTACTCACCATCGCACCGATGTGAACAGCGGGGCCAAAGCAGAAGCAAACGATGAAGACGGTTGCCCTGCCAACGATCCAGTAAACAGCGCTTCCCAAGTCTTGCGTGGCACAGGATGGCACATCACAGCAAAGCACCATAGCCGATGACGCGTATCGCTAGCCAGACAGTGAAATCTACCCAGTACCTGAACACCCTCCTTTCAAACCACCCATCCTTCCGCACGACAGTAAACACCACGTGAGACAGAAATTTTTGATATGAGGAGTCTGGAAACGCAGCGCCAGTCGCATGCCGAAAGCCCGTCGTGAGTCTGCGGCGAGGGCCGACACACGTCCCGCATTCAATCGTCCCCCGAACGCACGCCCTGCCCCGGTGCCCCGTCAGACGCGTGATGAGGAAGATGATGACTATTATGAGCCACGAACACCGAAAAGAGCGCCCAGGGAAAAAGCAAAAGCCTCACCCGTACCCTCCCCGTCGCCAGAAAAGAGACCGCGCCGACCGAGTGATCGTTATCAAAGTTCGAGTGGGGTGAGAGAAAGTCCCAAGAGGGCGCAGCAGCGGGATCGCGCTAAGTACAGCTCTGGCACGTCCACCAACAGCGGAAGTCAATTGTTGAGCAGCGATGCGTTGGCGAAACTGAATGCATACAACCAAAGGGCCGAGTTCGAAGAAAAATATGAAGAGCGCAAGCGCAACAAGAAAAAACAGAAGCAGTACAAGAACCTCAGGGCAGCAGAGGCAACTCAGCAGCGAAAGAAGAAGCAGAAAAACAGGAATGTCAGTGGTGCCATACTAGAAGAGGGGAGGGCCGGCGAGAAGCACAGACGCGCGCATGGACGTGGCGGCGGGTACGGGAAGGAATACGAGGCTCACAGACGATCAGGCACAGACCAGGCGAGGCGAAAGAAGAAATTCTGGTGGCTGATAATCCTCTTCGTGGTGTTGCTGGCTATATTCATCCCCGTCGCAGTGGTGGTAAGCAACAACAGCAGCAAGAAATCAAGCAGCGGATCGTCCTCGTCTTCGGCGACGACAAGCGACGGCTCATCAGGAATCAGCAATGACTGCGATTCGAGCTCGATTCCGGCAAGTGCAAAGGGCACCTACACCGATATATCCACCTGGATGGACACCACCGATTTCAATTGTACATACACTGACGAGACGGTCGGCGGGTTGTCGGTCATGGGCCTCTATTCGAGCTGGGATGATTCCACCAAGGCCAACGATAACGTCCCCGCTCTGAATGAGCAATGGGAGTACGGGAAGATGCCCATCCGAGGCGTGAACATAGGCGGCTGGCTTTCACTAGAACCCTTCATCACACCTTCGATGTTTAACTATCCCGCCTCTGCCAACGTGGTCGACGAGTGGACTTTAACGCAAAAGCTGGGGCCCTCTGCACAACGTGTCATCGAGACACACTACGCGACTTTTATCACCAAGCAAAGCTTCATCGATATCAAGAACGCAGGCTTGGACCACGTAAGGATCCCTTACCCTTATTGGTCGGTCACGACCTACGATGGCGATCCGTACGTCCCCAAAGTTGCCTGGCGATACCTGCTTCGAGCGATTGAGTATTGTCGAGAGAATGGCCTGAGAGTGAATCTCGATCTCCACTCGGTCCCAGGGAGTCAGAACGGATGGGCTCACAGTGGTCACCAAGGTGATATTGGTTGGATATTAGGACCCGACGGCGCCACTAATGCGCAAAGATCCCTTGATATTCACAACCAATTGTCCCAATTCTTTGCTCAAGACCGGTACAAGAACGTGGTGACAATTTATGGCTTGGTTAATGAGCCAAAGATGTTGGTGATTCCTCCCCAGTCTGTGCTTGACTGGAATTCGAAGGCCATCGCAATAATCAGAGGGAATGGCATCAAGCAGCGTATCGTCTTTGGGGACGGTTTCCTCAGCTTGGATACCTGGGACGACATGTTCCACGGCGTCGACAACAATCTGGTCATGGACACGCACCAATACCAAATCTTCAACACCGGACAGCTCAAGTTGAAACACCAAGACAAAATCAACCTCGCCTGTTCCGGGTGGACTGGCCTCATGGTTGCTGCCAATAACCCTCAAACTGGATGGGGCCCGATTCTGGACGGCGAGTGGTCCCAAGCCGATACCGATTGTACACCAAATCTGAACAATGTCGGCGTGGGTTCCAGGTGGGCTGGTACCCTCGACACCGGCGATCCAGGCACATCAGTTCTCACACCGACCTGTGCCGAGCCGCCGTGCTCTTGTGCACAAGCCAACGCCGACCCGAGCGAGTATAGCGCCGCGTACAAGCAGTTTCTGCAGATGTACGCGGAAGCTCAGATGCACAGTTTCGAGCAGGCCTGGGGTTGGTTCTATTGGACCTGGAAGACCGAGAACGCCGTGCAGTGGAGCTGGATGCTGGGCCTGGAGGCCGGCATATTGCCTGAGAAAGCGTACGCCCCGTCTTTCAAATGTGATTCTGAAGTTCCTGACTTTAGCGACCTGCCTGAGAGTTATTGATGATGGGCATTTTGAGGCTATGAGGGCATTGGTATGGAGTTTTGGAAAGACTGCTTATGTGCTGCGAGGTTAGCATAATGTAAATACTGTGGATAACGAAGGTGCTTGGGCCATCAAGACAAGGCATGAATGAATTGAATATACACATCACTCTTACCTGTGCCGGAGCTCCACTCTTCGAGTCTTTGTTGGCTGTTGCGAATAGCCATGAGCGTTCCTTGCTTCTAAGACTCGTTGCTTCGCCATAGTATAAACAAACCTTGAAGCCCCCTCAATAATCGAGGTAAGAGGCCGTCTGTCCTCACCACAGTACATCTTCACCTCAGTTTCGTCTCACTCGACCTTTCAACATGCCTCACTTCCACCTTCAATAGGACTCTCCCAATCATCTCCCACTCTCATAGGCCCATGCACGAAAGCCACTTCATACCGGGCTCCCTCTCACTCGCCTTCACGGATTGTCTTCACTTGCAGGTTGATCGGAGTATATACCTGAAGACCATTTCGGTTCTGTTGAAATGGCTCGCCTCACGGTAACATCACCACAACTACACCAATACCCACAAACCAGGTCACGTCGCCGGCGACGACGGCATCGTCCTCGTAATAGCAGCATAGCACTGAAGGCGTTAAATAGGCAAGGGCCTCCTGCAACATGAGGGGATACCATCAACACTCCTGTGACCCAGTTATCCCATTGCCATACCAGATCATCGATGATGATGGGGGAGCAAATCAATCAAAGGACCGCATCAAAGCCGTTGATTTCATTGATCTCAGGTATGATGGGGTCAGTAATGATGGCAGTTGCTGTGGGTGGCTTGAAGACGTCCCACCTCCTTCCCATGAACATCACCACCAGCCTGCACCTCATCAAGCGGTCAGGCACACACCACAACTCATCTCACAGCGACCAGAGTTGACCGTCGATGGTCTCACTCATCTGACTCTTGGCAATTTGGTTGCGCTGTTACAGCAACAGCCTCATCAAATTGCTGGGCCACAAGACGTGATAGATGTCGTCGACAACCCGGTGAGTGGTGGTCATAATTCAGCAGCGGCTTCGACCTTTCAGCGCAAAGCCCTGCCTGTAGATCGTCAGTTCTCACAGACCATCCAGGGTTATGGCGATATCAGTCAGCGAGGACCCGAGTTACCACCAATTCGCAATGAACTTCGCCGTGAAGATACTCAGCTTCCAGGTGAGCCGGTCCGCAGAAAGTTTGACATACCACAAGCTAAACGGCAACAGGGATTCATCAAATACTCAATCTTCCAATGTCTCGCCCAGGGATTGCTCTAGTCGAACCTCGCAAACACCAAGCTCAGTCGTTCCCAGTGAAAGAAACATTGTTTATGGGTGATAGTTCAAAGCGAACACACAAGCACAAGAGAAAATCGTTTGCTTCACAGGACGCCCTAGATAAAGCTGACCCTGTGTGCCATTCGGTACCAGTGGTCTTCAACCCCTCCTCTCTTTCGCAAAATACAATTCGACCAGCCGATATGGTACCTCCGTCACCAAAGCGGCCACGACTGTTGCCCAGAGATTCGTTCGAGATCCCGCATTATCCCCAAGCAGTCTTTTCTCGGCCCGAGACACCGATGGGAGAGTCAGCACGAGACAGCGTCTGGCCAACTCCAGATCCAGAAAGTCCACAACCCGCAGAATTGGAGGCCAGTCAGCCAAGTCCGCAGGCACAGGCGATTGTGGGACCGACGTCGAGGCCAGATTCTGTCACCACTCAGAGCGCCTATGATATCTTCACCGACGAGCAATGCGAAAAAATCTTATGGCTCGCCCTCCATGGAGTGCCGAGTCCGATTGTTGCACGAGTGGTTTATCGTGACATACCTAAACCGAAGTATGATAGAAGGTGGCAACATGTCGTTGACATTGACAAAAAGCTGCAGCGCTTAATCGTCGAGCTTGCGACGGGCCGAGACAAAACACAGGCAGCCGATGAGCTGGTTGAGCACCTCCTACAACAGGGAGATCGCCTCAACTGGAGTCCCTACCTACTCCAACAAGCGGCTGGTTTCATGAACACTCCCGGAGACGAGGCCACCCAAACTCAAGTGTCCCGAAACTGTGCAACGGAGCGCATCGCACTGTCGAAATGGAGGAGTGCTCATGGCGACGAAAATGCGGTCCCACCTTCCACTGGCAAAAGCAAAAAGGAAAACCTGGCATTCAGAGGCTACATCAGAGAGGGGATGGAACGAGAAGTGATGGAGCAGCTTGGTTACCGTGGGGACTCTCATGAAGCAGAGAGAGCCTTGATGAAGAAACGGTTGCTTGAGATCCGCGAACTTGGCAAACTGCCTGCTCGTTTGATGGAGGTTGGAATTGCAGCACTCACCCCCTGAGGCCCGGGCAGAACCAATATGTCTGATGACCACGAGATGTCTCCAGGGCGGTATGGTGCAGCAAGAGCTGGTGAACTTCAATGTTGCCACTCCCTCACTGGCTGTCCGCTCGAGGTCACCGACGAGCCTGATGTATGCTGCGCAAGCTTGTAATCGATGTCATACAGGGAAGAATTCTTCATGGTCCGGAGACTTTGGAACACAGGGTGGCTGTAAATTGTTCGGGTTCCTCTGACTACCTCCAGAGCAGGGAAAAAGGTTGTATTCAAGGCGAGCTCTGTCCAGGCCACGATAGCAGGATAGCGGCGGTGCTCAAGAAGCTGAATCGATGATATGAGCTGGAGCAGATGTACATTGAAGCGAGTAGCTTGATGGCAGCTTGATAATAGGCTGACGACCTGAATGATCAGAACTGCATGAAATCAATGATTGCGCGGTTCAAATTGAGTGGCTGCTCTTGATTCTGATTGGACTGCCTCGCCACGCCGCAGCCCAGTTCAACTCCCCACAGGAAACATGAACCACCATCACCATCAATAAGCCGACACTTATTAATATTGTTTGACCACCACTGCTGCATCCGGCCAGCAAGTCAAGGCAACAAACAGATCGTAGGTCTTCATTCGTTGATGTCTTGACCCTGTTTCAACTGCTTGACTGGAACTCGGTTCGCTGGCTCGCGATGTCATCCTCTTCAAGGATTGTGCCTCAGGATGATGGCAAGCAGCCTGACACCAACACCGAACCCGCTACAAAGGCAGCAGACAACGACAACGATGGTGGCAGCAGCAGTGAAGATGACACTGGCGCCGGAGGAGACCTTCCTATGAGCATGACCGCTTCCGTCATGTTGACACATCTGCCCAAGGACGCAAGCCAGGCGCTGAAGGAGGTCGAAGAGATTGATGATCGAAAAGGTACTTCATACCGGGGGCCCCCAAATACTTCTGAAACCCCATTTTCTACCACTGTGTTGCGTCTCATGCTCTAATCTCCGGATGGCTGTGTGCACAGTCTCCGTCCGCTTTCAGCCTGTCGGCGCTGCCCCGATCCTCAAACAACGCGTCTTCAAAATCAGCGCCTCCTCGAAATTCAGCGTGGTGTTGAACTTCCTGAGGAAGAAAGTCGGTGTCAAAGAGGGCGACGGGCTATTTTGCTATGTGAATAGTGTCTTCGCACCAGGCTTGGATGAAGGTGTGGGCAACTTGTACCGGGTACGTTTGCGGCTCTCCTTTTCGCCCGCCCCGGCATTGTTTTCACCGTTCACTGGAGCGTGATGCTCTGCTTGGCTCTTGACCGTCTTTCTTGTGCTATTTGAGGAGAGAGGGCCGGTGCGCAACATTCTTTGGCCTAAGAATCGAATATGCTCGACGGAAGCGCAAGAGAAGATCATGCTAACCACGTTCCTTGTTTGCGAAAACTAGTGTTTCAAGGTTGACGACCAATTGATCGTTAGCTATTCTACAACGCCGGCTTTTGGATGAAGCTAAGGCCAGTCCCGACCCGGTTCCCGCCAAAGGAAATGCGCTCGCTTGGAGACGTATTCAATAACGCCAGAGATGCACCATGACAAGATTAAAACAACGCCGACGATATCAAGCCTTCTGCGTCTCTGCAGATTTAATGGCCACCTTGAATGCCTCCGTAACCTTTGCGTCACTCTTGTACACATGCGACGGTCCTGGATAGCTTCGATCACCGACCTCATCCTTGTACTGCTTGATGGCACTCAGCCCAGCTTCCCATATCGAACCATACTTTTTGACAAATTTAGGCATGAAGCTGTCAGGCGGACGAACACCAAGCATGTCGATCTGCACCAGAACCTGACCACTTGTTTTGTTGCCTGCACCAATACCAATGGTAGGTATTCTGAGGGCCTTAGTAACTTCTTCGGCAATATCGGGCGGCACACATTCCAACACGACCATGAAAGCTCCTGCGTCCTCCACAGCTTTGGCATCACTGAGCAGGGACATTGCTTTATCCAGAGTATTTCCTTGTACACGAAAGCCCCCAAGGGCATGCTGGCGTTGTGGGGTGAGCCCGATGTGTGCACACAAGGGGATCCCGGCGGTTGTGATCTTCTTGATTGCAGGCGCCATCTCGGCTCCTCCTTCGAGTTTAACACTCTGCATGCGCCCTTCTTTGACCATTCGAATGGCGCTCGCTAGTGCTTGTTCCGGGCTGAGTTCGTAGGAGCCCATGGGCAGATCGCCGACGGTGAAGGACCGGTTTACCGCTCGACTGACGGCGCGGGCGGACACAATCATCTCGTCGAGGGTGACTTCGGACGTGTCTTGCATGCCGAGGGACACCATGGCAAGTGAATCGCCAACCAGGATCATGTCCATTCCAGCTTCTTGCGCCAGTAGAGCCGAGGGGAAATTATGTGCTGTCAACATCGTGATCGGCTGGTCCTCAGCATACATTTTCTGAAGGGTTTGGATCGTGACGGGCTTCTGGCCTCTTGCCAGCATAGCCGGGGAGGAGGGGGCATGCGAGCTCCAGCGCACTTGTCGCCATGGTGGGTGCTGTTGTGAGACAGCCGGTCGACAGGAGTCTCGGAGAAGTGGTCGTGTGAGAAACGCGATTCGGTTGACGCGAGTAATGGACGCCATCTTTTCACCCAAGTTCGGAGCTGGGTAGACACGAAGGAGGAAGAACTACGGGAAAGAAAGAGAGTCTCGGAGTGTTCTGAGTCATCTCGCAGAACAGAATGCGGTGGCGGTGAAAAACGAGGTTTTATTTACTGTTGTCGTGATGAATTCTTTATGCGTATATCTGAGAAAAGGTCTGAAAGAAGATGAGCCTCGGTGTGGACAGTCAAAGGGCCGAGCGGCTGGGCACTCTGGGGTGCCCCTATTGGCCCTATCACCGAAGAAGTTTAGAGGGCGGAAGGCAACCTGGGGCGACTCGGCGCCGGTTATGTGATTATGACCCTCTGGCGTCACTCAACCACGTCGGCTGCCGACCGCTGCACATCTTCCTTTGCCATCCATGGAATCAAACGGCCGAACGAGGATACGTCCGGCCGCTGCCATTGCTTGCCTCGGAAGCGTGGATTTTCTCATCCGCAGTCGTCCAACCCCAGGACGAGCTCCTCAGCCTGGCTGGAGCGACTGCAAGGCTGCCATGCCTCCGTCTCAAGTTCCTGTCCCGAGCCTGGACAGAACCTGTGTAGCCGGGTACTTAGACACTTAAGCACCTAGGTGGGCACAAATATAGGTAACTGCCCCATAGTGATTGATCAGCTGACTCCCTGACCATTGGCTTTGATGCAAGTAGTGGGAATGCCCAAAAGGCTCTTACTACAGTAGCTGGCCGACAGACAGTCTGTGCGATGGGTTTCTTTTGTCACGCTGGACACGCCGGGCTAAGCGGTAAACCAGTTGGGCCTGGACAAATCAGTCAAGCGTCCCCCACCATTGTCCTCGCCCATCGAACCATCTCCAACCACGGCGAAACACTCCTCACCAAACCGCCACTGACTTCAAGCCCGTATCGACATACCTCATTCCCTTCTTCCTCTTCTACACTCTCCCTATGGTTGCTGCTTCCCACTGCGGTCTCTGTCTCTGTCTCATTTCTTCACTGCCAACCAAGTCCTTCACTCCCTGTTGACCTGACACCGAGCGTTCAACTTCCTACCCCTCACGAGGACAAAGGAAAAGCCGAATCGACTCCGCGACAACACATCCGGCCATCCTCCCGTGACTCTTTCTCTTCCGATCTCGTTTCTATATCCCGCCACTCAAGATATCATAGACGTTACTACCGGAAATCCAGGCCTAGAACCGATCCTTCGTCCTCCCACCGTGGTGCTACACGTAACGTCGAAGCATCCGACATCCTACTTGCAAACACAGTCTGCGCTTTAGCGAGGTTTTTGGTTGACCAGGCACAATGAGCAGCCCTAAGCGGAGGATAGAGACGGATGTTATGAAGCTGATGATGAGCGATTATGAGGTGACACTGGTCAACGACAACATGCAAGAATTCTATGTCATCTTCAAAGGACCTTCGGAGAGTAAGAGCATGAATTTCCTCGAATGCGCTCATGTGGTTGGGTCGCCGCAAGATCCAAAGTCACTGACGAGATGATTCGATCCACAGCACCCTTTGCCGAGGGCAAATGGAAAGTTCACGTCGAACTGCCAGATCAATATCCTTACAAGTCTCCCTCCATCGGTTTCGTCAACAAGATCTTCCACCCAAACATCGATGAAGGGTTGGTCGCTCGTAATGCTAGACACTTTGACGCAAGAGGTACTAACCTGGTATTTTTAGATCGGGATCGGTGTGCTTGGATGTCATCAACCAGACATGGTCGCCCATGTTCGACATGATCAATATCTTTGAAGTCTTCTTGCCTCAGCTCCTCCGGTATCCCAATCCTACCGATCCCTTGAACGGAGAAGCCGCTGCATTGTTGATGCGGGAACCTCGAAGCTACGACGCAAGGGTCAAAGGTAAGGCTCCCATGGCGCAATACAAGGTGGAAGCAAGAGAACATTAACAGTCGAAAAGAGTACATCGCCCAGTATGCGACAAATATCCACGATGACCACGACGAGGACGAACATGAAACGGACGGCGAGTTGAGCGAGGTGGAAGATTTCAACAGCGATGGAGAGGATGAGCCGGCTGGAGCTATGGAGGATGTATGAGTTTGGAGTCCTGGGGATCAGGAGTTCTGTGGCCATTTGGAGTATATTCGGCGCTACGGGATGAGCGAGGAACCACAGCGATATGTGCAGGGCTGGATTGGTCTTATTTCGAGTTAGGCAAGCTGCTTTTGAAGTTATTGATCAAACTCTGGCTGGTTGTAAACATGGGAGCCTGTCAGAGCTGCCAGGTTAATGTTACGCCGTGATATGTCTCCTGCAGGCACCACTAGCGACACTTGGGCCAGTAGAGGATCTGCGGTAGAGTGCGCACATTCTACGCTGAAACAGCAGCCCCGGAAGTCTCGCATTAGTAGTGGATCGTGAAGATCACTGCCCGTCTATATCGACAGAGATTACCCTTGTCCTACAGAATACAGCCTGTTCTCCGTCGTGGAAGATCCTGCTCAAAATTAGGCGGTCAGACTGAATCACGGGCGCCAGTACTGGTACCGAACAAGCTGCAGCCCCTGCGTCATCGCCCGCGGTTTCCAAGGCGCAGTGACGTGTTATTACCCAGCGAGCCAGCCACGCGACCAGTTCATCCGAGCTAATCCTGATCACATCGCATGTTACTCGCTTGTGCCAGGGTGAATCGAGCCTGAAACACCAAGCTTGCGAGGGCCAGGCTCCTCCATCGCCATTCCTCTATCTCAAAGAACGCCTTTCAACCCTGTCGTTTCAGAGACACTTTCTCGGTCGATTGAAAGACTGTGCCCGACCATGTCGCTGTCGCTGGAGTGTTTACCACCAGAAGTCCTCCTCCGCATTCTCTTCTTCCTGGAGATCCCCGACTTGCTCCAAGTGAGTCGCACATGCCACACGCTGCGTGAAATCGCTTGCGATCCGCTGCTTCACCTGGAGCGACTGCACCATGCCTCCCACACCCTGTCCATCCTGTTAGCCCGGCGGCCGTCCAGATCTGCCATTAGTCCTCCCAATTCATGGATATGGCTCAGCAAGACCAATGTCCTGTCGCGGCAGATCAGCAAGAGCTTAATTCGCATCCGGCTGAGCCACAACCTCGAACACCGACCCAGTCCCTATGACTTGGTGCAGAGAGCAATCCTTCCGTCAACATGCACAAGCTATTCCTCGCCGGTTTCGCCGGTCCTGATACAATCACAACAGGCGGTCCAAAAGAGCCAATTAAAGGATGGATTATGTCGCAAATTGGAGCGTCGGCCGAGTGTGAATAGTTTGGTGTCACTCAACATCATGCCTGAAGAATGTGTCCGGCACAGTGTTTCCCCTGCCATCGTGGCCACGAGGCGCAAGGTGATTAGAGAGAGCTTGAAGGATGGGCTCCGTGCATGGGTCGAAGGCCGTGCCATACAAGCTCAAAAGAGGAAAGCAGATGAGATGGATGCTACGGAAAAGATTACAGTCAAGAGCTTGGTCAGGAGATTTGCCGCGAGAAAGGTCACCGTTGACTTGGAGTGCAAGAGAGGAGGTCGTCTTGATCCACTCGTTGCAGAGAAGCGGAGGGCCCAGGCGAAATGGGGCAGGGAGGTAGAGCTTGCAAAGATCGATGAAGAACGAAGAGCTGCCACGAATGGTGCTTGTGCCCAGCCGACGCGGGCGCATGTCCTGGGGCTCAAAAGGTTCTGGGAGGGAGTCATCAGGGCGGCTGCCGGATGAGTGGTCTTCTTTTTCTGTTGAGCTCAATATCTGTTTGTCTGTCTTTAGTTTCTGGATGAAGGGCTACATATACCCCGGGTGAGTTCCAGGTTTGTCAGCATTGATATTGCAACATTTTGATTTTGCTGTTGTCAACACGTAGGATCCATGCCATCCGTATTCGGCCCGTTCCTCAGGCTCCAGTTTTGTGCAGAATGGGAGCACCACAAGCACCAGGATGCGCGAGTGGGTGGTATCGAAACTCGGATATTTTCTCTGTTCAGCGTCTTATGTACTGGCATCGTATAAGTGACGAGGCTACAAGGCTCCGCGCATGCTTCGCAACCGATGGCAAAACGGACAGATAGATGGATACTGATACAGGGCGCCGTACGAATTGCGAGTCCCGAACCATTATCACCCCACACACATGGATCGGATGAGTCGTAGTAGTGACATCCACCTCAGAGTACTATATGCTGCCGGGATGGCTTTGCTGTAATTACGGAGTGTTTCCTCCCAGTGCATACGTGCGTGTGTTTGTTTTACGATGAGAGCTCAATCAGGACATAGAGTCTGCGCGTCCACCCAACTGTCCGTCCGTCAGTCAGGCACTTCGATTGGATATGCGTAGGGGAGATAGATACTGTAGGAGGCGGAGCGCCCCTCATTGTGATGGGCTAGAGGGAGAAGGCGGCGGAGGAATAATAATAATCCGAACGGAGCACTGCCGCTTCAGGAAACTGGAACTGGCTCAGCGAATCCCTAAATGGGCGTGCCTAGAGTTGCACACCACGGCGTACGAGGTATTCTGAGCAAGTGTCTAGACCCGTGGCTGTGACGGGCCTTGTGCTGCTCTCGGACGGGGCGTGCAAGGCGCGTCATTCCTTCATGTGCTCCCTTCGCAGTGGGACTTGACAATCGTATAAATACGAGTTAGGCCGCGGTGGCCACACATCTCCAGGATATACGAGAACAGATCTCGCACTGGCAAACCCACCCGCCCAAAGATACCCCCAACACAGACTGTTCCTGAGTCGCAGTATCTGAGTCTTTCGTACATCTACTCTTTTCCGACGTCTGATGCCGCTGGGTGCTGGCACTGATACTACTGCTACTACCACTATTACTATGAATACCGGGCCCGGTCGAAGCGACAACGTTGTTCGTGCTGCACTCCAGGAACAAATCGCCACTGATAACGACGAAGATGATGTATCCGAGAGATCGTCTACCAGTATCGAGTACGAATCTGGCAGTGACGAGGATGACGACGACGAATTCGACGAATTCGACGAGTCGCAGTGTCTATTCTGCAACCAGACGAGCCCAGACCTGGACCAGAATCTCAACCACATGTTAAAGGTCCATGGCTTGTATATCGACCCGGCGCGGCTGGTGGTAGACGTCGGGACGCTCCTCGCGTACTTCCACCTCATCATTTCTGGGCGTTACGAGTGCCTGTACTGTGGCACGCAGCGGAATACTCGCGAAGCGGTGCAGCAGCACATGATGGCCAAGGGACATTGCAAGTACGACGTTTCGGACGAGGGCACCGAGCTCAGAGACCTGTTCGAGTTCCCCTCGTCTCATGCGAAAGAGGAATTACACCGGCATCTCGACGCTATGCGCTTTTCTGACGACCCGCGTCCACCGCAGGCCAGGTCGAGGAAACCACGACTGCCAAAGCATTCGGACAGACAGGGTCTCAACGGTACAGCTGATCCGCTCGAACACGTCCGGCCGACTTCGATTCCGCGTTCACACACCGGTGCCGAGTCAAGCTCGAGCGCCGACGAGACGCCCTCTCAACATTCCCGAGGTGAATTGAACACGAGAGCACTGAAGCAAGAATGCACACTCAACAACCAGCTTGCGCAGCTTCGCGCAGGGGACCGGAGAAGCCTGTTGCACTTACCGCCTTCACAACAAAGAGCGTTGCTTGCAACTCACCACAAACAGATGGAGAAGGCCAGGAGGACGGAGCAAACAAGCCAGAGCCACCTGGAGAGCGCAGGGAACAAATTCAAATGTCTGCGCAAAATCAGGCTGGTGCGGAAGCCCCCTCATACTGGGAACGTCCACAGCTTGAATCGGTGATTTCGATGGAGCCTTTCGTGTACTGGGCTCGAACCGTGCTGGGGAAGTACCGGCCGATATACAGAAGCTGTGAACTCACCCGTCCGTCTTCTCAAGGGGCCCTTGCGGCAGTGATCGTGGCACCTGACTTGGACATATTTTGTGTGAAATGCTGAGCAATATTCATTGGGACTTGTATGGCTTGTTTTCTCTGAGCCTGGTATGAGCGGGCCTGAAGGCAGGGCGTGTCACAAAGATCGATGTATTCCTGCAGCATCTCGGGCCAAGAGATTAGCGACAAGAGGAGTGAAACTTAGGAAATACCAGAAGCTAATGGAAGGAACCCGACGATTGATACATTGTCTGCTTTGACGTTGAAGCAGTCCCTCGACACACAATGCTGAACCTTATGGTACCGTATACGCAGGTCAAAGCCGCTTATGCGCGGTTGGTTTGGGAAAAGCTATTGTGGCAGCAGATGGTGACGGCGTCGACAAAGCATGTGTAAACAGATGTGATTTGACTAGGAATCATGAAAAAGTATTGAGCAAAGGTTTCATGGGCAGAGCGAGGGTCGCCAAATCGTGGAACACCACGCGGCGGCAAGGCAACATGTCGAGAGCTCAGAAGAATTGACGAGGAGGATATATGGGAAATATAACCATACGGCCCAAGAATCATAGTCCCTCTCCTCTAGACAGTCAGGATAGCTTCAGAAGTGGTACGAAGTAGAATATTTGTACCTCGCAGGGGATGATCACAGTCACAGAATTCCTCATTTCTATTTGAATATCCCTTGACATTAGCCTCACTAGCCTTCCACGCAACATCATCTAGAACACGAGTAGTATTCACCGTGCCATCCTCGTTGACGAGGGCCTGGAAAGACCTCCTTTCTAGCCCAGTTCCACTGCTGTGGCGCTGTCCAACCCAGCCCAATCGGTACCAAACTCTCAATATCAGTAGTACCTTCTCGACAGCCAGCCACACTGTGATGATTGGCTACGTCTCAGCCGACATTAACATGGCAGCCTTACGGTCGAGACCGTCTTCAAACATGCTGGCTGGCATCTCCCCTTCTCGTCCTCGTCGACGCATGGGCGTTCTTTCTACAAAACGATATGTCTGGCCCCCCAATGCGCGCGAATCACCCTGAGAGCTATGAATCATACAAGGCTACGATCCAGGGGCAGGGGACTCCGCTCCCTATACCGCTTGTCACTTTAGATCCAACGTGCCAGACGGCTCGGAAAGCAGTTCCAGGAGGCCACCACCCACACCCATCCCCAACGAGTATGGCCTCAAGGAACGGTGTTCAGCCTGGATTTGACAACCGCGATACAAGTGAACGACCAGAAGTCGATTTGGACGGAGAAAGCACGTCATTCCTCCTAGGTAACTCCAACCAGCATAGAGATGCAGTGGAACGAGACAGTCCAGAGACATCTATCCGACTGACCAAGACATGGAAACAGAAGTACATATAAGGTCGCACCGTCAGTCTCCGCTTTATGGCACTCTGCGTGGCAGTGATTCTGCTTCTCAACGTCGGGATAACCATATATGAAACGAGACGTGGTCCCTCCGTTTCTGGGTGAATTTAAACTCGACAAACTTCTACTACCTGGTCGTTTCAGATGGCTTCCTGACCGGTGCGCCTTACAGTGCGTCGAATGTGCCGCTAGAGTACTCCTCGGAAGGATATCTTCAAGACGACGGCCGAGCAATCAACAAGATCCAGCGTATGCAAACAGAAGCGTCTAGCTATGCCGTGCTGGACCCTGCAGACTGCATTGATGCATACTCGGACATTTACCCTTCAAATACTCGGACCTCATCATGGTCAGCTCCCACGAGAATGCCACCAATTCTCTTCTCCTGTGGGAAATGTACCTCACTTCTTCATCGTCCTTTCTCTGTGCTCCCCCTGTCAACAGTGAAGAGGAGGCCGAGAAGTTATCCATGTTCCTCTCCGTTTGCGATTTCAGTGCTATCAAGAAGGACCCGGGAAATTGGACCACGTACGGCTACCATATTCGGTATTGCTTAGCCCGGGAGGTCGACCTCGACTGTTCCCTCAACCTTGATGTTGTCATCATGGCGGTCATGATTATGTGTAACACGCTCCTGCTCGCTCTGATGATTTTTACCCTGACAGCCCTGTGGGCCACCACGCGGAAATCCCTGGCCGTCCACGGCGATGTCATCTCGAACTACTTGTTGACAGAAGACGACTATACTCAGGGGATGTGTGTCGCCGACAAGTCCCGAATCAAATACTACTGGAGCCATCGCGGCGAAGCCATGAGACTCCACGCCTCGCCGCACAGGTGGTACCAGTCCATGAACCGTAGACGGCTGTTTCTTCTCATTGGCATCTTTGTGGCCGGCCTGGCCCTCGTTGTTATCATTACGGCCTACGCACTGTACATTGTCAGCCACGACCGTCACCTGTCCCTCTCGTGGCATAGTCTTTGGGATCTCGGATTTGGCAGCACCACCGTCTCTGGCGAACTCAACATAAATGAAAGTGGTTCGGTGACCACCTTGGCCTTTGTGTCGAACATACCCCAGGTCTTCCTTGCAGTGGTCACTCTTGTCACGAATGCCGCTTTGATCGAAATGACACAAGCAGCTGACTACGCTCAATTCGCCATCAAGAGCCAACGACTCCGGGTTAGCGAGGCCGTCGGGTCACAGGAGGGTACATATCTTCTCGGCATGCCGCTTAAATACGCCATTCCCACAATCACCGTCACACGCCTTCTCCACTGGTGCGTGTCGCAGTCCATTGTCCCTGTGAAAGTGACATCGTACCCCACGGATTCTGACCCCTACGATCTGGATTTGGGCACGGCAGACCTGGCTTTCTCGCCTCTGGCAATTATTGCGAGTACCATCATGGCCGGCATCCTTGTGCTCTCAACACTGCTCCTCGGTCTGAAAAAGTTGAAAGGGCCCATGCCGCTGGCCAGTAGCTGTAGTCTTGCGCTGAGTGCGGCTGTGCATCCTCACGAAGACACCATCGATCAGACTGCCATCTATGGGCCAGTGAGGTGGGGTGTGACAGAGTTTGAGGAAGGCGCAGAGGGAAAGGTGGGACATTTGTCCTTCATGTCAAGCAGGAGAGCCATGTTGAAGATTGACAATACTGCTAGGTATAGGTGAAGGTGAATGAAGGTGAAGGCTCTGGCAAGCACGGGGCAAGGGACGTTCATTTCATCTAAGTGAAGCCATTGCTCGACCTTACTCCGTGGGTGCACCCAAAATCCCTCAACGAGCGTAATCGTAGAGAATATAACAATACTTCTTGTGCTGATCGAGGTTGGAAGTGCTGGCGATATACAGTGTAGATAGATGATACCCTTCTTGGCTTGGAAAGTTACCCCAGAAACCAGCCTCGCATATGATGTCAACAGCACGAACAACAAGATTCCCGCCTCACCAGATAATCTGGACTCACTCTTTGACAAACAAGACCTCGCTGCATATTCATGCAGCCACCGTGTTGGGCAAATCCTCTCAGTGTCAACAAAGGATTGATTGTTTCAGCGCTGACTTATAACTTCCAAGGCACGGTGACATAAACCTGCGCGGCCTCGAGTGTTGATCTACATCTCCAGCGAGGTATCATCCCTCAGCACGCCAGCAAAGACTGGATTCGACCAGAGCACTAGAGCATCGCAGACCCCCGCCAGACGGGAAGGTCGACGTCGCTCTTCTCAAGTGTTCTAGACCGCGCACAAAGAACCGTTGCCCTGGTTGCCTGGACAACATCCGCCTACTTGTATCTTGTACAGCGGCCTGCGCCCTCACCACCACCACGAACCCTTCGAGCTTAAGCCACGATCCCCAAACCTGCCTCACGAATTTGTCGTCGGAGGGACTCAGTCCTATGTTAAACCTGAATCTGCGTCAAGACGAACCCCACGATTCTTCGATTTCACGTTCACTCCTCCCAACAGCAGCGGGATGGTGCGAGAACAGCAAGCCCCTCGCAACCCCCTCGCGCCAGCTATGGGCAACTCGCAGCCTTCCCTCGACCTTCAGAACAAGGAAAAAAAGCCTGACGCCGACGAAGCTCCGGCTGCGCCGCGTCTGTACCCAGATCTCCAGAATGGTTTACCAGAGCAGCCTCAATTTGGGAGGCCATCAATGCCGGGAGCGTCGCCACAGCCATATGCGAGAACACAGCCGCTCATGCGGCCCAGCACGAGTGCCAATACATCAGCTCCACGACAAGTGAGCGGGAGTCACCAACAAGACAAATATTCAAACCTTTTTGTGTCGGCGAAGAGACCGCAGCAGAGACCAGAGCTACACAAACCCCATGTGGTCGCAAATCCTCTGCAAACACTCAAAGATGGTGGACAACCTCCTAAACCCGCTTCCTCCCGCCCTTCTTACGACGAAGACGATTTCTACGGGATCTCTAAACCTGCGAACTTCCCTGCGTGGAGGCCGCCGGCTGTTGTCCAACCCACATTTTCGTCTCAACAACCTCCAAACCCATATTTCCGGCCAAGTATGATGGATCTTACCCAGAACAATCCCATCATGGCTCGTCCAGTGAACCCTTCGAACCACGATATGTTCCGAACGGAGAGACACGAAACGACAGACCCTTTCACGTACATGAACTCCAGCCAGGCCAGTGAAAGCATAAAAGCTCTACTTGAAGGTGCATTTGAAGACGAAGAGGACAAACCAAGAACGAGGCGGAGAAAGAAGGAGCTCGACAAAAAGATCGGCGATTTGGCAGACATGGTTAAGGATATGTCGGTCAACAGTGAGGACAAAAGTGAATTGGCCAAAGAGGAAGCAGAGGAAGAAGACGACGGTACCGTCCCGGGATTGAAAGTCAAGCTCTTGCCACATCAAATTGACGGCGTCGATTGGATGGTGAGTAAAGAAATTGGCAAGAATAGAACCTACGGTGGCATCCTTGCCGACGATATGGGACTGGGAAAGACGATCCAGTCGATCGCTCTCATCCTGAGTAATCCAAAGCCCAGTGGTGAAGCGCCGGAGAAGAGCAAGCGGAAGTTGGCTGAAGGTGTCACAAAAGGCACACTTGTCGTCGCGCCGTTGGCGTTAATCAGACAGTGGGAAGGAGAACTCAAGGATCGCATTGACGAAGACCATCCTCTCAAAATCTGTGTACACCATGGGCCTCAGAGAACCAAAAGCTACAAGGATCTGAAGAAGTACGATGTCGTCATCACAACTTACCAGACACTGTCATCAGAGCATGCTGGATGTTCAGAGTCCCTCAAAGTCGGATGTTTCGGTGTCCATTGGTATAGGATCATCCTGGATGAGGCCCACTCGATCAAGAATCGCAATGCGAAAGCTTCCAAGGCTGCTTGTGCTCTTGATGCTGCATACCGCTGGTGTTTGACCGGGACCCCGATGCAGAACGGTCTCGATGAGCTCCAAAGCCTCATTCACTTTCTTCGTATCAAGCCTTACTGCGATCTCAATGAGTGGCGCGAGAATATCACCAAACCCATGAACAATGGAAGGGGAGGTCTTGCAGTTAAGAGACTGAGACTTATCCTAAAGAGCTTCATGAAGCGAAGGACGAAAGATATTCTCAAACAAGAGCACTCCAATGATGGCGCTAAAGGAGAAGCGACTACAAAAGGCAAAGATCCCGGGTTCAAGATAGTGGCACGAACTGTTCACAATGTTGAAGCCGAATTTACAGAGCAAGAGCAAGAGTTCTATAACCGCCTGGAGTCGAGAACCGATAGAAGCCTTGAAATGATGATGGCTGGAAACAAAATGAGTTATGCGTCGGCATTGGTCCTGCTCATGCGGCTACGACAAGCGTGCAACCATCCAAAGCTCACAGGAAGTGACTTGAGCACCGAGACTGACGCGTCCAGTGGCATGGAAACACCAAGTCGCAGAAAGGCCAGTGTGGAAGATGACATGGATAGTATTGCCAACATGCTTGGTGGCCTTAGCGTGGAGACCAAGAGATGCGATATGTGTCAGATTGAGTTGACGTCGAGAGAGATTGCCAAAGGTGCCATTCGTTGTGCTGAATGCCAGGAGGACTTGGACAACCAGACGGATTATGTGAAGGAGATTAAGAAGACGAAGAAGGAGAAAAGACAGAAGCAAGAGCAAAAGACAGTCAAAGTGCAACGCAGGCAAGCAAGGCGCGTTGTGGAGGATAGTGATGACGACGAAGATGGTGGCGAGAAGAACGAAGACGACGATGAAGACTCCTCCTCTATCGACGGTGACGAGGACGAGGACGAGGACTATTCCTCATCTGACGATTCTAGCTCCTCACAACCCACGTTGCTCCAGTCCACCAAAATCCGCCAGCTCCTCTCCATCCTGCGCGAAGACTCTCACACTCACAAATATATCGTCTTCTCCTTCTTCACATCTATGCTGGATCTGATCGAGCCATTTCTCCGGTCCCATCGCATCCGCTACGTCCGGTATGACGGGAAGATGCGCAACGACGCACGCGAGGCTTCCCTCAATGCCCTCCGGACCGACCCGTCGACACGTGTCCTCCTCTGTTCTCTCCGGGCGGGAAGCTTGGGGTTGAATCTGACCGCGGCATCGAGAGTGGTGATTTTAGAGCCATTCTGGAACCCTTTTGTGGAAGAACAGGCGATCGATCGGGTGCATCGACTGAATCAGACTCAAGACGTCAAAGTGTTCAAAATCACCATCAAAGGCACGGTGGAGGAACGAATACTCGAGTTGCAGGAGAAGAAGCGGGAACTCGCCAGGGCAACAATCGAAGGCCAGGGCAAGAAGGGCGCCATGAGACTGAACATGCAGGATATGTTGAAGCTGTTTGGTCGAGAGGCAGAGTCGGAACATCCCGTCGATGTGCAGGAAGTCGGTATGGGCAGAGGAAGGACGAGGGGTTTACTGGAAGGCAATCGAGATACGTATTCGTCGTCCAATCCTTCACAGACCAACGGTGGACGTGGACCTGCCGGTGGGGTGAGTGGCAGTGCAGATGATCGACGCGAGAAACCGCGCGTGAGCGATGGCAAGAAGAAGACATGGAAGGAGCATGAAGTGTACGGGCGGAGGTGGTGAGAGGATGTGTTTTGGATTCACGAAGGAGCCTCACGACGTGATGTATTGAATGATACCCCGGTGTCACCATACAGGGAGCTTTTGATCAACTTCGCATGGGGGAGACATTGTATTACTCTTTGGAAAGGCCAAACCCTGGTTGGATGTTTTCCGACTGGGACTGCGGAGCAATGAGCACGAGAATGAGCCATAGTATGGATTAGACGAGACAGACAAACAGACAGACAGACAGGCTCAGGCCGTTACAACAAGCAAAGATCCCTTTCGGCGAGCGAGGTTACAGAGAACGTCTTATCCCTCAAGCCATGACTGGGGGCAGCTGCACCGCACCGCACAGCACGGTATAGAGTTACACTCACACAAGTCCGGAGGGACACACATGTAACACATGTATGGAGTTCCCGGTGCACTCAGGGACATAACCTAACTAACCTACCTACCTAACTTACTACCTGGGGTAGGTAACCCGTTTGCACCTCCGCGGCCTATCAATCAATGACTACAGGGGCATGGACTCAGCGACTGCAGAAGTTCTGTTTTGATTCGGACCAGGGGGACGGACCCTCGACGGGGTTCGTGAAATGATGCAGCTGCCGAAGATGGGGTGGAATCGTTCGTCACCAGGCAGGCGAAGAATGGGGTAATGAGTGGATGAAGGGTGCTTTGAACACTTGGTTAGGATTTCTTTCCGCGTGCGTCCGTGACCTTTCAGCTCAGACATCGAGGCGGACGGCGACGGGGTAAAAGGCTGCTCCAAAAGACAGATCAAGTTGATGGCGAGGTTTGCGAGGCTGAGATTCCAGGAGGATCCCCCTCTCCTCGAGGCAATTACTTAAAAGGTTCCTTCTCCTCGCCTGATTTAGGTCGTGTGCGTCTTGGTATTATTACCTGGTGGTACCGGGCTGAGCATTCAGGTGAGACAAGCCATAGGTGACGCAGAGCGACCCTCTTTGCGAGAACCAACGCAGTACGGGAGGCTCGGAAGAGCAAAGAGTCCTCATTGGCGACTTGACCGGAAAAGATGCTGTCGGTGGTGCAGTTACAACAGGATTGTCTCCGCTTGCGTGCTTGACCTTGACGTGCAGGTGCACTGGCCGGGTGATGCCTGTCTGAGGTTGAGGGATTTGTAGCCAACACTCTGTAGTCAGTACAAGTAAGTCCAGTGCTGAGGGTGTGAGGATTGGATGCGAACGACCGGAAATGAAGGGTTCAGCATGGCGTGGAGACAGAGAATACTCCGTAGGGAGCACCAAGTGAACTCCATTTTGTACCGAATACCTCCTAGGCGTGGAGAAGGCTCTGGAGGCCGGCCGGCAGGAATAACTTGAACCCGGCCACGAGTCAATTTCCGGGCTCAGCCATTACGTACCTGCTTGCCACACCGTGACTCCTAGGGCGCCGGCGATGCTTTAAGAGGGTAAACGCGTGGTACTTTCTTGGACGGCGTGGACGCAAACACGTAGTACTGGATCCCACCTCCGTCAAGCCCAAGATTGGTAGATGTACCCTGCATGGCCCGTGGAGCCTTTGGGGGAGGCCAAGGCAGTGGATGAGGTCTGACATGATGCTAGAAAAAGTTTACCGGGTTGGACTTTTGCCCGAACCAGAGCAGACAGTCGTAAGCGGGTGTTTCACAGCCAGGGTCAGCTGCAGCAAACAACGTGGCAGCCACCTTTTGAGATCAGGCCGCCAGTTGCTGCAGCCCGGCACAGGGGATGCACCAGTCAGAAGGGGGGCCGCCTCTTGCATGTCGCCCTCGTGGCACTTTTTCTTTTTCTTTCTGGAACAAAGCCAATTCCTCGGGCTGGCTCGGATATGGGCACGAGGGCGGGACGGAAGGTTAAAAGGGTGCCAGGCGCCGTAGTGGCGAAGGTCAAAATGTGTGTGTGTCTATGGGTGTTGAATAAAAAAAAACCAACAGGCAATCTGCGGTCGAGGTCGATTTGAGCAGTCAGGCCAGTCGCCGCCGACTCGATAGCAAGAGCTTAGCGTTTGATAGCTATCACCAAGAACGAGCCCCCAGAGAAAGGGGTAAGGCCCCGGAAGATGAAACGTGGTCAGCCATGGTCGCAGCTTGCAGCAGCTGTGCCTAGCTCGTTAAGGGCCAAGTGCCCAGTTAGAGGATAAGACGGCGCTCGATGGGTGATGGGGATGGTGGACGGTGATTGAGCCAATCTTGGGCAGGATCAGTTTTTTGGCTCTGTCGAGAAACTGTGGAAGTTTGCCATCAGTGCCATGCATCCCTTTTGATCAAGAGTTAGTAAGTTAGAAGAACCGATGACAGGAAGAAGGGGAGATGAGATGTGTCCCAAATTTTCCAATTGGCAACGGGCCGCAGTTTCGGTTTTGACTTTGGCTTTGACTTTGCCATGTGCTTTGCTAACGGACCAGTGATGGACAGTGATGCATGCTGATGGGCCATGGCTCGATGGTGGAGGTGCAGGTGGATGAGAATGTGGATGGGAGATGGATGGGAGATGGATGGGTGGATGGAGGTACTCCATACCACGGGCCTCCTCCTCGTCTCATGAGTCCTTCTTTGTTGCCTTCCTCTGCTTCTTCTGCTTCTTCTCGTACAGGGCCGCCTTCGAGAAAAATCCACCAGCCTGTGGCTCAATTCATCCATCATTTCCTCCTCCGTCCAGTATTCTGCTTCTGCGTTGCGGTCGGTCTCCTTTCTTCTCCATCGCCTTCGACCCGCCCACACAACGCCTCCAACGCAACCCGTAACCTCCGGTCACCACCATCCATCCATTGTCTGTTACCACTCCTTCTCCATCATCGCATTTCCCTTTGCAGATCCGATTGACAGCCTAACTTCTGCAACTGGAGTAGCAGCAAGGGACCGCATCACCCCCGGACCCCTGTCGAAAAGCCTGGCCTCCGCCCTACCAGACTAAACGACGTTAGGAGACGCACTTGATGCTTCGGTTATTGCACTTTCTGGTATTAGGACCCTGACCGCCCGTCGTCAAAGCTCTCAAAAGTCTCAAGTCTGAAATGTCCGAATCATTCATCGGTCACATCGGTATCCCAGTTGTGCCAGCCTTTTAGTCGTTACCCCCTCCTCTTTCTGGCCCGCTCCAGGCTTCTCGGAGCCTTTCTGCTGTGTTTCTTCAGCACCTCGACGAACACATCTCCCGCGAAGGTCCTTTTTACCGCCAGGTCTTGTCGCCTTGCCGTTCTTTTCCCCCGTCGCCCTGGGCTCGCATCTGACAGCAATATCTTCTGGACGTTCCCCTCTCGCACCAAGACCTTTGGTTCTGGATTTGACGCTGGCCGGCGCCTTTCTACTTGCCGACACTCTATCTCTCGGTCTTCCGACCTCGGTTGTGCAGCTGGGCAGGTTGTGATATATGCAACTTGCACCGTCGTGTAGCTTGGCTAAACCTCAGAATTGGTCCAACAGCCTGATCATCAAGCGCTCAACTCCATCTCCCAAATCTTCACCGCCACTCATCCCAGTGCATATCCGTCGCACGCCGTCACCACATACCGACGACCACACTGTTAGCCACCACGGCGTTCTTGCTGTCGATACGCTCGAGCAACTGTCCCGCCTGTGTGGCGACCCCTATGTTACTTCCTGCCGTGTCAGGTCTGTCTTAGTGGAGGATTTGTTCTGTGGTGTCTTTTCGTTTCAACTGGTCAATGGGGAATTCTCAGGGCAAGCCTGTGGTCTTGACCGATGAAGGTGAGGGCCTTGATGCTTTGGCGCCAGTCTGACAGGAAGGGATTCATGTGCTCACGGTTCTACCAGTCAACCTCAACCATTTCCGTCTGCTGAGGGTAGTGGGCAAAGGCGCCTTCGGCAAGGTTCGCATTGTAGAACGCAAAGATTCGGGCTTGACGTTTGCCCTTAAATACATCCGCAAGGATGAAGGTTCGTTCTTAGCCATGAATCACCCCAACCAATCACAGGGTCATCTCTGATCATTCGCAGTGGTTCGCTCCGAAAGCGTTCGCAATATCATCAGAGAACGGCGCATGCTGGAGCATCTGAACCACCCCTTCTTGTGCAATCTGCGCTACAGCTTTCAAGATGTCGAGTACTTGTATCTTGTGGTCGACCTGATGAACGGTGGCGATCTTCGCTTCCACATCCAACGAAAGTCCTTCACCGAGGACACGATTCGCTTCTGGATGGCCGAGCTAGCTTGTGCCCTCCGCTATATCCATAGTCAAGGCATCGTGCATCGCGACCTCAAACCGGACAATGTGCTGCTAGACTCGGAGGGTCACGTCCATCTGGCAGATTTCAACGTTGCCTCCGACTTCAAGCCTGGCAAGCCTCTGACGAGCAAGTCAGGGACCTTGGCTTATCTCGCGCCTGAGGTGTTCCGAGGCGTAGGGTATTACAGTGAAGTGGATTGGTGGTCATTGGGTGTAACCATGTACGAATGTGTTTATGGGAAGCGGCCCTTTGAGGGACGCACCCACGAAGAATTGGTCGACTCCATCTTGGCCGCCAACCCGCGCTACTTTGTGACGAAGCCCCCGGTGTCGATGCCATGCCTTCATGCGATGACAGCTTTGATCGAGAAAGACCGACGAAAACGAATCGGCGCCACTGGATTCGACACCTTCACCTCACATCCCTTTTTCAGTTCCATCAACTTTGAGGCGCTGGAGAGAAAACAAATCCCCCCCGTGTTTATTCCTTCCAGTGAGAAGACGAACTTTGATGCCACCTACGACCTGGAGGAATTGTTGTTGGAAGAGGCGCCATTGGAGGCTCGAGCGAGGAAACAGAAGCCGCGGGCAGAGTTGCGCACCGATGCAACGAGCAAGGAAATTCGGGAGGATGAGCTTCACCGCATGATCGAGACCATGTTTGAGCCTTTCGACTATACCCTGGCCAGTTATGATGTGTAAGGACGGACCTGTCACGCGCAGAGTGGAATACGAGGCTAACCAATATCACAGGAGCGCTGCCGCAGCAGTTGCTGGGGTCGTGCCGGAAGAGCACGTTGAACTGGACATGGCGCAACCAGACCCCCATTCGGTTCCTACGTCGCCGGACGGATCACCTCCCATCTCACCTACCGCGGTCACGACGCCTCCACGGACGGATGAAAACTTTCCACCTTTGGAGGAATTGAAAGCGGCGGCTGCTCAACCACCGCCCGCGGGACAACCCGGACAGCCTGGACCACCTGGACCACCTGGTCGACCTGCATCTTCCTCGAAATCATTCAGCAGACCGATTCCTCCTCAACGGCCGATGCCGGCCCAACGGCAGACAAGCAAAGGGGGTGGAGTTCAGATGGTGTTGGATGAGTCGGGAAGTTGGACGAATTTGGCAGATCAGACCGCCCCTCACCAGCAAGATGTCATCGGCGAGGGCGGGAAACTCGAGAAGAGCGGCAGTATGCTAGGATTTCTGAGCAGAAAGAAAGGAAGAGATCGAAGTCCGAAACCAAAAGAGGCGGGCGTATTGGGCAAAGCTGGAGCAAGACATATCATTAGCTGAACCACACCACACGGCGGCGGCAGTGGCAGCAGCAGCAACAACACCACCACCAACAACAACAACAACCATCACCACCACCCACCACCACCCACTCTCTCACCTTGGACTTGACGAGGTCGAATCGAACCCGCGGACCCTCCAAGTCTGGATGCGTCGGGGCCCTTAGCCTTTTCACGATAACAGTACAAGATCTAGCAGATCGAATACGGGTCGGCACGACGCCTGATCGGCCAAGGCTCGCTTGAAGAAACGGTCTCTCTCACCTTGTCTCAAGAAGCAGTATCGGCCTGCCACAGATAGCATTGGACAGCAAGAACCACCACAGCGATTCTCAAGCTGGTTACGGGACGACGAGGATCGATCTCGGACAGTATGTGTCACCTTCAACTCGACCATTCCAAACGATTTGAGGCAGACAGCAAGATTGGGAATTGGAGGGAAACCGGCGGCAGGCAGTCGGAGGCGCACATTGTATGACTAGTTCAATATATGTAATGCTACAAGACTCAACATGCTCCATGGCAGCAAGCCATACGCAGGGATACTACGAAATGGATAGATAATTCAGCTACGAGTATGGATTTGTTATTGTTTTCCATTATGTATTGGGATGCTCGCACTTGGTTGACGGTTCGGGTGTTGCCCGGCACAGAGACGAGCCAGTGCAGCTGGGGCTCACTAGGCGTCACTAGCCCCCACCGCAGCCACCAACAGAAGCTCCCAGACTCCCAGACTCCCCATAAGGTGCCCCAGCGTGCCCAGCAAGTGGCCAGTGACCACTAAGACCAGCTCCGGTGGGCTCCAAAACTCTCTTAGGTGCAGCTCGGTGCAGCTCTCCAGAATTGTCCAATGTCAACACTCGACACAATACACACACACCCTCTCTCTCTTTCTCACTCCTCTTGTCCAGTGCAGTCTGTCACAGCTTCTTTTAGCTGCACCCCCCATTCCCTTCTGTCTTCAGCATTGTCGTTTGTGCTGGTCCTCCTGCACATATCCTTTATCGAGCCACTATTATGTGCACCTGTTAATCCTGCGGTTGGAGCTGGAGTCGACAAACACCAGGCGCGTCTGTCGCGTGGTCCCAACACCACACGCACACCACATACCCCTCCCTGCCATCCTCCCGTCCTGCCATCCATTCAACCCAACCGCCATCACCAGCCAACCTCCAGCCAGCAGAGACAACCACCTCTTCTATCCTTATGAATGGCTGCCGCTGTATTCGTACCGCCGTCGCCTCATGATCCTCTCTGCAAAATGGCGACTTCCTCTCGTCGAGTGCCACTGGCCAGCATTTCCAATGCAACCAACTCTCCACACCGTCTACTCACCAACAGCAGCTCGAAGCGGCCCCGAAGCATAGCCAATGTGCCCCAGCAGGAGAATGAGCCTCCTCACAAACGCTTGGCCATCGATAGAGCCGGTCGAGAGGTGTTCAACCCGGCTACTCCTCAGAAACAATCCCATCCGCCCTTGCCAGAGGGTCGCGTCTTTGAAAGAAGCAATGCAGAGTCCACCTCGACGGCTTTCCAGAGGAGACTGGTGGCTGCCAGGGACCGAGAGCGTCCTGCAGGTCTACGCGTGACCAAGAACATCGATGCCCTTGCCAAAGAAGACTCTGGACTCAAAGCGTGGCAACGACACTATCGAAAACTGTTTCCTTCCTTCAGGTTCTACTTTGATGGATTTTCGGAGGAGGTTAAGGCGCGCTTCCTCCGGCACATAACAGCTCTCGGGGCGGTATGTTCTTGAAGACATGGGCGCTTCAGGCCGTGTATTATCTTGCTGACTTTGGCGTAGAAAGAAGAAAAGTTCTTTTCGAAAGCCGTCACCCACATCGTAACCGCTCGCCATATTCCGGCAGAGCTGGGGAAGACCACGTCGGGCGGAGATGACTCCGCGCAACCCTCGCCAACTGAAGAGCAACAGCCTCAGACCATCAATCCATCTTTGCTCGAAAAGAACCCTCGCGGAACTGCCGGCTTCAATGTGACGCGTAACGCCGTCAACCCGATGGACATTCTTGTCCGGGGGAAAGATATGGGCATGAAAATCTATTCCATTGACAAGCTGCAAAGAGTACTCAACTCTGTCCTCGAAGACGCGGGAAATCATGGCCATCATACCCGAGCATCAGCACATACCACCCGACAGCAGCATGAGGACTTGGGCGAAGTCTTGAGGAATGAGAAACTCGGCGTCGCATCGGAAAGGGAACTTCCATCCATGTCATTGGTGGCGTTCAAAGGTCCCTTCATCTATGTCCATGATATGGATGAAAAGTACCGTCCCACCCTGGTCAGGGAATATCCGAAGGTGGCGCGGAGGGCCGATGGTGAATGGCCTCAATTCCGATCTGCCAGTGTTGGGAAATGTCCCTTTATCGAGGATCCTGCCATGAAGAAAGATATCGAGCAGGAACAGAGAAAAGCCCAGAAGCTCGCCCAACAGCAGGAACAACAGCGGCAGCAGGAACGGCGTGAACAACATGTTCCCCGCACCCGATCTCATGTTAATGTTACCACCGCAGCTCACGAATCTCCCCGGCGTGCCAGTCCCAGGAAGGTCCTGCAGACGGTTACCAACGGCGCAAACGCGCCCGTTGACCCGCACAAGGAGAAGCAATCGAAGAATCACTCGGTTGTTATAGAGCGTCAGCCATCATTCCCTCCCATGCCGAAGCGAGGCGAATTCGAATTTATCCACCCGTCGCAGCTACACGTGGCTAGAGAACCAGCAGCATCCGGAATCCAGAGATCCAATCTTACTTCGGCCATCCAATCCCAGATGATCTCTTCGACGGCGGCCACGGGAGTCAAAGCCGGCACAAGCAAAGAGGTGCATCACCAATTGCAGCGTCAGGTTCTGGAGCGCACCCACACTGGAAGCCTTTCCGTTGGCTCTATCCCGTCATCTCACCGCATGAATGACCTTGCTGGAGTCCTGAAGAATGCCCGGGGTCCCGCTCCACAAAGGGCGGCCAAAAGCAAAGCACAAGAGAAGTTGGGTGGGATCCAAGAAGAAGCAGACTCCCATGCCGATGACCTTGCGGCTGAACGCGCCACGCATACGTCGAGGAAGAAGAAGGCTGTCAAGAAGGACCCCAAGCCAGGTTACTGCGAGAATTGTCGCGATAAATACGACGACTTTGACGAGGTAAGTGGCTGAACTCCCGGCCGAAGACCCAAGACTGATCCGAGAATAAAGCATATTGTGTCCCGCAAGCACCGAAAGTTTGCAACGAACCTAGCGAATTGGACAGAACTTGATGCCCTTCTCACAAAGCTTCAGACCGCTTGAGGCTGATGAGAGTTTTGATTGGTTCTGAGGACGGATGGAGCACTGCTGCGTGAGCCTCGTGGTCAGCGATTGCATTTCACTCGCTCTGGTTATAAATTTGCATTTGCATTTTAGCGATGGGTATGGTTTATACTTGAAAGCATCAGCAGAGCACGGGAAAACACAACTACGAACGGCTGACTATTTGAGGGTCAAGTCTGACTCCAAGCCGGTCGGACGATCCAAAAATCTAATCATATTGCGAAACAATCTATTCTTTGTTCCAGTGCAGCAAGCAAGGGGCGTGGAGGAGCACGGTACACGAGGTGACGAAGGGAATGGCTGTCCATGAGGTTCAGAAAGTTCGTGAATCTGGTGTTCGTGGTCTCTCAATTTCAATGAAGTTACGGTGCCTTGTTTTCCTTATTTTCCTTATTTTCCTTATTTTCTCCGTTGCTGTCTGTCTAACATGCCCCATCATCGCTCATGAGCCAACATGAGCAGGCTCATCGATACACAGTAGAGGGCTCAAGGATCTTTGACCCCTAATCTAAATGTCTCCATGGTTAATGACATATCTGATTTCGAGTGAAGTCGACACCAGACGCCTGTTGGAAATTCCAGCTTGGATTGCTCGAAACGTGGTCTATGCTGAATTCGAAGCCTCCTACACCGTCCTCCCACAGTGGTGCGTGCCTCAGCCACTATGAAACTTGTGCATTCTCCTACCAAAGACTACTCTCCTCATCCAATCTGCTCGTCGTTAACAGCCTGAGTCGTGCGTCTTATATCTGACAATGAAACCTGGCTTTGTCAATTCTCGACGGTTGCAAGAGTTGGGGTGCCTCGTGGGGGATGCCGCATCCGGCCTTGGATTTCTTTTATTCGAGAGAATATGCCTTTTCGGATTCCGCACAATGAGCGCTTTAGAAGAAACCCCTGGTTATCGTCTCCTTTGTCCTTGCAGGTTACATGAGCCCATTGTGGTCCGACACTTACACACATTGCTAACCATGCTTGGGACACATCTTCTCTGGCTGCGGAGCTCCCACATACGACATCATCCTCGACTGTGAGTCGCTGCTTCACCATGAAGGTTCGAAACATTCCAGGCGCCAACGTTCGCGTTCCGACGACGCACACCTCGCCTTACGAGAGAGCAAAATGGACCGAAAATCAAGATCGAACATTCAAGCGGGTGAAGCGATGGAGGCACGAGCACGAGTTTTATGATGGAAAGGTTGAAGCATTTGGCCTGTCGAGGTCATTTCTGGAGCTCGACCGGGAAGAGGACTACGATTGGGAGGTATGGTCTGATGACCATTTGAGCACCAGACACTTTCTTCTCCTCGGGACTTACCGCTGATACTGGTGTTCGGTCATCTAGTGTACGGACATTTTGGGTCAAGGGAGTTTTGGATTGGTCGGACGATGGACCAAGTTTGACAGAAATGGCCGGGTCGTTGATGTAGGAAGATTGACGTTTTCGACCGATGCGTATAGGGCTGCGGTGGCCTGGCTGACTCTTTTGTGTAGGAGATTGCGATCAAGCAATTTGAGCTCGACCAGCGCGAGCGTGACGAGGACGGCAGACCGACCGTCCCCACGGAAGCTGTGCTGGTGCAAGCACTTATGGCCCAAGGCTGTCGCAATGTCGCCGAGATGCGCGAGATGAGATTCTTCCTGAGCGAGCGGCCCAAATGGAGACTGTACCTCGAGTATTATCGATATGGGACTCTGCATGAGCTGATTGACAAGTACCGCCGGCGAAACAAGCGGAGCGATCGGCAGTAAGAGGACTTCCTCTACAGATAAATAGCGGCCTCCCCCCGCCACACGGAGAAGTATTTGCTAATATACGTTTTATGGACGCAGTGAGCGGATCCCCGAAGCCTTCGTGTGGCAAGCATTCCACGACCTCGCCATGGCGTGCTATCACATGAAGGTGCTTCGGCTCGATAGAATCGGCATCCGCACGCCCCGGGGTGACTGGTACGCCCTGCACCTGGACCTGAAGGGAGACAACGGTATGTGTGCGCAAGCGACCACCAAAATGCCCCACGGCTAATTGGAGCTTGTGTAGTTCTACTTGGAGATGCGCCAGGAAGTGACAAGCTCATGCCATACCCGACGCTGAAAGTGGGCGACTGGGGGTGTGCTGAGTACACAACCATCGACGACAAGAGGAACAGCGGCAAATGGAAAGGCTATGGGACGCTTGTTTGGATGCCTCCGGTAAGTTCTTCTCTGTCGCCTCCTGTTGCCTCTCTCCATTACCATCCTTTTCAGCTGTATGTGCGCGAGCGCAGAGACTGACGACTATGCAACTTCAGGAACAACGAGACTTTGGCCGTTACGGTAACCGATGGGACAAACCGGTCTTGGGAGGTCGAGATCACCCCTACACCATGAAGCACGTCGTGTGGCAAGTGGCTGCCAACATCTACGGGCTGACGACGTTGGACTTGTGGAACGACAACCTGGACAAGCTGGTCAAAGATGCCGAGGGCTTGGAGAACATGTTGCGGAAACACGACTATTCCCCGCTGTTTGGCTACCGCAGTCGATATTACTCGTCCGAGTTGACGAGCTTGATCGAGGACTGTCTCCGGCTGGATCCAGCGAGGAGACCGAGTCCGTATGAACTGGTGCAGCGGACGCAGGAGGGGTTGGCGCGGTATACGGACCGGTATCGTAGGACGGGAGAGCACCCGAAGTTGAAGCTGTAGACTATTCTTCTGCACATAGTACCGCGCAAGCAGGGATCAGAGGAAATTGCCTGCAAACAGCGTCGAGGTATTCAAAGTACCTGGATTTGGACTAGTGCAATCTGCCGGTGGAGCTTGGATCGATCCGCAATCTAATTGGTTCACACACTTTCTCCTGCAAACTGCGGAGTTCGCGAAAAGGCATGTCGTTCTTCAGTGTACCGACCTTCTTCAATTGCTATCTGCCACTGCTTCCAAAGCCGCCTCTGAAGCCTTTGAGAAGTTTGCGACCTAGACGCCACGTCGAGGCATAAATTGACGATCCCGCTGCTCATTTATCCTGCCGCACCACAGATACCTTCTGCAGAACACAATGGCGTGCAGCAACCTTCAATCCTCCTTCCACCGCCTGGTCCGCGAAGCCAACCGCTCAGGGCCACGCGAGATCCCCTCGTTCCTCGTCCCAGCGCTGTCACGACCGTTCAGAGCACGGCAAGCGTCGACACTCGCTGAACCTCAAGTCCCGAGCTACCAGTCGCGCATCGGGAGAGCGCCCATCTCCATCCCCCCCGAAGTGTCGTTGCGGTTTTACGAGCTGCCCAAGGGCAATGTGCGGAGTCGGCATCCCGACACGCCGAACATGGCGCTGGAAGTCACCGGTCCTCTAGGTAAGAAAGAAAGAGAAAGAGGAGAAGAGAACCCTGAAGGAGGAGGAAGTGGAGGTAGCAGGCGCGATGGAAGGGCATAGACAACTAAGGCATCCCGAGCTTTGGAGCTGATTCGCCGGACCAGGACAAATGACGGTGCCTTTACCGCCCTATTTACAAGCCGACCTCGACGAGGCGGCGAAGAAGATCAACATCAACGTCAAAGACGCGGCGGAGAAGCATCAGAGAGCCATGTGGGGTGAGTCTATTGCTCGAAACGCGAACCCAGCACGGAAATTGTACGGAAGGGAAAAAGGAGAGAGCATAGGAGTGCTAACAATTTGCTTGTCTTGTCCTGTCATTCTAGGAACCATGCGCGCCCTCGTCCAGAACTCCGTCTCCGGCGTCTCGGAAGGCCACCTATGCATCCTGCGCCTGGTGGGCGTCGGGTACCGCGCCACGATCGAAGACACGGCGCAGACCAAGACTGCACAGTACCCCGGGCAGAAGTTTGTGAACTTGAAGCTCGGATACGCGCACCCGGTCGAGATGGGCGTGCCACGGGGTGTCAAGGCCTCGACTCCGCAGCCCACTCGTATCCTGCTCGAGGGCTGCGACAAGCAGGTCATCAAGCAGTTCGCGGCCGAGATCCGGGCCTGGCGGAAGCCCGAGCCGTACAAGGGCAAGGGTATCTTTGTCAATGACGAGACGATCCGCTTGAAGGCCAAGAAGATTAAGTAAACGGGGGCCATTAGGAAAATGAGGGAAAGAGAAGGGATGCGAAGGCGAAGGAGAGAAAGGTGGCCGGGAGAGAGAAAGGAAAGGAAAAAAGAGAAATTGGTCTAGGACATGGGAGCCGATCTGTGTCTTTTAAGGCCCCAGCACCTACCTGCCTGTATCAGCAACTTAGGGGGATCAGACGGAGACAGAGGGGTCTGTCTATACAGGGGTTTTCTCTCTCTCTCTCTATCCTACCCGCCACGAAACCCCTGTATTCTCGATTCCATATGCATGTGGGATCATGTACAATTCACCTATAGTCAGTCATAAATACAAAAGCCCTGAGATGCCCCAGGCTCGTGGGGGGGGGGGAACATCCCGGGGACGGGGTCGTGTCGGGGTAGAATGGTGGACGGATGGATGGATGGAGATTCATTCATCGATGCATTGACAGCAACATCTAATCTATGCATCGACCGGAGTTTATCGCATAAGGCATGAATGGACTGATTTGATAATAATTACAGTACCTGTCATCAATCACGGGCCCGACGTCGCTCGTTGCTCGCACACGGAATCCGAAAGGCTGGCGGGCTCATGAGACTTGAAGGGTTTTCAGGGCACTGACTGGAAGGAGAAGAAGAAGAAAGTTGAAAGGTGAGTGAGCCCGCTCGCGACGACTCCAGGGCCCAAGACTCACGGAACGATAGAAAAGCCCCAGTCTCGTACGTAGGTCAAGGAGGTTTCTCCATATCTATCCCTCCTGTGTATGTCTACGTACGATTGATTGTGTGGGTCGAAGAATCCGTCCGTGTGTGGTGTGGTGTGGTTTGGTCTATCTATCCATATGTGCGTGCACTTGTTCCGTCTTGAAGTTGAACCTTTTGAGGAACGTTTTTCCTTCCTTACTTCATTCCTGCTCCTTCTTTCCCGAAACCGTTTGTCATCCCCGTTCCATGGATCTGTTCACCGTGTAGATAGGTAGGTGGGTCGGTGGGGTAGACAAACAGATAGATATAGACGTGACATGGCATTGCCTGGGCATAACATGGCTGCCGTGCCGAAGCATAGCGTAGCGTGCAATCACCGGCCCAATCAACACCCAAGCAGTCATCCGTTCATTCGACCAGTCTATCGCATCGATCACATCTCTCCTGGATTTTCATTCCCGTTCTCGTTCGCATGATGTATTTCTCTATCCCTCCCTCTATCTACCCTGATCCCAGAGACTTTTAATCATCTATTTCGCGGACAACACCTCCTGCACAGCCTTGAGAACCTCGGCGTGCACGTTGGCCGGGGTAGCCACGACACCCTTGTTCTCGAGCAGGGTACGGCCAAGGCTGAAGTTGAGTCTCTTGCCAGTAACGTCCGTGACCTGGCCGCCGGCCTCGCGCACGATCAGGTCGCCGGCGGCGTGGTCCCAGATCTTCTCAATGTAGTCCTTGCGGACCGGCAGGCGGAGGTACAAGTCCCCAGCGCCGCGAGCCACGCTGCCGTATTTGGCCTGGCTGTCCATCTGCACGGGGCGGCCCGTGATGCCCAATTTCTCCGCGATCAAGGCGTTGTCGCCCTTGCTCGAGTGGCCGGGCTCGACGGACTCGCACATGACGGCCTCGCTCACCTTGGAGATCTTGCTCACGTGGATGGGTTGTCCTTTCGTCACTGCACCCCGGGTCAAGGGCTGCGAGGTCGCCCCTTCGCCCTGGACGGCGGAGAAAAGGACCCCTTTCCCCTCGGCGTCAGTCGCCGCGGCACCCATGTCTTCCGTCAGTGGGGCAGAGTCGTCGACTGGCAGGTTCGGGCAGCCCAGGACGCCCACTTTGACGTCGCCATCGACCATGAGGGCAAGACACACGGCATATTGGCCACCTCGGAGGAAACCCTTCGTGCCGTCGATGGGATCTAGTGCCCAGATGCGGCCCTTGTTACCGCCGGCCGAGTTGCCTTGGTCGATGGCGTCGAGCATTGCCTCTTCAGACTTGACCGGGCCACCGAGCAGGGCATCGCTCTCGGGGTCGCTCAGTCGGACATCCTTGACCAGGTTCCAGATCTTGGAGGAAAGATCCTTCTGTTCACGGAGGGACGAGGCCTCTTCTTCACCGACCACTTCGTCGGCAGGGAAATTGTGCTTGATGGCAGCGATGATCAGGGCTTGAGCGCCAAAGTCGCCGATCGTCACGGGGGACTTGTCATCCTTAGACACTGTGCCCTTGGCCTTCTCGTGGAAGACAGCTTTGGTGAGAATGGCGGCACGGGCGACGGCCAGTTGGGCAACCTTGAGCTCCTTCTCGTATGCCATGGTGGCGAGCTGGGGAGTTCCGGTGTTTGTGGCGGTGTTGATGATTTTGTTGATATTATTACTGCTGATCGCGTGGGGAGAAGTGCTTCGTTGGGAAGGGGAGCTGATGCCAAGCCCCGAGAGGAAGCTTAAGAAGGCGGTGGAGGGGGTGGGCGGAAGCTGAGAGATCAACGCACTCAAGCGAGGCAAGAGGGAAGAAGTTGCTGGACGGTGAGGTGATGCCAGGGTGAGTGCGATGATCACGATGACAGCGGAGCAGAAGACGGTGACGAGGACAAGAGTGGCGGGTCGACGGTGGAGGAGGAGGTGGTGGTGGATGTCGAAGGGATTGAACAGGAGGAGGAACTTCATCAAGTCGCGTTCATCTCTCACCGCCAATCCGGGGAAGAAATTGAATCCATATTAACTTACTGTTGGGCATGGCGGCGGCATGGGAGGGGCAGAGTTCAGCAGCGCAGTGGCAGTTCCGTCAGACAGAGACAAGTTGTGCAGTCAGGCAGTCAGGCAATCAGCTTTTCAGCCTGAGAGCCGCCCAGGCTTCTGCTTTCGCCCGGATCGACCTGCTGTGTCAGTCACAATCAAAGTTCGCTCCTTTCCCACCAATGCACGTCGGTCTTGGCATGCTTCCTTCTTCTCGCAATCTGGCCAGAGTTCAATACTCGTTGCTCATCATTGTTTATTTGTTTTGTTGTGGTTGTTCAAACATGGTTGTGTGAGGACGAATGTCATCGAGGGTCGACTTCCACAAGGCCTCCCACAACGGGGAACGCCATGTCTTATCTTGTTGCAGAGCGCTGGCTGATGTGGTTGATCACGCAATCCCGCCATCAAATTGGCACACCCCGACGTGTCGCGCTGTCTCTCCCCCAAAGTTCCCCCATGCGAAGGCCGCCGGTGTGGCTTGACTCCATCTCGAAACCCTTCCTGGCATGGCTCACAGGGGCGTGTCTGCTCGGTTGGACCAAGCCGTAGCCGGTTCGGAGCACGGAGTGATTGGAGGGACTTTATGCAGGCACACTTGACGCCGGTGGCTTGCGAGAACATCCAGAAAAGCATAACCACACTCCCAAGGGACTACGAGCACGAGTACTCACTCAAGAGTCCATGTGAGCTACAGCAAGTTGCTCTAAGAGTGTACTGCGACGACGGTTTAGACACTGCGTGTGTGCTTCCCCCTTCTCTGTTTGCAGTCGCATTCTCAGGCCAACCAGCCCCATTCGTATAACAACGAGACTGGTGGAAATAGAAACGATTGCTGTTCTGACCACCCATTTGCGTGGAACATAGAGCCTCGGCACCAACATGCGCCATGTTCGCTGTTCAATCCTTCCTCCCAGCCCCTGGCAGTGTGACCACCCAGCCTCTCAACTCCAACCGTGAGACTCCAATTCCGCGAAGGAACGAGAGGCAGGCGAGTCCTGTACCGAGTAGTTCCAAGGCCATGTGCTCTGACCACCGTCGGATAGTGAGCACAAACGTCCGGCTACCGCAAACTCCTCGGGCCGCATTGAATGTGCTCTTTGCCTCCTGATCCTCGTGTCGGCTCAAACAGAGGCGGCTTGTTTGTCCTGATTGAGCCAGGCGGTGTGTCCTCTCTGTACCGACGAACCACACATGAGGATCGATGCGTGTGGTCGAAGGGATTCAGCTAGCCTAGTAGCTCACGCTTGAACCCGTGCATCATCTCCCTCTTTCGGGACGGCCACTCACTGGATCCAGATCCTTCGCGTCTCCACCGCTTGGCCTTCCGCGTGCCTCGTGGCTCTTGGGACCTGCGCTTAAGGTGATAGACCAGGCACCGCGACCCAAACGGGCCAGGTCTCGTATACATACATAATTGAATAGCGCCATGTCGGCGAAAACCTGTCAATCCACGCCGACGAAAAGGTGACGGCTGGAAGGAAACTTCTGGGAAGCGGGACGATGGCCTGCCAGATGGGTTGTGTTCCCCCTGGCTGGGTTTGGCTGTGCCGTCAACAACAGGCTGTGTTGGGCGTCAGATGAGATTCAGACTGAGGTGAGAAAATACGAGTCACTTTTGTCTGTTTGGTTGTTTACGAGATCAAGGTTTCTGAGGCGAGGGTTTAGGCGTCAATTGAGCTCCCTCAGGAAATAGGGTGTAATTTGCCCCCGGACCGTAATTGTTGAGTGGACGCGATGCCCGCGAGCGGTGGGTTAAATGAACCGGTAGTGGCAGCGGTGGGGAACGAGGGGCATCGACTACCGCCTAAACAGCCAACTTTCCCTTGCAGTGACCCCCCCCAAAGCGCCCCTCGAGCCCTGTTTTTGCAGGTGACCGGCGCCTTTCCATTCCTGGCTCTCCAGGCCACTAGGCCCCAATGCAGCAACCATCCACCATCGACGTTCCAACCCGTTCACACCAGAAGGCTCAACCCCCAATTTACCAAGTCTCATTTCCGTACGCCTCTGACCAACTTGTGCATAGACCCTCTATAACCATGTTCTCCGCCTCGGTGAGTCCTCTCTCTCCTCCTATATCATCTCTTATTGTCCTGTGTCTCTGCCATGTCTTGACCCTGTTTCCCCCATCTCCATCCCCGAGTCACCTACCCCGCTACACCACCGTTCCCCATGAAGCCCTCAATGTCGATATTCCTGCTGCACACTCCAGCATGTGCTCCGGATGCTGGATTCGTCGACCTCCCTCGACCTGAGAGCCCCCCGACCACAGATCCCTATGAGGTGGAAACCTTGCTCCATTGTCAGCAGCCGGAGGAGTGCGACCGGTGCGCTCGCAAGAAGAGGAGGACCTTCGACGCCTACCCCCAACAGCCATACCCTGAGATTTTGATCCGCCGGTTTCCCGACAAGAAGGGCTACAAGCGCATTGTTGCCCTCGTCTTACATTTCTCGTGTTGTGCGCGATCCCGTAGAAGATATCAACTAATCACTCGTTATCGTTACCACAAACAGAAGAAACCGTATTCCGCCATCTCGGTCCACGTCGAGCAATTGACCTCGGAAACTTACGACGAAGACGATCTTGCCGGTGTACCTGACCTGCTCGAGGTCGTCAAGCTACAGGGTACGGGTTCGCAGGAGGTCGCTCGAGCCTTGAGGAAGAAGTTGAAATATGGCAATGTACACCGGCAACTCCGGGCTCTCACAATTCTTGATGGCCTTCTACAAAATGGCGGCACAAGAGTGCAGCGAGCGTTGTTGTCTGACGGTCCTTTGTTGGAACGACTCCGAATAGCTGCAGCAGACCCTACTTCCGACCATGATGTCCGTGCCAAATGCAAAGACCTCTTCGGACAGTGGGTTGCGAGCTCGAAAGACAATCCAGGCTTGGAAGGAGCCAAATCTCTCTACAATACATTGCCCCGCACACATCAGCCCGTTCAGCAACGGCGCGAGCAGAGCAGGGTCCTCCGGGAAACAGAAGAGGAAGTTGCCCGAGAGCAAGAGATGGAGATTGCAAGAACGAGGTCGGATAGCACTCAACGATCCGGCGAGCCGTCCAGCCCTACGACGCTACGCAAGCACCCTTCTCCTGTCGCTTTGGGAGAGTCGTCCACCTTTGCACCCAAGAAGGTCAAGAAGCACAAGAAAAGCAAGCAAGCCAAGGGAGGGTTCAACTTGGAGAAAGAAAAACCCAACATCTTGCAATCGATCGCGGCATCGTCGGTTGCCTCTACTGGTTTGACCAATGCCTTGAGGTTGGTCAACCGCGAGTCCCAGCGCGTGTCCGACAACCCTGAGGTGATGAAACGCTTCGAAACCTGCAAGCAGCTCCGACGTCAGATTCTACGATACATCCAATTCGTGGAGACGGAGGAGTTCTTGGGCGGTTTGATCCATGCCAACGAAGAGCTGGTCAATGCTCTGATGGCGTTTGAAGTTCTCGACAAGTCCGTCGATGACGACTCAGATAGTGAGCTTGAAGAAGCACAACATCTCAGTCGACAGGCAGCCAAAAGCGAGGCATCTGCTGCGAGAGAGGCGGAGAAGATGGTTGCCGGACTCAGCATCTCTGCTCCGCCCAAACCTCCGCGGCCAGCTCCTGCCAACATTGCGATGCCCCCACCCCGGCCGTCGTCCAATTCCAAGAATTGGAGGACGAAGCAAATCGAAAGTGACAGCGAGAGCGAGACGGACGTCGAGGACGACTCGGATGACCCTTTTGCTGATAAGAACGCCATGAAGACCCCCGACCCTGACGCCCTGGGCAGAAAGGGGTACAGCTGGAAGGAAGTATAGATTGACGGTATGAGTTATGAGGGATGGAAGTTTGATGGACCCTTCATATGTTGATTCTCTCCCATCGATAGAGCGGCGAACGAAGGTGCTCCTCCATTTGATGAGGCTATGAGTTAATGACATTTCCAACACGAAAAAGCACCTAGGAACGATCTGCTTCTCGCTTTTTGGTTCTTGTTTCATCGATTGAACCGACTAATTGATCGGCAGTTGATTATATCCCGATGCTCGTATTTTACCCCACACTTTCCAGGTGAAGGCCTCGGCCACTTCAGACCTATGTATATAGCTGAAGCCCGTGTACAGGGAGATCCAGAAGCTTTGTGTCAACCAACTCCTGCCTTTACTCGGAAGGCTCAACGTCCATCACTCGGAAAGAAGCAAAGCGAGTCCTGTGCCACACAATGAGCACCCGAGACAACTACACCTTCGCCAACCAAGCCTCGATCCCGGCGCCACTGGACAAACAGCTCCCAGCATTCTTCCGCTCGTGGGACGACCCGCATTCGGACAACGCCTACCTGAACATGTTCGCCCCTCAGGGCCAGCTGGTGTTCGGCTCGACGACGACGGGCCGCGACGCCATCCGCGCCTTTCGCGACGCCATGATCCACCCCACCAACGGGCCCGTCGTCGACCTCGAGCACACCCTGGGCCAGTGCTTCGTGCTGGCGGGCGGCCCCCCCGCCCCCGGGACGCAGGAGGTTGTCGTCAACGGGTCGCTGTGGTACAAGCTGCGCAACGGCCGCAGGATCGACGTCGACTTTGCCAGCATGATCCGCTTCGCCGACCCGGGTGACGGGTCCGACATGCAGGCCGAGTTCTATGAGGTCTATTTGGACGCGCATGAGTTGATGACGGCCATCAAGGAGATGAATGAGGGAAAGTGAGGGATGGAATGGAGTTCTGTTTCTTTTTTTCTTTTTCTTTTGACCTTGTCTTTTCTTCTTTTCCCCTTCCCGTCGCTTGGTATCGATGAGGTGGATCTGGGCGTGTGCGAATGAATCCATGAATGAATGAATGCATGAATGAGGTAATACGAAGTCAGCGAGATGCATCAGTTTGCGCTACTGCGGTGGATACGTCGTTGTCATCTTCGTCGTTGAATATTGTTCTCGTGTTGTCTGTCAGATACTTTCCCCCTTACCTCTCCCGCGCGTGGTGGGAAATGTTAATGTCCTACTTATGACTCTCCCTCCCAACAGTGTCTTGAGGGCATCGTCTGTCTTTCTGCCTTTCTGTCTTTCTGTCAGCACTTTCTCCACAACTGGTTTTCTCAAAAGGGGATTTGTCTCCGAAGTACCTCGTCCTCGGTCGGTTACTGCCAACAAAGATTCAAGCCGGACGGAGGGTACGGGGATCCGGGAATCCCAGATGGACTTTTCCCTCTCGTCCATCAGCGCGAGAGCGACGCAATGGCCGCGGGCACTCTCCCCGCCACCCTCCCTCCCCCTTTCGAATCGGATGGAGAATAGCTGCCGTATGTCGTTATCATCTTCAAATCGCGGGTCTCCAGTTGTAGCCTTGATCAAATTTGCAGACGTGGCAGCGTCAGTCAGCCCTGTTACTTCTACGGGCTGGGACCGGGCGAGTAAGTAGTACGCTGTAGTATTACGTGCCTCGGGGATCTACCACTTCGTACCTCGTATGGCACAGCGACCCGTGGTGAGATCGAATAAGAGATCGAATTAGCGCTCCACAGACATATTCAGGACGTTGGTTACTTATCAATCGGCGTGTCGCCGCTCGTGGGCTCTTCGTTCTCTATTGTTTCCTGGCTTATCTAATATTTATTCAATACACAGTTCCTCAAAACTCTCGAGGAACCTCATCCTGCCCGTCAACTGACCCCGTCAGACTGAATCTCACCGGTCGCTTCATGAGCGAGATCCAATAATGGCTTCTCTATACTTCTCCTGCGACTACTCACGTGGTATGTCTCATGCTGGAGAGCTGAAGACCAGCAGACACGAGACAGCGGGCGGCTGAGCTATAACCGGCGGTGGGTTTCTATACATACCTCCCCCCGATAATGGCTACATTCAAGTCACGGAGCGTTGTGTATGGTGGCACTGTAAGAGACCGCACCAGATGCTCATAGGATACACAAATAAAGATCTGACCCAAAGTTCGGCCTGAAGGGTCGGGACACGCGTTCTGGGTGGTCTTGCAATGCCCTGTCGATACGCTTCATAAGCAGACACCAGGTGCCTGGGCCAAGTAGGATGGTTTCTGCGCGGTGCTTGTCTAGGGGGAAACGAACTCTCACTTTCCACAGATTTGCGCCAAAGGGGCCCTTTGCTGGCTATTGTTGTTGCGATCTTTACCATGTCTGCCAGCGTACATCTGGACGTCATCGTTGTCGGAGGAGGCATTGCCGGGTTGACGGCAGCCTTGGCCCTGCGAAGGGGAGGCCACACCGTGACTGTGGTCGAATCGTCTTCGTGGCTGCGCGAGGCTGGTGCTGCGGTCGTGGTTCCTCCCAATGCCACGCGCCCGTTGATGAGCCTGGGCATCGACGTTGCGAAAGACGTCAAGGCGGCCCCGTTCAAGAACACGCTCGAGTATCATTTCGCCACCACCGACAAACCGCCCAAGTTTGGCAAGGGTGGAGACGGGGAGCAGGTCCCGTGGGCACGAGAAGCTTTGAATTACCCGGACATATTTTTCTTCTCCCACAGGGTCGACCTGCACGATGCCCTCAAGAAGAAGTGCATCAGCGAGGACGGTCCTGGAGAGCCGGTCAGGGTCCTCTTGTCGTCGAGAGTCGTCGCCTGGGATCCCGCAGGAAGTATCAAGCTCCAAAATGGGACCGAGTTGTTTGCCGACCTCATCGTCGCCGCGGACGGGATACATTCACTCGCCCACGAAGCCATCCTCGGCCGCAGAGTTCCCGCCATCCCAAGTGGCGTCACCACCATGCGATTTTTGTTGAAGACCGAGAGGCTGCTAAACGACCCCGTCACTGCACCGATGATGGACGATGGTGGCGGCTGCTTTGCATTCTATGTCGCGGCAGACCGCAAGACGTATTTGCTTCGTTACCCCTGTCATAAGTCTGGTGCTCCCAGAACATACGCCGATAAAACGCCCCCTGCTGACAGAGTTTTAGTGATGAACTGCAAAACTTTGGAGCCTACGGAGTGACAGGAACAGGTGCACCCCCGACCTTGACGGGCGAACTGCTCAGCAAAGATGCACTGCTTGAGAGACTTAGCGTCTTGCCCCCGATGTTCCGAGCCCTCGGCGAGATGGCTGAAGACAAGGTCGCGGATTGGAAGATCGGGGATCGCGAGCCACTGCCAACATATTACCGGGACAGGCTGGTCTTGATTGGAGACGCGGCTCATCCTATGTACCCCAGGCAGGGTCAAGGAGCAGCGCAGTCGATTGAAGACGGAGCAACTCTTGGGGTTCTCATGAGTGGTCTCCAGAGCAAGTCTGATTTGACACACCGTCTGATGCTGAATGACCAGTTGCGTGTACGACGCACGTCCATTGTTCAAGTGTTGTCCCGGACTCGTATCGCCACGGTGGAAGATCGTGTGATCTTGCCCGACAAGGCCACACAACTATTCTCGCCAGAGCCGGCGCCCGGTTAGTTGCCCCGGTCCATCTTCTCTGTGGAGCTCTATTGACATCTCCTCAGTCAATCAAGAACAGATTGCGAAGTTTCTCTGGTCGTACGACTGCGTGGAACATACACAGTCTCTACTGGACAGCTCCATTTTGGTAAGACATCCGCATCCATGAGGTTGGAGATACTGACCTGGAAGTCCACTACATGGCCCGAGCCCCCACAAATCTCAGAGGTGCTGCGTGTAAATCTTTAGAGTAGCTCTGACGGTAGCAATACTTGCCACACCTCGCTGTGAGAGTGGGTAGCATTCCACCAACCGGTATAGCGAGGGAGGCTCCTGTATGGTCGTGTTGCCAAGAAAGACTTTTGCGTTCAACCCTGTAGTAAAAGAGCATAAGACAATGACGTGGGAATACGGGTTAATTTGTGATTCTCCAATGTTGTTTACATTTGCCATCGTCAGCACATGCCTGTGTACTAAGTACCCCTGAGTGTTGACCTCGACGAGACTGAGGAATTGCCAAGGAAGAGGATCGATGACGTCGCTTCCCTGAGCAGGCTGAGAAGTTCAGGGTGAGGACTTAAGACTGACTTCAAGGGGCACGTGCCACCGCCAAGGTCGAGTCATCAGGCGCCCCCGAAGCAAAATAGGCGCTCCAACTGTGCCTGGAAATGCAGCGCACACGCTCGCCCTCGCATCTTGCGCCTGGACACATTCCAGAATGCGTTGCATCACCACTTGAGAGAGCCAACCTCCTCCCCTTCCTACTCTCTCGCAATACTCTCAACCATGTATGTCGCAAAGTCTGTTATCCCCTTGCTCCAAATGTCTGTCTCCCAAGCACCAGAATGCCAGAGAATTCCCAGACTAGCCCCGCCGAACCAAACATGATCAGCGCAAAGATCTCAGAATGGGCGACTCGGAAACTTCACCTGCGCAACTTGAGGTATGAACATAATTACCCCTCGCTTTGTCTGGCCATCCGTGCTGATGTCTGCTAGACTCTTCGAGTCCAATACTGTCCTCCGCTCGACGATGCCCTTTTCTATGCCATCGTCTCCGACCACAAGCTGCCCCAAGACAGTGCAGTCTTGACATCGATCCTTGACAGCCTCAAGGCCGGTGCAATAGAACAGGAGGACGCAGAATTTGATCCTTCAGGTACAGGAGCTCCTGCGCAGTTCAAGGAAGCCACCGACACGTCTAGGTCGTGCCCCGAAGATACCTTCTCAAACGGTGTCACGAGCATCACCACTGGAGTCTCCGACTTGCGTTGGAATGACTCGGACGGCCTAGGACAGAATCTAGACAACTCCTCGACCGAGCAGAAGACAGATTGGCTGCGGCATGTGTTTCCCAACATTCCCAAGCGCGAATTGGGTAGTGTCCTGGAGAGCCACGGCGGATCGCTCGACAAAGCCGTCGACGAGCTCCTCAACCTCTCCTTCCTGAACCAAGGGCTGGAGGATGAACCAGAAGATGTGCCTGTTTTGAAAAGTGTGGATGGGTTTGCGGAAGATGCCCTCGTCCACAGGAAAGGGAGGAAGAAACGGAAACACCGGACAAACGAGTCGTCCCGTGCAAGCTCAGCTTCCTCCTCGCCCTATCAATCAGATTCCACTCCTACTAATGTCTGGGCCACGATGTCCGAAGACGTCGACTTCATTTGTTCTAGAACCAAGCTCCAACCTCAGCTCGTACGGTCGATCTATCATTTCAACGGCGCGAGGCTAGCCTCTACAATACGTGATCTTGCGATAAGAGAGGGGAGGGCATGTAGTAAGTTGGCCGCGGTCGATCCCGTCGTCGATCTTCAGATTGCCGAATTCCAGAGCCAGTTTGAGCATGTGCCGAAGTCGCAAATGTACGGCCTCCTGAGCTTGGCCCGGAATATACCGTCTGCAGCTCAGGAGCTGTTGGAAGCCATGTCAGCGCCTGAGAAGGTACCGACATCCGGAAAGCTGCATGATGCAGCTCAGTATGCCCCTCTGGACCTCAACGAAGACGAAACTCCTGAGACCACTCCGACCGCAACAGCAGCCATGGCGACGGGCCCTTATCGAGCTTCAGCAGCCAGCTTTCGAATGGCAGCAGGCCAAAGTTTCGAACAAGCTGCTGCGGCCTACCAACGAAGCAGATCCGATCGTCTTTACGGAGGTGTTGCAGCGCACTACTCCGAGATTGGACGAGAACGCATCAGGGCTGCGAAAGAAGCCAAAGCCGCGGAAGCAGACTCGCTCGTGGCTAAACAGTCCTCGTCGAACATTCTCGACCTCCACGGTGTGACCGTGCAAGATGCGGTCCGAATTGCCAGCGCCAAAACACAGAGCTGGTGGGATGGCTTAGGCGAAGCCAAATATGTCACCGGAGGCGGCGGACCTGCTAGAGCCGGGTTCAAGATAGTGACAGGCCTGGGAACTCATAGCAAGAACCGTGCGCCGCGGATAGGGCCTGCGGTGAGTAAGGCGCTCATGAGGGAAGGATGGAAAGTCGAGATCGGCCACGGTGAGTTGATGGTGACGGGGAAGAGCCGTCGATGAGTGAAATATGTTGTCTACCAGGTCGAGTGCTGCAGCTTGCACAAATATGCGGATCTAGAGGGAACATGGATCTGGATAGAATGGCTTGTTAGTACGAGGTACTTGGTCAGAGATTGAGGAATCAGTTTCAGTGGGATTCCAAATAGTTGACGAGGCTGCAAACCTCAGCCTCGCCCGCACTAAATGATTCCACAATCAAGTCTCCACTCTGTTTGTCTTTGAGCCAATCACAATGCCAGAGAAGCTTCCATTGCATCATCGACGCCGGCGCGTCGGAGGCGCAGACTCGCTTGAATCTCAAATACGCATTTACGCAGTTCGTCCTATTCCCCCTTCGCTCCATTGCCGGATCTCAAAGGTCTATATATCCTCAATCGCCTCAGGCCTTCTCTCTTGATGCGCTTCCCATCCTTTCCAAACATCGCTCGCAGACTCTACACGTTCGGCAACGCAACCGCATTTCGATCCCAACAACCACTGCTGCGGGGTATTCGCATCTCACAAACACATCGCGCCACTCTCCCAAAGTCCATGTCCTCGATCCCTTTCTTGAGTGCTCTCTTCGGAACCTCGACTCCCGCTTCAGCCAAAATGACCTACCCAGGCGCACGATCAGATGATGAATGGAGGACGGTGTTGAACAAAGGTACGTCTCTGGCGTATATCCTCGGCTCCCACTCCCCCAAACAGATTTCCCTTTGATTGATTTCGACCGGCGCTGACAATGGTGACAGAACAATTCCGCATCCTGCGCGAAAAAGGCACCGAAGCCCCCTTTACGGGCGAGTACGACAAGCATATGCCTGACCACGGCGTCTACACCTGCGCGGCCTGCAACGCACCGCTCTACAAGGCCAACCACAAGTTCAAGTCCGGGTGCGGCTGGCCTGCGTACTTCGACAGCATCCCGGGTGCCGTGACCCGGCACACGGACAGCAGCTTCGGCATGCAGCGGACCGAGATCGTCTGCTCGAACTGCGGCGGCCACCTGGGCCATGTCTTCAAGGGCGAAGGCTACCCGACGCCGACGGATGAGAGACATTGTGTCAACAGTATCAGTTTGAAGTTCCACGACAAGGAGGACGGGGAGGCTAAGAAGGAAGGGAATGGGGAGGCGAAATAAAATACGTCTTTCTGGGAGAAAATGAATAATATTGTCAATTGCATTTTTGGCCATAGGGGTCCCGAAATGATCTGAACGATATCACCAGTCGACGGCTGGACTTGCGATCTGTAGATAAAACGCCGTTATAATCCACAAGTCTTCACACACACCTCTATGCACTTCATTTCTCAAGCTTGATGTGGCACATTTCCGAGGCCGGGTCGATTTCGTTCTATAATCATGTTCTGCAAGCTATCCTTTTGCCCACTGTAGAGCTTCCAGTTACCCTTCTTTGTGCACGAAGAAGGGCGGAACATCTCCACACTGGGGGCCACCACTTAATAGATATGTCTGGGCACGCTTACCCCTTAACGGAATGCTCAGACCTTCAAGCCTCACCGAATATCTCACTTGTCGATTTCCATTCTTGGTGAGACCACACATACGATCATCTGTCACTCGGCAACTCAGGCTTTCAGTATGCCCACAAAGTTCAGATCTACCGATGACTGCTCTGCTCAGAAGACAACAGCACACCCAGCCTCTTTATGGCCAGGACTTCCAAGTTTCAGCTCGCCCAGGTTGAGCCAGAACAACACATCTGGGCGGCGAACTCAACTAAGCAAGAGTGGGCTTCATCCATCGATCACTGCTACTTATCTCTCACATAAACGGAGCCTCCACCATTTATTTCTCCCGTGGCATGAGGCTCCGCAACCCTCCACTTTTTCCCTCCTCTCGGCATGATGCCAATGCGGCTGGTGTGACCTGACCCCAGTGCCTACCCTCCTTGGTCGAGGCCGTTGCCGGTGACCTCGCCAATACCGCAGAGTTCCTGGGCAAGGCCAAAGCACTGAATCTCACCGTCAATGTGCATCCAGTACCGGCAGATATCTTCCAGAACCATGTCAATCATTTGTGGCTTCTATAGAAGCGATAGGTGTCACATGCAGACTTAACACAGATGGTCTCGAAATGAAGCATCGACACTATGTTCAGAGGCAGGCCTATATAACGTATAATATTATACAGGACTCCCTCGAAATGGATCGAATTCCAGGTGACACTGTCGGCGGGACGGACGACGCGGGTCCAAGCGCAGCAATGCCCCCTTGGCCATGATAACACTCGCCCACACCGAAGTTATCCTGTCCAAAATGAGAAGTCGAAAGTGGAGGTAACCTTTACAAGAAAACCCCAGGCACGGACGAGAGGCAAATTTGAAAGCAAACGGCAAGCTTCATACTTATTCCACTCGATAACAGCCTTGACTTAGCCAATCGCCGCGCAGTCCCAGACTGTAACGACCCCAGCGGCTGCGTCTTCCGTGCCAGACTCTCCCTTGACCTACGCTGGCAGGACTAACCTGTTTCCGTGACATAACAACGGATGCTTCGTCCCGTCGTGAACAGAATGGCCAGACACACTATCCACCAAGAGGTAGCCGAAATGGAGACTGACCTCACCCTGTGGTAGTATGCATGTTGGCATCTCTCAGAACTTCGGTGGAAAACCTATCCTCTGCGAACCTGTCTCTCCACCTAGCGATCTCCTGGAAAAGCTACGGACCACCAGGAGAACCATAAGACTCTACACAGAACGGTCGAAGCCAAGCAGCGCCACAACTCAAAAGTGCACCGACTCCTCCTGAGATATGATACGTGTACTTGGGCAGCTTTATCTAAAGCAGACTACTGATCGTTTTGAGGCCTACGCGTTGCATACTGCACAAGGTATTCACGAGTCTACAGTGTCTACGCCCGCCACTCCTCCCCTGTTGCGCCCCACAGTTGCGAGTCTGATATCTCCGAAACTCATGTCGGGCAAAAGCTAATCAAGCGGTGGTTGATACTCACTGATAACCGGCTCTCCATAGTCTGGACCACCGCTAAGAAGGTAACCAATGAGGCCACAAGGACTTTTGACAGGGTGTTGGGGAAATGGACTATTTCCCACTACAGGATCCGGGCCTTGGCCAATTAGAGCACCATCACGAATCAAGGTGGACATCAATATGCGCGGCTCGTTGCGTGAACTCCCCACGAAATAGATGGGGAGGTGGAACCACGGCTACTCGGATTCTGACCGACACCCCATAGAACTGGGATCATTCGCCTCGAGGTTTGGCTCTTCAGACCTCGTTCCTTTCATAACTGCTGCATTCTCCCACCCATTCCCAGCATCTGAAGGACACGCGACCAGTCCGTCGCTGTCTGTATATCTTCGACAAGTTCGCCACCCTGCCCATCTGTGCACGTAGCTGGAGGCCTTGCCACCTGCAACAACATGATTGAAGAAGTCAAACCGTCCCAAATGCCTACTACCAAAACCACTGATATCGACCTGGCGCGGGTCGGGAGCATCCCTGGAGAGGTTGAAGATTTACCAGACCCAAAAGTGAAGAGGAGTACGAGAGCCCACGATGCCTCTTGAGGTGTACTTGAGCTAACGTGGCCTAGGTTTGATATGGAAGCTCGACTTGATCATTCTGCCCGTGCTCGGTATGATCTACTTCACCAACAGCCTCGACCGAGCCAACCTTGGAAACGCGAAGACCGATGGCATCGAGAAGGACCTTCATTTTGGTACTAACCAGTACTCCTTGGTCTTGACGTTGTTCTATATTCCCTATGGTCTCTTGAATATACCCACCACAATTCTGGCCAAACGCTTCAGCCCGGCCGTCGTGATCCCCATTCTCATGTTCGGCTGGGGTGCTGTGTCCATTGGAGCTGCTGCGGCCAAGAACTTTGGCGGCATTGCCGCGACGAGAGTTCTGCTGGGCGTCGTGGAGGCTGGGTTTGTACGTCTTTTCAGACTCGTTCCCTCAGGATTAACCGCCAGGTGCGGTCACTAACGGCATTATCAGTTCCCCTCGGCCATCTACTACCTATCCATGTTTTACACCCGTCATGAAAGTAAGGCATCGCTTGATGGCACTTGGACGCCTGATCCTGACCAGTCTCAGTTGCTAAAAGAATCTCGTTATTCTACATGATGGGATTCGTTGCCAACGCGTTCTCGGGATTGATCGCCTACAGGTGTGACTCTACCAAGCCCTGCGAAAAGATTATTCGCCAGTTCTAACGTGTCCTCGCAGTGTCTTCCAATGGCATACAAAGCTTCACGTAAGGTCCACCATCGAATCTTCAGACCACCTGTTAACGGTGATGCAGAACTGGCAATATCTTTTCATTATCGAGGGGAGCTTAACAGTTTTTCTCTCCGTCGTCGCATTCACGATCCTGCCTCGAAGCTTGGCGGCCTCGCGATATTTCAGCCAGGAGGAGAAGACCTTGGGAGCACTTCGACTGCAAAGGGAGTTTGAAATGGAGCCCACCAAGTTCTCCTGGTCGGCTGCCCTGAAACCACTGTTGAACTGGCATACGTGGATGTTCGGCGGCATGTCGTTGTGCTACGGAGTTGCCGCGGCCACCCTCTCGAATTTTCTGCCTGTAAGTGTCCCACGCATGGACTTGACGGGGGTGTCGCACCCGCTCACTGTGGTTTTGGTAGACCCTTATCAAGCGATTGAAGCCCGACACCGTCCAGGCCAATCTCTTCACCATCGCACCCAACCTCAACGGAGCTGTGTGGATTGTGGTCGTGTGTTGGATTTCCGACCGGTTTCAGGCGCGAGGCATCTGGTCCGTCATCACTATGGGGACGTCGATGATCGGGTTCATCTGCTTGGGCTCGGTTGATCTTGTCCACCAGGCGGGAGTCGGCTACTTTTTCACGTTTCTGTTGACATTTGGGGTAAGTCGCTTGTTCCCTTCCCGTACTAGAACCACCTCGTTTTGAAGTCCCTCGCTCACTGCTCCAGACGTTTACCCCGGCCGTGTTGGTCCCGGCGTGGGCGACCAGCAACATCACTTCCAACTCGGCACGTGCCACCACTCTCGGCCTGCTCTCGGGACTCCAGAACATTGCGGGAATCATCTCGTCGTATGCGTTCAGAAGCCAGGATGCTCCGGTAAGCTGGTCCCATGCACATGGATCGCGGGGCTAGCAAAGGCCATGCGGCTGAATGCTCCGCTTTGTCCCCCGTCTTTCCCTAACGTTGTTCAATTAGAAAGCTCAGAGCTAATCGTGGTGACACACACACAGATCTATCGACCCGCCTTGATCGTTTCCGGATGCTTCCAGGGCGGCATGCTGCTGACGGCCTCGTTTGCGTGGTTCTACTACAGACGGGTCAACCAGCAGCTCGACAGCGGGAAGAGGACGTGCGTGCGCGGCATGGAGCAGAATCCCGACTTCCGATACGTGCTGTAAGGGAAATCCAAGCTGGGTCCTGCCTGGTTGTTCGAGATATACCGGAAAAGAAATCTTGTGCGCTGCGACTTTTGGTATCCTGGCTCTTAGTCGTGGTGGCACGGGGGGGCTTCTCGACCGACTTTAAGAGGAAGAGGAAGAAGAAGGAGAAGAAGAGGATCATATCGTACATAGAGTCAATCGGCACCGCCCTCCTCGAGGATATTCTTTGAAACAGTGAGATTGAAAAGCATCTTTCGCATCTTTAGACAAAGCTTGCTGAAGATCCCCACGTGTCTGTGTATGTGGCCTTGCTCCAAGGTCTGCGGACGCCCTTTTGATTCTCTATGGAAACCCCCTAGATCGCAGTCCAGCAATGCACCTCTCACTGGGGAGATATGGTATGAATGTATGATACACTGTTCTGCGGCCAGCCCATGCTCTTGCTCTTGCTCGTTTCCCCAGGTTGGCCCTCTCCCGACGCATATGCTAGCTATCATGCATAGGTACTCCCGGAGCACACACGGGCTGAGGGCTAGTGGTCGATCTTGAGGGAGAAGTCGACGTGGGGACACCCCTGATGCAGCGCGGATGTGGATATCACGTCAATGTCTGCCTCGTGGGTTAGCCACACTCGGTCGTCTGTCGAATCTAGACTGCACGGACGGCCACACTTACCGTTGTTCACGTATTCCCTCACGTTCGTGGGCGTGAGCCCTCCACTGCACTCGAGGAGGAACGACTTCTTCCCGGCCCATCTCTGGCGGAGGTTTCTGGCGGCCACGCGCAGGCCCGGGCCGTCGTAGTTGTCCAGCATGATGACGTCGGCGCCGGCGGCAATGGCCTCGTCGGCACCCTCTTCGCTGTCGACTTCGACCTCGACCTTGAGGGCGTATCCCCCGACCGCCTTGGCGGAGCGCACGGCGTCGGTGATGCTCCCGCGGGACCAGATGTGGTTGTCCTTCAGCATGATCATGCTGCTCAGGTCCATGCGGTGCTGGTCGACGCCGCCCACCAGCATGCCGTACTTCTCGACCAGGCGGAACCCGGGCGTGGTCTTGCGCGTGCCCGCCACGATGCCCGTGTAGCCGGCGGCCCGGACCAGCTTGAGCAGTTTGTGGCTGGCGGTGGCCACGCCGGAGCAGCGCGCGAGCGTGTTCAGCGCCACGCGCTCGCCCAGGAGCAGTTTCCTGGTCGGGCCCCGGACCGTGGCCGCCTTGATCTTGCCGCCGGGGCTGGTGGTGGGGTCGAGAAAGTCGCCGTCCTTGACGAACCACTCGACGGTGCAGCCGCACTGGGCGAAGATCTCGTTCACGAAGGGGACCCCGGCAACCACGCCCGGCGCCTTTTGGTAGAGGGTGGCCGTGCGGACGTCCTCGCCCACGACAAAGCCGCCGTAGTCGAACGAGGGGGTGTCTTCGGCGAGCCAGGCGCGGACCTTGTCTGGCAGGCTGGTGGGGATGAGGTTGGCGGTGTCGCCGTAGTCGAGAGCCATGGTTCAGTACGCGCGTGTGTTTGATAGAGAGGGGAGAGAGAGAGGGTAGGTAGATGTGTTTGCGATGGTCGATATCTCTGAGGGCTTCACCTAAGACGCAGAAGAGTAGCGAAGTGAGGGCGTTGTCCAGAACTCACCAGCCAGAGCACCTTTTTCTTGACTTACTAAACCCATAGAAGGGACATCGACGCCTACAGTCGCTGCTGGTGGTAATGGTGCTGCTGCTCCCCACTGTTCATTCGGGAGAATTCGCGAACGCAGCCATGTCTGCCCATTGTTTGTTGATTCGGGCCCATTTGGGAGAGCTCCCCATGTTTGTGGTGGGTGGACCGGGGACAAGCAGCACAGGCTTCCAGGGAATAATGGGCATCCCGGTCCCGTGTGCGTATAAGAGGAAGAGACGGTGCATGAGCCCTAAACCCAGTTCGAGCAGCCAGCGAGAGTCAAAGTCACGAGTTGTCACGTCGTTCGGAGGTTGGATAATCAATCACACGCGAACAAACGCACGCACACACACACACACAGAGACGGTGATCACCGCTGATTTTCTTCATCAACAAAATTCTCCAAAACACCAACACCAACACCAAACATCACCATTACAATAATAACATCAATTTTCTACAACCATGGACGCCCCAAGAGTGTATCGTGAGGGTAGGTCTACTGTCCGTTCTGTTGCGGAATTGGCTAATTGGCGCCCCCAGGCCCAACACAGCGCAAGGCTGTTATTGCCGTGTGTATGGGCTCCGACACGGATCTGGCGACCTTGAAGCCGGGCATTGAGATCCTCGACACCATGGACATTCCCTACGAAGTGCACATCACCTCGGCGCACAGAACCCCCCAATACATGCTCGACTTCGCCAAGGGCGCAGCGGGACGAGGACTGAAGGTCATCATCGCTGCTGCTGGTGGCTCGGCGCATCTCCCCGGCATGCTGGCCTCGGAGACGGTGCTCCCGGTCATCGGGGTGCCCGTCAAAGCCATGGCGCTGGATGGGCTGGATAGTTTGTGCAGCATCGTGTCGATGCCCCGCGGGATCCCCGTGGCGACCGTGGGCATCTCGAACAGTGTCAACGCGGCCATCCTGGCGGCCCGGATCGTGGGCACCAGCGACGAAAAGGCGCAGAAATGGGTGGCCGACCATCTCAAGAAGATGGACGATGAGAACATGGCCAAGGAGCGGCGTCTGCAGGAAGAGGGCTGGTCGACGTACAAGAAGCTGGACTCGTAGCCCGGGGCAGCTCTAGCAGTCGACTTCCACGTCCTTGGTTGTGGGTGTAATTGCATGGGTGCAGGTGTTGGGATTGACCCATATGGCAATGATTCAATCGATCAATCAACCAATCAATAGCATGTGCATGCATGACCTGAAACTGATCCCTCACTAACAGCAATATATTGTATCGTATATCGGTGCTGGAGGGGTGGGCGGAATTCATGCCACACCACACGTGACTCCCACTACACTGCATCTCTCTCCTACATATTCGATCATTCCTCTGCATGTGCATCTGGCATCTTGTGTCTGGTGGGAGTCCATCTTGCTTTACTGTATCAATCGTATTCAACGGCGTCTCCATGCAACACCCCCATTGATAAGAGTGGAAGCCGGCTCGCCACTCGGCGACATCAGCGGCGTTATTATGTGTGTGAGAGATGAGATGCCACCAGCCCACGACGACCCTGGACTAACTAACTATCCCCTGACCCGAGGTCCCCCGTGTGGTCGGTCCATCTGACGACTATCGACTAGTTATCTATTATCTATTATCTGACCATCTAACCATTACCGGTATGTCCAGGCTGCTGAGGCTTGTGAGGGCCCTGATCCCTCCCTCCATCATCCCTTAGCTGCTGCTCCCATCCATTTCGCCAGCATTCTGGCCATTTTCCCCCAAACACCCACCCAACCTGGTCATGTTCTCACGTGCCGCCCTGGGTACTCCAGTCGCCCTGTTGCCTGCATCTCCCCATGGGCATCCATCATGAGTGCTAGCACTAAGCCCAAGAAATTCGTCTGCCCCAATGATGCCTGCCAGAAGGGCTTCACCCGCGCCGACCACCTGCGCCGTCACATGTTGAATCATGGCGACGGCGACTACACCTGTCCGCGATGTCGCTTGCATTTTAAGAGACCCGACCTCCTGGGTAAGCGAGCGGCCACCGGGTCGTGGACGGTCCGGCTAACTGAGCTCCCCTCTAGACCGCCACGTGGCACGACATCGACAGAAGGATGAAGAGGCCGGTGGCGAAGGACTCGGCATTGTCGAGAGTCGGAAGAGGCTGTGGCGAGATGCCAACGGTAATATCGTGAGGGAGCGACCCTCGCACAGCTATCTGCGCCGACAGTGGATGAGGATGCAGTCCCTCGACCTGGCCCAGCAGAGTGCACAGATCCCCGTGCTCATGAGCTGTCTGAACTCGCCCAAGTCGGTCGATGCCGAGAGGTCCTCGCCGTCCAGGTCCAGGTCCGGGGCCGACTCGGCCGGCGCCCAAGGTCTGGAGGCCGAGGCATTTCCTCAGAACCAGGGCTTGATCGAGACGGCACTGGGGTTCGACATGTTTGAGTTTATGGCGAGGTCGTCCTGGGACTTTTCGGCCGATGATTTGGACATGCAGGTCGATGCTCCTTTTGATGAAGCCTCGAATCAGAATTCTGGTAAGGGAGATTACACGGTGGCCGGGACGAATGCACTGAACTGACCAGTCCAACACAGCGACAACCTCGTACAATGCGCCATTCGTGCCCGTCCCGAGTCTGGACTGGTTCGTCGATCCCAATGCCAATGTCATGTCCGGCCCCGAACAATCAGAGTTTGGGAGTCTGCCGGTCACCGCGGGCCTCCATTCCCAAAACATGTCCCATCAACCGACGGACCCGTCATCGAGTGACCTGTTCAGCATGCCATCCAATATGGGCCGCCAGCCCACGTTGGTACCGTCACTAAACGAGCAACCGCTGCCACAGAACTCGACGGAAGCAATAGAGACGCGAGGCGAGTCTTCGGCAACCCTGGCAATCGGGACGAGAAATGAAAGAGTCCCGACGGCGTCAGTCCTGGTCCCAAACCTGGATTCGTTCTGGGAGACCGGGTCTTCGATTTCTGCTTTGACCAGTCCAGGATCCGCGCAAGTTACGGACCGACCGCGACCGGAGCAGATTCCACGATCCGAACGAGACAGCTCATACTCTGCATCCAGCCCGGATAGTCTCCCCAGCCGACCGGGGACAAGTACACTTCCCCTGGATGACAACTCCCACCAGAAAATTTTGGGCTTGCTGCACCGTGCCGAAGCGAAAACCGCTGATGCGAGGGCCGACACCAGCAGACATCAGTCTCTCTTGTCCCGCGCGTCCATGCAACACTACATCGAGCTTTTCTTTTCCTGCTTCAACGCCTCCTATCCTCTCCTACACATGGCCACGTTCGACCCCTCGCGGACGGAAACGCTCCTCCTCACCGCCGTGGTGTTGCTGGGAGCGACTTTTAGCGACAACAGCATCGATGCCTTTGCCGACCGCATGTACGACGCTCTGAGGGCCGAAGTGTTTCATCGGGTGGCATTTTCGGTGACGCCAGAGCTGTGGATGATTCAAACCGTGTTTTTGCTTGAATGCTTCGGTCAGTCACGGCTTTGTGGCCAGTCGCGGGAGGTTCACGTAATTGACAACTTCTAGGACAGAGGCAACATGACACGGCCTTTGTATTTCATGGTCTCCTCGTCAAGTAAGCTTCCACCCATGATGGAACAGGACGCCGTGATATCTAACAACGCCAACCAGTCTAATCCGGCGAAGTGATTGCCTGACGGTGCAACAACCAAGAATGGTGGATAAACCAGAGCTCCTCGAATCCAACTGGCGCCGGGCAATCAGTGTCGAGCTCCAGAAAAGGTCAGGAAGATCCACGCTGGCCGGTTCGATACACTAACAGGCCCCCAGAGTTGCCTTTCTTTGTCTCTTTTGGGACACTCAGAATGCCGCCCTCTTCTCCCAGCCGCTGTCCCTGTCCACGTTTGAGATCCGCACCGCCCTGCCCTGCAGCCGCTCCGCGTGGGAGGCCACTTCGGCGGAAGAGTGGTGGAAGTACGCCAGCGAAGAGTCTCTCCTGCCGTTCCAGTCCGTGCTCACGGCGTATCTGGATCTGGAGTCGGGACTGAAGATCCCGGACCTCGACGCCTTTCCCCTTCTCCTGGTCCTCAACGGACTCATCTCCATTCAGTGTGAAATGAAGCATGTCGACCAAATGGCGTCTGGTAAGCGATGACACCGACCAGCTCACGGGTGGCTACTGACGCTTGAACAGGACTGATGCACCAGACGGGCTACCTGGACACGTCCAAGTGGCGGGAACAGCTCATTGCCGCGTACGACGCGTGGAAAGTCGACTTTGACACCTACTGCCTGAAGATGGTCTCGTTCGACGAAAGCCACTCGCGACGAGCCCACTTTGCGCGCTTCCGGACCGCCGCCAACGCGGTCTACCACACGGCCCACATCACGTTGAACGTCGACATCGTCGACCTCCAGATCTACGCGGGAGCCCGGCGTTCCGTGGGCCGCCGGGTGACGCGATCCGACTACATCCGAGCTCAGGGGAATGTCAAAGAATGGGCGCAGGCCGGCGGCTCGTCGCCGGCCGTCAAAGCGGTGTGGCACGCCGCCCACTTGCTCCGCGACAGCGTCTTCAACCTGGAGAGCTTCGACGTGCAACACACCTTCTTCTACCCGTTCCGGCTGTACATCTCGACCCTGATCTGCTGGGCGTTCCACTCGCTGACCGTGGTGGTGGTGCCCCCCCACCCGACAAGCGGCGAGAGACCGGACAAGTCGTCCCCGAGCAAGACGACCAACCTCGACGGGTCCACGCGGTGGCAGGCCGAGACGGAGATGAAGGTGCTGGTGAGCAGCATGACCAGCGTGATGCCCGAGCGTCTCTCGCGCCTGCTGGGCAAGTACTCGACCACCGGCCTGACCACCGTCATGGCCGAGCGGTTGAGCCGCATCCGGTGGATCGTCATCCAGGAGGGCACCAAGCTGCTCAAGGACCTGGTGCCGGAGCGCATGGCCGACGAGTACGAGGGGGTTGTGGATGAGTAGGCAGGCAGGCAGGCAGGCAGGCAGTCACAGCCGTGTAAAAATCTACTCCAATCTTGATATGTCTTGATATGTCTTGGGCTTCCTGAAATGTGATTTCTAACATCATAAGCCACAGACTTTTTGTGTAAAAAGACATTCATGAGTCAGGTTTTTTTTGGGGGGATGGCAGGGTTGGCAAGAGAGAGATATATGTAATTATACCACTCACAAAACCCCCCGAAATAAGCCAAACACATATTATTCGGGACCTGAAAACAGACGTTGCATCGTCCCTTGATCTGTGTCTGTATCTCGGTGGACAAACAAGTCAACACCATGATATGACGGTTGACGACCGGTCTGTGCTACAACACGGCCAAACCCTCAAATTGATCCTCTCCTTTTTCCAATTGTGTGTAGCTATCCATCTGCATTATTAGTATTCCCACCGACCCCAGACGCTCCTGTGATTTCCGAAACACGACATAATATGTATTTCGGCCCTCAAGGCTCTCATGACCGTTTTTGGAAGAGACGTTGCGTTGCGTTCGACTAACAGTAGGTCGACCTCCCGAGTACGGAGTACACAGTCAACACTCACCCACTCATTGCGGAACAATGACAATAACAATAACTCAGTTGCGCCCCGGAAGAAATTCGTGGGGGATAAGCCAGGAATAATGGGGGCGGGTGCAAGAGTGGGAGTGGGAGTGGGGTGCGTGAAAGAGGTTCCGACACCGAGAGAGCCTCCTGCCTCGTCCTCATCATCATCACCCTTGAGCCTCTAGAGGGAGGAGTCTTGGGACTGGAAGAAGGCGTTTGGGGAAGTTGCGGACTGGTCGAGATCGGAATCTGATTGATTTCTCCCGATTGAAGTAAATATAGGTACATCTGTCGGCCGGTCAGTCGGTGGGTTACGGTATTGTTGTAGTTAGCATACCATATTATACCATACTATACTATACTACACATACGGTACTGTGTCCTATGTCCTGGAGAAGGGAGAAGGGAATAAATAATCCCCCTCATACCTCACTCACTCACATGGTACGGTACGGTATGGTGAGGTCAGCTATTCGGGAAGGGAGAGAGCGTCCATCCATCTATGGCTCTGTCTTCTTCAGTTCGTCATTTATTTGTGTTCTTCGTTTATTTTATTTATCCATTTTCCAGTCTGCAAATGCTCGTATCCTGCTTGTGCATACGCACTATACTACACTACACTATGCTGTACAGTACTCTATCCTGAGCTCAATTCACATCACATCAATCTAATTATCCTATCCTCCTATCCTATCCTGTCCCTCCTGTCCTGTCCCATCTTCATCCTGTCCCCTTTCCACTACATCCCTCATCCCTCCCCCTCCGTCCTCTCTCTCCTCCACCCTCGTCCGGATCCACTCCTCCAACACCCTCGCGATATCCAGATTGTTCAGCTCGAGCATCTGCATGTGTCCGTTCCCCCGGATGCCCCGCTCTTCCAGGCGGATGAAGTCGCACTCCACGCCCGCCTGGCGCAGAAACGCCACGGTGGCGTGGTCGTAGGGCGCGTGGTAGCTGGCCTCGCCCACCTCGACCAGCACGGGGATGTGCTGGAGATGGCGCAGCTTGCGCACCACGTGTCCCTGCGGTCCGCCTTCTTTCTGAAGCACGGTAGGATCCCGACCGGGCTGCTGCTGCTGGGCGGAGGAGTGGGGCACTGTCTCCAGATTGAATTCGCTGGCATCCGCGACGGGCGGCCAGTACGCGATCGGCACGTCCGTGAGCCCCCACGCCCGCGCCGGCGCGCCGTTGTGCGGGTGGTGGCCCGTGAAGGGCGGCCCGTTGGGCTCGACGGCGACGATGGCGCGCACGAGGTCCGGGCGCGCGTCCGCCGCGAGCCAGCCCCCCGGGGCGCCCTGGGAGTGGGTGAGCAGGATGCACGGGCGGGCGATCCGCTCCAGGAGGGCGACGAGCGCCGTCTTCTGCGAGACCTGGTACGCCGGCAGGTCGGACGTGCTTGGGTACGTCGAGGCGTAGAAGGCGTCGAAGGTCGGGTCGCCGCGTCGGCCGGTCTGGAGGTATGGGTCAGTTAGTGGTTTGGGGTGAGGAAGAATAAGAATCGGTTGGTGGGTGGATAGGATGACCAGTTCCTTCAGCTCGAGAACACAGACACAGACACAGACACAGACACGGGCGTAACCAATGCTTCACCATGTCCTTTCTTTCTCTCTTCTTTTCTTCTTCTTGGAAGCGCCTTGAGAGCCTGTGTGCATTTACCTCCTTCCTCCCTTGTTTCCCGGCTTTCCTCGGTTCGATTGATTTTGGGAAAACCTTTGTATGTATGTACTTACCCCCGGCCACTGAGTATGCAACGCGGCCTGCGGCCACGACGACGACGACGACGATGGGGCGGTGAACCACTGCTCGACAAAGCCGGTCGAGTAGGTCGTGTGGTGCTGCGCGAGGTCGGGCGCCGACCGGCCCCGCGACGGCGTGTCCACGATGAACACGGCGAAGCCCTGGGCCAGGAAGTACGAGGCCCAGCCGGGCCGGTGGTCCGGGGTGTGCAGCCAGTTCTACACATTACACATTATTAATGTACAGCACAAAAGATACGTTCAGTTGATTTGGCGAAGATCGATCGACGCATAGATATAGATACATGAGTAGTATGCTTGTTGGAGGAGGAGGAGGAGGAGGAGGAGGAGGAGGAGGTAGAGGTATCATACGTACCAGCCCGCTCTGCCCGCCCCCGTGCACCAGGATGAGCGGGAACGGACGCCGCACGCCGCCTGCGACGGGCACGAGGCACTCGACGTACGTCTGGCCCTTCATGATGCTGCCGCCGAACTGAGCGGTGGAGGACGAGTCCTCTACGGGCACGTACTCGCCCCCGACGAAGAAGTAGTCGCGGTAGTAGGCGCCGTCGGGGAAGGAGTCGGGATGAAACATGTTGGCGACGGCGGCGCTGGTGGTGGTGGTGGTCGTCGTCGTCATTGTTGTGAGTGCTGCTGCTAGTTGTACATGGTCTCTTTGGTCCGTGGCATGGGTTCTCGCGCAGTTCAGCTCAGTTCAGTTCAATCCAAGTCCAGCCCAAGAAAGGGGGTTGGGGGTCTCTGGTGCATGCAAGGAGACAAGTACGAGGGGGCTTATGTGTTCATCTTTTTATGTCTGTGAAAGGAGGGAGGTTATTTGGCAAAGATAGGTAGGTAGGTAGGTAGGTAGGTAGGTAGGTTAGCCTAGTAGCCTCACCAGCCTAGTGCACACAAGAGACCGAGGGTTTGCCCCGTCCGATCATACCAAGAATGGGGGAGGGGAGGGGAGGGGAGGAAAGGAGGAGCATGATTGAGGAGATATTCAGATTCAGTACATACCTCGGACACGTACACCAGGTTTGTATGTATGTATGTTCCCACCTCCAGCTGCTTTCAAACCCACACTGTTTTAACTAGAGAATGCCAGGAAGAAACCGTGTTGCTTCTGAGCCCAGTCAGGCTTACAGAGTCATCTCACAGCACAATATGGAGAGCGTACATATGTAGATATAGGATGGTGACAGCGGACATCGCCGTAGGGACACCCATAATGAGAATTCTGTCTCCTCCTTTACACAAATCTCCGGTCTGAACCTACATAGATTATGTACCATCCCCCCCCAATCCCCGGTCGTCAGTCGCCGGACTAGAAAAGCGTCCCATCCCCGGCAATCAGGATCGGGCTGGACCTGGTGGCCGGCCTGAACTGGGCGGCCAACTCTCTGCCCGCTTTGAACGTGCCGGCCTCGAGCATCTGTCCTAAACTCACAGGGACATTCTTCTTCTCCACCAATATCTTGTGCAGCTCGTCCAACAGTGCAACCGTCATGGCGCGCCACTCGACGATCTCGTCGCCCGTGGCCTCGAACTGGGGCAGCACCTGGCCCGACAGACTCTGGCCGCGTCGCAGGGCGTCCGGCTTCAGGCGCAGCACCGGGATGTCCACGAAGATGCCGCCGTTGCGGTACTCGGCCAGCCCCGTGCTGAGGTGCTCGTTGGTCCATCGCAGATCCAGCAGTCGCAGAAAGGGCACCTTGAGCGAGTAGGCCAGCCACTGGGTCAGCTTGTGGAAGGGCTGGATGGCGCCGGTGAGCGGTTTGGTGCCGGTCGTCGTCTGGGCCAGCACGCGCAGCGGCCAGGCGTCGCCGATGGGCCGTCCGGCGATGTGCGGGCGGTTCTCTGGCCAGACGGGGAGAAGTAATTGCTGCAGTGTCTGCCACAGGAAGGCGAAGTCGAGGACATTGGATCCGACGGCGTTGGCGAGCAGATAGTCTGAGACGTCTGGTTAATAGATACACGACAGTGATTGAAGAGAACGGCATTTCCTGACCGACAAGACCTCCCGGCCGCCCCGTAGGCCCGAAGATGTGGGTGAGGTTGAGCAGTGACACGCCCAGTCGATTGAGCAGTGTCACCCGCGACGAGAAAGCCGTCATCTCGTTGGTCCTGAAGATCTGAAAACCCTGCTGCATCGTGTCCTCGCTCATGTCGGCGAGGCCCCGAGCTACAACATGGCACATATCAGTCAGCGTAGATTCTGGCAACGGAGCTGAGCTGCAACACCCACGTACCGTCAACGAAGTGACCCTCACCCGTGCCCTGGGACTGGAACTTCCCGCCCAAAAACATGTGCAGCGTCGCCAATGCAATGCCCTCACTCCGCCCGTACGTCTGGCCCGTCCCCGGCTCGCGGAACTGCCAGACGTCGCCGGCGCCAGCGTCCATGAGAACCGAAACAAATAACAGGTCGACCATGCGGCGGGCGAGCTCGGTCTTGTCGCAGCCCTGGGCCGTCCACCGCTCCAGCAGTGGCGTGATTCGTTCATGGTTGCCCACGTTGAACTGCTGCCATCGCCCGTGCGGCGGGATCTGGTCGTACCTGTCGGGGCCAAAGTCACGCTGCTCGGCTCGTTAGCATTGTTTTGGTTGGGAGTGATGAGACACCAGACCGAGATGATGGAGACGACGTAGTCGGCGACTTCGGGCATCCGACTCTCGTCGTAGTCGAAGTGGTTCAGGAGGCCTTTCCGTGCGGCGTCGAGGACATGTTGTGCCTGTGTACGGACGCTCTGCAGCGACAGGATTTCGGCGATCTCTGCATCGGGGGAGTGGCTGTCGGGCTGCTGTGTCATGGTGTCTGTCTGTCTGTCTATGGTGAATGCACCGACTTAGTTACTGTGCATCTTCGACACTCGACCAGCGACAATACACATACAGTACTTAGCACCTAGGTACAGTCAGTAGTAGGGAGTCACAGTCGTGGGGATTCGGGGATGATCGGATCGAGCACAGTGGGAAGGAAATCAGCACAGGCTAGTTGCAAGCCGTGCGTCTAGGTCTTACAGTGTTACATACAGCACACGTGTGTGTGTGTGTATGTGTCTGTCTGTACATACCTGAGTGAGAGCGAGTTAGTCAGTGAGTCCAAGGATGGGGGAGCCACGAGGGAATCTCAGATGCTCATCCCGACAACTCCCCACTCACTACTTCGCACACGCCGTCGACGTGCCGATGGCCGAATCCGGACAAATCATCCTTGATGCATGATGCATGATGCGTGATGCGTGATGCGACAACGACAACGGAACGACGATGCTCTCTCCAACTTTGGGCCGCACAAAGCCCTGATCAGAACTTGGACGCACAAATTCAATTCCACCTGACAGGGTCCGTCCACAAGACTAGACTCGTTCATTTTCTTCAGGTGTCATTCAACAAAAAGGACCCCTGGACTGCGAATACCACCATCTGCATGCAAGAACAATAACAAGAACAATATTCTTATAATTCCCCAGCTTAGAATATCACGACACCCAGATGACCAAAATCCGGGTCGGCATCGTCGGCCTGTCCAGCAAGCCGGGGGCCTGGGCGGCACTGGCTCACCTCCCCCGGCTGGCGTCGTCGCCCAACTTTGAGATCGTCGCCATGTGCAATTCCACCCTCGCGTCCACCAAGGCCGCCATCACCGCCCACAACCTGTCCGAGGACACGGTCAAGGCCTACGACTCGTACGACGCCATCGCCGTCGACCCGGACGTCGACCTGTTCGTGGTCTCCACCCGGGTCGACAGCCACCTCGACGTCGTGGTGCCGGCACTCAAGGCCCGGCGCAACGTCTTCGTCGAGTGGCCCCTGGCCACCACCACCGAGGAAGCCCGCCAGATCGCCGCCCTGGCCCGCGACCAGGGCGTGCGCACCATGATCGGGTTCCAGGCGCGGGCGTCGCCGTCCATCAACAAGATCCGGGAACTGGTCAGCACGGGGGCGGTGGGCGAGATCCACAGCGTCAACTACCACGGCGTCATCAACAACTGGCAGGACAACGCGGCGGACGAGCGCTACGCCCACTTCCTCCAACGCAAAGTCGGTGCGAACCCGCTGACCATCTACGGCGGGCACGCCCTGGACTCCATCCTCTTCGCGATCGGCGAGCTGAAGCCGGGCACCTACCAAGCGCTGGCGGTCAACCTGCGTCCACGGATGCCCATCAAACGCGCCGCCGACGGCACATTATCCCCCGAGCTGTACGACAAGGACACGCCCGACCAGATCCTGCTGCAGGGCCAATTCGACCGCTCGCCCCCGGCCGTGCTGAGCTTCCACCTGCGAGGGGGCGCGCGGTTTCCCGACGCGCCGGGCTCGACATGGGAGATCTTCGGCACCAAAGCGATCCTGGTGGTGACCTTTGCCAGCGCGGGCCCGCAGATGGCCAAAGCCCTGACCTTTCGGCGGTACGATCTGGCCACCAAGGCGGTGGAGGACATCGTGGTCGACGAGGGCGGGGACGAGTGGACGTCCCTACCGAACCAGGGCCAGAATATCGGGCGGCTGTACGAGGCCTACGCCGCGGGGGCCGGGTACGCGGATTTCGATCTCGCGGTCAAGAGGCATGAGTTGTTGGATGAGTTCTGGGCGTCGATGGAGGGTCGTCAGGCATGATTGATGGCAGTTCGTCAATCGATCGGAGGGGATCCAAGTGGTGGTGGTGTGCTGCTGGCGCCGGTGCTGGGGCTTTGGCCATGGTAGATAGGTAGGTTGGTAGGGAGGGTGGTTTGGTCCCGGGTCACATATAGATAGATTCGGTGTGATTCTTTTTTCACTTGAGATCAGACAACAACTGCCTATCCACATACATACATACGTACATATCTTATCGGATAGGTCTGGCCTTCAACATGATATATAAAAATATATATCTTGGTGTGGTGGCACATTTGATGGCTCTTCCAATATCCAAAGATATCTGTTTCCTTTTACAGGCTGATAGACCGACAGACATATACTCATTAATGCTTGCTTGCTTGATTGATATGGAATAATATGATATGATATGATATGATTATCCCGTGCTACACCTAACCTCCCCGGACCAGACCCGTGGCTCCAACCCCCCCGAATGCCTCACAAAAGGGATCTCGTGTGTCCACTCACTCAGTCATTCATTCATTCAATTGGCGTCACATTATCCCACGCCCGCTCCACCAACTCGGCAAATTCCTCCAGGTTGCGACACCGCCATGCGTACCCGACCAGCCCCTTCTCCAGGGCCATGCGGCTCTCGGCCTCTTTCCCCCAGCGGGGCCCGTCGCCGGTGAGAAACACGCTGCTCAGCCCCAGACGCTTGGCGGGCGCGTGGTCGTGGCCCAGGCTCTGGGCGACGTGAAGGATCTCGTTCTTCTGCACGCCGTACTTGGCGCAGTAGTCGACGAGCGTCTCGAGGCGCGTCTCGTCCAGCCGGGCCGGGTCGCCGCCGGAGTCCTCGGCCGTGAACACCTTCCACCAGCTCACGTCGCCCAGCCCGCTCGTCGGCGACGACTGCGTGATGTACCACGCGAACCGGTCGATGTTGGACAGCGCCACGAGCCGGTAGTGGCGCTGCAGCTGGCGCAGCGCGCGGATGGTGCCCGGGAAACACGGCCACGACGAGATGACCGCCTCGCTGCCGAAGGCGAGCGCCTCGTCCTCGCTGCTCTCGACCTGCAGTTCGCGCGCGATCCGCCGCCAGATCTCGGCCAGGATCTGGTCGAAGCGCCGCGCCGGCTTCTCGAGCTTGATCTGGTCCTCCTGCTGCTGGAACAGGCGGAGGAACTGGATCGCCCCCGTCGTGTTGCTGTCGGGGATGTCACGGGACAGCGGTGTTGGGTCCAGATACGGGGATGACGCGGGCAGTCGAGACAGCAGGGGCTGGAATGACCGCACGATGTGCGCCTTGTACTCGATCAGGCTGCCGTAGACGTCGAAGGATATCACCTTGTAGTGAGGCAGCGGCAAGGGCGGGATGGTGGGCTCGGGCATTGGAAGGGCCATGGTTGTGGACATGCTGATGGGAGTATTGATTGACTGAATGACTGACTGATTGATTGATTGATTGATTGAATAGGTGGTTAGGAGTGAGAGCTCACCGGCGAACAAAGGTATTGTAGAGAACAGATAGACGTCTCACAAGTCGGTGACAGCTTGATCTGACCTGATCTGGTGTCTTTCACACACACACTCATCTGATGGCTAGAGCCAGCAACAATGGCACTAGCCCATCAACACTTCCGTCCGCTAAGCCTAGTGCCATCGGAACCGCCCGTTAGGAGCGTTACAGTTCCAACGCTTTAGGGAATCAAGGGTGGGGAGGGGGGAGGTGAGGACGGAGAAGAACGGTCATACGGTGGCCACCATTCTTAGGGCCCCCATGGGCAAGCATGGACAAGCACGGACAAGGGTGGGGGGATCACCACTGTTGTGCCAGGGACGCCGTGTCTTGAAGAGGCATCGTATGTTGATACTGGGGTTACTAAAGAAAGCCATCTCATACATATGCATTGGATAATATGGATGTATTTATGGGTGGATGTGGAATCTGAGTTGTGTTTTGATACAGTAATAAATAACGCTCAGTCTCGTCATTCCGCCAATCCACCAATCAAAACCTACCGATTACTGTACGCCCGCCCATCCGTGACACGACGCAAGACTGTATTGTACATACGTACAGTAATATATCCATGCTGGGAAGCACACTCAAGATCCTCGCCGGTATGGAAAGAATACTGATAATTGATGTCCAAGATATTTGGAATGTGTATATTCCTTTGCATGGGAAACTGAATTCAATTCCAGGAAGCAGCCACCCTGAGCTTGCCCAGCTCATCTCCCAAAAGTAATGTCATTCTCCTCCTACCCATACATGTACTCCCCCTTCTGGTGCAATACACATAACATATATATATATAACCATGATATTTGATATTAACGAAAAACTCCCCCCCCAGAATCACCCGGCCCATCGGCGCCCTGCACACACGCCGCTTCGCCAATGGCGAGACCCTGGTGACGGTGGTAGACTCGGTGCGCGACCAGGATGTCTTCATCCTGCAGACCGCCGCCGACCCGGTCAACGACCTGCTGATGGAGCTGCTCATCACCGTCAACGCCTGCAAGATCGCGTCGGCGCGCCAGATCACCGTGGTGCTCCCCTGTTTTCCGTATGCCCGCCAGGACAAGAAGGACCGCAGCAGGGCGCCCATCACGGCGAAGCTGGTCGCCAATATGCTCCAGACCGCCGGGTGTAATCATGTCATTGTAAGTTGGGCATCATGGAACATCGGACGGACAGACAGACAGGCATAAGGAGTAATCGATATTGACAGTGACCAGACGATGGACCTGCACGCCTCGCAGATTCAAGGATTCTTCGACATTCCTGTGGACAAGTAAGACACCCTCGGTGCAGCATTCCCCAGTCCTGGACGCCGGTCTTGCTGACTTGGAGTCAGTGTGAGATGCGTACATCCACCCCCTTTTCTCTTTTCTAGCCTTCTTCTTTCTCACCGAATCTCGTCCCCGTCAGCTCTACTCTGAAACCGTCATGCGGGACTATATCCAGCAGCACTACGACATCAGCAACGTGGTGATCGTGTCACCCGACGCCGGCGGTGCCAAAAGGTATTGATTGGCCTGCCCTGCTGCGCAAGACTATTCAACCATGGGAAGCATGTTAACCCACCCTCGGTGGTGTGTACAGAGCAGCCTACATCGCCGACAAACTCAAAGTCGACTTCGCCCTGATCCACAAAGAACGACAGGTCGCCAACGAAGTCTCCCGCATGATCCTGGTGGGCACCGTGACGGGCAAGACGGCCATCATCGTCGACGACATCGCCGACACGTGCGGCACGATCGCGCTGGCGGCACGGATCCTGGCCGAGCACGGCGCCGAGAAGTGCGTCGCGCTGGTCGTGCACGCGTTTCTGAGCGGGCGCGCCGTCGACGTCGTCGAGAGCACCCCGGCCCTCGATGAGATGGTCGTCGCCAACACCGTTCCCCTGTCGCCGCGCGCCAGGGACTGCGCCAAGATCCGCACCATGGACGTCTCAGCCCTGCTGGGCGAGGCCATCAGACGGACGCACTATGGCGAATCGTGAGCGAACCACTTTTGAATACTGGAGTGGATATGGAGTGAAAGCTGACATGTGCGTTGTGCCAGGATATCGCAGCTCTTTTTGTAGGAATTACCTACCTACCTACCTACCCGTCATGGTGAAAACGGGGGGGAAACAGACTCAGTCTGACTGTCACTAACAATGATACCATCACACAAATATCATATTCTTAGTCTGGAGAAAAAATCGTGTGATTAAATTACAGCCAGTCTCCGATAAGAGTCATAATAGTCCTCTGGTAGGAACCCCGAAGATAGACTGGACTCGTTTCGCGACATGTGCAAGATACAAGAGATTCATCATCCTGGATAGATCCTTCCATCTCTCTCTCTCTCTCTATATATATATATACTTGGGAGATATTACCCACTCCTCGTCGGTCCGTTCACACATGATACATAACGCCCAGCTAAAACGACCAACCAACCAACCGCCCACTCATGAAATGAAAGACAGGGAAAAACCCTCCCTCCGTTCTAAAAACTCATGCCACCCGCCAATTGAAGCGGACAATTTCGTGCCACATGATCCAGTACCCGTTGCCGTCGTCCAAAATCTCCTCGCGCTCCACCTCGAGTTGCTTGCCCTTGAGGCGCGGCACGACGAAGGAGAAGACGAGCCAGTACAGCACGGAAAACCCGATCAGGCCCATGCCGATGGTGCCGGTCAAGAACCACTTGACCGGCTGGGTGATGCCCGTGTCGCCCGAAGGCGGGATCCAGACGGCCACCAGGGGAAACGCGTTGGCGACGGTGAAGATCAGCGCCGCCGACAGGCTCACCCACGCGTTCGACTTGGACTTGCTCGCCCAGTGGAATCCCGGCCGCAGGCGCAGCACCAGCAGGCTCAGGCCCACGAGGAACCCGAACAGCGCGTCGATCGTGAACGAGTATAGGTTGACCATGGTGCGGTAGGCGTCGTTGGGGTTGTGCTCCGGCACGGTCAGGGCGATCAGCAGCACGGCGAAGACGAGGTGCAGGATCAGCGCGCCGGCGGGGGTGTCGTCGGACCTTTCTGTGTTGTTGTTGCTGTTGTCGTTGTTGTTGTTACGCCGGTGCCGCGGCCACAGCGAGTAGTTGTTGGCGAAGAACCTGGCCCACGGCAGAATGCCCTCTTTGGCGATCTCCTGTTTCACCCGTGCCGCCGTGAAGGTCTGCACGATGATATTGCCGAAGCTCGAGAACGCGAGGAATCCACAAAGGGCCTTGTCGGCAGCTTCTTCCCCGAAGATGCGTTGGAAGAAGGGCCGGGCCACGGTGTCGTCGGCGCGACTGAAGAGGACCGAGGCGGGCACGACCAGCATCTATCCGACAGACAGTTAGGCTTGTTGGGGTCAAATCATTGTCTGTGATGGTGTGTGACTCACATAGGAGATGTTGATCAAAATGTACAGGAGGCTGACGACGCTGACCGTGGTGACGGCCGTGTGCTTGAACTTCTTTTTGGGATCGTCAATGTCGCCCAGGACCTGTCCGTTCAATGTCAGCATCTCCAAATCCAGAAATGACTTCTCTTGGCGGTGTGCTCACGTAGTTGGCCTGGTTGAACCCCCCAATCGCAAAGATGATACCCAAAAACGCCTCGGCGTAGCCGTACGACGACGTCGCGGCGCCAGCAAAGGAGTGGTGCACGCTCAAGTTATCCGCCGCAGTCTCGTCATTCCCGCCCAGGCCGCCGCCGGCGTACACCACGCCGAGGACGAACAACACCAAAAGCATCAAGAACTTGACCGTGCCAAAGAAGTTGTTGAGCCACACACCTCCCGTCCGTGATATGGCGTGCAGCAGACAGGCGAACGTCACAACGCCGATGGCGATGCCCCGCACCGAGCCGTTCATGGCCTCCTTGCCCGACGCCAGCATGATGTTCTCGGCGAAGATGATGGCGTTGCCGGCTGCGGTGCCCAGGCAGATGAAGGGGATGCCGTAGATGCAGGTGGCGAGGTAGAGGGGGCGCTTGACCATGTATTCGAGCTGTTCGGGCAGAGAAGTCAGTGTCCAATGTCCGTCCTCCTTTGGGGTATACTGACATAGTTCTTCTCGCCTCCGTTTCGAGGCACCGACTGTTTCTCGGTCTCATCCTCGACGGGCAATCGGGGGACCGTCATGCCGAATTCTGCAAAGACCAAAACCCCGGCGACGGCGACGATGGCCCCGGCAGCCCAGAAGACGAGGCTGTAGCCCACGGAGTGGGTGCCGTGGGCGACTGTGGTGGGTGTCCTGAATATTCCCGTGCCTTTATCACACCATTAGAATCGAGTCGATGTCTCTTGGGGGTGTCTTGCCAAACTTACCCACCATCCGGTTGACGATGATACAAGCAATCGAAGTATAACCCAGGGAGGGTGGACGGGTCGTCACCACCGAGTTCGGCTGTTGTCTGGCTTGTGCGATCTTTTCCAGTTCTTCGGCTGTGAACATCGGACGGTCATCCACCGCGTCGTCGTTTTCCATTTCTGGATAGCGTTCCATGATGACTCTGTGGAAGAAAAGAGACAAGAGTGCCGATGGCAGTCGAGCAAAGAGTTCAACGACAATGACAATAACGAGAAAGAAGTGAAGGGGCAGTTGACACACAGATCTCAGGCTCAAGAGCAGTAGTTGATCCCAGGCCCTTGACACGACCGACGGCGACCACGCCTTCTTCTGGATCTTCTGGCTCTTCTTGTCGCCCACTCCGCCACAAGCTGCGCATCGTGGGATGACGCAGCCAAGCAGGCCAGAGGTCCCAAGAAAAGACTCATTGTTCTTGTTTCCAAAAGGCAGCCGCTAAAGGGTGTGGTTTCAAGCCACGGTTTGTTCGCGTGCACGAAGAGGACAAGATTTGGGTAATCAGATTGGGTGCACGTGCCAAGACTGGAGACTCGGGGGCGTCATGGGCGTTATCTCGAGCTGCCCAGAAGAGCCTCCGCCCAAGGCACATTTAGCCCCAGAGTGCCCAGAGGTAATTATTAGGTGGGTACCGCCCCTATCAGGTTAGTTACCCCTTTACCCAAGTTACCCGCCCGAGGGACTCCAGGGACTCACCCGCTAAACCATGAGGCTGAGAAACCTCGACCAATGCTCTCACACCATCTTCTCGGAAGTGGCTGTTGTGACAATTGGCATCAACTGAAACCTCATACTGTACATATGGACTCTGCCACCACAAGCTTGTCCACTTTCTCTTCCTCGGCTAACAACCCCCCCAAGGAAACTGGCTTGACCTGGGCTTGACCTGGCGCCTGGAATCTTTGTCCCCAGCATGGCATGGCAAGGCAATCATGGCCTCCACAGGAACCACACACATCCCGTTCGCTCTCACATGCGCCACCAGCCTGAGCAATGCCCTCCTTCATTATCACCGTCGGCGCTCTCAGTCGCCGCCCACTGACTCCTGCTACTGAGAACTTCCATGCAGTCGACACCAATGGCCCTCCCCCTCTCTGAGATCGCGGCCGCTGCCCGCATCGCCTACACCATCTACGACCTGGGGTTCAGCAAGTACACGAGTGCCCGTCAGTAGTGCCCTCCCTCGAGCGAGAGAGAGAGAGAGAGAGAGAGATAAGGATATTCCTGGCTGACTGGCCGACAGAACAAGAATACCTCGACTTCGGCAAGGACATCTTGCTACTTCGCGATGGTCTCGACGCCATCGTCGAATCGGTCGAGCACGTTGACCGCCAGGGGCGTCCGCACGGCGCGGTCGAACACGCGCACGACCTGGCGTCCTTCCACACCATCGTTGGCGACTTCAAGGAGACCCTCAAACGCTGTGAGAAGCTCATCCGCAAGAACGGCCACTTCAGTCGCGATGGCAGCGGCTTCGTGCACAATGTCCAGTGGAACTCCGGCCTAGGCAAGCACGTCGAGTATTTGGGACGACGGGTGGCGTTCCATTGTTCAAAGGTGGGAGGGAGAGACAGATCTTGGGCAGTGTTCATTATGGGCTGACCGTGCACAGATCAACTTGATACTCATCCCCTTGAAGATGTGAGTAAACTCATCAGAAACTCGACCCTCCTCTGACCCGGATATAGAAAGATGTACACCGACATCCGGCGAGAAATCGCCACGGTCCACGAAGACATCATCTTCCATTTCGAGCACATCATCCGGGCACTTGATATCGACACCAACGGCGATCTCCTGCCGGTGCCGTCCCTCCTGGAGGAAAGGTTCAGACGGTCCGTCACCCGGTCCGTCCCCTTCCCCATCGAAAAGGGCATCGACGCCCTGGCCCTCCACCTGGGCAACAGCACCCAGAAATTCGTCCGCCAACCACCTCTCCTAGTGAGGCCCGACCCGTGCCAGTACATCAACCTCATGAAGAGCGTGTGGCTGGTGCAGCAACTGCAAAGGGACCCGGAATTTGGTGCCCGGTGCCTGGACGTGCTCTGGGGCGCCTACTTCCGCCAGCTGCAGCGGCGCGTGATCCACGAGTGTCGCCGGTTCTGCGCCGGCGACTGGCCCCTGGTTGCGCCCGACGACCAGCAGATCCTGCAGGAGGCCGACGACAAGTTCGACATCTGGGTGCACTTCGATGAGGTCGACGACTTTGACGACCTCACCGAGCCCAACGGCATGGAGACGCGCGTGTTCCGCACCACCCTTCCCGACGACGCCGGCCGCGCCCAGCAGATCGCCGTGCTCCGCGTCAACACGAACCGCATCCGGCTGGTGCGCACGCTCACGCGCGGCAGCGACCGCGCCATCGAGAACTACGAGATCGACTCCCAGCGCGTGCTGCTGCTACCGTTCTACAGCTTCCCCGAGGCGTCGGCCGACGCCATCAGTCTGGGGTGGAAGGCCCAGGCGTCCGACTACCAGAGCCGCGCCCTGACGTTTCGCCGCCTGGGCGACCTGCACCGGCTGCAGGAGGCCATCACCAACTTTGGGGTGGTGGCCGACCAGGCCGGCGTGGCGGCCGTGCAGATCAAAGAGTCGACGCTGGGGTCGCTCAAGACCATCGGATCGGGCGGCCGGGCCCAGATCTGGGTGTGTCGCGCGCAGAAACGATACGAGCAGCAATCGTCGAAATCGGTCGAGACGGATTCCGCAGGCACCAGCCCCGGACGCCGACCGCGCCAGGACTCGACTTTGACCAACAGCTCGTCCGGGTGGAACAACGGCGGCGGCGGTGGTCCCGGCGGCTGGGCGCGGTCGTATGCCAGCTCGGTCCACGGCAGCACCAGCATCCAGCAGTCCGGCAGCAGGGCGCTGATCGAGCGGCCGGTGGCGGCGCAGCTGGTGCTGTTCACGGAGCGGAAAAAGGGGGTCAAGAGCTTCGTGGCCGTGCAGATTGACGAAGCCACGCGCCTGAGCCCGGAGAGCTGCCGCTGCAACGACCCGACGCAGCAGTGTAAGAAGATGGTCATCAGGAATGGTCATCACAGCAACAAGACCGAGGTCCCTGTCAAAATGTACGACACGAAGCCCCACCACGAGGACCAGTGGAACCTCGCCGTGTTCGGGTATCCGGAGCACGAGGACGCACGCAAGGACGTCGCCCTGCACCGCGCCAAGTTTCTGGTCGTCGAGTTCGAGAGTCACCAAGCCCGCGAGGACGTCGCCACAGCCTTTGAGCAGACTTGCTTCCTCATGCGCGAACGCGTGCGCATTTATCACCAGGACCTCGCCGATTCCCGGAATCAGCATGTGGTGTCATGAGATCAAGAACATGGGAGAGAAGAAACGGGGAGGGAAAAGAAGAAGAGATGAAATGGAAGGGAAAAAAGAGGGAAGGGATTTACAGTACGTGGACACTAGGTATGAAAAGTAATTGCTGTGTTGCTGCTGCCGCTGATTACGCTGACTAACGATGGACGATGGACGATGGACGATGATGTTGATGTGTATGAACTGGACATGTGTAGAGACCTTGGGTGGGTGGAGGGCTATCTATTTGTGATAGGAAGGGTCCCTTGGTCAGCCAGACATTGCAAGAGGGAGCCATGTAGAGTACAGGATACCACCGGGATTGTATCACGATATAGAGCGAGAAGGGGAAGAGAGACAGAGATACACGTGGTGGGTCCGGCTTCAGCTCCGAATGTTCAATTATGTCTGGGAATATATGTATGGATTATGGATATTATTTATATAGCGCCGGCACGAAGTCAGAACAGGACCGACAAATAGAGTACGACTAAACGAGGTGAACCAGCCAATACATATAAACAAATCACATCACATCATATAATGTCATATAATCGTCTCTGCGTGTCACGTATCTCTCTGATTTTCCATGCAGCCATCCGTCCATCCATCCATGTTCCCGGGTCAGTCAGTCAGTCACTCACTCAGTCATCACCCTCCTCAACACTCAAGCCCGGCGCCACAAGCCGTTCAAACTCCTCCAAGAACCCCGCGGGCGGACTGACTCGACGCTGCGCGATCTCGAGCGCCGTGCTCCCCTTCCGATCGCGAAGCAAGCATTGCCGACGATCCCAATGCACGTTGGAGGCACGGAGGATCGCGACGGTGCGCGTGTCGGCTTCCAGCGCGGCCGCGTGCAGGATGGTTGATCCGGCGGCGTTGACGTCGTGGGGGTTCGCGCCTCTGTCCAGGAGCATCTGAAGAAACTGGTGGTTGTTGTGGAAGATGGTTTCAAACAAAGGCGTGTCGCCGTGCAGGCTGCGGGGGTGCATGTCGGCGCCGTGGTCGAGAAGAAAGGCCCCGATGGCAGGACGGTTGGCGATGGCGGCCCCGGTGAGCGGCGAGTGGCCGAAGTTGTTCGTGCTGTTAAGAGATGCCCCGGCGCCCAACAGAGTCTGGACCGGCTCAATGGCTCGTTGGTGACGGCTGGCGTGGTGGATGGCCTGGCTGCCGATGGACGTCCTGGCGTGGACATCCGCTCCGTGCAGGATTAACATCTCCAAGAGAGGCACAAGGCCTGTCGACGCTGCAAAGGTGAGAGGTGTGTTGTTGGATTCATCGCGACAATTGACGTCGGCCCCGGCGTCCAACAGCAACCTCACTGCTTCCTCGTCTCCCCGAGTTGCGGCCCAGTGAAGGGGTGTCCGTTTCGTGGCATCCGAGCTGTGAATTTGTTTGCGGTACTGCTCATTCTGCAGCTCCTTGGCCAGTTGTGCAGGAAATATCCCTAGCACGACCTTGTGCATGTACGAGAACTCCCAGGTTTCCAGCTCCTGGGTCCCTGAAAATACGCGCTTCAAGCCTTCAATCTCGGCCACAGTCCCTCTCTTGCACAGAATTTGCTCCCAGGCTTTCTGGAATGGAGTCCTGTTGAAATTCAAAGGGTCAGAGAATTCATCGGTGCCACTAGTGGTTCCGCTTCACAATCTTCAGGACATGAATTGCCTGGAGAACTTACGTGCCATTATCGTCCTGTTGGTGCGGATCTGCCCCTGCGTCAAGAAGCAGCACACACATGCTAGTTTTGTTGCGGAGTACAGCGTACTATTGGAGATGGCAGGTCAGCCAAAAGTTCAAGTGTAGCCACCGATTGACACTCACATGTAAGGCTGTACGTCCATGGTTAGGGTCGGAGTCGTTCAGCCAAGCCTTCCCATCACCCAGCAAGGATTTAGCACCGTCGACGTTTCCAGTCAAAGCAAACTTCAACAATGAATCCTGCCCTCCTCCCCAAGGGACTCTTCGTCTGATATTGAGCTGCATCGTGAAACCCCGTGAGGACGACAACGTTGCCGAGAAGTGTAGTGCTCGTTGGCAAAACCACCAGGGAAAGCAGTACACAAGTTTGATTGATCTTTTGTCAGACATGCGACAGCCCTTGACATTGCATTGGGGCCAGAATCCGGGGGAGCCGGAGTAACCCAAAAACAAGGTTCCAAGATAGTTCTTGAGACGTGGAGTCTGATATCTTCCAGCCGAGTGACATACACAGTTACACGGCGCATTGCAGCGAAGCCTCCGGCTAACGTGAAAGAACATTGTTGGATTTGAAGAGTACGTGCTCACGGCGAGTGAGTTGTCTATTTCTGTTAAATTTGGTTGCAATGTGCTATTGTCAAAAACTGGAGGAGTCAAAACCAGTCTATACAGGGTTTGAAATGATACTTTACCATTTATCTGGGGCTCTCCACCTGCGGGAAGCAATCCCTGGCTGGATGATATAGTTAACTGAGCATCTCCTTCGCTAGAACCTGGCGGGTCTTGTGACTCAGATGTAATGTTGGGAGGCTCAATTAGATCGAAACCCCTTTTCTCGAGCCGAGGCCGCAAAATGTGTATCGATGTGTTTGGTAGGGCCAACGGGAGCGGCTGTATATGCCGGACAATCGTAGACTGCAAGTTTTCTAACTGGGTTTCAATCATTGAGATCCGAGCGCTAATATAATGTGTATCAGCCTTAGTAGATAACAGGAGCGCGGCCTCAAGGTCTGATCTGATTCTTCGCAGTTTCTCCCAGACGTGCTTTGCTTTAGTACTCAGCCGAATCCATTTCAGTCGGCTTTGTTTGCTGAAAACCTGTGGGTCCGCTTTCCTAAGTATTTCCTCCAACTCTGGCAGCGCTGTTCCGGCCCCTTTAAGGGGCTGATACACTGCCTCGAGGAACCGAGATTGGGGAGGTTGTTCTGCGGCCATGTCGCCACAGAGCTTCTTGACGTCGTGAAAGAAGCTCTGGAGATCGCTCAGATCGTTAGACAACGCATGAATCTCGGCTGGTGCGTTCTGAGCGCATTTAAGAAGCTTCACAAGCAGAGTGACACATGTCGAACTGGCGTCGATCAAGGTAATGGCACTGGCGCTGATGGACAAGGGATCAGCCATGGCTGAAAATACCTGATACCAAAGTCAAGTTTTGAGGCTGCAAGAAGGATGAAAAGGAACTTTGATGTGTTGGTATATTGTCGATCAGGCTGAGTAGCTGGCCAGGCACCAAAGAGCGTCCTGCATATCTTGGCAATCAAAAGGACCATTTAGATCCGTCCGTCAATATTTCCTATCCGCGGTCCCTAGACTTTCATTTCGATCAGGTTCTCTGCGAAGCCGTGCAGGGGTCGGACGAGGAAAGTCGACAAGTGCACCCTTGCTTGCTGAGCGAAGACGAAGGTGGCTGCAGTCTCACAACCCTTGCTCAGAACCTACCTCTGCACTTACCGGACTCGCTCGGTTGAAGAAGTTAAGTGTCGTCTTACCTTCGCGGGTCATGTCTTTTTATCATAACATTCCAAATACACAGCCCCAAGAGGGGTGCTCGAGTAAGAGGTAAGAGTTGTCTTGGTGCTGAATGGACCATTCTGTGTTGAATACGTAGCTTGAAAGTCTTCGGTCACTTTTGAGTTTCTGGCCTTCGTGCTTGATTTGAGGGGTACGGGAAGTTCCTGCACAACGTCAATATGAGCGATTGAAGCATAAACATCGTGGGAAGTATCGCGGGAAGGGCTACAGTAGGTGGGTGGCGAGCCAGGTGACAAAATAAGTGGCACACTCTAGCCGTCAGACAAAACCACTTTTCAATATCTGTTATTTCTACAGTACCTTTTTCTAAGTAACAACGGATAATGTTGATATCGCTAGATAACCCCTAAGCTAAACTATATCTAATGAGTAGATTATTAGGTTATTATCTCTTATTCTAAGTCGTGGGGGAAGAGACAGGGGAGGTCATTCAGTCTCAGTCTTTCGCTGTGCCACTTTTTTTGTCACCCGGCTCGGTGGATGGGTGGCGACTGCCCACTACTAGCCTAAAAGCGGGGTGAGTCGCGGCTCACTAGGCTCCAACGCGGTTACCCCATCGACCTAAGCAAACATTCATTTCAACCCGCGACACCAACATACGAACATTTCTTGCAATTACTGAATTCTTCAGTACTTGATAGTTCTTCGCTTCCCCTTGTTGGTATTGCATCAACTATAATATCATGGCAAATCCTCAAGAAATCATCGAACAGCAGCCCGACTTTTCACGCCTTGCTGACTCTCTCCAAACTGCTGGTGAAGAATTCAGCAAATTGAGAAATCATCACGCTTTCGACCATGGAGCGGAACTCATGCAAGCTATCAAGGCGTTGTCTCAAGAGATGCAAAGCATGAAGACTGAAATGAAGACTGAAATCGGGAAAGTCAACACCAACATGGCAGCCATGAAAACCGACATCACAGTCATCAAAGGGGACATCAGGGATATCAAACAGGACATCACGGGGCTTAGGACCTATATCTCGGTGATGTTAGATGATTTCCTACTTTTCTTCTACCTTTGTCAGCCAGCTAATCTGTGAATACTCTAGCGATCTTAATGCCGCGGCTCGATCCCACAATTCAAAACTGCTGCACGATAGTGATCCACTTTTCAAATTTCTCGATCCCGCCACTGCTGAAGCGATTCCTAACTTCCCTGCAACGTCAGCTGAGATTCGCTCGATCAATCCACGAAACCTCAACGGCATCCTACGAGCTCTGGGACTGCCAACTGGCGGAGACGTCAATGACAGAAAGAGCAAGCTCAGAATTCATATTGGTCTATCTGAAAACCCTGCATGACTAGAAAGATACACCGACGACATTCTCTCACCTCCGTGGCGGTATCAATAGACAGTAAAGTACACAAGCTGTTAGCCAATCTGAGCTTTTGGGTCGTTCCTTAGTGCGACAGTGAACAGCGTGATGGGATGCAAAGACAGATGAATGAGGGGGTTATTTCTCAGAATCGGAGAATATGAATAGTATCGCCAAGCAGCTCTGCACTTCAGCGAATAAGATAGACAGATTCTTGGTGAAAGGTGCGCGTGGGCGCGTGGGAACTCCTGGCCCCCGAGTATGTACTGTACCAACGCGCCGGTCCTTCCCAGGATCATCCGCAATGAAAAGTATAGCCAGAATCGCCTTTAGAAGACTACGCGTCAAGACTCGTGTGTGCCTACGATTCTGAGAAAATAGACCAGGTTTGGGACAGACAAAAGTAACTGAGTCGAGGGTCGGAGGAGAAGAAGAGAGTTGCTGCACCACAAGGTAGAATAGAGTCTGACGCGTAGTCACGTGAACATCAGCTCCCCTTAAAGCGGCGGCATCCGTAGGTCCCCAGAAACCGGGACATTCTGTCATTCCAACTTGGGACTTCTCCGTCACTGCGACTCGTTAACGATCCAGACTCTGACCTCAACCAGCAGGTGAATTAACCTGGCACTCCCACCTTTCGGGAGTCCTCACGTCTTTAACATTCGTCTCTCTCGATTTGATAGCGGTCCGCTCCGGCGACTGCCCCTTTCTCCAAGTTGTCACGAGTCTTTGACTCCCAATGTCTCGACGGCCCGCTAATGACAGGGCAGCCCAGAATGCCCAAACCCTCAAAGCCCTAGTCAAACTCGAAGGAAACAAAGTCTGCGCTGACTGCAAGAGAAACAAGCATCCACGATGGGCCAGCTGGAATCTCGGGGTCTTTGTTTGTATTCGATGTTCAGGGATTCACCGTGGGATGGGTACGCACATCAGTCGGGTCAAGTCGGTTGATCTGGATGCCTGGACGGACGAGCAACTACAAAGTGTCCTGAAATGGGGCAACACAAGAGCAAACAAATACTGGGAGGCCAAGTTGGCCCCGGGGCACGTGCCATCTGAGGCGAAGATCGAGAACTTCATACGCACAAAGTACGAATCCAAGAGATGGGTAATGGACGGCCCCATGCCTGACCCCTCGACGCTCGACGCCGAAGGTGACGATAACATGCCCTTGAATATCGTGCAAGAAAAGGCCAAAATCGAGAGGTCGGCTTCTCAGCGTCAAGCGTCCACTCAACCTCCTCCGCAGCCTCGGCCTGCTGCGAATGTGAATCTCTTCGACGACTTCGCTCCAGCTCCTCCGGTCAGGCCGAATACAGCAGACATTCCCAACTCAAAACCCACGCGAACTGGTCCACCCGCGCCTGCTCCAGCTCCAAAGCCTGCTGCGAAGCCACAAGACTCTCTACTTGGGCTGGATTTCTTTGGAGGCTCCTCAGCAAGTGGCATCGGTCGACCTTCGAGCGCGGCGTCCAATCCTGCAGCATCGACAAATCCCAGAGGAGATCTGAAAAGTTCGATTCTGTCGTTATATTCCGCGCCCCCTAAGCCTCAACCTGCACCTCAACCCCAACATGATCGTCAGCCATCATTTGGTGGAATTGCAACGTCGCCTGCACCACCGAAGCAAGATGCATTTGGGGGACTTGCCGATGCCTTCAGCGGATTGAGCTTCCCTAACCCGACCACCACAAAACCACCTCCTCCACAGCCGTCCTCTGCATTTTCTGCGTTCGGCAGTTTGACCAGCCCTGTTGCAGCGCCGAAAGCCACGACCTCTCCTCCCCAGGTAACATCGCCGCCTCCTCTGAGCGGTGGCAGTTTCTTCGACGCCCTTCCCTCCAAAGCACCACCCGCCAAATCAACTGTCACCTCGCCATTGGCCTCTAATGGGCTCGAATTTTCATTTACCCAAAGAGCTCCGCCTCCGCAGCCTGCCGCCGCTCCGGCACCCAAACCATTTACTACGTCTATTTCTGCTGACTTATTTGCGGCTGACGACTTTGGGGGGTTTGCCAGCTCGACACCCGCGTCACCCCCCAAACCGGCTCCCGCTCCACAAATCTCATCACCTACCATCAGCAGCTCGACTTTCAGTTCGCCTTTCAATCTCTCTTCGCAGCCTGCGTCAGCGCCAAAGCCAGCTCCCCAACAGTTCAAGGCTCCAGCAGCACCTCAAACTAATACATCCATGTTTGATCCTTGGGCTTCAGGCAATGATAGCAGCCCTTGGGGGGCGCCGGACCCAGCACCTGCAAAACCCGCGCAGCCCAAGGTCGAGTTGGGGAGACCACCGGCCCACATAACGCCGAATGATATTCAAGGAGGATGGGGAGAGCCAATATCGTCGAGCAACAAACCGGTGAGGCAGGCGTCAGTCACAGCCGACGAGGATTTTGGGGGATGGACCTCGGCGTCTACAACGCAGACCCCGGTGGTCCCGCCAGCCAAAAGTAGTGGTGGATTTGGAGGCACTTCAGATCCTTTTGATAACCCCTGGGGTTGAGATGTTGAATCGTTAACATCGTCTGCCTCAGCTGGGTTTTGATACGAAGAGCGATGAGACATGGAACGAAAGGAGATTTGCAAACGAGAGAAGATGAATGGACACAGGAACTATAGAACATCTTGCTATCATATCTACCTGGGTTGTCGAGAACGAAGAACAAATTGCCATTCATTGTTGTGTCTGTCCTCGATTTTGAGCGGAAGGTCGCTCGCTTGCTTCAATCCAGCCCTCTAAAGGGGCGGGGGATTTAACAAACATGAATCACGGAGGACTCCTAAGCAATACATCCCCATGTCAATGTTCTAATCTGAATCCCACCATGACCCGATCATCATCGGCCCTAGTCACCCGCTCAGCTAGGCATGCAGACAGTACAAGGTACTTTGCAGGGAGAGAAAGAAGTGTTCTCGACATCGAGACACGCCTACGACCCAAGATGTCTGCGTATACATGTATTATTATTATTATTATTACACTATTTATTATTATAGTGCGATGCGGGCTGGTAGGTCGGTGTCGATAGACGTGTACACAAGAAGTGTCTGTGAGGCGGTCATGTAGCTGATTTTGGCTGAGAGAGAGAGATATATATATATATATATATATGTAGCTCTGTATAGATGTGTGTGTGCGTGCATGCGTGGGTAGCCAGCCCGCTGCCATGGGCCTGACACCGCGAACAAACAAAGAGAACCTAATCCATCTTGAAAACGTATCTCACACGGGAATCGATCAGTCAGTCGAACTCCGGGACGATATTCGTTGCCTCGTTCTCCTCTGAATCCCACCAGCCGGGGAAATTGCCGGGGCCGAGCTTGTCGAGCCAAAAGCTCTCGCTAGCGTCGATGTCGATCAGATAGGCCCTGCGGCCATCCCGTTGGCCCTTGCGGATAGCCAGGCGAGCCACATCGCCCTCTCCCAGATCCAGCTTGCGGCGGTCCATATTGTCCCAGCGCGCCATCCTCAGGTCGCCACCCCAGTACTCCCAGGCGAGCTTCTTGATGTTAGCGTGCGAGGAAGTGTGCATGGCGCTCCATACGCTGTAGTTGTGCACACCCAGCGAGACGGCGAAGAGGCGGTCTTGGTCGGCCGATCTGAAGACGAGGATCGAGTTGCACCCCGAACCCCGATACGTGAGGCTGATGCTCCCGTCTTCCTTTACATCCCAGAAGGAGCCCGTTTCCAGGTCGGTATATTCAACCTCCGGGAGTGCGTGGCCGCGTTGTTTAATGCTGAAGAAGAAGCGGTATTCAGATTCCGGTTGCATCCAGTCTAGACAATGGTCAGTGTTATCTCTCGCCATCCTCATCGAGAGGTGTGGAGTAGATGCTTCACCCGCCAGAAAGGCGGGAGGGGATCTGCGCAACGAGGGCAGAATCAGCAAATAGAAACAAGAAGATATCATCCTTACTGGACACGTCCAAGCCCGTGGGATCAGCCTCCCGGACATAAACCTCCGTTCTCTCATAGGAGGATACGTCCTCCCTGATCTCCTCTATCCTCGAAGAGTGCACCCGGACGTAGCTGCTCGGGTACTTCTCATCGGGCCTGCTCAGGTATATGCCGAGGGGATATCGATCTGGATACACGTAACCCTGTTTGCGCTGACAGCTCAGAACTCCCAGAAAAGTCCCGTCGGGCTGTGGGATGAGGGGGAGCTTCAAATTGATACCTTTGTTGGTCACGGCAAACGCAGGGCTATCACCATATCTCCTGACGTCGGCGCAATGCCGGAAATCTTCTGGTGACCGGGCAAGGAGCCCTCGGTCGCCGCCAGAGTCTGACCAAGCAAATATCGTCTGGTCATCTGAAACCTTCATAAACTCGAGCTGCAAGCGACGAAAGGCGTTGTACCCCTCCCCATAGACCATTGGCATGTTCACGTTGAACAGCCCCAAGAGACAGTACGCCAAATCCTCCGTTCTTGCCGTCTGCCTGTTCGCGGCCCACGACATTCTCTGAGCCACGCTGATGTCGCCCGCCGAGTTCGTTAAGAGAACCTGCGCAGGGATCCCGGTGATCTTCGTAATGAGATCCTGGAAGCTAGATTTCGTCCCGATCTCTTTCCAGTGGCGGTCGAAGAAGATCACGTACTGCGGCGCAACCAATTCCTGCAGCGTCCACCCGCGAGTAAACCACTTGCTTTCCCTGAACTTGGAGCCCTCGGCCAGCGGATCTTCGTCGCTCTCTACATCAGACATATATGCGTAGCACACTTGCGCCCTCCGGTACCAATGGAACATGGAGTTGAGCGCCTCGGTCAACTCGACTTGATCATTCTTGTTGATACAGCAGGTATCAATCCATACGTATTCAAATCCAACGTTCCGGGCCTCGCGGCAGCAGTGGAGGATCTTATCATACCCTTCAATGCCTTCGAGATCGGCGGTGCTGTCGCCCGCTTTGCGGTGCTCGATGTCTTGGAAAGAGATCTCTTGGTCTCTCCATCTGTGGGACAGGATCACGTAGTCGGGAATCTTGGGTCTAGCCGGGCTTGGGAAAGACTCGATGATGATGTCTTTGGTGTTCAGAAGACGCATTGTATGGTGTATGGAGGGTTGGACACGAGAAAATTGGTAAGGCTCTTTTGTTCTTTTGTTCACGCTTCCTTCTTTCCAGACTATCACAGCAACGGATACAGAAGGCCAAATGGAGGGGAGGCTTTTGCGGGAGTGGAGGTTATAACTTACTGATAAGAAAAGGTACAGCTGTCTGGTACACAGACACCCACCATTCAGAAGTTCAGCAGGTACAGAGGGGCAAAGATGAGGTGCAACCAAACATTGAGATCAGGTTTCTTTCTCGCCTCGTAACTTGCCTACTCACCTTCCTTTGGATGCAGCTAAGAAGATCCCATGCAAATAGTGGAAGAATGAAGGATCAATCAGGCACAGAGGTCGGGCTGGCCGCACAAGCGTGTCGCTGGCATCATAACTTTGCTGCCACTTGCGGAAATACAGCTCCAAACGTTGGTGTCCTAGGTACGAAGATGATAGGCTGAGGTAGGGGCGAGGTCGAGTCCGCTTGTATCCAGTCCTTGTGCATCTAATCCTCTTGAGCATCTCGTCCAGTATTGGTGTCCGTATGGGTAGCTCACCTTTCCAATTGAGAAGAAGTCTCTGCAGCTAGATCAGAATGGTGAGCTCGGTCGCGTCCCCCTTGTTCGACTACTAATAAGAACTTGCCACGGTTGAAAACATGTGGACAAGTGGCTGCTTACTCTGCGTCTCGTATCGGTCGGCTCGTCCTAGTCTCCGGAATCCTTTCTCAATCCAGCCTCAGGCCTGTGCACTAATTATTAGTCTGAGCAGCAACTGTGCTGGTCGGTCGGAGCCCCCGGAGTTGCGATGAGGGAATCGGCTCGGCCCACTGTCGGGGCTGCAGACCCGTTGAGGCTCTGCGCTCCACAGCCTTGGTAGCACAGATCAACCCCAGAAGTTCGACGATGGGACTTGTTCCCAGCCTTGATAGACGATGAGGCCTGCAGCTATGCATCTAGAATGGGTTCTACACGACCAAGTACGCTCGCGGACACACGCCCCACATTCCATTCGTTCGAAACGAGTGCTGCCATCATTAAGGCAAGGCCGGCTGCCGATTGACTCGAGTTCGTTTGATTCGAATATCTGACAGTGAAGAACAGAGAGCCGGCTGGAAAATTCGGAATCCTCAAATCCAAGAAATGCCCGACGAGACCAGCGCTCAGGCCTTTATCAAAACGCTGCCTCGCGTATTACTTGCCAATGGCGCCCCAAATCTGGGAACTTGGCTGACGTAACGATTGCAGGGCGATAGACGTCGGAACTGGGAAGAGAGTCGCTTCCGGTTGCTGTAAGAGTCGTCACCGGCGGATGTGGATAAAGATAACCCAAGGACTGACAGCATATCAGATGCATCAAGGTCCAGGACCGGAGCCAGCTCTCTGAGCAGACATCCATTGTTAACGCGGCAGTCGAGTCGGGATGGATACATGGCGAATTCGCGAGACTGATCCAGACCGGGACCACCGGTTCTGCGGTTCTCACGGAGAACGGCAATATCAGTAGGAACCCGGCTCCCTCCTTGTTGCCGCATCCCACACTGAGCCCTTGAATACAGGTCTCATTCTCCAGATGCCAAAGGACCAGCTGCCCTTTATCACCCTCTCCATCTCAGAGCTCCCTCGAGAAGGTCGCTATCGCGGATCCGATTGGGTTTGCCTCCTCTTGATTGGGCCCGGGATCAATTTGGAATCGCTGCTCAGCGAAAGTTCATTCCCATATGACTATGCCTCCCTGTCTCCCGACTTTATGTTCCTGCCGGTCTCCGTCCTTCAGGACGAAGTGGAGCGGGTCGGAGCTGGGCTGATGAAGTTGAAGAAATCCGTGCTGGACGAGCAAGGGCAGGTCTTGTCCAGAGATCCCAGAGGCCTCGATGACACCAAGAACAAGCTTTTCGAGCTGGAGAGGACTTACCTTGAACTGTACGAAAGGTGGAAGTTTGGACAAAGCCTCGCCGAAAACCTCACCAAATGCTTTGGCGAAATCGTGAGGTTGCAAGCAAAGGATAACGACAGGGCGAAATACTCAAGAACTCTCTCCCAGCGGGTCGAGACCCAGATCACATTGTCGAACATGACCCAGCAAGAGCTTGATGCCATCCCTTCCAAGTTGAAGCAGCAACACCGCATGGTACCCATTTTCTGCCGGTTCTCTGGGCGTAGGCTGTTCACTGACCTCTATTGCAGATTGATTCCAAATTGAGCATAATGGTGCGCTTTCCACCCCTGCCGACACGGGCAACAAAGGAGCTTCGTTGACTGATTTGCGCAGATTGCGGAGGACACTCGCCGTGACAGCTCGTCGATGAAGACTATGGCGGTGCTCACTTTGCTGTTTTTGCCTGCCACTGCTCTCGCTGTAAGCTGACCGTTTGCTGCCCCTCTCCTGTTTCGACCTGACGTGTCACAGTCCATCTTCGGTATGTCCATGTTTGATTGGGAGGCTCGGGACGGAAAAGACATTGTGTCCCGGCACTTCTGGGTCTATGTCGTTGTCGCAGTTCCGCTCACACTGGGCGTTCTTGCTGCCTGGATCTTGTGGTACTCATGGACTCAGAAGACCTATGCAAGGAAATGGCAAAGGGATATCAGAACCGGCGACGCTCAGATATCAAAGCAAGAGGTCTAGCGCGGCCCTAATACACATGATGGCTACCACGTCATCGCTGTCCGTTTCCAAGCTGAGGTCGACTCAGAGAGCTTCGTCTTTTCGACCTTCCCAATGCGGTAGATTTTGTAGTTCGGTGGTAAAATTGTGGGATAAGACTTGACCATTTCGCGATCAACATTCCGCCATTTCTGAGCAAGATCTCTCCAGGGAATCAGAAAGGGGCTCGTCCGCTGCTGCGCATCTCGTTTGCCCTGATGCCACTGATTCTGCAAGCGTTCAGCGTTCCATCGCTCGTGCTCTTTCTCGGCTAAGAAGGTTAACTCGTCGTCGCTGAAGCTGACAACAGCTTCGCGGGGACCATCTACTTCAGCCAGGAAACAAGATATCATGCGGAGCTTCCGAGGTATGTCAACGGTATGAGCACGCGTCGACTCTCTCAGTTCTTCCGTTAATGACGCCCACGGAACCAATGAAAGGTCCTTTGCTAGAGCCTGCTTCTCTTCGGCCGTCACGGCCATCCCTCTCCTTATTTCGACATAGACATCGTGCAATTTCTCGGAAATGGACTCTCTGAGACGGACTGACATCGTGTTGTATCGTGAACACTCCATGAACGTCGGGTAATCGAGATGCAGGCCTAACTGCGCCTCTGGTGGCAGTGCCGCTCGTTCGAAATGGCGCTTACCAGTAACTTTACTCAGGGCAATTATAGCCTTCAGGGACCGAAGCCCATGTCGGTAGGTTGGGGTCAGGAGAAGCCCGTCTAGGACGCTCTGATCGATAGAAATACCTTCTCCCATCTTCAGTTTTGGTTCTCTTTCTTCCAACAAGGCTCGAAGCACCACCGCCCTTCGTACGGGATACAAGACGTCGGGCTCATCGACTTTATCGAGGCCAATCACATTGACAAAAGCATGCAAGCAACTGAGGAATTCTTGCGCTCTCGGCAGCACCTTGCGGTCTTCGCTATTATCCTTGGAGAAGTCCTTGAATTTTTCCAACGAGGTCGTGAAGCTAGACCCTAGAAGAATGATTGCAGGGCCAACATGTTGCAGCTCGCCACGATCTTGAATCCGGCCTCCATGCATAGGAGGCAACAAGTGGGCTAGCCACCCCAGGGGACGGCCCGAGAGTTCGGCGTCAAAAGCATTGATGTAGACCAAAGGCAAAAATCCCGAAAGGTTGGATTCTCGCACTTTGTTAAAAGCAACGGAGAGATCTTCAGGATTGGTGAATTGGGTCAGGTTGAAACGCAGGTGTTGGATCTTGATGCCGCTTCGTGCCGCAGAGGCTGCAGCTTCTGCGACTTGGCCGGTAGCAAAGGACTTTCCAGACCCTCGAGATCCGAATATTCCGATGTTGAGTGGTTTGATTTGGGGAGCTGACAGATATTCATAAATGGCATTGAAGATATTACGGAACCCTTCAGTTTCCCACCTGTCAAGCACCAGGAGACGCCCAAAGCTGGTGATAGGAACCCAATTCGCAGCAGAGTATGTCCCTTTGGTCACAATATGGCACGCCACTTGCACAGGGTCTCCAATGTTGTGGTGCAGAATGGACCAATGCCGGTTCTCCCCGCGGGAAATGCTCTCAGATGGAATCTCAAGTGTGATTGGCGCCTCATCGGAAAGTGTCGTTTTCTTGATGATGTCCGCGACGGGATATCTAGGCCACCTGGGGACCTCGCTGGCCCTGAATCCCAGCTTTGCTAGGCGTCGGGCAGCGATGAAGCCGAAACTGATAGCTTCATTAAGGGCTGCCCCGGGAGGAGAGCGTGCTATCTCAGTAGCTAGACCTCCAATGAAAGCTTCCAGGACTCCCGGAACAGGTCCGATATGTCGCCTGCTGAACTCACCCTCTACTCCCAGAGGGTCAAAGAACAGAGTTGGTTCCTCCATCTGCCGACCACGGTGAAAGATCACCCCGTCACACCCAAAAAGAACGAGGAGATTGGCGCAAGTGGCCAAGGTATCCAGTTGGCCTTTGGAGCCGAGCTTTTCGACGAAGTCCTCACACGTTTTTTCCCAAGAGAGGCCGTGGTACAATTCTATCCCCTCGGCGCGAAGATGCTCTGCGCTGACGACAACAATGAGCTTTTCGGGGTCTTGTGAACCATCCCTTGTATACGGCCCACGACGAACAGCATCCCAGATTTCCCCAGTCCCAAGGGGACAAGCCATGTGGTAGATCAGGGTCTCTGGACGGCTCCTGCGAAAGAATGTCACTGCCTCAGCCTCGTCGGATTTGCTGAAGCCAGGTTCGGCATCTTGAAAGATGAGGATGCTCACTTTGCCATTCGTCTTGGGCGAGAGTTGAGGAGGGTGCCATACGGGGTTTGTGTCGAGTGGTCGGCTGTGCTTCACTTTATAGCTCGCCAACTGACGGTCTCCGCCGCTAAAGAGTTCCAATTCCGTGATAGCAGAAGCTGAGTGCTCAACGGAATGGCCTTTGGAGACCTCTAACGCCGGGCCGTGTACGTGGTGATGGTGTTCCCCAGCGGAGGCACGCAAAAGGTCCGCAATGAGGGCAGCACCACCATGGCATCTCTGAAGGCCGAATTTTTGTGGACCTCTGTAAGTTGCACCTGGACTTGGTAGTAATGGATAGACAAGGAGATGTGTGGGAGTGTGGCCGGCAATCTGAATGTGGACGTCAGTCATTGTTGAACGCAACACACTGCAGAGACCTGGAGAGACGAGTCCTCTTCAAGCAGCCGGTGAGGCCAGCTGGAGCAGCAACAGTACCTAGCTCGCTCGAGATATTATCAGCTTTCCGTCTCCTTTGCCAAGTTCAGGAGCACGACACTTGTGACAATTGTCCGATGGGTGGATTTGGTGGATGTGGCGGAAAGGGAGCGAAGGGGGTGACGGGCGAATGATAAAGGGAACTCGGTACGGGAGGAGAGGCCCACCAGCGCCACTGATCAAGGCACAGCGCGAAATCAATCATATGGGCACGTCTAGGCGACTTGACAGGGATACGGGGTTGCAATTCCACCATTGGATGACAAGAGCGCGGCTGCTTGCCTGCTTGCCTGCGATGATCCCCATCCTCCTTGTCCTGCACATCAACCAACCCACGACTCTACATTTGGCAGCCCAACTGACACTCCATTTTGAGTAACCAGACAGCTTGTCTTGCACATCCGGATCTTCTGAACCTTGCCTCCGGGCCCTCAAAAACGGAGGCTGCGTGCCTGGGTACAAGCCGCCCGCAACGCACATCTCTTCCGCGTTGATCATCCCCCATGATCTCAATTGCTGCAACTTGGTCCACCACCACCACAATCGCTTGCCGATAACGCCAATTGCTTCCGAGTACTGCCCAACGTCGAAACATCCTCCTCGACCGCCCTCTCTGCTCCGGACCCTGCCTGCCTCAGTCCGATGATTAAAGGAGTCTCCTCCGCAACACCAACCTGTTGGCCATTGCGCGCAGGAGGCGGGCCAGGAGGGAAGGCTGTTGCCTGTGTTTGCACGCGTCTCTGATAAAGGATAACCCAGTTTCGTCAGCCCTGGAGATCCATATCCGCTCCCGGTCCGCTCCATGCAGGTTCGTCGAATTGCTTCCTTTCCTGTTGGGGGAAAATTGATGTGAGAGATGGGGACTGCGAGGGAGGAGAATTCGGAGGGAAGAGGAGTGCTGAAATAAACCCAACTGACACGGTGACACTTGCAGACCTCAACCAGGACCCGAGACACAGGCGCGAGCTTCGCTGCTCGCCAAAGGGGGCACCTGCCCCGGTTGTCGATAAGTGACGAAAACCACCATGTTACCGAAACTATTGGCTACCTCTACGATGACGATCCCGAGCAAGACCAACCGCATCCTTCTTATTCGAACCCGTATCAGAGTGCAAGTTCACAATCACAAGTTAAAACCAATGGCCACCAAATAGACGGTGATATGACCCCCAGGAGGACGCCGTCCGTATCAAGGAAGCAGTTACCTTACCGAGAGATGTCAAACGACCATGTTGGCGCACAACCAAACGGCGTCTCCCGGAGGTCCTCTGGCCAGGTTCACTCTTGGGACCACCGTACTCCCACATCTTCGTCGCCTGCATCTGGCTCGAGAGAACGATCACCCTCCGATACCGCCACCTCTCCCTTCCCTTTAAATGATATCGACTATGAGTCCAGTCCGGCAGGCCTGGCGCAGGAGCTGAGCAATCTACAAGCCTTGAGACGCATGTCAATGCACATGGGCGCCACCGATGATCCGGATCTTCCACAACTGAGTCCAGCTGGAATGCCCAGTGCCCCATCTCCGACTTCCAGCGAAGACGATTCCTCAAGATTATTCTGGGTGCCGGCTCGATTGCACCCGGAACTTGCTCCGAAAGAATTCAAGACCTTTTTGGAGAGCAAGGCGGAGCAAATCAGAAGGAGATCTGGCGAACTATCCGCTTTTGCAAGCCCCTCGTCCTCCCGATCTTCCTCCTTGAGTGCTGAAGGAGGAAGCTCTGGCTTGCGCAGGAAGAAGTCTATGCTCTCTCGTCAGATTGATAGCTCTGTGGGATATCAAGATGGTGCCGACCGGTTAGAGAGGAAGAGATCACTGTCGCGCCGGACTGGCCCTCAGGACCCAAACCTGCAAGAGCTGGAAACGTTGGTCGCAAATACGCCGGGGTTGGCAAAGCAGAGTATAGAGCCTTCCTCAGAAGATGATGCCCCAGATATCATACTTCCGTCAGTCCCAGGAAACAGCCTCAAAAGGTCCACCAGAACAACTTACAGACGAGGCGGGAGTGTGAAGGGAAGGGGGGACCGCGGCACCTATGCTCAACGTGCCGCGAGAAGGGCTGCGGCTGGGAGCCCCTCAAGCAGCAGACCTGAGTCGCCCGACTCCAGCGTTCCGTCCATCCCTCCGCTGCCGAATCTATCTATCGAGGGCCCCAGCATTGCGCAGACCTTCAAGGACGCGTCGAGCACAGCGAATGCCGCAAGAACGGCCCCTACAAACTTCTCCCGACCTGCAAACTCGACCTCCAGCAGCGGAAGTTCTTCTGTGCCCACAACATTTGATTACACATTCGGCAATGACGACGACACGAAAAGACCGACCCCAGCTGGAATACCTGAGTCGCGAAAATCGCCACCCCCTCCGAAATCACCTCCATCTATGAGCATTTCGTTCGACCGAAAACCTGTGCCACAGATTATCGAGACGCCGCCTCCCGCAGAAACTTCTCCGGTTTCTGTCCAACCCCCACGCTCCTCTTCGATGACGCCCCCACCTGTGCAACAACAACAGGCAGTACGGCATCCTGAGAGAGTGTCTTCCCGAGATGATAGCCGGACACGAGCGATTTCTCCGCAAAGGCCATCAATGCCTTCCAGAGGTTCCCTACCAATAATTACGCCACGAATTACATCTCCCGCAAACCAGATTCCGCAACAGTCAAAGCCCCCTCAAAGTCTTGAACAGCCATCTCCGTTACCTGGGAATGACACGAATACGAGCAACTTGTCATTCATACCGACCCTCACTGTGGACAAGAGAGCCGATCATAAAAAGAAGGAGGAGACCAAAAAGTCGAGCTGGAGTTGGTTGCTGGGCAAAGAAGATGGAGATAAGGATAAATCAGAGAAACCGAAGGCGAAAATCTCGAAACCTCCACAGCAACATGACAATACTCGACTTGATGTGCTCCAAACGTCCATCGATGGCGGCGTCAGGGGGCGTGAAAGCTTTGTACTGGATCGGGAACACCTGAAGCTCGATGAAGAACGCAGAAAGGAGAGCCAACGGAAAGGGTCCGGCAGTGACAAGAAGGAGAAAGAAGGGCTTTTCTCTTCGATATTCGGCGGGAAGAAGAGCAAGGGTGAGAAAGACAGCAGCTCCAAGAAACATCGCGACCGTGGCCTGTCGCCCGAGCCGCCGTACCGAGAATTGAAACCCGACATCGACTATAATTGGACCCGATTTTCGATTCTGGAAGAAAGGGCCATTTACCGCATGGCGCACATCAAACTGGCCAACCCTCGTCGAGCCCTGTACTCGCAGGTGCTCCTCAGTAATTTCATGTACAGTTATCTGGCTAAGGTCCAGCAAATGCACCCACAAATGAATCTCCCGACGAGTGCCAAACAGCAGCGGAAACAGCAACAGAAAGACCAGCAGCAGCAGCAACAGCAACAGCAGCAACAGCAGCCGGACGAATATGTCCAATATCAGCGGTATCAACAAGTGAGTGATTCTGGGAGGGCGTTATGAGGATTGCTCGTGCTAATATCTGTGCAGCAACAGGCTCAACAACAACAGCCATATCAGGGCGATCAGTCATATGGTCCCCAGCAGGAATTTGCAGCCGATACGTCTAATTACGATTATGATGCTGGCGGTTCAAGGCCAAGTTCAAGGGGAAGCAAGCACTCGGTAGAAGGTAATGGCTCAGCATATGGGGGCGGCGGCGGTACATATAATCAGTACTATCACAACAATCAACTACAAGAGCAGTTACACCAGGGGAATTCGCGACACAGCGGATCCCAGCTGGACGATGATGACGATGACATGTGGTAATATTCGGTGAGGTCTGGTGAGAAGTCCTGGCTGCTTGTTCTTTATGACAGCTGGCTCCTTTAGCTGCTTTGATATTGGACAAGATCTACTGCACAAAGCTTTCACCCATTGGAGTCCCGATGTGCTCCGAGCGCTTTCCCTCTTCGATTTCTAGCATAGCGGAAGGAAGGAAGTGGGCGTGTTTGTGATGGGAATATCTTCAACCTAAGGAATGGTATGATCGCATATCTCGAAATGACATAACAATATTTTGACACATGGATCACACGCGACAGTCATATCTCGACAGCTCGATGCTGGGAACCACACACGGATTTGATCGATGGAGATCACGGAGAGAAAGACAGGAAAACTTGGCTGGCCTCAGAGATCTGAGCAGACATGTTGAGGGACTGCCTAGAGGGAGCCTCTGTCCCAAGTATAGATTTGCACATAAATGAAGAAAGATCCAACAGGATGCTCAACCCCATTGGGGAATGCACAGAATCGAGAGAGAGAGAGAGAGAGAGAGAGAGAAATAGATGTCGTAAGTAAGCACTGCATCCGCCCCATTCTAGAGAGAATCAATCTGGGGAATGAATGCTGGTTTTGAAGCGTGGCTAGAGGCGAGGCTGAGGCAAGGCTGTACTAGTAGAATGCCCGAGTTCGCCGAGGTGTCATCATCTTCCCGCGACAACCTCCCACATGTAAGGATTCCGCACCTCTTCCTCTATCCTTTACGTTGCGCCACAAACGCCTCTTTGCTTGCAATTTCCCACCGGAGCTCGATTCTCTCCGCAACGCTAGTTTTCCCAGATACCGAACCCCGGTTCCTTACCTCCACCTGTTGCCAGCGGCATCAACTACAGTCAAGCTGCACGAGATCGACACAACTCGACGACGACGACGACGACGAGACGGTGAAGAGGACTGAAAGCAAAAAGAAGAACAAGAAGAACAAGAACAAGAATAAAGAGGGCCGGGCGAGGATCTATCTACACCAAGAATACATACAGTACCGACCCAGGCCGCACTGTCTGTCAAACATACATACATACCTACGTTCTCCCTAAGACCCTGCCTCGTCGGGGCCGCGGAACCAAACAACCACATACTCGTTGACGAGCAGGGACGAGCGAATATCACAAACTCAACACAGGCTCCTCAACGCCGGCGCCACGTCACGTCGTCCCCAAAGGGTCGCAGAGGGTCCAAGAAGGGAGGACAACATCCGCTCGCAGAGTCAGCCAAGCCCTCTTGATCCTGGGAGGGAGGAGGCCCCAGATATAAAAGGCTACAAGAACAAAGGTCCGCCTTCGCCGCCGCCGCGATGGCCGACGCCTACGGGCGCGAAGAGTAAGTCAGCCCACTTTCTTCCTTCATACACACCCCAACAACCCCAACCCCAAAGCCCAGCACTAAAACAGACTCCTCTCTGACTCTCTCCCCACCAAAAAGACAAAACAACGCGCTCCTCTCGTCGCTCTCCGCAAAAACTTCGGCGCTGAAACACATCACGCTCGACATCTACGACAATGCGCGCAGCCAGGGCACGCTGGACAACACGAACGAAGTGTTCAGCAGCATGAGCACCAACCTCCGCGGCAGCGCGGGCCGGCTAACCCGCATGGCGCGCCAGGGCGACAAGGTGGCCGTGCTGAAGATCGCCGGCGTGGTCGTGGTGGCCGGTCTGCTCGTGTGGTGGATTGGCGGCTGGATATTGGGCCTGTTCTTCGGGCGGTGACGATTGTTATGGTTTACAGCAGTTCATGACATGGGCAGGAGAGGAGAGGACGGGAGGGGAGGGAAGAGAAGAGTTGAGGATAATAAAGACACGAGAAATGCGAAAATAGGAAATAGGGAAAAGGAAGGGGCTGAGAGCAATGCAGGGGTTTCAAGTCATATTGTAGTCATACACTGTTTGTTTCATTACAATAAAGCCCAGGGTTGTTATTCCATTCGGAACAAAACAAAAACTTTTTGGTCGTGATCATGAACCGTCATGATGCCCAATGCCTAATACCCTCTATACCGGGTAGACCATGCCAGCGCCATTGAATTCCAACGCCGTCGCTAATACCCGTGATGATCCAACCCACGCTCAAAAGGATTCCTTGCTATGATAACAATGTGGTGTTGTTGCCGTGATGTAAAAATGCCCTGCCGGATAACAATGTTGTGTTGTTGCCTGCCAGTAAGGATGTGATGCCGCCGTGATAACAATGTCGTAAGAATAGGGATAACAATGTCCTTCAATCCTCACACGTAACAATAAGTAATGATGCTTTGTCGCTGCCATGCTGTAAAGAATACCCAATTTTCCAGTTCATCAAGCCATATAGGTAGTTCATGTCGAGGTTGCTGAGGTTACTGAGGTTGTTACTGCTCGTGACGGTGCACGGCAGGTAGTTTATGTTGATGTTGCTGCTACACATGACTGTGCATGGTAGGGATCTCATGTTGATGTTGCTGCTGCTCGTGACGGTGCACGGCAGGTAGTTCATGATCAGGTTACTACTGCTCGTGACAGTGCACGGCAGGGAGCTCATGTTAAGGCTGCTGCTCCTCGTGACTATGCACGGCAGGGAACTCTTGTTAAGGTTGTTTTTGCTCGTGACTATGCACGGCAGGGAGTCCATATTGAGGCTGCTTTTGCTCGTGACAGTGCACGGCAGGAAGTTCATGTTGATGTTGTTGTTGCTCTTAACATGAGTCCATATCGAGGTTGCAACTGCTCGTGCCTATGCACGGCAGGTTATTCATGTTGATGGTGCTGCTGCTCATGAGAGTGCACGGCAGGTAGTTCATGATGAGGTTGTCGAGGTTGTCGAGGCTGTTGCTGCTCTCTAAACCGCATCTTCAAACTCTTCATCTTCTTCAGAGTCTCCTTCAAAGGCGACTTCATACTCTCGCTTGATGCCATTGACTGGTTTGACGTCCACGTCTTCAAAGTCATCCTCTCCTTCTTCCGCTCCATCGGCGGCATCTTCTTCTTCTGGGGTGGTAGCAGCCGTGGCAGTCCCATTGGTGGTCGCCCCGATTGCACTGCTTGTATACCACACTGGCAGTTGATTCTGTTTGGCGAGGAGTTTCCTGCGCTCTTCTTTTCTTTCTGCTTCTTCACGCTCCTGTTCCTCACCACTAGTCAAGTTGACGGTGAGGTTTTTGACGTCGACCATGTCTGGGCCGCCTCTCTTATAGTCGTAGTATCTGTTACCTCTCTGCAGAGGCACGTACTGTTCCGATGTGTCTGTTTTTCCACTTCCCTGCGGTCGGGGGACGTCTTTCTTTCGGTCCCATGCTGAGGCGAAGTCGTTTTCAGGAATGTCTGTCCGATCGATCTTAAGGATCATGTCGTCAAACTTCTTAAGCTGGTCATTCAGCTTTCTGATCTTTTCATGATTGCCGCGGTCTTTCAGTGCAGCTTGTTCATTTTGGACCAATGTCGCATGGCATCTGTCACAGTAGAAGCCTTCGTCTCCGACTTTGTCGAGTATGTCAAGTTCTTCATATTCTGCTTTGCAGCGGGGACAGCGCCAATCTTTGCGTTTGGTCTCATCTTGTTGGTACATCGCCTCCACTTTCTTGCGGAGTTTTGCGATTTTGTACTTGATTGCGTCGATGGCAGGGTGGAAGGGACAGTAGTAGTATTCTCTGGACGAAGGTCTGGTAGAGCCGATCTTGGCTTCATTCCGGGACTGTGTCTGGACGAGTCGTGCAGTGCGCAGAGGATTGAGCAGGCTGCGGATGTCTTTAGGCTGAGAGTTTAGGAGAATGTTCAGGTCGTCCATTTGTAGAACTGAGTGCATGAGGATGGCGTCGACAATGATGATCTGTTTAGGATGAGGGAAGAAGGTGCGCACTGCTGTCCGGATGAGAGTCTTTGCTTCGTCCATGATGAGAATGGTGATGGTGATGGTGTCTGTGACCAGAGATTGAGAACCGAGAAGAGAGGACCGGGAGAAAAGTGCGATGCTGCCAGGCGAGTTATTCGTGAGGGTGCTCTGGGCAGCACCCTCACGAATATCTTGGATTGCGCGCAGGCTTGACCCGCCGCCACCTGCCAAGCCGTTTAGTCAGCATATACCTTGGCTTGTTTGAGGGTGAGGTCGATGGCGGAGCGGACGACGCCAAGGGGAATGCAACTTACCAGCAGCACCGGCACTCCAAGGAGTCGGAGGACCCCAGCTCCAACTTCTTCCAGTTCTTGCACCTTAAATTGCCCTCTCGGGGCAACAACCTACTCCTCCTCTCGGCGATTGAGGCGGAGTGCTCCCCCGGACAGCACTCCGCCTCAAACCGCTCCTGGGCCTGGCGGTCGTAGATTTCATCCGTCGTCCGCGCCACCTCAACAGCCAGGGGGACGCGGACGGAACGGGGCCGGGGGGCGCGGGCAGGAGACGGGCAGGCAGGAGACGGGCGGGCGGCAGCGACAACAAGGGTTGGGGGGAGGCTCTCCTCCCCCTCAACCTCCTTGTGGGCCTTCTTGGAGAACATGCAGCCCATTGTTGTTGTTGTTGTTATTGTTGTTGTTGGCGGGTATTCAAGAGACAAGAGAGAAGTCTTCGGGGAAGAAGAGGCAGTGTCACTGGTGTATGAGTGGTGTGGTATGGAGAGGTCTGGCTACAATGGTCGGAAGGGAGGCACCCCTAAATAGACGATAAGACGGCTGAGGTTGATCCTGTGCACACGCTTCTACGTTAACGTTTGCTATAGAGTTGTTCAGACTTTGGGCCGCTGCCTATTCAATAGTGGAGTATGGGCTGTGCTCATTTTCAATTCCTCTCCACTATATTCAATACCTGTATCGTTCCAGTATTGCACAAAGGTTATACGGAGAAAAGCTTCCTTTTCCGGTTAAGCGAACCCTACCGCTAGCGCCGACCAGTACTATATTGTAACGCCAGCCAGACTAGCGTTGTGGCTGACGAAACTGGGAATTCCAGTGGGGCACTTGAGAGAGCCGAATTGAAAAGTTTGCTCCATTGAAGTTCAGGGTCTATTTGTCGCATTGAGGAGCTCACGCATGTGCGATCCGTTGGAACCTGCAGTCACTTTGCTAGCCTCTTGCTCTCTACTTTCCCATGTCCACAGTTCATGTGCCGCATGATGCATGCCTCGTCGCAAATCGCTACACTATTGGATAGACAGCCAGATCAGACGCACTCGGTTGGTCGGAGGGCGTGAGATCAATTGATTAAGTCGGAATGATTTCAAACAAAACAACGCTCAAAGCAACGAGATCATGATCTGTCAGTGGTCTTTAGCCTCTGATCCCAATATCATCAGAGATCAAGTGGCGGCTGATCGTGCCTAGTCCAATCTGAGCACAGAATATTCTAGCCCCAGCAGTGTAATGATCCGTGCAAAAAGCGGTCGGCCATCCTTGTGATCAAGCATCCTTTCGTGAGCGCCAGGCAGGGCGTGTCCTCTCCACCAGATCTTCTCCTATTCGGTCTCTGAAGTGGTCGTCGGGGCTTCCAAACTGCGTGGCTTGCGAAGTACTCTTTCTTGCGCCATCTTCTGCTCCAGAGAAAAGGTCAACAATTCGGTCCAGAAAAATTGTCTGCAACTCTCAAAATCCGGAGGCTTGAACTCAGGAAATGGGACATCCCGTCGTAGTTGACTGGCAGTCTTCCAAGTTTGTGTGTCATGGTCAAACGTCGCCAGCAGCAACATTTTCACCCACAGCAGGAAGTCTTCGAGCCCCAGAGCCCCTGTACTGCGACATTCTCGCTCAATATCGACATCCCACATTCCCATGCAGTAAGTCTGGATGAATCCATAACCTGTTGTTATGTGCTCCCCTAAAGCCTCGGTAGATATTGCCAACGCCAGCAGAGAAATTGCCAGCACCTCCTCCACCTTGTTGCGCTGTTGGTTTTGCAAAGTGACAATAGCCAGAAACATAACCTGAGCAGGCAATGCCGGATACGACGGTGGTAGAAGTGCAAAACTGTCGTCTTGTTTCAGATCTTGCTTCTGGTTGAAAAGGGCGGCCATCACGCGCGCACTCGTCTGCACAACTCGGATCACTTGAACGCTCAATCTGCAAGACATTGCCAGTTCAATAAAGCCTAGGGGCAGGCGGCTTAATGTGAGGCTCAGTTCTGGGTCGAAGGGATGTGTGGGATAGTCAAGCGAGCCATAAGGAAACATTCGCACCTGATCTGGATCAGGTTCGGCATACACACCTCCCAGAAAAGTTTCCCAGCTGAACATGTCAGATTGCGTGGGCGGCTTGTGGGATGCCATGGCTTACGATCTGATATGGTTCTTGATGTAGCCCTGCAAGCCTGACGATCTGAGCTCGCCTCGGATTTGTATCAGGCGGCGCATGGCCCCCAGATGTTGAAGGGGGGAGCCCAGCTCTTCTGACAGCGCCTGATAAGAGTGAGTTCAGGTCATGGAGGCTGAGGGCAGGAAACACACCTCAACAGCCATCAAATGAATAAAACTAAGCAAGATGGCGTCGGTCGAGGTGCCATCATTAGATTCAAGTCGATTATGAAGCAGAACAAGAGCTTTGCGGTAATATCCACATGCTTTCCTGCTCTGGCCTTTGTCCTGCATGCGAACAGCAAACGCAAGAGAGGTGGCCGTTATCAAGGGGTCTTGCATCATGGCTGAGAGATTGGCACTGATGAACACCGAATCTCTGCTAGCCAGCCTGAATGTTGGATGACGCAGCATGGACGGACAGTATACCTCAACGACTGATATAAATCTGTTCAGCATCACAGCCTTACGTCTCGGGATCATGCAAGCTCACAGAATTGGATTGTTGTCAAGGGGTTGAGGTCGTCCTCCACCATTGTTGCATCCAATGGCAAGGCATGGAAGTTGACGGGCTTGACTCTGAGCAGTGTGCGAGAAGACCCTTGCGCCGAGTTGATCTGCGACTCAAGGGCTCGCAGTGCTGAACTGGTCACGGCTTTGAACCGCTGAAACTGGTTCTGTGATCCGCGATCAGAACCCGGCTCCCCTTGAGGTGAAGCGTCCTTGCAGGAGTTCGACTGGTCGACAGGGGAGACATTCCCTCCTAAACTCATCGCCTTTCTTTTCCCGTGGATTGATCCTTCTGGCAATTGCTTGGTGTTGACGAAGGGCGAGGCACGGTCGTGTGCTGGACTCTCCTGGATCCTGAGTTGAAGCGATAATTCCGTTACCGTGAAATTGTCGCAGGGGGGAAAGACCATTTGGATCACCTCAAACCTCGCCCCAGGCAGAGGAAGGCCACATAATATACCATCTCGCCGTCCTTGAAGCTCTCGTGTTTGGTCAACCAGGAAGTCTTCTTTAACTCTTGAATCATGCTGAGAGGTATGAACAAACTCCCCCGGCGGCGGTTAAATGTGGTGGGGTCTAAAGACGGCAGCGATTCTGTTACGCTGTCGGGCTCCAGAGCTGCTCAACGGGTGTGCTCCATACCAAGAGCAATAAGCCACTGAAAAGCTTGTGCCTGGATACTGGCAAAGGCAACATTAGGCGTGGCCAAGCGAGGTCCAAGCTCGGATGCTTCTCATCCCGCGCTATGTCTAGAAACATCAGGGTCGAATCCCGTCTTTTTTGGGGGTGGACATGCCAAAACATGCCCGACCTTACGGGCCATCCGGGGCCAGCTGACTTCAACACTTGGCCCGCCAAGGGGCTATTGGGGGAGGGTTCATGGTGTGACTGGTGGTCGATGTCAACGGCGTGCCGCTTGGGGCAAACGCTCTGGGGGCAGCAGGGGCAAAGGGGGGGCCGTCAGCCACCGAGAAGCTCTGCGGGAAGAGCGTGCTGATTAATTAACGATGGTATTTTGATTGGAGGGGGTTGTCGGCATCTTCCAGAAGGATGGTGGTGATGGATAGGAGAAGGTGTGGTAGGTCAAGAAGAGTTGCAGCGTGCAGTGTGTTGAGATACGTAGCAGATGGCACCAGATGGCAACTGGGGAGATAAGGTGAGGATGATGGATGAAGATGCAACGTGCAGCTGCCGGTCACGGCGGCGGCCTATCGAGCTTTTGGTGAGGAACTCAGTTCCGTGATGGCGTTCGTGGCACTTCGGTGCTTGCTTGTTTCTCCCACCCATTTTCTCTATCACTTGCTTCATCTCAACATCAAGTCAAGCAGTCCGTCCCGCGAGATCAAGCTTCTCAAATGTCACTGTATCTGGCGTTGGCGAAGCTCAAACGATGACCGTATGCTCAGCGTGATTCCAGAAGGTGAGCTTGCTTTGACGGGTCGCCAGTTCTCACATCGTCTTCACCTTCGTCGTCCAAGTACACATGAACAAAACCACGAGACTATCTTCTCACAGCTATCTCTTTTCCAGTCGTTGCTACTTTGCTGGTCCCTCATCTCTTTTGTTCGCAGCTTGCTTTGTCGATACTCTCGCCGCCAGGTAACAACCTTACCCATTATTATTGTCCATGCGTGCCAATATGCTTTTGTCGAGGTGGTCTCGGGTGTCCTTGCTTGCTCAAATATCGGCTGCCTTGGTGATCTCTCTCGCCGGTCATGCTCAAGCTAAGTTTTTAAAAAGTGAGTTCACACTCTTCCGAGCAAAGATTGCCTGCAATGCCCTGACTCCTCCAGCGGACCTGAGATGGCCGGTCTTTCGGAAAGCCCAGGGCGACCTCCAAGCAAGCCTCACCGATCTGATGATACTGAGAGAACCTGATAACGACCCGGTATTTGAGAAGGCCATGCATGTGGTTGACAATCTCGCGACTCAATCCACCTGCCATCAAGCCGCAGCGGCTCAGTTGCTGGTCACTTGTAAGACCGCTGGCGCAACCATGACGCGAGATCAAGGGAAACATGAACTCCTGGAAAGAGCACAGTCAGTCTACGCCGTCCGAGTGGCTGTCTGCGAGACGGGCGAAGGCAGAGCAGCAGTTCCCTCTGCATGCAAACCAATTCTCGAAATCCCTCAGCGGCTTGATCACGAGATTGACGTGGTCAATAGCAAAATTCTGGCCTCGTGTCTCGGAGCGTTGATCACGGAACATTACTACTGGACGAGCTACAGCAACAGCAGACAAGATGCTCAAACTTTATGTCAAGCTACCACAATCGAGTCCACCAGACTGGAAGCCCTTCAGTCCTACCAAAAGCTCGCACAACTCCTTCCAGAGCTTCGTGCCGCAATGGGATCAACTCAGTCGCAGTGGCTGGCATTTCTCAGACAGCAGCAGGAACAGATCCGGCATGTGAGCAATCTTCAGCAGAAAAATCAAGACGAACGTCAAGCGCAGCATAAACTCGAGCTTAGCATTTTCCGCGACGCTATGAATACGGCCAAAGGAGGCCTACATGACGTGTTTCAGAATCTGCACCGACGCATAGCTGGTACCGACCAGAGCGTGGCCCAGACTCGCGAGGTAAGTATCATGGTGCAGCGGCCGTTGAACGATCTACTAATTCGTACCGACAGGCCCTCAGAAACGTGTTTGCCGATTTTGCCAAACTCCGCGATTTACTGCACGAAGCGATTGCAACCACGGGTGAGAAACACGCCGAAGCAGCTGCTGTCCAAATGCAGGAGATGAACAATGTCCACGAGCTAGCCCTTGCCACCACAAAAGCTCTCAAAAGCATGCAGGCGGGCGGAGTTGTCCAGGTTTGCGAGGGACTGTCCCGGGTCACACAGAGACTAACGAGAACAGGGTGTTAATGAAATTCTCTATGGAATACAGGACCGGCTCGAGGGGATTGCCAGTGCACAATCCGCACAGTTAGCGAGCACTGAACACCATCTGCAACTCAGCGGCAAACTATCGGCGGCTCAAGAGGCCAACCTGGCCCTGGGCGAACAGATCAAACATTTCACTGCGTCTCTTGCTTCCGAACTCGATACTGCAAGCGCTACAGCGAGACGAGTGTCCACTAAATTGGACCGAGTCAATCAGGCATTGACGCGCTTTGAGGCAGTTTCTGCTGTACTCAACTCGCTTTTTGCGGTCATCACTATACCGTGCCAAGTTGCGGAACATCTTCATTTAAGACTACTGGGACTTTTTTCCATGCCGGCCTTACTGCTGTCATTCTGGAAGCAACGAATGTATTCATACATAACGATGGCTTTCTACGGTATGTTCTCCGATCCGGACCCGTCTGAGGTGCTAACAGCTTCCAGTATTCCTAGAAAGCCTGATATCGTTGATAGAGGAGCACCACGACAACGTTGTTGGTCCCTTGCGACACCTCCTCCAGCAATGCCGAACAATGATATTGACTTTCGCGTCCCAGATCTCCTTCAAGCAGCTGTTGGTTGCTGCGATGGGGTCGGCCGTTGTCCTCTGCTGTTTCCTGCTGGCACAAAACCGTCCCAAGCCTCAGCGAAGAGCGACGTTGCTTCGAAAATCCATCGAAGAAAAGCACTGCCTGACAATCGCAGAACGCTTCTCCATCGAAAACAGACTGCGCCATGGCAAACGCACACGACCTTCTGGAGACCGATACCGACGAGCGGCGACTGTGTGCTAGATTTCCGCTTCGGGACTATCGTGCATGGCTTTCATCTTTTGATCTTATCATCATCATTTACGCTTATCATCGTGGAGATCATGACTCTATGACGCTGAGATACCCGGGGATTTGAGAGGACACGGTGGGGTAGATGGCGTTATTCTACCTGGCGAGGTAGAGGATCTGTTTTTATTTGGTACCCGTCACTTGTTTGCATTGATGCAATGGTTCAGAGAAAAAAAAATGCATGTGAAAGATGGGTGCATGGCGCGAACAGATGCCGTTGCGTATAGACTCGAACGGCATTTGGTCGACAGGCTTCCAAGAAACCTTTGATGAAGCAGCATTTGCAAGTCAAGAATCTAACATTTAAGGCAGATACACGATTGATTGCACACTCACCTGTCCTTCGACGTCAAGCATTATTGGTCTGAGTCGAGTTACAGAGGACTGAGGCAGGCTGATCTGTCTGTAGAGAGACCTTTTTCACAGACATGCCGCAAGGGTCCAAACTCTTATTTCCAATATCGACGGCTGTCTTCGTCCACGCTATGGCTGCTATGCTTGTGACAGTGAAACCAAGCGTTATTTATGACATGTGCAGTTCCTAGACAGATTGGGAGCCAGTGAATGGCGTTAGGTGGTGAAAGGTGGCCTACGCAATACATGCCTTAGTGGCCCCAAAACACCACGAGGGCGAGGTCAAGGGTTCGTAGTCGACAGTGCCAGACGAAGCGATTGCTGGAGATGATGGAAAGGAAGAGTCTCCGGGGCTGAGAAGAAGATACGTATCGCCCGACTTTGTCAGCAGCACTGTTCCCTCGTCTCCTCCCTCCCATTGACATCTCCGATGTGTTCTCATCTCATCTATGTTTGGATGAAGCCGCAATTGCGAGTACCCTTCTCACCCTTTTCACCTGTGGTTCCGAGTCCGTGCCCTGAGACTATCCATGGACTCTCACGTGAAGAGGAACAAGACTGGCCATGTGGCCGTGATCAAATCCCTGACATTCTTCACGGCACCAAGGGCAGCCATCATCAGGACTGCCTAGAAGTTGCCAAGGTGAAACCCCTGATGATTGCAGGGAGCACATTCGGGACCGAGATCGGATTAGCCCAAAGCCTACAAGATGATACCTTCGCTATACGAGGTACATCAGCGAACAGTCACTTAGTCCCTCCAGTGCTTGGGCACAACTTCCCCCAAAATGAGCCTGCACATCCTCCTCGAGGACTAGCAGGTCAGTCAAGAAGACGGAGGGAGGTTGACTCTCGTTTCACATGCCTGCACTTGTGGCCAACCACTCCGTGTTGGAAGCGAAGTCTGCACCTTACGAACCAGCCAGCCATCTTTGTCCGTGCTGTTGGGCGGGCCTTACTGCGATTTGGACCTTTGGTTGGTGAGTTTGCAATCATGTCGCTTGATAGGCGCCTGGCAGCAACGAACAGTCCGGCCCCCAGCCCCAAGTCTTTAGCGTGGGACCTTCGCCCAGGGGCCACTTCAGGACGATGCCATTTGTTTGTTGCATGGGAGAGATTCGTACAGCCCTACAAGGAACAGCGTAAGGTGCCTAGAAGCGTCCCTGGGAGCTTCACCCATGTGTGCCAGCCCGTTTGCGAAGCTTTCTAAACAACGCTACGTCTTATCGAACGGCTGCTGCCTTTCGCCGGCAACTTAGGTGGTGATACAGAAGTTAGGGACGTATAAAGACGACGAAGAAGCTGGTTCATTTACCGTTTCCTATCCCCTCTGGTCAAATCCCTTCAATATTTCCCCAGCGACGATACAGCCTGTGACTCCGATATGGCGCTGACGAGAATACTAACCGCCATTGCTACCTGCTTCCTGATCTTAGGCACTGTCCTGGATGCTGCCGATGCCGGCAACTCGTCGCAGCACGTTGTGCCCAATGCCACTGGAGACAAAGCTCTCGACCCGGAAAAAGTGCAGAAATACAGGTCTCTTCTTGGTAAGCAAGTCGATCAGGTCCCTTGTCCCTCCGCCCTTGTTGTTGACAAGTATTTATCGTAGACGAATTCAACTGGAGAGTCAAGTTCGAGGACGGATTCAAGTGGCACGACATAATCGACAGTTACACCCCAGCCAATGCGGACTGCTCGCCGAGATGTCTGAATTGTGCACCTGGCTGTAACCCAAGATGCTGTGCGCTTGACAGTTCTGAAGCAACCAAGGACAGGTCCAAGGCCTCTCCTGACGCGTTCATCTCTCACCCGATCATACCCGGCATCGGGCGCCCTCTTCCCATTCCACGGCTCGGCTGTCCTTGCCACTGCGAGTCGTGGTGCCCCAGAAACGTCCAAATTGTCTGCTGCTTCACGCCGGCCTCCGCCTCCTCGCCCGACGGACCAGGAGAGCTTACCGCCCGTCAGCAAACCGGCGCCGTCGTCGACAACGAGGAGACACAGAAGAGTCTCCTCGACCATATCCTCCCCACCCATGGACGTTTCTGGGGCCACCCCAGCCACCCAGAAGCCTGCCCGTGTTACTGCGCCTCGACCTGCCCGGCATATATCCAGACGATCTGCTGCACGACGCCAGGGTCCGACGCCCGCATCGTCCACGAGCCTCCCCCGAAGCCGTTCGACGTCCTAGCGATGGTCACCGAGACCGCGACGGGGGACCCGGTCTCGATCCTCGCCGCTATCAACCTGACCGTCTTCGACAGCTTCATCACCATGAACCTCGTGCGCGGACTCGGGCGGATTGACGAGGTCGCGTACAGCGACGCGACCAAGACGTTCGAGATCACGCTCGGCGTCGTGGTCGGGCCCCAGCACGCCAAGCAGGCGCTGGCCCACACGTTCGTGGTCGTCGACGGGTCGGGTCTGCTGGAGGAAGAGCAGGTCTTGCTCGGCATGGGCTTCATGAACAGGATCGGCGTCCGCAGTGGAGTGGGAGGTGGGGGTGGTGGCGCGCTGATAGTGAACAAGGACTTCCTCACCCCTCTGGAAGAAGGCCTCCCTGTGCTGACGGGCGTGGTGGATGGGGACGCTTAGCCTCAAGTGAAGGTATGAGTAGTCAGGCAGTCAGTCAGCCTTGCCGCGTCCGGAACCGGGTAACTGGATTATCTGGATCGACTGCACGAAGGGCGGAGAATGGAAGAATTGTGTCCCCGGGAGATGTTTGTTTTCTATTCCTGTCTGCCCGTCTCTCTCTCTCTGTCTCTCTCTCTCTCTGTGTGTGTGTCTCTGGGTGTCTACCTGAGTTCATCGACTGGCTGCTGCCGGCTGGCTGGCTCGCCGGTCGATTACATTTTCGAGAGAGCAAGAAAAAAAATTGAGCCCAGGGGAGATGAAACAACTCTCTACAGCAGGTTGTGTACATCTATACATATGTCACAGTCTAGCAAAACAAACTCTAAGCGAACGAGAGAATATCATGAAGCTAACATCTCAATAAACGTAAGTGGCACCCATCCGCGCATTCACATGGTCGCCCAATGACATGTCGCAGCACCGAAAAGAAAAGGATCGAGAGAAATTCTTGCCAGCAAGAAAAGTCCGAGTTTTTTCCCTCTTCCTTGCGGATGACAGGCGTGCCAGTTCTGGTTTCAGACCAGACTCTTCAGGACGAAACCGGTCCTGGGCTCGCCGTCGACAGCAACACGCGTGGCTTCACGCTTGATTTTGGTCTCGTTGAATACCCGGCGTTCCTCGCCGACCCCAGCCCTCTTCCCAATCTTGTTCACGTCCACGGCTTCCCTTTCGATGTTGTCGTCTCGGAAAGCGTGCAGCCCCAGCGCTGGCAGGCTGAAGCGGAAAGCCAGATCTCTCACATCTACGGTGCGCAACGCCGTATACGCTAATGCCGCACTGGCTACGCCGAAGACAATGTAGCATAGACACCCTGCGATAAGGATTGCCAGTGGCACTTTCGGGACTTTCGCCACGAGTAGAGGGGTACGTGTCTGTTCTTGTAGGTTGGTTCGCGAGGAGAGAAACGGGCCGATCACGGTCATCACACGCGACGAGTAGCTGTTGGCGAAAGAGTCGGCAAGTTGCTGCGGGTTGGATTGAAGCGCTGCCTCGAGGATAAAGTCCTGCAGATCGTTGTCAAAGCTGTCATAGCTGCCGTAGATGTTGTATCCGTGGAAGATCTCTGCGATCGTGCCGTTGGGGGAAGGAGTGAGCGTGTTAATTCTGGCAGATGAGTTGACCCAGTTGTAGTCGACCAGATATGTAGTGTACTGGCATCGGAGCGTGAAGTCGAGGTAAGGCGTAGGGCCCTGGTAGATTCCTGGATCCGAGGACAGGTTTACGCCGGCACGTTGGGCTGTAGACTGAAAACGTGCTGCGATTCCCAAGTAGACTGGGTTGATAAGCTCCGAGTCCGGCATAAACGGTCCCAGATTGCCGGCTGGATCATAGAGGGTGCTCAGTTCTTTGTCCATAAAGAAGGAGTATTGCAGGGCAGCGCCGCGTTTGAATCCTAGAGGTGGCACAGAACTATCGTCAATGAGCATGCCAGTGTCGCTCACGTTGGGGGCTTTGCCTAGCACTCCCCAAAAGTTCTCGGTGCAGTTGAATTGGCTGTATGTATTCCCCGGGCCACCACTTGTCCAGTTACAGAGTGTGGTAATAGGCTCGCAGGTCGTAATTACACCGGTGGTGTAGGCTTGGAAGTCACGGTAAGGAGACAGGCCGTGGCTTTGGGGGATGAGGAGTGCTACCTTCGCAGCACCGGAAGACGTGACATTCGACGGCTCGTATGAGGGGGTATCGACCAGGCGAACTTCACTGATATTAGATGTGCCGTGCTGAAGATAGAAGATTTCGTTCTGGCTTGAGACATAGGCGTTGTAATCCGCCACGCCGAGTTCTGCATTACGGGAGCATGGCAGTCCAAAGTTGTCGCTACGGTGGAGAGCAAGACATGCTGACGATAACTCATAGCCATAGGCGTGAGCCAGGGCCGAGACAGACACTTGGTCGAAGTTGATGGTTGAAGTCGTGTAGTGAAGGGCCGTATCAGCGCCGAAGACGACACATGCTAGGACTAGTGTCATAGTCAAAGTCCGTGCAGCGCGCTTCAAGGCCGGAGGTATGACCACTCCATCTTCTTTCGCGTAAGAGAAGTATCTTCTCAGTCTTCCCATTGAGGCCAGGCAAAGGCCGACAAGCAAGCTGTACTGATACGGAGTAGGAAGATCTTGTTGTTCGGAACATGACGAAGACAGATACATGAGTAGCGCAGACTGGAAACTGGACAGGTTCATGATGAAGCCAGCAAGGAGAGGGGCAAGAGTCGATGCCCATGATGCGACAAACGCGATCCGAGTTGCTGAGTAATTGACCAACACAACAGCATGATCACTCAACGCCTGCGAATTCGACACTTCCTCGAACAAGCTTTCCTCGGATTTGACCCTGTAGCCGAAGATCAGCGCCAGCAGTCCGGCGACAAGGAAGGCCATGGGCAGGACGATAGTCAAGGTGGGGAGGAGGATGGTTTTCCAGAGCATCCATTTTGGGCATCTCGGGTCATGAATTGTAGAAGAGAGGGCATAGTATTTTTCAGTCAAGGGCCAGTCGCCAGACCGGAAGGACGCAACTTCGTCCAAGCTTGCCACATTCTTGCTCTGAGAGGTGTCGAAAGAGAAGCCCACTTTTTGGAATGACGCCTGGGACCAAGCCGAGTCGGGGGGTTTTTGAGCATAGCCTTGAACGCCATCGTTGGAAGGCATTGGTCTGTGATCGCCATGACCTAGGATGTCACTCAAACGTCCGGACAGCACAGGTGGCCTGTTGTCTGTGAAAGGAGTGGCAAATGACCAGAAAGGATTCATAGAAGCCATATGGGAAATTGAACTTCAACTTAGGCGAGTATTCCTGCTGCGCAGTCCAGAAAATCCTTGCTGGCGGTCTGATCTTGGACCAAGCATGCACGAGGGTGATAGGGGATAATATGGTACTTACCATGAACAAATGTTACTTTCCAAGCACTAGCTTGGCTTTGAAGACACAAGATGCAACCAAAACATAACGCTGAACAGGAGTCGTAGTTTTGTGTCGCGAAAGTGCATGCCGTGAGCCAGAATGCTAACGACACGACGAGACCCACACCATTCTAGACGATTTTGTAGCATAGTCGACTGTGGCTGCTGGTTGCCTTGTGGCAGGCGAGAGCGAATAAGATGACAAGGAAGCCTGCCCTGAAGAAAGCATATGGATGTTGAACAGCCACATTTGCGTGATGATTGGCAGACTGAAGGAATTCGTCCATCCTCAGCTGGAGCAACCTTGAAGCCAAAGGGCTGGTAGCGACGATAGGATGGATCCCTAGTTTCTCCCGGGAGATCGAGAAGAACGTTCGTTGGGCTGTGGCTGTTGAGGTGCATGGTTTTGGCCCCCAGCCCTTGGAATCGCACCATCAGCACGGTGATCCACAAACCGTCAAAAGAACCGCCAAGGTAGCTGGATCCCAGCCGGCACTAGAATAGAGCGTCTATCCTTTCATGACATTCGATTGGTCTTATAAGGGGTAACAATTCTCCGACCGACGCGGATTCAAACTAGCGAGCCAGCTCGCCGGCCGAAGCTGGAATACTCGTACGCAGTTTGCAAGGCCCCGAGGGTTCTGGACATGCCGAACACAATGTCATGGGTATCATTTGGCTTGTATGCTTAGCAAGAGCTTTGTTCGCTGTGCGCCTGTCCCTCAAGGTCTCTGGCGCCAGATGTTGAGTCCCTTGTGGCTCGTATCGTCATCGTCCAACTCACCGTCTTGACCTCTAAGCTTCATAGCACTGGCCCCTTCGTTTCCTCGAACTCGCCAACCTCTCCGATTACAGTCTTCAGAACCTCGGGCACAATGACGGCTGCATCTCCCTCGAAGAACCAATCGTGCTTATTCAGTTCTTGTGCATCGCTGCGATCCATGTTGATGACCGCAACCCTAGCACCCATAGCTCTGGCGATGTTTGTGTAGCCCGCAGCCGGGTATACTTTGGCGCTGGTGCCAATCACCAACATGAGGTCGATTTTCTCACGCTTCGAAAAATATTCGTCCACCCCGTGGAGCACGTCCTCCGGCAACGGCTCGCCGAACCACACCACACCGGGACGGAGCAGGTTCTTTTTACAAGACGGGCATTGGGGAAGATCCTCGCGCTTGAGCTGGGGGATCTCCACATCGATGTCTGAAATATCAGCCCCTCGAATCAAAGCATGTTTCTTTTGCTTGATGGCTGCCTTGAGCTGCGAATCCTCGACATCTGGTGGAAGGGCCAGCGCTGGGACGATGGGGTCTGTGAAATCATTCTTGCGAGAATAACCACAGCCGTCTTCGTCCCAACATTTGACGTCAAACAGATTTCCGTGGAGGAGTTTGAGTTGGGCAGCAGGATGACCGGCGCGAGGGCTGAGACCGTCGACGTTCTGGCTGAGAGTGATGAAGTCGGGATTCCGGCGGGCCAACTCTGCCAGAGCAAGGTGGGCTCTGTTGGGTTTGGCATTAAGCGCCATGTGACGACGGTAGGAATAAAACTGCCACGATAGACCAGGGTCTTGTTGAAAAGCCTCAGGCGTGGCCAGCATGGTGGCATCATAGGTGCGCCATAGACCCCCAGCACCGCGGAAGGTAGGCAGGCCACTGGAGGCGGAGAGGCCGGCCCCCAAGAGAGCAACAATGCGTTTGGATGACTGGAGGTGCTGCGCAAAAGAAGCAACGTCGGTCAGGGGCATGTCGGTGGTGGCAAGATAGCTCATGCTTGTCGCGAGAACGGAATTCTCTCGGCGTAATATTGGAGAGGGCAGGGCAGGGCAGGGCAGGTGGATTTGGATCTGTTCTTCACTTGTATATCAGTTTCAAGGCCGAGTCAGAGGAGGAGGGGAAAATATGTGTATCCTGCTAGTGCTGCCTTGGATGCCTCCATCAGGCTGAAGGGGATCGAGTTGGACGATAGATGGAGGGTTGCTGATTTGAATTTGATTTGCGGGTTTGTGGTGACGAGAACGGGTTAGAGGGGTAAGTGGCCACAATAATGGTGGCAGCCCACCTGGAGCTGCACCTGGAGTGGCACCCGGAGTGGCACCTGATGAACCTGGAGCCCGCCTGGAGCACCCATCACCAGCCCACCGCCAGACGCCAATGTTGACTTACATAACAGGAACCAGGCCCGGAAGAGCAGCCGCCTATCAAGACGCCCGTAGCGTGCCACATGGCTCCAATAATGCGGTCACACATTATGGTCTGATCGGCCACAATTGAATTTCCCCTCTTCGCACTGCATGACATTCATGAGTCCCCAGAGAATTGCGGTGTCCTCCTTCTTTCCCTCTCGAGGACTGCAAATAAAGAGAAAGAAGATCCCGAACCACCTGGCAGTTCACAGCTGCGGACATCGAGACTCTTTTCAACCAACCCTCTTCCGCATCTCGCCGGGTTGCATCGTGCTTATCGCGAATCCCTCCCACCGCCTCCATTCTGATAACCCATTTTTGCCACCAATGCTGAAAACACCACGCTTATAACACTCTTTGCGTGTTTGTCCTACCACCGTGCCCGTCCGTCGGCCGTCGACACCCCTCGAGTCTATCTCAAAAGATGGAACGCCCGGTGCAGCCACGCCCCATCCGACGAAGGGTCAACGCCCTCCTCTACGTGAGCCAAAGAATAGGACCAGAACTCCTTCCCTACCTCCTTCACAACCCCAACCTAAACCTCCGAGTGATTTCGGAACTCTCGAAGTCCGAGTTCCAACAACATATGGCTCCTGGTGTCAGTTTGGACAATGTACAGTGGATAGAGAACAAAGCTCAAGATCCGTATCGCAACCAAGTCATGATGTTGGGACACCGGCTGGCTAAGTGGGCCGATTTCATGTTTCTTGCCATGGATGCAGGAATGATTACCTTGATGCTGAGCGGTTTCACCACCGACGTTCTTCTCCATTGTCTGAGGTGCTGGGACGTGTCAAAGAGAATTGATCTGTTGCCGGAGTTGAGTAGAGATCAGTACAGACACCCCATTTGGAACAGACAATTGTCCGAATTCCGGAGGAAGTGGGACTGGGTTCGTGTTTTATCTCCTGCCATTTTCGAGTGCTCGGCGAGTGGCACCAGCCTCGCTGAGCTGGGGGCAGATGATCTGGATGAGGACATCACCCCAGAATTCCGCTGGCAGTGGGCTGGACCGTCCGAGATGATTGATGCCATCGAGAGTGAAGCACAATCGGTCCTACGCGCCACCTCGCTCAAGACAAATTCGGCAATGCTGGACTTCCCAACTTCCAAAAACGCTTCTTCGAAACCTCAACTCCCCAGCGAGATTTGGACCATGATTCTGGACCACCTCGGCGACTGGGAACTTGCCACCGCCCTAGGAATTTTCACACACTTGCCGGTGCCTCACGAATGGGAGCCGCTCATTCCACAACCCGGGTCATCCAAGTCTCCCTCGCTTGAATACACCATCCTCACTAGACCTGTAGCTCAGGTCCAAAAATATTTCACCACAAACGCTTCCAATAACCCACCAACCACCTTGTCTCCAATCGCGACACGACTTATCTTTCGCTTCTCCATGACCGACCTGCTGACGTACCTGGCTCTTCAGCAAAAGGACATCTTCTGGACCTCGTTTGGCCTGGCCCTTCTGCCACACAAGGCCTCTTTGATCTACAATTCGCCCACCATCTTGCAGTGGTGGAAAGATTGTCCCGCCGTGATAAAGAAGGAATATGGTCCTGAAGCCTTAGATGGGGCTTCTCGCGCCGGATTTGTGGAGGTGCTGGATTGGTGGCTCAATTCAGGCCTGAAACTCACATACACCGAAAAGGCCCTGGAGTCGGCGAGTGCCAAAGGGCATGTGGAGGTGCTTGAGTGGTGGAAGGAGAATTCTCAAAAACTAGCAGGCACAGACCGCGAGATGCCGCTCAAGGTCGGCAAGAGCATCCTTCTCGCAGCGCAGAGCGGCCGGACCAACTCCATCGAGTGGTGGGAAACGTCAGGCATCCCGTATGCACACGAAGACGGGGTCGCCCGGCTCGCTTCCCAACACGGCCACGTCCCCGTACTCGAACTGTGGCATCGGTTCAAAGGGAGTAAGATGATATTCGACAACCAGGTCCTCGTTGGAGCTACGAAGAATGGCCATGCCGGCGTCCTGCAGTGGTGGAAGGACGTCAGCCGGAAGACTGGGCTGAGAGTGGAGTACAAGACGTGCGACATTGAGGAGGCCATGGAAGACGCGGTTGGTGGCGGCGGCGAAGGTGAAGTCCGAGAATGGTGGGCGCGTAACGGCCTGAACTTGGGAGTCGGCACGGGCGAGTGGATGAGGGTGAAGACGTTATGAACTACGTCCCTTCTATGGACGGCTGTCGAGGCGCCTTAAACGAGAAACGTTTCGACAGACTTCGCCGCAGCTCGTGGGTTTTCGTCTTCTGCGCATGGTTTCGTTACAGGGCTGGTTGGTCCTGGGAAGGAGGGGAGAATCTACACGACTCGAGTGGGACCACGGTGCCGTGCTTTATTCATCTTGTTGCACAATGGCTATTATTGCCGGTGCTGCATTCATCCCTTGCTACGTGTTCTCGTTATTATTGTTGTCACCAGCGTCAGGCGTCAGGGTGGAAGGACAGGGGAGAGCATGGTAAACGGACTGGGCGGGTAGGGAGCATATACCACGGCATGAGCACAACCTACGGCGTCAGGAAGAGAGGAGACGGTGCTAGCCATCATTATCATCATCATGAACAACAATCACGACAACAACACTAACGACATGCATGGCCGGCGCGACTTGTTTAGAAAATACCCACACAAAATAGGTTGATCGTTGCTCATCATTTGATTTCATTACAGTCATGACGATACCAGCGGACACGAATGAATGGGATATCGGTCTGAATGCCATCCCTTCTTTCCCTCCCGTCCCGAATCTTCAATAAAAAAGTAAGAGAAAGGGTGAGGATGGCGCTGATGTCTTAAGCCTCCCTTCCCTTGGTCATGAAGATGAAGAAAATGGACCAAGTCTGTCGCTTGCTCTTCATATCCGTTCGCACCTCAAAAAGCTCTCCCAATTCTTCCATCAAACCAGCGAGCATGACGTCCAAAGCTCGTTTGTCCCAGCGCTGTGCACTTGAATCGAAGCGACACCAATTCGACTCCTGCTCTGATACTCAAGCTGCGAATCCAGAACTCTCTTCGCAGAGTGCACGAGGTCCTGGTCGAAATCAGCCGCGTCATGCATGCGTCGTAGAGACTCCTTCTTCCTTCACCGAAATAAAAGGCCGACTACAAAGAAATAGCCCACAGCAATCACGCCAGCCATGTCCCCTTGCACCATTTTGGTCCACAGGCCATCCCAAGTCTTCAAGCAGGATTGCCCACTTTTATCATTATCCATCATCTTCGTCATGGGGAACTCGCCCGTTGGTTCTCATGAAGCATTACCCTTTCACTATCCCAGATCAATACGTCGACGCGCTACCTGCACGCCCAAAGTATTTGTGAAAGACCCTTCCAATCAATGAATGACGCCGAAAGTTGCGCCAGGCAAACGCTTGCTACCCTTTGAATGTTTTGCTTGGATGATTTCACGGGCTCAGTGGATCCTCGTAGTCCTCAGCACTCAATTCCGCCAGCTCACTGCTACCATCCTGCCAATCAGCCGAGCTCAGAGCCTCAACGGCTGTTTCAGCCTTGGCCCTCAAGCCAGCCATGGTGTTTTGGATCTCACTGATTTTCTCCTCGTGAATCGGGTTCTCGAGGTCAAAGTATGTTAGGCAATGGTCCACCACGTCGATCAATTGGCTGGCTTGGCCGGCCTGGAGCGTGCTATTTTCTCGGTTGCGTGGATTTAAGACGCTTGTCTGCACAAAGTTGGAACAGCTACTCGCCAACTCGTGCACCACCGAAACAAGTGTCGGGTAAACCTGGGGGTCTTGGAAAGCATGCTCCTGTAACGGGGTGAACAGAACCCGCTTCAGCAAGTCGACCGTTCCAAAACGGATGTTGAACTGGCCCTCGTTCGGTGCGAGCAAGAACGTGGGTGCCCACTGAGGTACAGTCTGTAGGACCACATCCTCTAGGAAACCCGCCACGAGATTGAGGTAGCTGTTTTCCACCTTCAACAAAGCGTCGACGAATTCAAAATACTCTCGGGCATATTCAACACCGACTGTTGCGATGCTTTCCAGAGCAGGTTGAACAAGGTCGAAAATTTGGTTCTCGGAACGACAAAACTCGCAGAAGGCAACGATTGGTCGTAGGAAGCTGCTCGCTATGTTGATATTTCGGTGATTCAGTCCAGTCACCAGTACGATGGAGAGAGCACCAGCGAGTTGTCGATCTGCTGAAAATGCTTCTACAAGAGTGTCCACCATTGCTGGATTTTGTCGTCCTGAAATCAAACGCCTGCACCATTCAAAGTGGGGAGGAATCTTGTTGAACCCAAGAAGGTCCGCCTCCCCGATGGTCAAGCTGATCTTCCTGTCACGCATTTGACGCTCTCTGGTTGCAGGTAGGTGGAAATCAATGCCTAGGAGTAGGCTGACAAAGAGGCGGATGACCACCGGATGGTTGAACGGCCGGTTCCTCTCCCGAGCACTCAAGTACGTAGTGTATCGGTCCTGAGCCTCTTGGACAATGGGAACTCGACTGGATTGTTCAGGTGCATCATGACGAGATCGTAACACTTTTCCAGAAAGTTTTCTTCGAGAACCCACAAGGTCTCCTCTTCACTCAACCGTTGCATGTTGTACAAGAGGCCAAAATAGTCTGCCCAACAACGGCCTGTTCTGGTTACCACGTCCCACAGTCGGGATAACTGTAGGAGACAGTCCCGAAGCCAGGTCTGGTACTCCGTCTCCAATTTCCTCGGTTCTGGATCACGGAGCGGGTCCTCCCTCAGCCCGCGAAGTCGAGAAAAGGTGCTATAGAATAGGTTCGCAAACGACTTTCGGACTGTCTGGTAGGGGCTACGGACAACCACATCTTCAAGCACTCGGGGGTGGTGAAACCAGTGAGCTATTGTTCTCGTGCAATCTTGGCACTGTTGTGCGCAAGTGAGGAGAACAGTGATAGTCTCTTCAAAGCAGGGCTGTTCCTTGAAGCGAGAGGATACTGAGCGCAGATAGTCCAAGACCATTTCGATCACGCCGGATTCGAGGTTGTGCTCTTCGCTGCATTTGTCCATGCCCTGCGGGAAGCGTTCGAGTAGCTTCTGGATGAACTGCGCGTGTGAAGCGTCTTGCGCGCAGTAGGAACGCAGGAAAAGCTCATTCTGTTGAGCGATGTGTTGGTCCAGTCGCTGGGGTAACGGGATGCGTACAGGATTTATTGTGTCGTGGCAACGATATTGCTCCTCGACCTTTTGAATACTCGATGTTCTCTGATAGAACAGCATGTAAGCGCTGTAAAATTTGGGAAGATGATAAAACCCGGCTTCTGAAGTACCTCCGAAGCAGTTGTCACGCATTTGGTTGGTGTCGAAGACGCCGACGTCTTGGTCATTAAACTGGACCCAGGACTCGTGTACAGGTTTTCCTGACGGTCGCTGGCGGATGAATGAGTAGTAATGACCAGAGTCTGCAGTCCCAGAGTGGACTATGACGCCGGTAAGCTGGAAGTAGTCTGGCTCTCCCGAGTGTTGCTCATCACTGAGCCTGGCGAGAGTATAGGGTGCGATATCAAGCGTATCGGGAAACTGAAACTCGTCGTTGACCTTCGTCCGCGTGCCGGTCATGATGTCGTAGTCAAACCGCTTGAGGTTGAATATCAGATTGTCCGGCACGTCTTTCAGGCAGGCGCGCTTGACAGCATCGACGTGGCGTCCGCAGGAAGTACAAGAATATTTGTTTTCGCCCTGAAGAACTTCTCCCTCGACATAGGCACGAAGGCTGTCTTCCAGGCGGGCTTTGCCCTTGATCTCAACTTGGACGGCGGAAAAGGGCTCCAGGCGTTCTGAAATGTGGTCGCACTCCTTCGACTTGACTTGCTGAACCAATTGGCCGCCATACATCGACCTGAACGTGACTCGGGCTGAAGGATCAATCTGACCCTCGAGACGATCAAAGAGCAAATTGAAGAATTCATCAACATCCATCTGAATCGACACATCGATTTGCTCGCCTTCGTAAGTCGTTATCGCTTCAACCGCCATCGAGGGATCAATGGACTTCTCGTAGGAATTTTGCATGTAAGCAAAGACCTTCGCGAGTTCGAGGACGAGCTTCTGATTTGAATCCTCCGAGCCCAGCATATTCAAAAAGAACTCTCGGAATTGCACATTCATGAAGAGTTGGGAAAACAAGGAGTTGAGGTAGCAAGTGTTCGAAAGATTCCGCAAACCGGCGTACCCGACCTCCGTCCGAAGATTTTGCCGATCGTGTGAATAGATGGGCTCAAAAAAATCTGGAGGTAGTAGGTCGTCTCCCAATTTGGTAACAACTACTGCGAGCTCCTGAGGGCCTTGACACAGCGCAAGAATGAGGCTGTACAGGCTTTCCCGTACGGTACTGTCGAGGACCGGCAATCTCGAGTTCTCACCGGCCCCAGCCCCATTTTCAGAGAGCGGCGGAAACAAGAATAGCGTTATGATCTGTTCGATGATCTGATCGCCAGTAGGAAGGGCGTCAGACGCCTTCAGCAGTTTACAGTTTTCGAGGAGCAGCTTGGTAAGACAGGCAACCACGTGATCGTTGAGGGGTTGACCTACAACCTCGACGTGTTTGTGTTTCAGGAGAATGGAGATCCACTGGTCAAAATACTGCTTGACCGCTTCAGGGGGAAAAGACTTGCCTATCCTCCTTAAAATAGCAAGCATTGTCTCGCAGACTTCGGCGCACCGCTCATGCTGCAAACAAGCGTGAGGCAGGATGTCTGCTAGGGCAGTCCACAAATGAGAAAGACAAGCTTCGATGGTAGCGGGGAGAAAGCGGGATCGTGGCGCTCTTGGATTGTTGATCTTGAGGTACAACTTTGTTCCAACAGCACCTGTCAAACCAACCACAACCTCGAGCAGTGAATGCCGCACATCGACTCGACGATCATCAACGAAAGCAGTGACGATTAGGTCCCTGAAGTCAGCTTCGGCATCCACATAGGCCCAAACTCGCTCATCGTGCAGGCACGCCTCGATGAAAGTTTCCAAGACTAGTTTCACCATGGCGGAAGATGAAATTTCGTCCATATTGGTGTTGTAGCTCTCCAGCGCAAAGCGTAGCAACCTTGAAGTTTGCGCTGCGAATCCTCGGTGATCCACAATGTATTCGCTCGATGTCTCTGCAGAAACCTTGGCTCGGAATGCTAGAAGAAGTGCTTCCATCAGGCTGTGAGCGATCGACATCTGAAGCCCGTCTGATGGGTTATTCAAATCCAGCTTGGGGAGGACTTGCAGGATGGTTTGGATGCTGTAGATGAGAAATTGGGAATCCGGGTTTGAGCTGAACGACTCATCCTCTATGCAAGATCGCAGAGCCCTCGCGCAATACAGGAGTCTGAAAGGCTTTCCTGGAGGCAGAAGTTCCATTGGCGACCTGTCTCTTGAACGTACGACCCGGACAAGTTCGGTCTGTGCAGAGAAGAGGCTGAGGAACGTGTACACCTCTCTTGATAGGCGCTCATCAGCATCAAGAAGCTCGTAAAGGTCATCAAAGTGGTGCATAATTTTGTTGTCAACAGGAGAAGTGGCTCGGGTAGACCGGGTTGGCGGACTCTCCGGCGTATTCAACGTTTTGTGGACAATCAGGAGGCCGGAGGCTACCTTGGACTCCGCGATGGTTGTTGATTGTCCTGCAAGCAATACCTTTTGCCCCAGATTGAACACAGAGAACTGTTTGAAGCCACTTGCCTCACAAAGATACTTGTGCAATTCGTCGCACGTGTTCTCAGACCCGATGGTAATGTTTTGCATCTTTTCGGTGATATACTTGCTTGCCGTGATCTGAATTTTGAGTTCGACAACCTCCCCTCTCTTGTCTGGAAACTCCGCAAGTCCCTGGATCTGCTGGTCCGGGACTGGACTGTACCGTGGTCGAAGTTTCATACCTTCAAGAAATTTCCTGAGGAACAGCAAAGACCGATCAAAACGCAGTTCCTCGGCGCGTATCTCGTCCTCAGAGGCAATAATCACCATGGGCTCATCTTCGCCACTCATGGTGCCATCCGTGTATGATTTTAGCTTAGACGCAGATGCTATAACCTGTTGCACCGAGCGGTCCACGAGGGAAGCATGAGTCGCGTCGATGACCCCTTTCGACCTTCGGGTCACAAGGTTGTTATCCAAGTACGTCCGGATGATGAAGTCGGTGGCTTGGTTTTCAATCGTGTTTGGAGGCGCATCCAGCATGACCTTCCACATTCTCTCGATCCCGGGTACTACAATGACACCCTCAGTGTCAGGGATAGTTTCCGTGGTGCGCTTGATAGTGTATGAGATCGACACCCTGATGAACTCTAGGACTTGTTCGTTGTAGTCTTGAGGGTCCAGAGTCGGCAAGTGTTTCTCGATGATCAAGTCCACGAGGATAATCTCCTCCTTGTTCTGCTTGATCCTAACAGCATGGGTCAACGTCTCCCACGCACGAGCCCTCACGGAGGTTGGGAGTTGTGAGAACGAATAGAAGGATGTCCAAAGTTCCTGCACGAGATCTGAAGTGAAGACTTCAGGGACATGGAGAACAAAGTAATACAGGCATGCGGATCGCACTTCATACATTGCCTCGATCGATTTGACGGATACACCGCGTGCCACCATCAGGTCGAATTGGTCCCGTAAATATGCAAAGTCGGCAATCAGCAGTGCCAGCAGGTCAAACTTGTCGGTGGCTTCGGCGATCCCGTCTCTTCCCAACATCGGTAACAAGCAGTTCAAGACTTGAAGATCGCCAGAGGCATATTCGCTATGGGCTTCGAGGTTCGAGGCAGCCTCGGATATGATCTGATTTCGCTCTTCCTCGTCAATCGTTGCAAAGGTAACCTCAGCTCGACCCAGAGACAGGACATTAGTCAGATGCTGGCCAAAGTCTCGTCGTATCAGCGGTGCTTGTTCAAGAGACGCATTCTCCTCCACCGAGGCCTCGCGCAGCAATCGTATGCATAACTTCCGCGTGATTGGATCCGTGGCATTTCCAAGATGCAGAGGAAATATACCTGTTTTTGTTCTCAGACTTTCGAACAGGAGGGCAGTGAACTGCAAGACGTGCAAGTCAAAGCGCTGAATAGGATAGTCCGACAGTTTTCGGCAGATGTAGTAAAGCGCATGAAGGTCGTATACAGTGAAACACATCTGGAGTAGATTGAAAACCTCGTGGACAGTCCGAGGGTCTTGACTCTCCACAATAGTTTTCCAGATATGGTCTGTATCGGCGTCTGTGTAAGTCCCCGAGACACAGAGGAAACCGACCACGTTATGAGCCCGACGAATCAACTGTGGGTGGGAGTCGACGCCGACAATGTAGTCCACCAATTGGTTCTCCTTGATGAACTTGACTAAGAATCTTACCAACGGATGAGACATGGCAGGCTGCGCCTGGCCACTGATATGCTCTTTGAACACTTGAACGAGATCAGTTGACATACTGTCGACGCCAGAGACCCGAAGTTCCATCCGGCCATTGGTGATGAATTTACGAAGTGTCTTGAACTTCCAGGCGTACGGCATTGTGCTAGGAAGATCAGAAACATCCGAATCGGCGAAACCAACTCCAGCAGAAGTTATAATGTCCTTGCCGATCTGCGGGATATCGACCGCAATCATGGACACCATTGGATTTAGAAGGTCAATTATTTTCCCCGCGGTCTCCAGATTGAGCCAGGCCGCTTGCTTCATGATAGCTTGTTGGATGGCGTTGTCTGCTTGCAAAATTATTCTCGCAGCGCCGTTGCGAATGTGATCAAGTTGTGAGAATGCCGCAGGGACAAAATTTGTCTCCGTACTGTACATGTTGGAGATCGGAGCCATGACGCAATTGGTCACCGAGAGCAAATTGTGAAAAGGTCGATACAAATCGGTTCGCTTCTGTATGAGAGCGCAAATTTCGGAGAACAGGGCGGAGATGGATGGTAACAGGCAGACTGTCGATGGGTCCCCAAGGCGGTCGATGACGAGCGTGTAGAAGTGCGTCCGATCGAAACTGTGTGCACGGGACAGTGCGTCGTAGAAGGGGATGCGGACCGAGAGGATCCATGTCAAAGGTTGCAGGTAGTTAGCACACAACAAGCCGACAGACTTGAGATCCCCGAGTTCTGGATCCTTACTGAGCGCACGTAGTCTCTGAGTGTCAAGATCAATCAGAAGCCTGGCAATTTGAGCAAAGGCCACGAAGAAGTCGACGAGGTCTTCAGTGCGAGCTCCAGGAGGCGGGCCTGCCTCTCGTCGCAGTAGGCCTTCGATGAGATCTGGCAGTCGGTGCCAGAAGTCTCTTTCTTCTTCATGCAGCGTGATGGAGAATTCATTGCAAACGGCGACAAATTCGATCATCCAGTCTTTGACTTGGCGGAATATGGCTCCATTTTGGCCACCGGCGTGCTGGAAGTTCTCTGATATGCGAGCAATCACTCTATGAGTGCTCCCTGGCGCCCACTCTTGAGAATAGGGAAACGTGCGGTTGACATAGCCGGATGGAAACGAATTCAGGACAGGGGAAGAGGCGCTTTCACCGCTGCTACGGTCAGTCGACCCGGTCTGGTTTGAATCTTGATCGAGGTCTTCAGGCTCAACAATCTCAATTTGAGGTCTCTTGCTCTTGGAAGCCGATGTCGACATGATCTCCGCCGACTCGGTCTGATGAGGGAGGGGGGCAGGTGCAGCATCGGTGTCTCCCTTTCCGTCGCCACCAACGGTAGAGGTGTCTGAAAGTGAGAAACTGGGCGGCATGCCCGCTCCTCCGGCTTCGGTGGTTGGTTGCGTAGCTGACTGAGAGGACAGCGGGCGGGTGTTGATGGTTACCTTGCTGGTGGGGGATATGAGAGCCGGAGGGGCTGCCGTTCTGGGAGGCAGCGGCGGTGTCTTGACGAGAGACCCTTCCTCATCGCTGGTGGCAAGCGCGACTGGCACAGAAAGTGCGGGGTTGGAATTGTCTCGCTGCAAATCCGACATGACATGCGTCCCGTCAGGCTTAGTATCACTCAGCCTTGGACGCTTGTGCTCATGCTCTGACAGCTCTGAACCTTCGGTGGAGTCGCTTCGGTTACGGATCGAAGAATCGGACTTTGAGGACGACATATTACGGAAGTCGCATCTGGAAGTCTGCAGGAGCGGCAAATCCGCAACCAAGAGAGGGAGAGCGGTGAATGGAAACTGACTGGAGAGTGAAGGAGCGGTTGAGGTGAGGCAGTGAGAGGTCTTGGCAAAAGCTGTAGAAGGCCGCCACTCAGGAAGAAGGCGACGGCGGTGCCTGATTTTTCACCGTCTGATCAAGATAGGGACGATCACGGCTGGCAGCTGATGAACAAGGGTCTCTACTGCATGAACAGCCAATCTGGTAGGGACAGAATGATGTCGACTTGGGCCATGTCTCTCGACCAGGGACGTTGAGGTGCCTGTGGGAACGGAAGGGGGCTTTGCGGCCACCGCGGCGTGGTGGTAATGAGAGGCGGGGCCTAATGTTTGCCTTAGGAAGCTTTTCCGACAGGCAACGGGGCAATGCAGAGGCAGATACAGAAGAATCAGAAAGGCTCCACTGAGAGCCAAGTGGAATGAGATACTTCTGACGATGGCGAAGAAGGAGAAAATAGTCTAGATGGGTGTTTTGTGAGTCGGATGGTCGTTGGACAGAGATGGACCAGGCTCGCAGGCTGCCGTTGACTTAGACGGAGTTGTAGCGGCGTCGGCACATTTCCTTATTGGCGGTTCCGTACTCACCAAACGCGTCTGGCGCGTGAGCAAGCACGAGAGCACACCTAGAGGAGGGGCTTCAAGCTGCTCCTAACCACTCCTGGTCTTCTCACACGTCATGCCTTGTCTGCGCCTTGTCACCACCACTTTTTTTTCGTCTTCGGCGCGCCAGGGTTGATTGCCAGCATGGACAAACAAAAGAAACCTGCAACTGTGCATTCTTTGTCTCTTCCATACCCAGAATCCCAATGGTATCTATCTAGCACGTCGGAATATTCCTGCAACCTTCCGATTAACTAACACAAATTCCTTTATCAGGCCCCCCATCTCTCCTGACTTGGAGCAAGCACTCCTCCAGCTCCTCCTCCGGCTGCTGCAGCCCATAGGCGACTTCAGACGCAACCATGTCCCACGTTCCAAGGGCAAGGGAAGAGGTGGAAAAATGAACGAGAAGACGCAAGAAGACTCTATGCCAGAATGGATGCCCGATGTTTACGACCATCTTACTTTCGGGTTTAATAGCACGGTCCGCAGGCTTGAGTCCTTGGCTCGCAGCCGCAAGCCACAAATGCTATCTCAGCACACAGACGCCGACCCATCGTCGGGACACCCACTCGCAAATCTCTCAGTCGTGTTTGTCTGCCGCCAGAATCTGCCTGATATAATGACATCCTCAATACCCTTGCTGTTAGCAACCTCAGCTCCCATCAACACCAGGGCCAGGCTGGTGGAATGGTCCTCACAGGCCGAAGAGCAGGTTGCTCGAGCACTGCAGCAGCCTCGTGTGGGCGTGGTCGGTGTTGGGGAGGCGACGCCTGGCGCTGAAACACTTCTGCAATTTGTGCGAGACAATGTTGCTACGGTTGATGTACCCTGGCTCGATCAGATACCCAAACCCATATACCATCCCGTCAAAATCCAAACGGTCGACTCAGCATCCAGGCCCAAGGCCACACTCCAAAATCGCAAGCGGAAGGAGTTAGGAGATGGCTGAAGGTGCTGAAAACAGCTGAGCTTGAAGGTTGGTCGAAACATCAACGAATGAATGGAATGCGGACGGGAACGCGTTTGCGATATTCAATGTAGTCTTCTCCAAAGAAAGAAACCAGATGTCTTTCTTCATCTGTGATCGAATCATCAACACTGTGAGGCATGAGGAACCCACAAGGGAACAACTTACGAACGATTCGGTGGTGGAAAAACTTCCACAATACCACAGCATATATTACGAAGCAAATGCGATTCCCCAGCAGTACCTGCGTCCCCAAACCCCACCAGAAGAATCCGAAATAGGAGGGATGCCTTGAGAAGGCATAGACTCCATCCGTCACCAGGACATGGTCTGCTCGCTTCGTCCATTGCACAACATGGTTGAAGTTTGTCTTTGCCTGTCGCATGGCGGCACTTCTGACAAGCTGGCCCACGACAATCAAAGTGGCGCCCAGCCCAACTGTTATCGAGGACGGAATCGATGGCAAGATTCTGGGGATATGGAAAGGCAACCTCAGCCATGTTGGAGCGTAGTCAGAGTACAGCCAGTACCGGGCCAGCAATTCAAGCATGGCGGAGGTATGGGCGGCGGCATAGCCAATGCCATTCGACAGTAAGAGAAAGGACGAGATTGAGGCATCCGGGGGGTTGTATCTTGCCGTCATGTCGAATTCAAGGTAGTGAAACAGGGCCAGTGTTGCGACAAAGCATGGTGCTCTCCAAAGTCCGTTGCCCCAATGCACCAGCTCCACTGTGAGGATTGTAGAGATGCCTAGTGCGATGCCCAACGCAAAGGCACGAATAGACACCCCTGAGAGTGCCCGTTTACCCCCAGGCAGGTATAGTGGTGGAATATACATGGGCTGCAAATTCGCGCGGGCACTACCGTTAATGTGTTCTTGAATCCTGTCTCTTGGGAATTCATGAATGATCCCTGGAGAACTGAGGGCCGAGGAGTCGGACATGTTTTGGACTGCCGTTGCCGTAAGTGGGCGGATGGGCGAAACTGGGATGGGGTTGTTTAAGGGGCTTTTATCTGGCAATTGGACTAATCAAAGAGCTTACCCTTCATGACAAGACACAGAGGGCATTTTAGATAAACCAGAAAGAATGACCGAATCACAAGGAATGCATAACTGAGAAGAACAATAGCAAGGAAGCGCCTGAGGAGGTCGTCGGAGGCTCAAAGCGTCCGCAAAATTGTGTCATCAGACTTGAAACAAGGCCAAACAAAAGGCTAGGTGCAGTCCCTTCGCATCAACTATTTTCCGGCCCGAGCATCTGATTGCATCTGGGTGGCATCTCCTTGACCTTTTTTTTTCCAAATATCACGGGCCTTTTCTTGCAACATGCGTACTCATCCAGAGTGGCAGAAGGCCCAGCGAGGCGATCTCTATCATGCTTTTGTTCCCGAGCTCATCGCAGCTCGAGACCGGTGCAAGCAAGCTTGTGACAAGTTAAATTCCTCCCAATCGACCACGCGACGCAGAGTAATCGAACTATGGAGAGAGTAAGTGAGCGAAAGATCGGTCGCATGCACACGAATCTCATGTGCGCATTGTCTTATGTCTGCCTCGCAGAATCACTAACGATAGTCGCCCCCTTCCACCTTTGCAGCCGTCTTTGGAAGAAGAGGACAAGCTCTTCGAAAAGGAGCCCTGGATTTGCGGCCCAATCCACGCCGATTACGGCTTCAACATTTTTCTGGGTGAAGGGACACAGCTGAATTTCAACTCTACATTCATCGACACCTGCCCGATCCGCATTGGAGCGCGTACCCTGGTCGGGCCGAACTGCAGCTTCTATTCTGGAACGCACCCGCTTGATCCGGCACTCAGGAATGGAACCAATGGTCCCGAGCTTGGGAAAGAGATAAACATTGGTGAAGACTGCTGGCTGGGGGGGAATGTCATTATCTTGCCTGGAGTGACCATTGGGCGAGGGAGCACTATTGGAGCCGGCAGTGTGGTGACAAAGGTACCAGGCTTGGGAATCTCCCTCCTCTGGGGGCCAGTCTCCTCGCTAACTCTTGATTAGGACGTCCCTGCTTTCCATGTAGCGGCCGGCAACCCTGCCAGGATTTTGAGAAAGATTCAAACTTCGATGGACCCGACTCAAGAGATCCCGGCGACGGCAAAGACAGACAGGGAGCAAGGCGCGGAAGATGTGATGTCTGCATGATAGAACCTTCCGACGAATAAAATACAGGACCTTTTTCATCACCCTGCTTCCAGGCCGTGTGCGTGATAGTGCAAGCTTAAAATTTGCATCTCCTTCTCCCCCTGAAATCACGTTGAATGTTGATAAATAACCCTTCGATGTTCGCCAGTTCCTACCTCCGACGCACTTTCCAGATTCCCAAGGGTGGCGGATCAGTTCGTCGATACAAATCCGTCCTTTCACGCCCAGTACCATATAACATGGAGCAAAATCGATGGTATATACGAGGATTGGACTTTGTGCAAGTCTTGTTGCTGCGGCCACCACCAGTTGTTCTCAGTAGTCTCCTGAGCCAACGCATGAGTTCGAGGCTGTCGTCAACTGCTCATTCATGCCCATTTCTCATAATCCGGGAAGTAACTGTTGTGTATCCTTTCCGCATAGGCCAAGACGCTGGAAAAGCTTTTTACGAGCATTTTTGACTCTGGCGCGCTACAACGCAAGATCAGTGACCGTCCGCTGGGCGACACTGATTTGGGATCCTCACCTGTCACTTACGAGCACAGAAACTATGAAACCGAACAAAGTTGCGTCGGCTTCGCTTGGTCGTTCTCCTCCCAGCAGCCAAACAGGCTCATCTCTACCCGAAGCCTGCCGTAGCCTGCTTCTGAGAACACTGTCGATGGAGTGCCAGATCTCCATCTTCAAACTTCTCACCTCTTCGCTCGTCAGCCGTCCCACTCCTTGGCCATGCAGAGTCTTCGTGACGCCTCGATAGATGAGCAATCCGACAAGGACGCGAACTGGAAATGGCATCGACCACAGAGCTTTTTCCCTCTGGACATAGAAGTTTTCGACCCACCGCTCGCGCATCTGGTGACGATGTCAATTCCTTTCTGTGGCAGACCAGGCGCTGGGGGAATCCTCACATGGTAGAAATATAACTTGTCTTCCAGCAGGGCTCGAAAACCAAGATCATTTAGCTTCAATTCTTCCGGCAAGCTCCCATTCAGATCTGGGAGGTGGCCCATGCTCAAGAGCCTCTGGATGATGAACGTTGAGTCTCCCAAGAGAGAGGGTTCATTGTGGCCATCCTCCTGAAGGGGCCCGAGATCCACATAGGGGATTTTGCCCTTCGGCGCTGCGTTGACCGATCCGGCTTCGACGTCGTAAGCCAGCCCAGCGTGTCGAAACCGGAATTCGACCTTTGTCACAAAGGGCGACCAGCTGTATACGCCCTTGTCAGGCCAGCCGCGGGATAGGATTGGCTTGGACTTTGGGGTGGACATGATTTTGGGAGCTGACCTGAGCTTTCAGAGAGTACAGAGGTCTCAAATGCACGAGACAGATCTACATGCGGTTTACAGAGTCGGACATCGTTGTCGATATATACCTCGAAACCTTGAAACATACCCCAGCAAGGCCAGGACTAGTGGGCTAATCAGCTTCTCAGTCCCCAGGCAGCCCCAGGCACCAACTCCGCTCGGAGCTACAACGAACTGAATTCCGACTTCTGATTCTTGGCGAGACGACCAAAGGAAACGTCAGTGGTCAAAGCCACTCTCACTCCATTGAAGGCATTTTTTCCATATGTGGTCTGGCCGACAGCAGAAAGAGAGGGTGGGCAGGGCGCAAGATCTGTGTAGGGAGCTTCATCTCTCAAAGTCCGACGGGCTCTTATCTGCGCCGAATGGCACCGGCCAGACGGGTGCAAAGAAGCGAGATCTTGAGCTCAACAAGATAAGTTCTCCTGAAGCTTTGTGGTGAGGCAGTAAGTAAGAGTAACACACGTCGCCAAGGGCAAAATCTTGCTCCGGCCTGACTTGCTCCCACGAAGGGAAAAAAAGGAAAAGAAAAAGAATCACAGAAAGCACCCAAAAAAAAAAACCTCTCTCCAGAACCACCAGAGTTTGAACCAACAAAAACTTTTTCCTCAAGACCGCATCCACATTATTCTGCGGTGTGTTCAAGAGGGAAGTTAAACCTTGCTCCGGCGGTTTCGCAGCAGAGTGGTTTTTTGATTGTTTGTGACAATCATCATTCAAAGCGCCCGGTTAGGTCTTGGAATCACTCAAGACCGGTTGGCTTCATCCGAATTGTCGAGAGGAAATATACAAACACAATATATATGGTTTCAAATTGTGGGGAGCCAGGCAGGGAGAGGAGAGTGGTGCGGCAGAGGTGGACGAGGCAGAGGCGCGGCAGAATTCTGTGGACGTGGTCAAGGCAGTCGGCGGATTTTGTTCCTTTTGGCTAGGAACAAGATTGCTTAGTCTACTCAACTCAAGATTGCGAGACGGAATCTATCTTTTGAGCCGATCTTTACTTCAAGTCCGCGATGCCCGCAGCAATACTATCCTCCAGGCTCGTCCAGCCAGGAACGCCGAAGAACGACTTGATGAGGTCTTCCGCCCTCTTGCTCCCCTTGATATCCGTCAGGTCGCGACCTTCGTTCGGCGGAGCTTTGGGGATCTTATTGTTTTCCGGCCGCAGCTTGTTCAAAATATTGATGATATCGGTCCAGTTGTAAGGGCCGGCAAACGCAAAAAGTCGTTCGTTCTGGACTTCCGGGTCAAGCAGCGCAGCAACATGGACGCGAGCATCGTCTCGGACGTCGACATACCATTCTTCAAAAGAAAAGGCCATCAGTGACGGACTGGGAGGAATCACTCGGGAGCATGGACACGGTGTAACTCACGCGGCGGCAGCGTGCCGAGGATACGCTCATTGCCTTCCAAAAGACTACGAACCCAGCCCATGGTGCTCCCGAAGCCTTCGGGCAACAAGATCCGGCCGAGCTGGAGGTTCCCTTGGAGTCACTACCGTAAAATTGGATAGGGCGGTGGGAATAGAATACACACGTTCATGTTCGGCAACACACTGTTGACCGCGAAGCCCGGCTTGTTCTCTTCCGCCCACTTCCAGAACTCACGCTCCTGGAGCATCTTCGAGGCGCCGTAGACCAGGTACGGCTTGGCCTCGGCGGGGGCGTCTTTGCTGTACGCGGCGTCGACGATCGAGCCATTCCAGGTGTCTGTGCAGAATACTTTCAGCATTTCACCATCCCCAGCGGAGTTGGGTTATTCTCAAGCTCGGGGGTGTGACTCTTGCCTACTTTCGTCGACGGTCATTCGCTTGTTTGGCTCGGGGACCAGCGCTGCGGTGGACGAGGACGTCAGCACGAAGCTCTTGACCGACTGCTCCGCCGCCGCCGCCCTGAGGAGATTTACGGTGCTGGCAATGACGCCGGGAATCACGGCGTCCGGGTCGGAGCTGAAAGAGACGTCCGTCGCCTGTTGACATTAGCACAGCGAGCGAGGATCCATCAGCATGAGCTCGACCGTAATGCGGAAACCCGAAACCCGGACCTTCGCACGAACATACGTACCACATGGACCACACCCGAAACGCCCCGGACAACCTCGTCGAACGCCCCAGGGGCATTCAGTGCCGTGACAATGGCTGTCTCGAACCTGCCCGTCCCGTAGCGGTCCTCGAAGAATTTATTGAGCCAGGGTTTCTCGCTGCGCACGGTGCCGCGCACATTGTAGCCTTCTTCGAGGAGGACATCGATAATGTGCGATGCAATGTATCCATTTGCACCGGTCACGAGGACCCATCCCCCTCTCGGGATGCGGCGGTGCTCTGGCGCCATTGATCTTTTGTAGGCTACCTCTTCTCCTTTTTCCCGCGCCTGCCGCTCGGATATCCTCTCTCGGGGAAATTTGCGAGTTTCCAGAAGTTGGACGAGTTCGGAGTGCTGAAATTGATATTTCTACTCTTGCGCTCGTCCCTATTCTTCGATCTATCTATTCAGCTCAACTTCTGACACTTTTAGTGGAGCCCGCAATATTAAATCAATAAAAGGGACAAACAAGCAAGCAAAGCCCCCTCTCTTCTCCCCCAACGGCAGGCGGGGGAATCTATTCCTCCGTAGACGCGTGTTTGATTTCTAAGAATGTCGACGCAAGCAGGCCGGCGCTGGAGCTCTAGTGAGTAGCCGTACAGAAGCGAGATCTCGGCCGAATAATACATAAGCCATATATGTACCTCGTATGTATCGACGCGACTACATATGCATACGGAAAACTTGTGGAACTGGCTGGGGTCCTTGACTGAACTTGGTGGTGAGTGAGGATGTGCATGATAACTACCGAGGTATTTATTTCCTTCGGCTATGGCCCAGAGCCTATGCGAAGCGTCTATGTGAATGTGCCTGTGTTACCGGAGCCCCCTGGGGCACGGAGCCTATTCTGCGTCCTTGATGCCGGTGGGAGATCTTTAGGTACGGGAACAGGTGGGACGGTCGTGGGTGGTGTTGTTGCGGGTGTAGAGCAAGCCGGTCCCGCATGACCTACTCCTCAAACTCATTGGAGTCGGAGACGTGGACTTCCGTGGACATTGTGTATGGGCGGTGTTATGGTGTGGAGATCTTTTGACAGACGAGCAAATAGTGTTGGAACACTCAATAGCGGAGCTACGAGGTTGAGGTTGCATTAGAAGACTGACATGGGTCAGCTCTAAGGATCGGCTCAACGGCGGACTAACAGCCAGCTACCCACTGAATAGAAACAAATCCTAGCTTGTGGAGACGAAACATAAGCAGCATATTGCTTGAACAGTCAGCCATCGAAGTCATCACATCTACCAAGCAGTCCCCTGGTGCATTGCCACTTCTGTCGCGGACGCGAGGTTGAAAAGCACCGCGTTGCTTCTTGCTGCAAACCAACCCAATGTTACTCCTCCAATCAACGATAAGGGTCCTTCATGCCAACATCAGCAGTATGCTCACGACCGCCAGTGCAAGAGCAGTCGTCGCGAAACGCCCTTGGCCGTCGACACTTCTCCCCACGCCACCAGCCTGAGGCTCAGATGATGTGGAAGATTCTGGTGGCGGCTGGACCACCTCTGTGCTGGTGGTTGCTTCCGGAGTGGTAAGAAACGGAGTGGAGGTCGAGGTTGTGGTTAAAACCACTGTCAGGACTGTTGCAGGTGACGTCGTCGGAATGGGTGCTTCTGTGGTGGTAGGCGGTGGAGGCGGGCTTTCAGTCGTAGAGGGAACCGCCGCTGTGGTCGGGGTGGTGCTGAGCTGGTCTGTTGTGCTTGGTGTGACTGTGGGGGTTGTCGTGCCGCCAGCCCCAACCGTCGCGACGGACGCCACCGTGTTCCCTGCTGTCGCCTTGCAGTCGTCTGGGCCGAGCGTCACCGACGATCCATCCGTGTCAACCAATACGGTACACGATGCATCGCTGCAACAGACACCGTTAGAGCCGCAGAAGCCACAAGTCAAGCCAATTGCGCAGCCACCTCCGGCGCTGTCGTCGCAGCAAACATCTCCCTGAGGAACAGCTCCTCCGTTAGCACAGCAGACATCATTGACACCGTTATAGCAACCGTCTATATTGGAAGATTTGTCAGCGGAGCAAGCACGAGACAGGAAACAAAAATTCCAAGGAGAAAAAAGAATGGGTCTGTATCTAATCGTACCAGGACATGGCGTCGAGTCTGATACACTGCAATCATCTCGCTTGACCACGCCGTCGAAGTTGAAGAAATCGAACCGGAGTTGGCTGGAATTTCGAATGCTGCGCGTGTACCCTTGAGCGAGGTCAATGGGGTAGAGGGGCGGGAAATTCGAAGCGAAGACGACAGTGGACAAGAACACAAGGAGCAGAAATGGCGACATCACAGGACCCATGCTTCCTGAGAGATATAAGTGATCGGAAAGAGTAAATGCAACAGTGCTGATTCAACAAACAACAAGCAAGTTCCAGTGCTTCGTTTCGAGTGCCTCAAAATCTTTGCACAGTTTTCTCCCTCGACGCATTTCGTGGACGGCGCGCCGTATATGAGCGAACTGGCGCGATGCTGGCACAAATGCACTCGACTCCTTACCTGGGTCGCGGGATGAATACGAGGGCTCAAGGTTTCTGCAAAGATGGACAGGAACATTTACCTGACACAAGTTCCACGACCCACCAACGACGAGGAAGCCCAGCCTTATGGCATAGAAGCTTAAGAAGCTTTCACGAGCTTAGTTACTCTTGTTTTACCCTTGGCGGTGTTTTGGCCAGGCAAGACGAGTGCAAAGATCCAATCAACGAAGTCAAGAACTTTGTTGTTTTCAGCTCAGCCGCACGTGGTGCACGTAGTACGAGGTTAGCCGAACAGTCAACACATCTAGACATGAGACTCAGTCTTTTCCAAACCCTCGGCTCTTTTGGCGAGGACAAGAAACTTCCCAGATAAAGTCTCCATAATAGGGGGCCGGGGTACGGGCCGGGGCTGTAGGAGTAGAGTTGGGTTGTCGTCTTGCCGTTCACGAACTGCGCTTAGGTCCAGTGCCACTCCACACAAGAGTCTGAGGACAGTCGCTCAGAGCTGTCTCGCCTCGGGGCATATCACATGCTTGAATCTTTCAGGTGGTCTTCATCTGCTGAGGGTGTAAATCACTTCCAGCGCCTCTTAACTGGGCGGCGACATTCTGTGTCTTGGAGACCAACAAGGACGAAGGAGGAGGAGGAAGAGAAAGTAGTGATAAACATCTCAATCCGGAAGGAGCAGTTCGTTCGGGGAAATGTTAATCCGTAGCTTGAGTAGCTCCATCGCTCTTGGCATCTTGGCATCTTGGCATCAATCAATCTACAGCCCTCGAAGCCGTCCGCCTTCTCTTCACCTGCTCTCGATCAACAGGCTTGTCCGACAATTGCCCCGGGGAATACCACCTTGGACACCGCCAGCCGGTCGATGAAGACATGGACATCTTATCTTCGGACTTTCTCCGTCTCGAGTCTCCATTCGGAAAAGCGGTGGTTCTCGTTCAAGCTCCCGTCTTTGCTTACGCTTTCGAATCCTCCTCGTATCTAACTCAATTGCTCACTGTTCATTCTTCCTGGTAGATGGACTTGAGAGACAACTTGACATAGGATGGAACTACATATGATGAAATTCTTCCACCCTTGTGAGCAACTTCGCGAAATAACACTCCGCAACCAGTGGTCTGTGACGATTCGCGACTTCACCGAGATTTTGAGTCTCGGCTGGTGCCTCGATACCCGTGTCATTGCTATAAGCGCTGACGTGGTCATGACTTATCACCATAATTGGCACGAGGTTTCCTGGTGCTTTTCCGATGCAAATCATTGTGTGGGGTCAAGTGCAATCCACCCTCAATATGTGTCGGTTCGTGAGAGCTGCTCACGGTCGGCATACTCTCGAAATACTACCTCGCTTCTTGAGTCCGGTGGGCTCTACGCGGAGGTGATCCTCAGGCCAACGCCGGCTTTCTTGCGCTAACAAGTGATGGTAGCGTATCCTTTTAAGCACAAATCTCAAAAAATGCGATCGATATGACTTCAGTTCTTTCCCAAGTCCTCCGTTCTGCATTTGATTTTTTGCAATTAGTCCAGGCTCATTTTGAAGTGCCCGTCAGTTGAGCAATGGAACCTGTACATATCGATCACCATAGCCTCGTTGGCCTAGCGGAGTCCATCGCTTCAAGCGCGAAGACAATCGCCGATATCCTTGAGAGACAGAAGCTTCCACAGCCCTCTTTCTTGCCTAACAGCCCCATGAAATACCCAGATCTCACTCAGCTGCAGGAAGCTCGGATGAATCTCATCACTTCCGCTTGGGCAGTCGAACAACTGGCGGCCGGCCCACAGGATTATATCTATTGGCAGGCCTACACGGTACGCTGTGATGCTCCCAAGAGGCACTTTTAATTATCTCATTATTGGTAGGTTAAGCATGATCTCACCGTCCTCAACATGTTCGCGAGATTTGGCGTCTTCGACGCGGTGCCGACGGATGGCGATATCTCTTATGTGGATCTTGCACGAAAGGTACCCCTGACCGAAAGACAGCTCCGCCGCCTATTTCGACATGCCATGACCAAGAACATATTCTTTGAACCCAGGCCTGGCCACGTCGCTCATACTTCTTTCTCAATGGCGCCTGTCAAGAACCCGACTTTAAAGCCGTGGATCCATCACAATCTTGGGGAAGTTCTACCTGCCAGTTCACGTTTGGCGGATGCTGTGGAAAAGTATGGCGACTCGCAAGATCCGACGGAAACAGCATTAAACATGGCCTGGAACTTGGGAAAGGGAAAAGGGCTGTTTGAGTGGCTTCAGAATGATGGAGAGGGATCTGAGAAGGGCTGGCGGGCTCGGCTATTGGCTCAAGCCATGCAAGCCATGGACGGTGGTGGTCATGATAGAAAACACACCATTCAGGGGTTCAATTGGGAGGCTCTCGGTGAAGCTACTGTCGTCGATGTGAGTAACTGGAAATCACAACTGTCAAATTCTTGTCTGACCACCTGTGTAGGTCGGAGGATCGAGTGGGTTCATCTCAATGTCGTTGGCTGAGCAGTTTCCTGCCCTTCGATTTGTGGTCCAGGACCGGCCGGAGGTCGAGGATGCTTTCGATGCACTCATTCCCTCCGGTTTGAAATCACGAATCACATTTCACCGACACGATTTCATGGCACCCCAGCCCCTGCATAACGCCGACGTCTTCCTTCTCCGCCATGTCCTGCATGACTGGTCCGACGCCATCGCTATGCAAATCCTACGGAATCTCATCAATGGCGTCGGCGGAAATATGAAGGATGGCGCACGGATCATTATCTCGGATAACGTGATGCCGCCAATAGGGGCTGCCCCTCCGCCATTAGAACGCCTCACCACGACTGCAGACCTCCAAATGTGGACAGTATTTAATTCCCTCGAGAGAAGGAGGGAAGACTGGATTGAGCTATTCAAGAAGGCGGATGAGAGGTTAGAGGCTGTGGCGTTCTTGCAACCTAAGGGCAGCTCAGATACGGTCATTGAGGTTGTCTTCCACAAGACACAGATGTCCCCAGGAGAAGGAAACCGACTCGAGGAATAGCATGTCACTGTCGCAGTCCTTGGCTGCGGCTGCGGTGACAAAGGATGTGGCTGGGCACGTGTCCCATCAGATATCATTCTTTGTGGTAAAGTTCGTTCAACAATGTCTTCTCATCTCAGAGCAGCTGATCAGATCGTACAAAGTACTGGAGGTGTGACAGGTATGTAAGACTGCCAAGTGATGAGGCTTTCGAGCTGTTGAGGTTCAGCCTTGCTGTCGCCCGGCATATATCACGGCTTCTGTGGCTCATTGACCAAAGAACACAGATATCACCGTCAAATATTTATAACTTGTCATGTTCTCAATCGTCCGCCTGTAGCCTTGTCCTACCTCCACATGCCATTCCCTGTCACTCGGTGCCTTGTCCCACAGCAAGACTTCCATCGCCACATAGGGAGGACCGGAAGTCGCAGATGTTGGATAGAAGCAGAAGGTGAAGAAGAGACTCGCATTGTCGGACAAAGCAACTCGTCCAGCTGACACTTGAGCATGAGGCGTCTCTTCACTTGTTCCACGGCCACGTGAACAAACATTGTCTGCGACTGCCTTGGCGACTACAAGTACTCAACCATCGAATCGCGCCTGCTTCACCCTCCTGATCCTCGAGATCTCTTTGTTCTTCTTCTCTTCCTCCTGCACACCTCGACTTCTCTTCACCACAGTTGTGCTTCCACGTCGCTGTGCATACTTTCCGCAGTTGATCAAGTGTATCAACATCGACAACATCATCCAGTCGCAGCCACACAGACACTATCTTACCTCCTCTTCACTCACCATGCCTGGGGGCGGGGCTGTCCACCTTGCGGCCACGACCGATGTCGCCCGCGTTGAAGCACCTGTCACTTTCAGGGCTTACCTGATGTGCGCCTTTGCGGCCTTCGGAGGAATCTTCTTTGGGTATGACTCAGGATACATCAATGGCGTTATGGCCATGAAGTATTTCATCCATGAGTTCACTGGCGACCCATATCCTGGACCAAATGCTACTGCTGCAGAGCGCGCAGCTTTTGTGATCCCTTCATGGCGCCAGTCCCTGATCGTGTCAATCCTGTCTTGTGGGACTTTCTTCGGTGCAAGTAGGTCAATCCCAGATCATTATCCTCGAGCCATACTGACTCTATCTTTCAGTCATTGCCGGAGACCTCGCTGACTTCTTCGGTCGTCGAACCACCATCATTGCCGGTTGTGTCGTGTTCTGTCTCGGTGCCGCGCTCCAGACCGCTTCCACAGCTTACGGTCTTCTCATCGCCGGTCGTCTCATAGCCGGGTTTGGTGTTGGCTTTGTGTCTGCCATAATCATACTGTACATGTCGGAGATCTCGCCCCGCAAGGTCCGGTAAGTTCCCCTGGAAGTCTCGATGAATATTGCTCAAGTATCCAATTCTGACTGGCCATATAGCGGTGCTTTGGTTTCTGGATATCAGTTCTGCATCACTCTTGGTCTCTTGTTGGCCTCGTGCGTTGTCTACGGCACACAAAATTTCACCGACTCCGGCTCCTATCGCATCCCAGTTGGTCTTCAGATGCTCTGGGCGATCATCTTGGCCGCAGGACTGTTCACCTTGCCCGAATCTCCACGTTATTTTGTCAAACGCGGCAACCTGGACAAGGCAGCTCATGCTCTTGCCAGGCTCCGAGGCCAGCCTCGCGGGTCTGAGTTGATCCAGCAGGAGTTGGCGGAGATCGTCGCAAATCACGAGTATGAGCTGCGAGTCGTTCCTCAAGGTAGTTACTTTGCAAGCTGGGCCAACTGCTTCAAAGGCAGTCTGTTCACACCGTCCTCCAACCTGCGTCGGACGATTTTGGGTACTTCTCTGCAGATGATGCAGCAATGGACAGGAGTCAACTTTATCTTCTACTTGTAAGTCGTTTTCAGCAACTTGCTCATTTCTCGCGGTTCTTACTACCGAGGTTTTTCGATTGCACAGCGCTGACAGTCCATTAGCGGAACGACTTTCTTCACTCAGCTTGGGACAATTCAGAATCCCTTCTTGATTTCTCTAATCACTACCCTCGTAAATGTCTGTTCGACACCGCTGTCTTTCTGGATCATTGAGCGATTTGGTCGGCGATCGATCATGATCTGGGGCGCTCTCGGGATGGTCGTGTGCCAGTTCATCGTCGCAATTGCTGGAACTGTGGACGGCCACAACCCGCAGACAGTCAAAGCTGAGATCGCCTTCATCTGCATCTACATCTTCTTCTTTGCAACCACCTGGGGACCAGGCGCATGGGTTGTGATCGGAGAAGTCTTTCCTCTCCCCATCCGGTCACGAGGAGTGGGACTGTCTACCGCATCGAATTGGCTCTGGAATTGTGTAAGTGCGACAGTCCTGTTTGCTTTGCGATGCATCGATAAACTGACGCATGTTACAGATCATTGCCGTCATCACACCGTACATGGTTGGTCCTGACAAAGGCAACCTCGGGCCCAAAGTGTTCTTTATCTGGGGTTCTCTGTGTGCCTGTTGCCTTGTGTATGCCTATTTTCTCATTCCTGAGACCAAGGGCCTCACACTTGAACAAGTCGACCGCATGCTGGAAGAGACGACGCCACGGACCTCGTCGCGATGGGTACCGAAGACGACCTATGCGGCAGAAATGGGAGTCACCGAGACGGGGGAACTCAAGTCCGACGTTGTTGAAAGCACTCAGCAGAAGAGTTCCGCAGTTTGAAACAAGCGCAAGGAGACGATGGAGAGACATATGTATCGGCCAAACACCGGCTCGTGCTGTGTTTTCACAAATGGAGCGTCTGCCAGGGGAACAGTGTGCATTATTCCATCTACCACTTTCGAGAAGATAGGAAATAACAGTGGAAGTTGTTCATTCTATGTTATGCACATGCTGCCGGTTGCTTTCGAGGATGATTTTTCTTCTCGGCCGACTGTGAGAGCCTGAGCGGCTCACGACGATCGAGCGAGCTAGGTCACCCTCCGGGACGGAAAGTTTCACGATGGACAAGCAATCCCTGTAGTCTAGACCCCCCTGCTGTCTATGGACGTTTGAACACTGTAAAAGAAAAAGCGCCCAGAAATTGTCCGACCACTGTAGCCCGAAGAAAACTCTATAACTTTGCCTTCGTCCACGGCTCGCCGACCAACGACAGGCCCGTCACCTTCTCCAGCTCTTGGACCGCCTCCTTGGTCTTGCCCAGCACGACCCGGATGGTCCGCATGCCCAGGCTACGGGCGGTCTTGAGATTCTCGCCAATGTCGTCCAGGAAGACAATGTCGTGGTACTGGATGGTCGGATCCCACTTCTCGCGCATCAGCTTGACGGCGTAGTCGTAGATGTCGCGATTGGGCTTGCGCATGCCGACGTGGGCGCTGGACACGAAGATCTCAAAGACCTGGCGCACGTCGTCGGCCGACGGGTTGTTGAACGGGTGGCCCTCCGGATAGACGGTGGTGTTGGACAGGGCGGCGAGGCGGTAGCGGCCGTCGGCCTTGAGCTTGAGCAGGGCCGGGTACATCCACGGGTCCGGGTTGCGCGAGTAGGTCATCATGGTCCAGTAGAGCGACTCGGTGTCGATGTCCGGGACAGGCGGCAGCTTCGACGCGTCCGTGACCCCGAGCTTCTCGCGGTGGAACTGCGCCCACAGGTCCGGCCGCTGCAGGTCCGCCTTGAACATGCGGAAGTACTCGGCGTCGTTGGGGATCTCGCCGCGCTCCAGCCGGTGCCAGGCCCCGTTGGGCGTCAGCGCTCGGATCGAGTAGTTGATGTAGCCCGTCGGGATGCCCTCCTTGATCTCATAGTCGAGGATGGCCTGGAAGGGAGATTGGACCTGTGTGGTTGAACCCCCCGCAAAAAATGGTCAACATCAGTTCATCTCAGGGGTCGAATAGCTTTGTCCACGCGGGATATCATTTCTTCCTTTCTTTCTTTCTTCCTTCCGTCCTTCCTTCCTTCTCTCTTTTCCCGATTTTCGGAGCGGAGCGTACTGGATCTTTCCACCCCGTGGCAAAAATCCAGCTGGCCGTTTTAAGCACGTCCATGCACAAGCGGAGGGAATCGAGAGAAGGAAGCAGCGGGAATAACAACAGCAGGAGTGGAAATAAGACTTACACAAACACCTCCAATATCAAACATGAGCACCTTGGGCCGACCCTGCACGGCCATGGTGATGGTGATGGATGTGAAAACAGAAAGTCCAGCAGTTCTATTCGGCAAACAGAGGGGGAGCGAGAGCGAGAGAGATAGGTTGAGGGAAAAGGAGGGTGGGTAGGTAGGTAGGTGGGCAGATAAGTAACTCAACGAACGCAATTAATTATTTATCAACTTGGTCGCATAGTTGATTTTCTCTAGAATCTAGAATCTAGGAGATATAATTTGTGCAAAAGGACGAAATTGCAGTAGCCGGCCTTTGGGTGAGGAAATAATGGTTCATGTGTATGTTCGTTCCCCATTGGAGTAGTTGGCCGAGCCGCTGCTTCGAGGCATGAGCCGAGGTCATGCATTTCCGAGAGAGAGAAAGAGAGAGAGAAAGGGAGAGAGAGGCGATGTCAGGCTCTCTAGCGCCTAGGTACTTCCGCCACTCAGACATAGGCTTACCAGACACTCATTCATAGATACAAAATACCATGCCCCTACGTTACCTGCCACCTGATACCACTGCGATATACACAGATCCCCTCCTAGGCCATTCAGCGATGGATGGAATTCACTTGGTGGCGCCTGTACTCCGCGGTAATAGTTGTACGGTGGCGTCTAGTGCGGCGCATTGTCCCCGAGACGCGCCTTACGTGATCCATCCAGACCGCGTCGCGGCACCCACGCGGGGTCAGGGAAATATTATCTCAAGTCTCACTGAACAACGCAACCACTTCTATTGATGAGAGAGAATTCTCGGATTCCTCAATCAGCCAGTCAGTCAGTCATGGACGAACCATCCATCTCGGCGCTCAAAGCAGCCTTCATCCGCTCCCAAGTCCGCCAACTCGAAACACCGCTAGAGCCATCGACGCAATGGCGCGATTTGCTGCCCGAGACCGAGGAGGGCCATCTTAGCGACAAGCTGATCCAGGACCTCGTTTCCAAAGGTACACCCCCCCAGACACCCAGCCTCACTTGATTCCGCATACCACGTAAACGCCTGGGCCGTCCACTCTCGGGGCTAACAAGAAAGCTGATCGTTGCGCGCAGTCAATGACAAAATCAAACAGCACAACCGCCTCATCTTCTCCACACAGTCGCAGCGCCACGTCGCCGAGCAGATCGAGTCGCTGCACTGGGCGCGCGCGTCGGCAGACTCCTCGTCGTCGGTGCGCGCCGTAGAGCTCGACACGGTCGCGGTCCGCCGGGACGCAGACCTGACGGACCCAGACTTCATCGCGTCCCTGCCGCATGAGTATGACGCCCTCCATGTACACCCGGACCACGCAGCCCGACGAGCAGGAGAAGAGGAACAGGAGCAGGGAGAAAGGGACGCGGAAGAAGACCAACACCGATACACCCGTATGCGCGAAGAGTTGCTCTCCCTCAGCCGGCAGAGAGACGCGTTGAAGGCCAAACTCGCCCAGTACCGGCACCTACAGAAACTGACGGAACCGCTGCGCGAGCCGCACGAGAACATTCAGCCCAATCTGGTCACCAGGGACGGCGAGCTGAGCCAGCAACTAGACCGCACGAGGGTGCTGCTGGCGCGGGTCACGGCGCGGGTGGGTGAGATGGGGAAGGCAAAAAGGTCGCGTCAAGAGGACCCGTCAACAGCGCCGCAGACGGATCAACAGAAACTCGCATGGGTGATGGGACGAAGCGAGCTGGGATGAAAAAGTTCGACTTGATAAAGTCCACTTTGATGCAACTGCAGCCTGTGTTGGTACATCATCCCTCCGTAATGTGCGTGGCCGGGCTCTTCTCACCCCCCGGACGCCATGACCCAGTAAAAGTCCCCGCCTCTATCCCCAAATCGAGAATCATTCATCATCAGCCTCCTCCACAGTCGGAGCAACATGTCGCTTGGCCGCCGTCGACGTGGCAGCAGGCTCAACAGCAGATGTGACCGCGGACCCATTCGAAGGCGCCTGCGCCACGCCTGCCACCTTTTGCTCACCGCCACCACCACCAGTAGCAGCAGCAAGCTTTTTCTGAGCCTTCCGAGCTTTCTTCTCATGTTTCTTGCGCTTGATGTCCTCCTTGGTCTCATGCCACCCCCACAGCGGTCGAAAACTGTCGAAAAAGCCGACGTCCTCGAAGAGGTTGGGATAGAGCCACAGGCCAGGTGGCGCCAGGAAGAACGTGACAACAAAGAGAATCAGGCGGAAGAAGGCCATGGCAAAGAACAAGCCAAGCAATCCCATCATGCCGACCGAGAGGTACCACACACCTTGTCTCAGGACGAGCGGCCATAATGGGAAGAGCACTGCTGCGAAGACCAGCACCAACACCAGTGCCGCCCACAGTTTAGCCTTCCATTGTGACCCCTCGTACAGCCAGACGTAATGCATCATCGGGTCAAAGTCCTGTTGTTGTTCAATCTTGACTTCCCACAATCCCTTGACCCGTTTCTCTTTCTTGGGTTTGGGGTGATTGTGTCCCTCGTGTGGATCTTTCTTGGAAACCCGCAGAGCAAGCATGGATAGGGGAAGAAGTTGAAGAGCTGATCGCGCGTCAACGTCGTTCTCGACTTTGGGTAGTAACGGATTTTTCTTTTGAGCCTTCTTGTAGGCGTCGGAGTTCAAGGCACGGAACGCTCGTTTGACTGCGCAGTGTGGTGGTCAGTAATGAACGCGAGCAACGGGCGAGCTAGTTGGCCACACCTTTGAACATGTCCTTCCTCTCGCCATTAAAGATACATGTCCGTGTCTTCAAATCCCGGGAGCGTAGAAACTTCGCAACCGCCAGGGCCTCGGGCTTCGGCTCCACCTTCGCGTTCAAGGGGATCTGTTGGGTTTGCTGACCGGGCGGCGGTCCTCGTGGTTGTCCTTGTGGTTGCCCACCCTGTGCTTGTTGTGACTGTTGTTGCTGCATCGCCTGCTGCTGGCGCATGAACTGCTGTCTTGCCTCTTCCTGCTTCATCTGGACGAACTGCTGAGGGGTCATTCCCGCCTTGGCGGCTTCGGCCTCGATCTGTTGTCGTTGGAAGGCTTGAAATTGAGGGATGGTCATTCCGCGCTTCTGAGCTTCCATGGCAATCATTTGTTGGATTTGCTGGGGGGAGAAGGCTTGGGCGCCGGGCGGAGGGCCGCCCATGGATGCCATGGTTGCAGAGTTGGAAGTGAAAGCGAGGGAAGTGTGAGTGCGTGGCAATTGCTCTTTCTGTGAGCTAAGTCTGTAGAGATGGTATAACAAAGCAGACTTTCAGGAGAAGGAGAAGAAGTGAAGACCTGCGGGTGCGACGATTATAAGGCGAGTTGGCCCCGTGAGAAAAGACACGGTTTGCGATGAGGATAATAAGAGGCGCCAAAAATCCCGGGGGGTAACAAGCAATGCGGCCTGCGCCACCGATTTCAGCCTCAGTTGCCAAGACTGCGGCGGTGCAATATCTTATGGCCGGACCTCGTCGTCGCAACTTCAACAACAGTCACGGGCACCGCGGCACCCAGTATCTTGTGTTCACAGAACGGGCCGATCACTTGATGTGCAATAGACCTTGATACACGACAGAGACGCGTTTGGTACGCAGATAAAGGGACGCTGCACGGTCATATTCTATCTCGATTGCCGGCTTGTCGCCAACTTGTGTCTGCTCCTATTCTCAGTGTTGGACTACCTACACCCCCTCAACATGTCAAGATACCGCTCTGACAGATGACGTCGCTCCAATACCAGCCTGATCCGGCGGCGGAACCAGACGACTACTGGGGAACTGTGTTCTTGGTGAGTAGTTGGGCTTGACGCTCAGACTGCTCGTGGCAACTGATTGACCCAGTCCATGCGAGATGCCTCGGGGCAAATTCCCATCAATTTTATATCTTCTCCGGGGGTGTACGTGACGAAGGCCTGTTTCTCCGATGGAGTCTACGACGACCTCCCGACCCAGACATGTATCTCGGATCTGTTTGCAAGCCAATACCGCCGTCTAATCATTGATCTGTATTGGGATAACATCAACCGCCAATTCAACCTATGTCCAGTCGAGCTTCCTCCCCTGGTCGGCAATTCGACTGCTGGTTATAGCGTGGATTCGTCGGCATTGTATTCTATCACAGCGTCCACATCCTTTTCACCTCCTCCGACCACCACAAATCCATCAAATACCACGGGATCTCTTGCTCCCAGCCTCGAAAAGCGGCAGACTTCGTTATCTTCACTCGACAACTCCACATCGCCAATTTCATCGGCCACTGATTCAATCAGTAGCGCTGCCACGACGACGAGCGATGTGGCCATTCCAACATCTACTGGTGCCACAGGTGGAACTTTACTCACCCTGGGACCTTACATGTGTAGCTTGGACTTGAACATCGGTTCTATCATTTCCTTGTACAATGATTACTTTGCCCGTACCTCAGACACCATCTCCGCACGATTACATTTTCTTGACATTAATTTACATGCCGCCGCGCCCTTCACGGATCCTTCTTCGCCCGCACATACGCCGATGCCGGGCCGCCTTCCGAGCTCTGACGATCTTATAGGGGCCCAATTCGAAGCTGCACTCGGTAGGGATATATACACACCACAAGACTTGCAAGCCGATCGAAAAGATCTGAACAGGTCTTGGTTTCGCGACAACTATCGCGTAATAACCGACGCAAATTACTTCCGCACCGTGGAAATCGAAGGGGACGACATCATTTCCACACCGGACGGCTGGCCTGGAGAAAACTGGATTCTCCTTACTGACAGCCGGAGGCTTCTGCTGAGTTGGGATCAGATCGATCCACAGATGGCAGCGTACGACTTTCTGTCCGAGTCGGGTACCGTCTTCAATGCGACCGAGCTGTTCCCAACTCCGCCTGTGGAATGGAGTGACAGTGGAAAAGTGACTTCAGGCTGCTATTATCATCCAGGTGACACGACGATCGCCCAAACCAATGCATCCTGGGCGATTGCGACCATTGAGGACATCAGCTCAGGTGCTCTCCCTATCCTCGCCGAGAACTTGATGGCATGCGGCTTCTCGCCTGTCATAAACACGACTCTCAACGGCTTGTCCGTACAACACAATTTGAACACATACCAGAACTTTGCACGGTCCACGATGTTTGGATGGGCTCCAGGCCAGCCACTAGGCACGTCATCCGGCCAGAATGACGGGGTTACTGACGACGACCTTCGGTGCGCGGTGCTTGACGCAACTAGCGGCTCTCAAGGAAATTGGCGACTAGAGCAATGCCAAAAATCACGGCGAGCTGCGTGTCGCATTGCAGGCCAGCCATATGCATGGCGCCTTTCCACTTTCGATGTTCCTTATAGTGCGGCACCAGATTCATGTCCAGACCATACCTCGTTCGACCTCCCTAGGACAGCGCTTGAGAACACATACCTGTATCGGCAAATATTGAACGATACTAGTCCCCGTGATGATGACTCGGACGGGATATTGTCAGGCGTTTGGATCAACTTCAATTCAATCGACCAAGCCAACTGCTGGGTTCTGGGCGGTCCCAACGCAACGTGTCCTTACTCCGACTTCAAGGAGGCGGAACAACAGCGCGAGATCCTCGTTCCCACGATAGCGGCACTAATCATCCTGATACTGACTGTTTTGACCATCCTTGTCAAATGTAACCAGAACCGAAGGAATAGCAGAACGCGAAGGAGAGGCGACAACGGCTGGGAGTACGAGGGTATCCCGTCCTGATGTCCGCGAGGATATTGCACAATCGCACAGAATATACGCTTGACCAGTGTCATGTCTTTCCTCGCCTTTTCCTTGCTTCTCCATGTACTGAGTATGTCGGCGTCAGCCCCCCAGTGGGCCCTGGCGTCTTGCTGCGTCGGCTCAACTCTGCTCCGATATGGCCTCCTTCGGCGACTTTTTATTCAAGCAACGACCAGGCAATGACTCAGCCGCACAGGACCTGAGTGGGCCTCGTTGTGCCCCTGGGTCCCCCACCACAAGGTAGCCTTGTCTGCGGTTATCCCTCCTGACAAACCAGCATCAAGGAAATCAATTTGAGGGCTTGCTGGATTTCAAACCGAAGATCCAAGTCAATGCCACGGCTACGAAAATGACAACACGGAGCCATACGAGATAAGCCGTTGTGCCGATGCATAATTCCCACAGCGGAATTGGGCTTCGCAATCGAATGCCGGGACACGGTATTCCCAAAGTCTGGAACACCGACGTTGGCAATAATACATAATCTAGCCTTGTCCAGAATCTGACAGTTGGGGGATATAAGGAGGGACTCGTCTCTGCATCTCCCTTCCTCCATCACAAGACGATCACACCATTTCTCGACCGAACTCCGACATCCACGGCCAGACACAGACGTGAGAATCAACTCCACATCCCCCATTGAAGCTTCCAGATCAGCCACCAGCCCCACATTTCACATCGCAAAAGACATATAGACATAGGCGTGCTCTACCTGCTCTCGGCCGCCCACAATCAATCACTCTGCAGGGACGTTTCACAGAAGAGAAAACATCACACCTCCCCTACGGTAACCGTCATGGCCCCTGTAAAAGTCGCTATCGCTGGAGCCACAGGCAACCTCGGCCTCCCGCTCGTTAAGGCATTTCTTGACGCCAACTATTCCGTCATCGCATTGACCCGTAAGGGAAGCAGCAGCGCCTCGAAACTCCCTCAGTCCAGCAACCTCACCGTCAAGGAGGTCGACTACACCTCGGTACCCGATCTCACAGCAGCTCTCCAAGGCGTTAAAGTGGTGGTATCGACCCTCGCAACCGCCAGCATAGGCGAGCAGAATCCCTTAATCGACGCGTCCGTCGCCGCCGGCGTGGAAAGATTCCTCCCCTCCGAGTTTGGCAGTGATACATGCAACCCTAAGACCGCGGCATTCCCAGTGTTCAAGTTCAAGGTCGCAACGCAGGAATACCTCAAGTCCAAAGCCAAGGAAAACCCGAGTTTCAGCTACACCCTGGTCATCACCGGCCCGTTTTTTGACTGGGGCCTCGAGTACGGCTTTTTTTTGAACCCTGCCAAACATTCGGCGACACTGTACGACGGCGGCGACGCCATTTTCTCCACCACAACGCTCAAATCCATCGCGAAGGCCGTGATCGGGGTCATTGAACACCTCCCCGAGACCGCCAACCGCGCGGTCTACGTGCACGACACGGCCACCACCCAGAACAAGCTGATCGCCTACGCCAAGGAGAAGGACGGCAAAGACTGGGACACGACCGTCAAGTCGACCAAGGACATTTACCAGGAGAGCTTGGCCGAGTTGACATCGGGAGGAGACATCGGCAAGGCGATGGTAGGGTTCATTCTCAGCGGCATCTTCGGCGGCAAGGAGACGGGCGGGTCCTTCGAGGGCCGGACGGACAACGAGTTGTTGGGCCTCAAGGAGATGACTGAGCAGGAGGTCAAGGAGGTTATCCAGAGCCTGCTGTAAGTCCTCTTCTGAGTTTCTTTCTTCAACAACCGGCATTGTTCCCCGTGGGAAAAGAGGTTTGATCTACAAGAGCCAGAGAGAGCAAAAATAAAGGGGAAGAGGGGAAGTAGAAGGTGTAGGAGGAGGAGATAAATCGATAGGACCTCTGTAGTTAACATGCAGACAGACCGGGCAAGAACACAACAATGAATGCCAAATTGTGAGACAAAAAAGGTACCCAACACGTCGAGAGCATAGCAAAGAAAGAAATTTTTTCTGATGAACACTCCATATGAACTCATTTCCATCATGGAGATGGAAAAATATGTAGAACGCCGCCCTATCGACGCATGCTGTGTACACGAGGGAAACACGACGATGATATTAATTGATAATACTAAATCCAATCCAATCCAATCCAACCCAGCCGACGACTGCCCCAGTATTATGTGGATATGTATGTATGTATTCATGTATTTGCAGCAAGCAAACATGGGACTGAAGAGCTCACTCCCCAAGAATCCCTCCCTCGGCCCAAAAAGGTTTCGTTATTTCGATGGTGAAAACCCCGGTTCGTAGATCAAGGTGCATACATAGATAATAGGAAGGAATCAATAGATGGATGGCCATAGCGATCGAATCCGCCACGCCCCTCCCCTGTTTGTGTGACTGGGTGAGCAATGGGGCCCTTCTCTGTAGAATAATATCTCGCCCACAGAGCTCTCTATAGACCCAGAATTGGATCTCTGGTGCCAGATATAAGACTATAATCAGGACAGAGAAGAAGACCCCCAGAACCGGGTTCTTGTTTATATCCAGATCTGGCCGTCCTCGTCGACAGAGGCCGTCATCGTCACCGCCTTGGCCTTGGCCTTGACCTTGACACTGGCGATCGGTCGTTCCGACACTGACGCTGTCGTTGTCCCTGCTGCTCGTGGTGCAGAAGGTGGTGCCGTTAGTGATGCTTCAGGCGGTCTCGAGCGCGGCGCGAGCCTCTCTTCCCGCCCGCATCGGAGCTCCGGGTATCTCTCTGGATCGTAGGCGCAAGGGCGACGACGCACCGTTCCGAAAGGCGTGCTAGGGCTGCTCGTCGTCGTCGTCGGCGTCGTTGTGGGCGTGGACTGCAGAAGCCCGCCTCCCTTGGCGGATTTCGCTCGATTACTGTGCACTCTCAGGTCTGGATCCGTGGTGGAGGATCGTGCAGGCCGTGTGGGCCGCGAATATGTGTCTTGCTCAGCTTTCGCTTTGGCCCTGCTTTTGTTTTTCTGCTCCCCGCCGCGGACGGTCGACCCAACGACGGCGGCATATGAGCGCTGAGGTGCTGGCGCCGGTGTTGTTGGTGAACCGATCAGGAGTTCCGAGGCTGGATTGCCGCGCAGGTACATGTCGAGGATCTCATCGATGTCCGCAGTGAGTCCGTCCTGGTCTATTACTCGGTCCGGGTCTTCCTTCCCGCTCGGGGCCTCTTCTGGAGAGACTATTATCTCGGGGCGATCAGCGTGTCTGTTCGAGCGGGCAGTCTCGCTACTACCGCTACTAGACGGCAAGGGCGGCAAAGCTTTGTCTTTGAAATTCGTTGTCACGGACTCGGTGACCGGGCTGTATGCGACTTGTGTCTCCCCTGTGGTAGATACAGGGGGTACATGATCACTCCCCGCCCCGCCAGCGCAGTAGATGGTAGACCAGGAGGACTGGAGTGATTTCGCTTCCCCTTGTTGGTCGTTCAAGACACATAGATGGCCACGGTTGACGCTACGACACGGAGTTTCATTCTCACTGTTTGAGGTGGCGATGGTAGGCGAGGCACCTCTCCGTCGCTGGGATAGCGTCAGGGGTCGCGGCACCAGGAGATCCGCATCACAGCAACGCCGTTTGTCGACGGCTCTTGAAGTCTCGAGACCAGCCAGGGATTCTTGGCCTGATGGTGACAGATCAGGGTGGGCTTGAGGCGGTCGTTTATTCCCACATCTCGACTCCCATGGACTGGAACCGCCTTTGTCGGCTTGGTAGTCGTCACCGTACGGAGTCTGAGAAGGAAGGTGAGTCGATTCGGGTAGGCTGCGAAGCGATGACATCCAATATCGAACAGGGTCTGAAGAAGCTGAACCGGCTCTCCAGCCTCCGTCCCAGCAGCGGGTACCCAAGTCTTCTGGCTCTTGTGAGCCGTCCATGCTCCCATCGCAGAAGGCAGCCACGGCGGGCCGGTCGACAGCCTCAGTCGTAAGCGGCAAAGAAGCTACTGACTGTTGTCGTTGGTCTCCTCCATTCTCGAATGCTACTTGATTACCCACCGATCTGCATTTGATGATTTCCTCGCTGGGATTCTGACTGTACACGCTCCTGCCACCGTCTGAGCCCGCGTCTGACGAGCTGTCGCTGAACTGATCCTCCATCCATTTCTTGGGGATGACTTTGCTCCAGCCGTCGGGGTGGATGCGCGCAAATGCTGGACCTCTCTTGTCCGGGTCGAGTTGCAGCGTTGTTTGAGTCTCGTCGTGCGGTTTCGGAGCCGGACGTGGCCAGACGTCCGATGGCCGTTTGTCCTCCGAGACACCTCCCAGCTCGTGATGTAATGGTTGGGATGGAGAATGAGACAATCTTTGATGACGGTGCCACGACTCGGGTCGAGGAGGAACAGGTGGACTGATTCTCAACTTGTTCTCCCTAACTGCACTTGAAGTTGATGGCCACCAACGGGGGCCAGCCTCTCTGCGGGTTTCATTTGTTGGCGTAGGATATTCAGCCTGCTGTCTCTTAGACCGGAAGAAGGACCACGACAAGAGTGAATCCTTCCGCTGCAAGTTCTGTGGAGGGTGACGACCGAGCTCGATCGTCGACGTCCGCGACCGTTTCCCGTGGCCAGAGGTGCCCCAGCTTCGGGAGGAGTACTGCGTGGCTGGTGTAACTGGTGAGCCTTTGCGGCGACGTGATAGCGAAAGCCACGACGCTGGAGTCCTAGACGAGCCCGATGAGATCTCGCTGAGTTGGCTCTGATGAGCTGGAGTGAAAGAAAGATTCATCATGATAGAAGCCTGATAGAAGCCTCAGAGAGGTTGGAAGTGGAAACTGTCCAGATCCATCAGATTCAAGATCAGTTCGCCGACACTTCGTGGAGCGACCCGTTTGTCGAAATCCAAAGGTAGTCAAACGAAGATGAGGTTGAGAACTCGCGGCGGTTGCCACGGCTTCACCGACTGGCCCATCCATCACCTTGTTCGAGAAGTTCTAGAAGAGCATGACATGTGGATAAGCTCGTGACACCTCAAAGGTGACTCGATTCAGCTGCTGGAGGAAGAGGCGCGATAGCATGTGACGGAGCCAGCCATACACGTAAAGGCTCTCTGTCGAGTCATTGCCCATGCGGTGAAATGAGGCTCTGAACCCAGACAGCAGTGAAGCAAGAACCAGATTTCTTTCGATAGTGAACTTTTGGTCTTGACTTACCAGAGCGTGAAGGTCCGAGCGTTGCAATTGCAGCATGGAGAATATTGTTGTTCGCCGAGTAGACTTCATTTCTCCGGGTCTCGACTGTTAATGGAAGGGTAAATACAATAGGAAGGACTGCGAAAAACACCCTCCTGTCAAAACCCAACACAATCGACATAGTGTGGTTTGACGCCTATTTTCTCAAGCAGACAACGATAGCACGTACATGGTCTGTTCAGATGATCACAGTTTTGCCTTGAGCCACGATTTGATAGCCTTTCCTTGCTCCGTCTCAGCCTTGTCACCAAACCGGAGGTGAATAATGGGGGCAATATGTGCCTCATTCGGACCAACCACGTAGGTTATGGAGTCCGGGTTGACGGACTTTTCGAATATCAGAGTTAGAAAAGTTCCAGCGAAGACGTAGATAGCATGGGACTCAAAAATGAAAGGGGAGACTTAAACACACCTTGTACTTTTCCACCCATTGATCAATAGAGTCGACCAAGATCTCGTTTGAGCCAGCTACAACCAGCATATTTTCAACCCTGGAATCTCTCCACCAGTCTGCCGGAACATTGAGCGGCTCTGCAAAGGGCGTAGACGGCTTTCCTGCGAGGTAGTCCCTCGCCCACATGTCACCAGCGTAACGAGTGACAATGTCCTTGTAACGGTTCCTCTGTTCGCTGGCCCAGTCAAGCTTGAAGGTGGTCCACGGGGCCACCGCCACAATGCCCTTGAGCTTCTCCCCATCGGCCAATTTGAGCTCCGGGAATTCAGAGGATGGATGCATAATTTGTGACAGGACTCCAAGGCACATGTTCCCGCCGGCGGAATCGCCAGCGAGGAGGATCTCGGAAGCTGGGCGTTTCAGGTCTTCCATGACGTATTTCACCGATTCGACGGCTTCGTAAATCGGCTTTGGAAACGTCCCATGTGGCACGAGCGTGTACTCCAGGAACAAAAACGCGATGGAGGTTTTGTCGGCTTTGAGGTCGTTCTGAACGCCGTGCCAAAATGTGAGATGGGTGTCATCTCCGTCGAGTGAGAAGCCGCCTCCTGTGTGACAGATCAGTCACTTGGGCGAGCAAATCCGACAAGGCCTGCCGCTTACCGTGGAAATACACGCAGACGTATTTGGCTGTCTTTGGATCGCCTACCCAGAATGCTTTGCACCCAGATTTCAGAGTGACGAGTTGCGGCTGGATGCCAACGCTTTTACACCACTTCTGGTAGATTTCAGAAAAGGGGGGCCCGATATACCTGCGGGTGTGAGCCTGAGTCTAGGGCGGAGAGTCGGCGAGACTTACTGTAGTTGCAGCGTGCTGAACCTTTTCATCAACTGGCAGCTTCAGTGACAATGCACGAATTCAGGAAGTGACTAGCCTACCTTTCGTACGATGGCGAAACTGATATGCTGCCCGTATGTATAAGCTCCTGATTCGCCACGGAATGGGGCCGTCGCCGCCGTGTAAAAGGCCGTTCCAGCTGGTACATTTTATCAGCTTGCAAAAGCACATTTTGCTCTCGTGGGAAGGTCTCACCGAGTGATAGAAGACCTGCGAAAACGTCCAACTTCTCCAAGAAGGAGATTTGATGAGCAGGAGCAGAGAGCGCCTGGGCCGCCGTTGGAGGGGCTGTCATATTGGAATTTGGCAGAACGACAAGCAGACAACTTTGAGAGTAAGACTCAAGCTCCGCTGTGTGTCCACAGTGTTAAGTGGGCGAAGCCGTTGATATACTTGAGCAAGGGACAGTCTGCCAAGGAGATAAGTGTTCCTTGATTAATGGATTCAAACGTGCGATGCAGTAGAAAGAGTGGAATGAGTAAGGCGTTCACTGAACGTCAGCTGAAGGAACAATAGACAATCGTTAGGTTTGCATGGTCAGGCTCATGATGATGTTATAGTCTGACTCGTACCTCGTACTCCGTATATATATGAAGGACGGATAGTCATAGGTGGGACACGCCAAGTCCGACAAAGGCGACCCGGAGCAAGCGTTGGGCCTTGTCCGACCCAAACGAGCCTGCTAGATTTGCATCAAGCAGGAAAAGAGGTCACCACAGGCAAAGATTTGAGAGAGCTGATATGAAATCAATAACGACGACAGCCCTTTGAGCTCTAATGCCGAGGCATCTCCTTAAACAGGTCTAGCGTCCACGGTTGTGAGGACGACATCTTTTTGCATGTGCCTTGGATATTTCTCTGCAATATCCTTTGGTATCGAATCTTGTGTTGACTCCGTATCAAGTCGAGCCTGTTTTTCTCCTGCCCAACTCTGTCTGTGACCGTGACAATGCCTCCCGGGAGGAAGACACAACTGGGGTTTATGTCCTACCTTCCTGCTCAAAAGTTCCAAGCAGGACTCGAACAGCCTCACATATGAGACCCTGGCTAGGTTAGATGCAGTCGTAGGTAAGGACTGAAGATAAAGGACAGATGAGCAACGAGAATGGCGTCAAAGAACCGTCATCTCCGCGCGGAGGAGATAGCACTGGTCCTTGACGGCACAAAAATCACCCTAGGAGGACAACCACAATGACCCTCCCAAAAGTAGGACTATGGCGTACTGGCTTGCTCAGAGCTTCAAGCAGCTGGAGGCTCTCACATATGAACCCCTCATTCGTTCAGACGCAGTGGTAGGTAAAGACTGCAAAAAAGAAAGAATAGATGATCAACAAGAATGGCATCCAAAAAGCAGAGACATGTCTTCCGCTGAAGCGCTGGCTCTGTCCATCTCCCTAAGAGTGCTCGGCACAGACGACAGGGGCTTGAATCAATCATTTCCAAGCCGTATCTGTCGTTCGACTTTAACCGTGACAAACTGGAGGAAGAGCAAAAGAAAATGGAGAGACCGCCGCAGTCGTGCGCAATCACTCTGACCACCTGACTGCTTCAGCCGCACAACAGGACGAGCCGCACATCAAGCCGCAACAGCAAACACTAGCTCGATACGACACAACACAACGCAACGCACTTTTATTTCAAGCCGCTGGCCTTGTTATTCTGTCTTTTTTTCCATCACACAAAGCACGAACCAACTACTCCTCGAACTCAAAGAACGCACTTCGGTAGCCTCCATCTTGACTACAGCATTCTCGAAACACATACAGCAACTCAAGCATCATCAGCTATCTTTGTTCAAAATGTCAAGTTCAGGTACCAGAAATGATGCGTCTAACTCCCCTCCCTTAACTCACAAGAAGGAGAGTAAGCTGAAAGTCGAGGAGATGGCGACCTCGACTGCCAAAACCGCCAACTCCGCCAACGCCCCCGATCCTGAGGCTACGCCAAAAAGCCCCACGAGTGACGGCGCCGGTTTTACAACCTCTACCACCCCCAGCGCCCAGCACGGGGCTATCACCGCGTGGGGCAGCACCTCTGGAAAGCTGTTCTTATCCGACCCGCGCCTGAACGACGGCGACTCGACGGGCACTCTCTGGGAGTATATCTTGAAGTTGGGGTCCAAGAACGTCGCAGAAAACAGAATCGCAGAAAAGGCCGAAGCAGCCAAGACAGCGCAAGAAGAAGATGACGGCGACGATGAGAACAAGGACAAAGAATCCGAGATCGACTAAAAGAGGACTCCTGGTCTCTGGGATTGGTGTTAGTGTTGGTGTTGGTTCTGGGTTCTGGCTTGCTTGGACAACCAAGATCGTGGTCCGAGGTTTTCGATGCACTGGAATGATGGGATGTCGAAAATCCCCTGCTGCTGCTCGCTCTTGCTCTTTTGTTGGTGGGAGGAGACATTGCAACAACCACAATCAAACACCAAACACCACCCGATGACTCGGACTGGATAACACACCATGGGAACGAATCGGCAGAACAGTCACGGGGACACGAAACATGCAGAATCACAGGCGGTGAAGGGTGCTTGTTTTTCCTTCTTTTATTCTTGCCTCTCCGTGCGCTGAGAAGGCGAGGCCAGCTAACGGAACTGAGTGACATGTACTGGCAACATCGGATTCTACTCTAGCATGCAAAGGGTTGCTGGGGGAGGGGAGGATCACACACAGCGTCTGCCGTGGCTTCAAAGCCACCATCCCCAGAAATGAAATTGAGCCAGCTTACTGGTTCTCAGACAGATGATATCGTGGTCAATCACCAAAATTGAAAAAAAAAGAGTTCTATCTGCTTACTTGTTTCCATGCTGCGCCTTGCCTGCTACGTTGGCTGATGTCGCTGTACCTCAAGACTGCGGAACAAACCAGGCACTTGCCAGAAACACCAGAGACGATCCTTCTTGGGCGTACTCGGACTGCGTGGGCAGAGCACGTCGTGGGCGTCTATCTCTCATAACCTTTGGATTTGGTTTGGACAAAAGAGCCCGGATTGGACTCTGCTTACAGCGCCACAAAGCGGCACTGAGGTGAAAAGCAATCGTACAACTTGTAGCCTTTTGTTGCAGAAATCTTGGTATGCCCCCTTTCCTCCCTGTTACACCAAAACATATCGTGGTATTCGTTCATTTCACCCCGTTGAAGAGCAGGCAAGAAAATTCCCGCTGACGCCTCCAGCTGCGCTGGACATTGCTGGCGCAGACCTCTCGAGCTCTACCCACTCTATTAGACTACCTGACTGTTCACCGCCTGAGCTTGTTCCACGGTCAAGGGCTTGCCTCCCATCTCGGTCTCCTGGTTGTCGATATTATGATAGTCGAGAATCTCCGAGTACATCATGATCTTCCAAGTGTCCACCGGAAGATCGGCGTCGTTGAACGACCAGTCAAATTTCTCGTCGGCGACTGGCTCGTCCGTTGGATCGTGATATGGAGAAAGGTACTCGTGCTCCAAACCACCGGCTGCCGACACTCTTTTCTTGGGGTCGAACACCAACATCTTCTCCAGAAGATCGACGGCGGAAGGATCGGCATTCTTGAATTTCGCACTCAGAGGTTGTCGTTCTCGTTTGGGTAGAGATTGGACAAATCTGAGGGTGTTTTCGCTGCAGATGGTCTCGATCACATCCTGGGGAGGGGTACCAAGCAGCTCAGTGATGATGGAGAACTGGTTGACGTGATCCTTGCCCGGGAATAATGGCTTGCCTTCCAACATTTCGGCGAAGATGCAACCAGCGCTCCAGATGTCCACCTCCACGTCATATTTCTGCCAGGTAAGCATGATTTCGGGGGCTCGGTAGTACCGGGTCGAGACATATCCCGTCATCTGAGGGTCTTGGATTCGAGCCAAACCAAAATCGCAGATTTTGAGGTCGCAATTTTCATTGACCAAGATATTGCTTGGCTTCAGATCTCGGTGGACAACGCCAGCCGAATGAACGTATTTCAAGCCTCGCTGCACGTGACTGTCAGTGGTGGAAGCATCGGAGCAAAGTTCCGGCTCATATACATACTAGGATTTGATAGAGGAAGTATTGGATGAATTGCTTCTCGAGCGGTCTCGATGTCAAGAGGCGATGAAGATCAGTGCCCAAGAGTTCAGTCACGAAGTAGCTGCATGCAACGTCAGCATTGGGAGGCGTGGTGGAGGAGGGGGTGCAGATTCTGCATACATGTCTTCAAGTGGGGAGATGAAGATGTCGCTGAGAGAGATGACCTGACCGGTTCAGTATACTGAGGGACAATCTGGGGATTCTTTGCGCTCACGTTTTCATGTCGAAGATGTTTCAGCAGTTTGAGTTCTCGATAGGTGCGCTTCGCGAGCACCGGTGTAGAGAACGGCTTCATGATCTTTTTTACCGCCACCGACTGGCCCGTCAATTGATCTTTTGCAGAGCTTAGGGCATTGTCAGTTTGGAGCGACTTCTGGAGGCATGTTCTCGAGCAGTCCTTACCAGACAAGGCCGAAGGCTCCCATGCCCACGGGTTGCAAGTCTGTATACCTGGCTTCCAGTCAATCGGGCTTGTCTTGCCAACGACATGGCTTCTTCGCCTACCTGCTGGTGATCTCGAAAGTTGTCCCAAATATCTGGGCTCGTACGAACTCTGCCATCTTGAGAAAGAGTCTAATGGAGCGAGGCCAAGTCTCAGGCGGGAGATGAGGGGAGGTCTTAGGTTCGCGAGAGGGTCAGCGGTCGCAGAGAGATCGCGACGTGAGTACAGGATGAGAGTACAATGGCGGCGAGCTCAGTAAAGGTAAGGAACGAGGTGAAACGATCGCCTCGAGAACGGGAGTGGCGACTTAAAAATACGGGATGTTTCAGGTATCCTGGAGACCGCAGTTAGAGAAGGGGAGGGGAGACTGGACTGCGGCGGATGCTGAAAAGCACGAACCTGAAAACCGTGAGTGGTGCAATTGATAGTTACTGTAGCATCCAACGAGGCCAGAAAGACCCCTGTCTGGTACTTGTGACTGTGGCTAATGTCACTGCCCAGAGAAGTTCATATGGTAGTGAAGAATGGCATGCGAGAAGAGCAGAGCAACGGGGAGCAACAGTGGCGGCAGCAGCAGCAGCAGCAGCAGCAGCAGTAGTAGCCAACGTGGGGCAAACCAGTTTCCCGCCTCCTGGGCGTCTCCCGTAAACTCGATCGGTACAATGCTGGTTACTAAGTAAAGGGCTGGTGGTGGGAGCGGGCCCTAAGATGTCCCAAGTAACGGTCCGGAGTGGGCTTGAGAATCAGTCTTTGGGCTCAGCTTGAAAAGACGATGATCGCAATCACCCATGCTCTCCGTACCCATCACCCGCCTGGGCTCCTCTGGGCTTTCCCCCCCTCCTAAGCCGAACTTCTTTCGATTACCTCGTACTCAGTCCTTTTCAATTGCCCCTCCATCATTAGTCGGGATCAATGTCCTCCGCCCAATCCCTTGCAATCCTCTCCTGTACAACGGTGGTACATTCTTCCGTCCACCCTTGGTCGGAGAATTCATCCAGCAGGCTTTTCCGCACCAACCAGTACGATGCCCGCCGCCATTTCGACTTCTATCTTTCCTAGACCGACAGCCAAAGGGTTAGTCAGATCTCCCCACTCTCTGCCATTTCGATTTCAGTCGATATTCCCGATCTATATGCGGCCACGAGCATAAGGTGCAGGCTCAGACTGTCGAGCCCACTAGCCCAGTCGCGGATTCCGTTAATAATTGATGATCTCACCCACCACCCAACCTGGTCTCTCAGTTAGAGCCACTTGCACCAGCCCAGGTAGTACAGCAACGACCTCAGAGGTTTATGGCTGTCAGTGACATTGTCCAAGCTAATTGTTCCTGTTCTTTGGATCAATCGCTCCGAGGTCCTGTCCACGCAGCAACCAGTGAAAAACCGTGAAGCTTCTGGAGAGCGAGGCGAGCGAGGGGATACCTCGTATTCCAAATTCCCTCGCCAAACTTTTACTAACACAGGGAATATCTGCGAGAGAACATATCCCAGATTTGCTTGTGCCCCTCTTCAACCATCAAGGGCACGTTCATTTCGCGTGCTGATGACCGAGGCCGCATGCGCTAAGTCGAGGTCCTGAGATTCTTTTCTGAGCCGCACGGCTTTCTCGATAGACACCGACTATCATCCCTGGACGGAGTAAATCAGGACCATCATGACTACGTGAGACAGCCCAGACAGCGCAAGAGCCCCGCGCAAAAATGTTTCACTTCGTAGTTCGGGTAAATTGAATGACTTCGGGAACACCTGGCCTCAGAAGATCATTTCTGGAAGACACTCACAGGGCCACTTGTACAGAGAGGAAAAGGAGGTACATGTGCAAGCGTCTACGCTCATCTCGGGGTGGCTCAGCCTCTTCCTGGCAGCTGCACACCAGACACAATTGCTGTCTTGGGCCTGATGAGCCTCACGCTGCAAAAACGGAGGATCTTAGAGCTTGCACGCACGCCGTGGCGGTGGCTGATGGGTATTGTCGGAGGCTGCCGCAGATGTTTTGGTGACCCGAGACTCCCTATAAGGATGGTTTGAGCTTGACGTGCACCCTGATTCAAAGTTTGACGGGAAGAAACAGATGACAGCTAGGGGATTTGAGGATGCACGACGTCTGACTGGGTTAAGTATTTGAATATCCAGCAGTAAGAAGCTGAAACAGCGCCTCTGTACTCGGTGGACCGGTCTTGCTGGCAGATTAGGAAGTCCACTTCCTGGCCCATTTGACAAGAATAGCACCTAACTCTCCCATCCAAAGCAAGAGGACAAAACCTCCACGGCAGATTCGGCACAGAAGAAAACGCAAGTCCGCGCAGTGTAACCCAGCTCGCAAGCCTGTCGGAAATTTACCACGAAAACTTTGGCGCACGACGGGCTGTGAGGGAGCATTGCTTCTGCTGTAGTGAATAAAGTGATCGGCATTGACGACATCATGTCAAAGAGTCGACCGCATGTAGGCCAGCCAGGCGCTGGCACTGGCATGCTGACCTGACAAATCTCCAGCTAAGCCTGGTCGAGATGGTAGACGTGGTCAAGCGATGAGGCTGTCGACAAGTCGGAGTCGAACTGGAGGATCCTAAAGCTCGGGGCGGAAATGGGTTGATTCTGGATGGTCATGCTCTCGAAGTGTGGCCGGCGTAGGGTGTAAATCTTGACACCATAAAACCTCGTGCGACACAATCGTTTCTTTTGGCTCAGGAACTATCAACCCTTGGCGGGAACAACCATGTGGCAGACCCTGGAATGATGCCGCTTTTCTGGAGTGGAAGATGTCTGTCATGGAATGCGTGGACTGTGGGTAGCAAGCCGCGCTCCTGGGTTGAAAGGGCGTGTGATATCTGAGGAGCTAGCGGACTAATTATCACGCCCAAGTTAATGGGCTCAAAGTGCCTGCATTCTTCTCGATCACTACTATGTAGGTACAAGGCCGTAGAGTGAGAAATTAAAATACCGTGGATGGGGACGGAGACAGTATCCCCAGCCTGCCTAATCTGCCTAACCTACGTGTCTCGCTACCCCTAGACCAGTTCCACGCGCCCAGCACTCTCGGGGAGTGCCTAGTGCGCCTGGACACTGGGACTTTAGTCTAGCGATCCCCTCGGTGTCCTTTACGCCCAACTGCTCGGCTACTCCGCTTAAAGCTGGAGGTTCTGGGCTGGTAGGCTGGCATTGGCACAACTGCCACTACTACTGCCAGTGCAGCGCCCTCGTAACTCGCTCTGGCACGCACCTGGGACTTGTTCTCCACGATCGGGTCCCATTCCATCCTCCCGTCAGCTTGTCCACTACTTCATTGGTAACAAATCTCTCTTCTGCTGTGACCACCACCTTGGCTTGCCTCGCTGCCCTCAAACATCCCGTTGCGCGACGACGTTCTCTGGCAGCGAGCTCTCTATACCACTCTCCCATTCGTTTTCCGGCTTCTATATCTACCAGCTGTTGCCTACCTCCAGTCCCTTCGCACCCATCTTTCATTCCTCGAAGCCGCTCCAGCCGAGTCGAGCTCCACTGACAAGTGCGAATCCTGGTCTCGGCCCCGACCACCACTGCCACCACCACCACCATCATCAACATCTCCAGGTCATCGAACGTCCTCAAGTTTACCGCTGCGCTTGCGAACCCGCCCTCCACATCTCCCATTCTCCCAATCGAGCCTGCGCTGCTTCAATCCTTGCCCCCCCAACCTCGACAACGACGTTTAATTGCCTCCCCCCGCACTCAGGCCGCAACCACAGGAGAACGCCCGTGCAGCTTCCTTTGCAGCTGCAGCCACATCTGGCGCTGCTTCTGCAGCGCTCTCGCTGTCGCTGCGCAACAGCCAGCACCATTCCTTCGAAATGGGTGCATGTGGGAGTAAAGAAGCGTCGGCCGAGGACACGGAGCAGAAAAAGAGAAGTCAGGCAATAGACAAGAAATTAGAGGAGGATTCCCGCAGGTTACGGCGGGAATGCAAGATCCTACTACTCGGTAGGCGACATGAATGACGATGCTGGTACATACGGTTGACTGACTTTGTAACTTTTTAGGGTCCGGCGAGAGTGGCAAGTCTACGATCGTAAAGCAGATGAAGATTATCCACCAGAATGGCTACACACAGGAGGAGAGGGCACTTTACCGGCTCACCATTTACAAGAACCTCGTTGACTGCATGAAGGCGCTGATCGGCGCCATGCAGCAGTTCGAAATTGAACCAGAAGATCAAACGGTCAAGGACTACGTGGAGTACATAATGGAATTTAATGTCGACCCGGATCCCGATACCACGCTTGATCCCAAAGTCGCCGACGCTGTTGAAGCCGTCTGGAAAGATCCAGCAGCGGCCAAGACAATGGAACGACAGAGCGAGTTCTACTTGATGGATTCAGCCCCTTAGTACGTCGTGGCGTTCACTTCCAAAGCAAAGTGGAACCCCGGCCAGCTCACACGTTGATAGCTTTTTCGAAGAAGTGCGAAGGTTGGCAGCGCCTGATTATATCCCCAACGAGGCCGATGTCCTGCGGGCCCGCACAAAGACGACAGGTATCTACGAGACCAGATTTACCATGGGTCAACTAAGCATCCAGTCAGTATCAATTCGAGGCACAGTCGAGCGTGGTGGAGCTAACATGTTACCAGCATGTTCGACGTAGGCGGGCAGCGCAGTGAGCGCAAGAAATGGATCCACTGCTTCGAGAACGTCACATCCATTATTTTCTGCGTGGCACTCAGCGAATATGATCAAGTTCTACTAGAAGAATCGAATCAGGTATGCAGCAGACCGGGACAAACAGAAAAGGGGGCATGTGATTGCTGACCGCCATTCTAGAACCGGATGATGGAAAGCCTTGTACTCTTTGATTCGGTTGTCAACTCCCGATGGTTCATGAGGACCAGCATCATCCTCTTCCTCAACAAAGTCGACCTGTTCAAGGAGAAGCTAGGTCGATCACCGCTAGGGAACTATTTCCCTGATTACTCGGGTGGCAACGATGTCAATCGGGCCGCCAAGTACCTGCTCTGGCGGTTTAACCAAGTGAACCGAGCACAACTCAACCTCTACCCTCAGTGAGTCCTATCCCCAGGGCAAAGATCGCTGGCGGCCCACTAATTGCGTGTGCAGTCTTACACAAGCCACAGACACGACGAATATTCGGCTGGTTTTCGCCGCAGTGAAGGAGACCATCCTACAAAATGCCCTGAAGGATTCGGGAATATTATGAGAGCCACGACCCAGCACCCATTTTCGTTTGTGTTTGGAAATTGCATTTTGCCGGGCGTCCAGCGTCTCATGTGATGAATTGGGAGTCATGACGGATTGGGAAGGCGCCACTACTATGCGCTGCTATATTTTCTGCCTGGAGGCCATTGATGTTGCTCGACAGCGGTGTTCCGACGCATTTGTTTTTGGTTCCTCTTGTTGCTACCAATCCTGAGCTTTTTGAGTTTTTCGCCGCAAAAAGTTCGCGTTTTGGAATAGTCTTTTCGTTTGTCCAGTCAAGAGTTGGAGCACGTGGTGAAGGAAGGATATGCTTGCGCACGTCAGGGCTGCTACGGCAGTGGGCTGTCAATTGTTTGGTTTGGGACGAAGGGCTGACTTAGCCACTGGAGACCACAGCATTCGCAGGATGCTTGGGACGGAATCTTGACCGTTGGACAGATATGATGGACGACATTATTAACGTTCGATATTGCTCTCAGTCAAAGCCATCCCATAAGAACCGGGGACAGGAGGCGGACAGCATTTGGACAGTTGGCTGCAAAGCGAGATACGACATCTGAAGGCTGGAAACGTCGCCGTGTACTCATAATAAGAAACTATTTCAACGTGGGACCTCTGTTTCCATTGCAACATCGGCAGCTTCGGGATCTCGTACCTGCGCCGTGGTTGAAGCCCAAAATGGAAAGCAATTACACAGCAGCCACCGGTGGATTACAGGACATGATGGTCTTCTGTCATGAGCCTTGATGAGCTCAGCATGAGGATGGACGTGGGTTTTGCGTCCGTTGCAGCGGTGGTCTGATTGATGCAATCACGCCACAGCCTTGCTCTTTTCCAACAGGCCTTTGGGCTCCATTATCCATCCCAGTTTCTCCTCCGTGTACTGATAAACGGGTCGGCATCTGCTTGTACATAAGCTTGGACGGACGTAGTCGACTAGGACAAGGAACAGCGGCACATTATTATTCAGAGCTTGACGCCTCTGAGCCGATTAGTTCGGCGGGCAATGCTTCCCCACGCTCCCAGGCGGTTTTCCTACTCGGCGGGTGCAAGGTGGGTGGTAAGCCAGTCCAATGGAGTGGATTTGCCTACCTTCCTAGGGCAGTTCAGAAGCGCAGCTGGTGTGGAGGTGAAGCAGACCGGGGCGGAAGCAAGTGAACCATAAATTACCAGGTCGAGTGTCGTCGTTCGTGTCCCAGCCCTTGCTTCGCTGACTGACGAGGAGAGGTGTGCTCGTATCCAATTCCAAACCCTGCCATCTGGTTGCCACAAAGAGCACCTGTGCTCGGCTCATTGTGGCCTTTTCCCCCGAGGGAAGTTGGTTGACGTGTGGACTAGTAGAAAGTAGCAATAGCCGGAGGTTGGTGGGCAATAGAAACCTCGCCACTCTCCCGTTGCACATGCAAATCTGCTTGCCCACCGCCCCGGTTGCCGTGGAGCCTGAGCTCTAGCTACAAGGCATGGGCGCGCAAGCGGTGCGCAAGGCGGGGTAAAGGATCTGAGGGGCGTACAGTACATCGTGTCGGGCGCATGCAGTCGGCCTTGAAGCAGTGTAATTCTCTTTTTCCATGGCTCACCGCTTAGGCTAGGAGGATCCTCCAGATTTTTTTGATGCTGTTGATCGACGATGCCTCGATGCGAGACGGCTGCACATAGAGAGATCCATGTCTATTCCAAGAAGATACAAGGCCCGCTGTTGCTGGCAACGCACTAATGCATAGCAAATGCTGAATGATGGAGCTGGGTAGGAAATAGCTCGTTGATAGGTTGGTCCCGGCTCTGCGTATTGCATTTGCGATGACGGAAACCATTGAGCCATGAGGCAAAACACACCCTCCATTGGCTTTCAATTAATCCAGCTCCCCCCTTCCTGCCTGCCCTGTCGAGCTATACCACGTCCTCTGCCTGCCCCTCTGTCCTCACATTCTTCCCTTTGCTATCCTCGTCTCCTTTCACCTCCCTTCTCGGGGCGACTTGAACTCTCAAGCCATCGACCTTCTTTTCTTCGTATTATTCTTATCTCTCCGCGCTCCCTCCTTTAGCTTGCCCGTGCAGTCTCGTCCTACCACGCCAACAAGATGGCCACCGCAGCCACTGGTGCCCAATCTCCACGGGAGCGTCGACCCTCGACGGGTGCTCCTATCTCGACCTTGATAGGTCCTGTTGGCCCTGGCTTCACTCGCCCCAAGCACAAGAGGACTGCCACAGGCTTCGGAGCCGGTGACATCAAGGCCGTGGAGTCGAGCATTCCAGAGCACATGCGAGAGGCGTGAGTAGTGGTTCCTCTCCAATGCCTTTGGAACGGAAATGCTAACCATTCTTTCCACCAACAGCTGGAGAAAATTTGTAAAGCTCCGAGACTCTATTTGCCGAAGCTGGCGGCCTTTCTAACCCAAGCTTGGACAGTCTCCGCGCCCTTTCACGAGCAAGGAAGAGTTTGAGGTCAGTGGTGACACTTTTTCCGACTGGGCAAACATGTCCTGACGCTCTATCAATAGGCAGAATGTGTCAAGCATATCGAGACCACCTTGGCGAGATCCCTCTTTAACTGCGACGAGCTGTACGTCTTGCCAACCTGCTTGCACAAACGACTCCTCACATTGACCGCCACACAGGGCCGCATACTCCGGGACTGCGCTGGCGTTTCGAGACCGCCTGATCATTGATTGGAACAAGACCCAGCAAAGGCAGACATTTGCCGATCAGAAGAGAATCTATTGTGAGTTCTTTGAACGATGTGGTAGAGGTATGGTAGCTCACAAGACTGGAAGACCTCTCCCTCGAGTTCTTGATGGGCAGAGCACTGGACAATGCTATGCTCAACATTGGATTGAAAGACGTAGCCAAAGGTTAGTCATATGCCACCCTGCCGTGTTACGCATACTAACACTGGGATTAGAGGGTCTCGCCGATCTCGGTTTCCGCATTGAGGACATCATCGAACAGGAGCACGACGCGGCTTTGGGTAACGGAGGCCTCGGTCGGCTTGCTGCATGTTTCCTTGACAGCTTGGCCTCCTTGAACTACGCAGCTTGGGGTTACGGCCTTCGATACCGATACGGCATTTTCAAGCAAGAGATTGAAAATGGTTATCAGGTTGAGATCCCGGATTATTGGCTCGATTTCAACCCTTGGGAGTTTCCCCGACACGATGTTACAGTCGATGTGCAGTTCTACGGCTGGGTCAACAAATTCACAGACGAGGAGGGAAAACAGATTGTGTCCTGGCAGGATGGTGAGCTCGTCACAGCGACTGCTTACGATGTGCCCATTCCAGGATACGGAACTCCGACCGTGAATAACCTGCGTCTTTGGTCCAGCAAGGCGTCAAGTGGAGAATTCGACTTCTCTAAATTCAACTCTGGCGAGTACGAGAGTGCCGTGGCCGACGAGCAGCGCGCCGAAACGATATCGGCTGTGTTGTACCCGAATGACAACCTTGAAAGGGGTAAGGAGCTTCGCTTGAAGCAACAATACTTCTGGTGTGCTGCATCTCTGCATGACATTGTCCGCAGATTCAAGAAATCCAAGCGCGAGTGGTCAGAGTTTCCCGACCAGGTGGCTATTCAGCTCAACGACACACATCCGACGCTTGCCATTGTCGAGCTGCAGCGAATCTTGATCGACATGGAAGGCCTTGAATGGGATACCGCCTGGAACATTGTCACGAAGACATTTGGCTATACCAACCACACTGTTTTGCCGGAAGCACTGGAGAAGTGGTCTGTACCGCTTTTCCAGAACCTCTTACCTCGCCACCTCCAGGTTAGTAACTCCCCCCCCTATTTCTATGCACTCTGTACGTAGCATAGCTCCTCGAAAGGCTGTGGGCTCCCTTTCTTTTCCCTCTTCGTACTTGATCAAGTCTGCGGGTACCTGGACGAGATGGACATTCTACTTCGACCCTCTGGACCTGTGTGCCCGAACACTGCAGTCCTCGCAACGGATATCCGTTGTTTTTGTCGTTAGCCATGTCAAAGACCGCTATTAACAGACGGGACACTGAGCAGATCATATATGACATCAACCTCTATTTCCTCCAGTCTGTCGAACGCCGCTTCCCGAAAGACCGTGACATGTTGGCCCGAGTCTCCATCATTGAAGAGTCACAGCCCAAGATGGTCCGGATGGCCTACTTGGCAATTGTTGGCTCTCACAAGGTCAACGGTGTGGCCGAGCTCCACTCCGATTTGATCAAGACGACCATTTTCAAGGATTTTGTCAAAGTCTATGGTCCGGACAAGTTCACCAACGTCACCAATGGCATCACCCCGCGACGATGGCTGCACCAGGCCAATCCACGTCTTTCTGAGCTGATTGCTTCGAAGATCGGAAACTATGAATTCTTGAAGGATCTGACGCTACTCAACAAGTTGGAGCCGTTCGCTGAGGACAAGGCGTTCAAGAAAGAGTGGGCGGAGATCAAGTACGCCAACAAGGTCCGACTTGCCCAGCATATCCTGAAGACGACAGGGGTGAGCGTCAACCCCAAAGCCCTGTTCGACATCCAGGTCAAGCGGATCCACGAGTATAAACGTCAGCAACTCAACATTTTCGGTGTGATTCATCGATACCTAGCCATCAAGGCCATGACCCCTGAGGAGCGCAAGAAGGTTTCGCCCAAAGTGTCCATCTTCGGGGGCAAGGCCGCCCCAGGCTACTGGATGGCCAAGACCATCATTCACCTGATCAACAAGGTCGGAGAAGTGGTCAACAAGGATCCCGATGTTGGCGATCTGCTCAAAGTGGTCTTTGTGGCAGACTACAATGTCAGCAAGGCGGAGATCATCATCCCAGCTTCGGACATCAGTGAACATATCTCCACCGCTGGCACCGAGGCCTCCGGCACCAGCAACATGAAATTTGTGCTGAATGGTGGTTTGATTATTGGCACTCTCGATGGTGCGAACATTGAGATCACTCGCGAAATTGGAGAACAAAACATCTTCCTGTTTGGCAATCTGTCCGAAGACGTGGAGGATTTGCGACACCACCACTTCTACGGCAACTACCAGGTCAACCCCGAGCTTCTGAAGGTGTTTGACTGCATCAAGGCGGGCACTTTCGGTGATGAGGCCGCTTTTGGTGCCCTTATCAGCGCCATCGTGGAGCACGGCGATTATTATCTTGGTAAGACATCCTTTTGGAATTGAAACCACGGAACATAGGCTGATGAAATGACTGTACAGTGAGCGATGACTTCAATAGCTATTGCCAGACGCAAGATCTCATCGACGAATCATACAAAGACCAGAGCTCCTGGGTCACCAAGTCGATCATGAGTGTGGCCAGAATGGGATTCTTCACGTCGGGTATGTCCAGCTTTCGCACATCCCCATATTGTTGTCGTCGGCACGCTAACCTGATGCCTAGACCGCTGCATCAATGAGTATGCCGACACCATCTGGAACATTGAACCTCTCGATGTCAAGGATGAGAAGGAGGTTAGGGCACGAACTGGCCTGGATAACTAGACACAGCCGAGGACCTTAAGGGTATTGGTTCTTTAAATAACAGATCGGTCATTAAGACAGGAAGAGCATGCTCCTTATCGGGGCACCGAACCAGAACCCCTATGCAACCTAGGACCGTGGGAAAAGAATGGATAAAGCAAAAAGACCCTTTAAGATAGCGCTCTGGCATGTTCGCCCTGGGCAGGAAGGCAGGTGATAGAGGAAACAGATATTGATAATGACCTTACTGCAACATAATCATGACGCTTGACCACTAGGAGACAAGGTGTTCTTGGGATGTCCTCGTATGGCGCCGTCGAGTTGTATGGAAGAAGTGTCAAGGTTGATCAAACATGGCGGCGATGCCAAGTGCGGAGCCCGCCTAACCCGGAGTAACTAAAATCCGACGCCGGTTGTAGACTCCATCAATTCCTCAGCGTAAACGGGGATCCTTGATATTATTTCCTACATGTCCACCATCGACATAGAGATATGTTTAGTCTCTACCTCTGGGAGGCGTGGTGAAATTCCAACAGCCTGGTCTTTTGAGATGCAAATCGGATAGTTTTCAACTCCAATATGACAACTATCTCGCCTCAGGTCGCAGTCGTCGACTTCCACCACGCCCGGTACGTCTTTATCTTCTCAAACCGTTACGACCCCCAACAAGCTGCACATGCCATACGAGAGATTAATTTCATTTGCTAATGAGCAGACGAATAAAGTGGTCCGGAGGTCGAGTTCTGGATTCACAGCGATGGCCAGAACCTCCATAAACTCAATGACTGGTCGTTGTTGCCGTTCATGGCGCTGTCCGATGGAGCACACGCTATGGCGGAGGAGTTTAGCTATTTCACGCTGCTCGACAATCGGAGCTCGGGATCAGACCATGTCGAAACACCCTCGAGCTCCGAGGCGATTCCACACGGTACGGGTGCAGTAACGAGCGCGGCCACGAGCCTGTTCGGAATCGCCTGTACGCGACAGATCCGGGCGGACAAACTCAAGCGTCGCTCCGCGGACGTGACACGGTCAACTGTCCAGAAAGCTGTTGTCGTTATCTCTCCCACGGCGAGAGGCATGGGGGAGTTGAGAGAAAGACTGGGAATCGTCACGGCGGCGTGGTTTGCTCAGGAGTGAGTCGGACTCCTCCCCAACTGTGCATCAGCCTATCACTACTCGGCTATCAGCGAACGTTGCAGGTGTTGCGTTGGGGTTTGAGAGAGGCTGACTTGCGAGAAAGAGATTTTTCAGATATCTCGATTCTGAAGGTGGGTAAGTGCCGTACATGCTGGCAGTCGAACCCTCAATAGTTACGGAACGAATGCTGATCATGTGTCTATGCAGGAATTTCAAGAGAGTCTATTTAGAGTTCCGCCCACGCATGAAGATGGGAAGGATCACCATTTCGGTACGTGCTCGACCTGACGTGGTCTCGTCTTCTGGCAGCTTGTGCTAGTGGATGATTTTCCCACGTACGGGACACCAACTTGAACTCGAGGCTCCGTCTACGCAGAGCTGATATTTGGATACTCCTAGGGCTCTCCCTCCGTGAACTGATCTATGAATTTAGACACCAGACTTTGGCTCTAGTCAAATGCCTCTTGCTGCAGCGGAAGGTGAGATATCTGCTGTCCTTGATACCGTTCCCCGCCTCCCTCTCTCGAAACAAAAACCATGTGGACCATGCAATTGCTCACTGTCCGTCGTTCTTACACCTTGTGCTTTCTGCTGCAGATGCTCTTCTTTGGCTCCAAGTGTGAAAGGCTGTGCATGATGCAGTTCGCCCTGATATCGCTCATACCTGGCCTTATTGCAAACCTGGAAGACGCAGCAGACCCGAGCCTAGACTCGTATGCACAGAACGTGCAGAAGGCGCAGAGCTTGAGGACCGGCGACCGAAGTTCATGTATGTTTTCGATTCAGGGGCTGCTGATCATCACCCGACGAACGCTGCTGATGTGCGTTACAGTATTAGCCTTCATGGGCTTGCCGTTACAAATATTCGGGAAGGTGAGTCTGCAGAGGAGCATACATGGCATCGTTGTCGAGCCTTCAGCTTCTTTTCTTCATGCAAGCTGACGATCTGCCTCCGTCGATTACATTAGGGCTCAATCTTTGGCCCATATACTCCGCTCCAACAACTCGACATCCTCGCCGACTATGACACAAAATCATATGTTGTGGGCTCCACCAACAGCCTCCTTCTCCAACAGAAGGAAAAGTACAGTGACATCCTCATAAACCTGGACGAATCAAACTCCATGACAATTACTTCTCCCTCTTTGCGTGCCGCTCTCGCCCTTAGTGCTGCGGATCGTCGTTGGATCGACTACCTCACCCAGACCGTGCTGGATACATGGGATCCAGAGAATCCGAGTAGACCAAGAAACATGGGCTACGCGGGCTCCGAAGACGCCATTCGCATGCAATTCGAAGAATATATACTGTCCCTGCTCAGTAGCATGGCATATCAAATCTACCATGAATCCGTGTCCGAAAACAGCATTCCGGCTTCGGTCGCCAATATAGAGAGCTTCCCCGAACCTGGAGATACTGCTTCGGATTTTAACCCTGAATTCCTCGCCATGTGGCGGTCGACCAATAACTTTGCGCTGTTTGACCGTCTCACGCGTGGGAACCGCATCTTCGACATCATCGAGCCGCGGCACCCGACGGGCGGGGGTTTAAGTGTCGAGGACCTGCAGAGGCGGGTTGCTCGAGGCATGGCAGATCTCCACCTCGACGAGCGGGTGAGGGAGGGGAGAGAACAGCTGGGCCGCACCCTGCAGACTGGGCGTGAGAGGGTGGAAGCCGGGATGGCGAGGTTCTGGGCCGAGTTGGAGCGTGCGAGGGAACAGCGGGCTCAGCAGCGGGCCACGAAGAGGACGAGCGGCAGTCACAGCATGACCAGGAGCAGTGGCGAGGGAGAAAGCAAGGAGAACCCCGAACCTTCGGCGACGAAACCGGCCGTGGCTCTGTCGAGCGCGAGTTCGAACTCGAGTTGGATGGTTGTCGAGCAGCAGCCTGAAGGCGACGCTGCGGGACCTAAAGCGGCGGCTGCTGCCCGACCAGTTTCCCCCCCGACCTCCTCCTCCCTCTCCTCCTCCACCACCGGCGGCCCTTTGACAGCAGCGGCCGGGTCGAACTGGACGGCATCCCTCCGTGAGCGGGCCCCGCGCGTCGACGCCTCGCAAATCCAAGCTTCGGCGAGGGAGGGCGCCGCTCGCGCAGGAGCGTACCTGAGCGGCTGGGGCACCTGGGCGCGGGACCGCATCCAACAATCTCAGCAGGGGAAGGGGCCGTCCCAGCCCACACCGGGAGCGGGCGGGGCTGGAGGCGGTGGTGACTGAGTCAGTGAGTGAGTGAGTGAGGAGGAATTGGTCGGAGGACGAAGCCGAGCAGTCGATGTAAGAGAAGAAGGATAGTGGTAGGGTCGGACAGGGGCGTGAAGGCTTTGTGGTTGGATTCAAACACACCGGCGTGGTATGGTAGGTGGGTTGTATCAGGTGGCGAGGAACAAGCACGCTTAAGCCGAAGGGAAGCGAGTGAGCGAGTGAATATCAAGAAGGCATGCCTCCTCGACAAGAAGAAGGAAAGAAACTGGATGGACCTATCTGCCCCGTGCTTGACTTAATATCCTGTACTCGGTACATATACGCCCATCCATCCACCTACCACCTACCTACCTACTCACCTTGAACATCCCTCGAGCCCTTTTTCGTTTTAACAGTAATATCCCTTTCTCTACTTGTTCTGTTACTTGCCCCGACTAAAGATATAAATATAGATGTTGATGTTGATGTTGATACCTCATACGCAGCATACATACATACATAAATACACGGATAGACGCGGCGGCATTGTGTATGTATACATGTATGTATCCACATGATCTCCACCCACAGCAGTAACTCCACACATAAACACGTACATACATACACACAGAAATATTCACATAATAAACAAGTCTCCGTGGGCGATTTCGTGGGTCAGGAAGTGCTCACTATCACCAGTCAAACCAGCTCGAGGAGGAAACGGTAACAAGCCGGGCAAGGGAGACGGCAGAGACAAAGACATCGGGCGAAACATAGCAAGACAAAACAAAACAAAACCACACGAAAAGCTCAGGGGAACTGAATAACAACGTATGAGATTTGTGAGCGACAGACTGGCACAAAATAAGAGTCTTCTTTTCATTATCATCATCATACTGCTCTTCAAGCGCTCTTCGCGCAGGCTGTGGCGAGCGCCCAACGTTCTTGTTCCAACCACCGGCAGATCCAGCACTGTCGTTGTCACAAGCCCATTATCGCCGCCGTCTGGAAGCGACTTGTCCCCAAGATACTCTGCACCAGGCTCTTTCCGGCAGTTTTGACCCATTTATCCCTTGTCGAATTTATTGATACTTCCCATGGCTAATATGCACGCGTCGTGAAGTCGTTCGATCGAATGCATTTCCCACCAGTTGTCTTCTTAAAACCTCCTCTCCGCGAGAGTCGCTCAACGGAGCTTGACTGATTGCCGTAGGATGAAATAAGATAGAGACCAATGCAATCCGCTGCACCCCACGCAATGCTGAAATCCATACCACTCCGATGGTAAGTGGGCTCCCCCGTCAACAGACCGTCAAAATCCATCCATCCCATTTGCCCTGACTCGACCCTTTTTTGAGTGCTGAGGATTCTCTGCCCGGGGCTTTCGCAAAAAAAAGAGATAAGAACACAGAGAGCTGTCTACTATGCCGAACGACGCAATTCGTCTAGGGTAACCAATAGCTCGCCGCCCTCGGAGACAGTCGGCCGGGCACAACAAGTGATGGCTTATGCGATGTAAGCCAATTCGTCATTGTCCAAACGCTCAATATAGTCTTTCTCCATGAGCGCGTCGATGTTTTTCTTGATGTCGGAGATCTTGGGGGGAAATCTGTTGCGGACTTGGTTGATGACTTCCTCGACCAGATGGACGTGCTTGAGCTTCTTCCGACCTTTCATGATCCGAACAATCACAGCCTGAAAGAGTTAGCAAATTCCAAACTCGAAACACGGGTGGGAAGAGCACATACCTGGAGCAACAATTTCCGATCCTCCTCAATTGTCTTATGAGTATCTTCGGACTCTACCTTCTGTTCGGATTTGACGGTAATATTCAAGTTGATCTTGACCTTCTTGTTCTTGAAGTTGTAGTTCAGCGAGTAACTGGTGCCGGCTGTGGGTTTCCCGTCCTCCGGCGACGAGTTGAGGACACGAGCTTTGCACAGGATACCAATTGCGGGTTCAATCGTTTCGTCAGTCAACTTGGTAAGTTCTTTGATCTCCGAATAATCCAGCTTGTCCGAGTCATTGAACAGAAGCAGGATGGCCATTTGATACGTCGAAACTTGGAAGGTGTATTGGACTTTCTGGCTCTTGATGTAGTTGGCCCGAATTTCACCTTTGCACAGCTGCCACAGCCATGTCAATTTGCGGCCATTGTGTTTCTGGTCGTAGAACCTGGTAAAGGACTCGATAGCCTTGTTGATCTCGGAAGGAGGCGCAAACGGAGTGTTGGGAGCATTGAGGGGCCAGAAACCCGTTCCCAAGATTTGGAATGTGGAATCGACGGTCCTCTTCTCGTCACTGTCCTCGAGAATCTTGTCATGCCAGTCTTTGTAGGCAGTATTGAGATCCTTGGAAATTTGAACGTCTTGGAACATTCTCTGAAGCTTGTTCGTGTATTCATAACCACACGCCTCCTTCAGTTTGCTGATCATGCTCGTTTCGGCATCGTCGGACACAGAGCTCGTGTGCACAAGACGCTTAGCCAACATGCGGGAGTAGAACTTTTGGAACACATCCTTGTCCTCAATGTACTTGAACACGACCATAATCTGAACAAGGAGTTCTTCAAGCTCAGACTCGTCGGCCGCCTTGGCGCCTTTCTTGAGGAGTTGATCGGCGTATTTGGCAAGTAGTTCAGGGGATCGAGTAGAGTTATTCTTGCAAATTTGGTTGTGGTTGACAAATTCCTGGCAAGCATTGTCCAGCGATCGCACAAATTCGGACTCTCCAGTAAAAGCAACATTGACGAGTTGCTGGTATTTACCATGAATTTCGAGCAACGCATCGACGTAGACTTTTGGTTCAAAGTTGTCTCCTTGGGCAGCAACTTTCTCAACAGCTGCAGTGCCAGCTTTTCGCACATGGATTTCAAACCGAGTCCTCAGTGGGTCTAGTCCATCCTTAATCCTGGACAGCAGTTTGTACATTCGGGCGAGGTCCTCCGTACGCTCGTTGTCGAGAAGTACCTGAAATTCATCCCGCAGCAAGACGGAGTGAGCGCTGATCAGGGCTTCGTTGCACGTTTCCATGAGTTTCTTCATAATGTCGGGATGCAAGTAGAGGCCCACCCGCTCCCTCTCTTCTTCCAGTCTTGCTTCGGCCTTCTTCATGTACTCAACAACACTGTTCTCTGCAACAAAGCGTCGAGATTCATTAACGTAATATTCCTTGGTCGCGGCAATGAAGGGACGTTCGAAATACAGGCGGTAGACGTCGAGAGTGGGCTTTGAGCTGTCAAGCTCGTCTAAGCCGAGCGATACGAAGGAGTCAACGATGGCCTTGATCTGCATTTGATCAATAGTCTCGCCATTGCGCTGCTTTTCAACGAGTCTCAAGACCGCATCCATCACCTTGCCCTCCACCGCTTTGAAGAAGTCGTCTTTCCATTTGACCAGGTGCAGAGTGTACACATCGTAGACGTTCTTCTTGCCTTCGTCGATTTCTCGCTTCACCCAGTGTCGATTCAGATATCTGAAGAGGTGGTTGTTGTATTTTGCAGCGTCGGTATAACGTTTCCATTCTCGGATGTAAAAGGCCAGGAGTGCTTCATCTGTATGTGATTCGGACGAGACCAAGACATCACGGAGATGCTCCGTGAGATATTTCCCAAGGAGGGTGTAAAGTTCTTCGCCGAGGAGATGAGCGCCACGGTGGCTGGGGGTTAAGGTCCCCGGCGAGCCACCCTGGCTTTGACTTGTGGCTGCCTTCTGAGAGGTACAGAAATTGTGGACTGCGGTATATACACCCCTGAGATCGGGTCAGCAATACTATTTCCTTCCAATAAGGAAAGGAGACTTGGCCAACATGTATGTCTTCATGTCAAGACCTTCTTGCAACTTGGTCATGACATTGTTAACATTCTTCTCAAGATATGCCCACCTACTGACAGTTAACAGGGTCTTCTGCTTCTCTTGTCCTGGTATCCTTACGTAGAATCAAGATCGTCGCGCGCCCGCATTGCGGGGTTGGAGGCCGTGCCCGCTGTCGTGGTTGTCATGTTTGGGAGCGTATGGTCGTCTTCACTGAAATCCTAATGATATCGGCTTTAGAGGGCGCGGTACGGCAGCCTGGTCGGGAGGGAAGACGGTCTTGTAAAGATGACGGTGGCGAATGAAAGTCGGTCTAGCCGTCTTGCTTTCAAAGAATCGCGAGCTCAGGATTATCCCTTCTCCTCACGGCTTCTTGCCCGATCGATCCTCGGGGCGACGGCGAAGTGACGGAGTGAGGGAAACTCGAGGGCTATTTGACGGAAGGGCAGGGACGGCGGGTGAAATCCAGTCACTGCGAGTTCAAGAGAGAAACAATCTCATTCCTCGAGCGCAGTCCAACTCACGGACAGCTAACAACAAGGGACGAGGTGTGAGTTGTGATCGCTGCCGACACGAAGGTCCTGTAGGTCAGGTGTTTGAAGAGAGAGGCTGCAGTAACAGCAAGGCCGCAGAATGTCTGATCGGTCTGGATCATCCATTTCTTCCGTAAAGAGCACTGATGACTAACGGGATTCCATGACGTCATTTCACTATCGACAAAGTGCATCTGAGGCAGTCGCAATAACAATATCATGGGGAAAAGAGAGAAAAAGACAGTCTTGACTACGTGACCGTTTGATACTGTCTAGTAATTAACCGCCCCTATGTACCTAAAGACTGCCCCTTCGTTCTCGCATTCGTCTATCATGGTGTCTTTTGTGTGCAAAGCGTAGCACTACCGGTTCGAACCATTCCAACTCCCAAGTCTCGAGTCCGACAAACTGCCTGCCTCCACAGTCCTCCTTTCACAGCTGACGATATGTCCATCACTCCGCTGAGTGCCTTGCGGATCTCAAAACATCAGATTCCCGCCTACAAAGGCATCCCAAACACCTCCATACAAGGCAAACCCCTCATGATATACCACGGTGCTTTCACAGACTCTAATCCCTCAAACATCGAATCTCACCTCAAATCGGTCGGGGTCGTCTCTCCACAATGGAGGTATACTATGTATAGTGAAACACACTTCCACTCGACCACTCATGAAGTTCTCAGTATCGCTTCAGGATCTGCTAAGTGCTGTTTTGGGGGTGAGAAGAACGAAGGTCGAGTGGAGCCCGTTCTAGAGCAAGGGGATGTTATTATCGTCCCAGCTGGAGTCGGTCACCGCTTACTGGAGGATTATGGTGGTTTCCAGATGGTCGGCTCTTACCCGAAAGGCAAGGCGTGGGACATGTGCTACGGGAAGCCCGGGGAGGAGGAGCAGGTTAAGCAGATTGGTAACTTGGGTTGGTTCAAGCGCGACCCCGTCTATGGCGATGAAGGCCCAAGTCTGCAAGTATAAGAGCATTGCCAAAATTGCACCATCGATGAAGGCTAAAAGTGTATGCTGCGCCTCTGGTGGTGCTGTGCAGCCATCCACCAGCATAAGCTGTGCCATTGGAGGACTCTGCACAAGACGGTTTTGGAATTTTTGGTAAGAGTTCTAGGTCATGAAACTCGTTTCACTTCGTGTCAATTCGTTCTACCAGCCTGCATAAGAGTCAGTCAATATGTGCAGAGCGGGTGGGAATGGGTATACTTGCCTCAAAACGCTAATAGAGAATGTCATCAACCATGCTGTAAGTGAGACCAACAACACACCACTCAGGGCCTCTGCCCTCGTGCAGATGCTCTCGAATCTTCCCGTCGTCCTCACAGAATCGCCAGTCTTGCAAGCACCCTCATCCACCGTCAAAGATTCAAAACTTAGGCTCAAGTTTGCCGACTGAAACACAATAAAGAACAGATCAAGCAGCATCAGTCGGACTTTCGCTCTTGCACGCCGTAATCCGAGAGGTTTCGAAAAGTATTCGTCGTAGGTGATGTATATAGTGTAGACAATGGCTATGGCGTCTACTATTACCGCCATCAAGCCTGAAGGATCCCGATAATAATCGGTAGCTGTGGGACCGACACGTTGCACACATTCGGCACTGCGCCGATTTGGTGCTTGTCTGATGCATACCGTGATCTTGCCGGTTTCATGGTATATTGACGCGCCCAGACCCAGAGCGACGATGGCAAATGATAACACTGTCAATCGGAAAGCAAGAGGAATAAATGGATTCCGCAGGATGTAGAACTGGGCGCGTTTATACCACACCTGTCTCTTCCTGCGGAATGCACGGTACCGGCTACTGCCATCCTCGACATCGTCATCGTCGTGGTCTGCAAGCCATGTTTTGGAATAATCAGTAAAATTCTGGTTCAGCCAGTCCGTGTCCACCTTTTCACTGTTGAAGTTCTCTCGGGGATAGGCACTTGGCTGTGCAAAGGACATCCATCTCGAAGTTCGCGGAGCTCTGGCTTTGCCCGATGGCGTAGAGTAGGCCTCCTCGTGAGACTGCCGGCCCGATACAAGAGGCCTCCTTGCTGTCGACGGGCTGTGGTGATGTTGCGCAACCAACGCAGCGTGGGGGGTGTCCGGGCCTTGGAATTGGGGGTCACTCAGATCATCTTCGTCGGCATCCCTGACCCAAGCTGTGCGGAAGCGTTAGCCTTGTTCTACAGACTCTGATGGAGCAAGACAGTGACCCACGGGGAATAGTTCGCACTGGAAGGGGAGACGTCTGTTTGACTCTAGCGGAATCCGATGGAGTGTTGAGCGCAGTCGTGATGCCCGCTCGCGGAGGCGCTTTTATCGAACCATGCCGATGCTTCCCTTGCGTGTTGATATTCTTCCGAGGCTGGGATTGCTGATGCAATGCCGCAGTCGTCGTAGGGGATGTTGGAACTTGCTCTTGCTTGGTTGGATGCGGTGGAGCAACATTATGGTTCTCTGGTATGATGATTGAGGGCTTTTCGGGATCTCTAGACGGCGCCTGCCACGGAAAGCCCGCTTCAGCGGCCATGTTGCTGATCGGCTAGAGGCCCAGGAGAACCCAGAAATTTAGGTGCTCCCTCGAGAGGAGAGATTCAATGCCGGCGGTTGCGGAAGCTCATGTCGAGGGGGGGGCGGCTGCGGGAATCCGCTTCGTGAATCTCCCGGAGGCCGTATCAATACTCCATCAAGATCTGTTCTGTTGTAGTGGCTGCAACAGGATTAAAGAGAGAGTGCTCTGAGGCTCTGTACACGGAAGGAGAAATATTGGGTAATGTTGCGCTGCGCCATATGCCATATGGGGAGTATGAGCTAGTTAGTCGGTTGATCATTCATCACTGAGGGAACTTGGAGTAAGCCTAGTGCAGTGGCCCACTTGGCGAATGGGGGCGCCTTGGTGCCTAGGTAGGCGTGCTAGGTAAGTGCCTCGCCAACTTAAGGCTCGGACGGCTCTAGGGCGAATCAGTGCTTGAGATTCAACCATGCATGACGTTGGAGGACCAGCTTCGGAGGCAACAAAAAACCGTCTTGGGCTCATTCATTCATGAATGGTTGCTTTTCTCAATAATTGCATTGATGCACAAACCTGCCAGATTGCAGCTCCCATTCGACGTGCGCACCTATTCGGTCATTAGCATCATCGAGACAGGAATAATTTGATCCTTTTGGGCACCCGTCTTCAGATCTCCTGGTGTCGCTCGCTCAAATTTCTATTCGCAATATGCTGTCTCGACCATGATTTCATCGGCTCTTCCCTGAACGGCGCAAATTGGTCGCAGTCCCCGTTTCCCCATCCTTCACGCTGCAGTCGTCGCTGCTATGCGAATCTTTCTCCTGCCTCTCACCACGCGACAAGCACTCGTCTTTTGTCAACGCGGCGTCCAAAAGTCGAACGCGAAGCCGACCATCGTCGATCGAGTAACGGCGAGGGCTGCTGAAACATGGGCCAAATGGGAAGCAGCAGATAGAGGATGGAGAAAAACAGTGGTTTACTATGGTAACCAAGGCCTGCAGCGCATACCTTACCAGGAATGGGGATTAAAGAGCTTTCCTCCCTCGAACCCCAAGCTGCAGGCCGAGCAGCTTGCGCAAGGGAAGAAATTCGATGTCGTCTTTCCTGGCAATGTCATGCATAAAGATGATGTGCCAAAAGTTTTGGCAAGGCTAGCGAGGGAAAGAAAGCAACTGCATTGGAACCGTTTCATTGGAAGCATGGTTGCTATGCCCCTCTGCATACCATTTGCTTTGGTGCCAGTGTATAGTCTTGCCCTGCTGGTCCCATTGATGACAACTGACGCTCTCTAGAATACCCAATTTTCCCTTTTTTTATGCTGCATACCGGTGTTGGTCCCATTGGAAAGGTAATTCGCAGTGTCCCTGGGTAAGCCGCATCTCGCTGACCGGCCGCCAGCTTTGAAAGGTTCAGATCATTTGGACTTTATCCTGGACAACCGACTTTTCCGGCCAGTTTCACCTCCCGAGATTGAAGACCTGTATGAGCAGGTCGCACCTGATGCACCGGATTTCACGTTTATCACACGAAGCCAGGTCCTAGACGGCAGTGCGCCGCCCGAACAAATCATCCTTCCAGCAGACAGTCACAACCTTGTCGCCAAGGTGACAAGAGTGCCAGAGCTGAGTGGTGAGGTGGAGAGGGCGATATGGCAAATACAAAGACAATTCAAACGCGACAAACAACAACTTGAACAGAAGGCCCTGTCGCAGCCGAAAAGAGATAGTGGGAACGCAAAGTCCAAGAATAAGGGCCAATAATGCGGACGGAATGGCTACCTTGTTGGTGGGATGCATAACGAGACGATGAAGATAAATCGGTAGCAGACTCGTCCTGTTGTGCTGCCATACTGTACACTACCACTCTCATCCCCAAAAGGAAATATACCTGTTTAATCAACTCATTTCACACAGGAGGGAACACTTGATAAGACTAGCTGTAGTTTGTCTGTTTTGAAACGTCTTTGATGCCATCCGTAGAAGTGGTGGTGGTGGTGGTCCGCGAATTGTGGCAGCCTTCTGGATCCTCGGCAGGCGGCAACAATTTGGCTTTCACGTCGCTTCACAATGACATCTGGCGACCGCACCTCAAACCATGGCCATCAGAAATCCCAGCCTCAGCACCCTCTACGTCGGCGACTGTGTATCTGATACACCACTGCTGCTTACTATAATTCAACACTGCTCCTCCACTTTTCCTTAGATACGGAGCTGAACCCCAGAGGACTGCAAAAGGAGACCTCTGAAGAGCTTCGCTGGTGTGATTCAAACCATCCTTTAAGAATGGCTGCTCCTGCATTGGTGGCAACCACCTTCTGAATTCCAACAGGCCTCTACCTTGCTAATCTGTAACATCATCACACCGTCGACTGCAAACAAGCTTGTGGACACTAACTCGATCCATATTCAGCTGCAACCAGAGCATCGGTCCAACACTGTTTCGCTTGCTTCAAGCCTACAATGTTTCCCAACACCGAACGCAGACCAGATACTTCCTGGCATCCAAACCGGGGTCTCTATTTTGCGACTCAGGATTACAGCGATAAACGACAGCTGGGGGCTCCTAAAGTCTTCGTGCCTCCACCTGACCTCGAGTACCACAATGGGAAGCCCTCTTTCAGAGTTCATGTGTCTCCATTTACCCAACTCTCCACACACTATGGCAATCCGGATTTCCTGGCTGCGTTAGTCGCTTGTCAAAAGCTGGACCTGAACCACTCGTTGCTCATATGGCAATACGAGATGCGCAGGAGTGCCCAGAGTATCCTCCCGTTCTTGCTGCTGGGTCCAAGCAGTTCTGCCAAAGACCCTGTATTTGTGAAGCAGGCAGGCATCACCCTCCTTGTGGCAGTCCGCTCTCTCAGATCGCTGCAGACAAGACCGAGTTTCCTCGATCCTGCAAGCTTTCCCTCGAGCGCAGGACGAGCCACTTTAACTTTAGATTTCGATCGTCCACACGATTTCATTCCACTTGTTAAGTCGACAGTCCGAGCGATAAATGACCATCTCGAGGCCTCGTGCGTCAGCACCCCGGCCCAGCACCTTGACGACATCCGCGGCAAGGTTCTGGTCTTTTGCGAGTCGGGAAATGAGCGATCTCCGTTACTGGTCGCAGCATACTTGATGATTGTTTACGGAGTAGATGCAATCGCCGCCATTCATATCATCCAGTCCCAGCGCTTCTGCATTGTTTTATCAGATGAAATGAAGAACGTCCTCCTAGATCTGCAGGCCATCACCAGAGCCGAACGTCAGGTCTCCGACTCAAGTGCTGGCAAATCGACGCACGGTCCCGATGCTGCGCCTCGACCGAAAACACTCGGCAAGCGGAACCTGGATGATTTCTACGACTCCGACGAAACCATGGAGTGCGATTCCGAGCACCTGTATGGTTCTCGTGTTCGAGAAGGAGTGGCCCCGTTTGTGGACAGCCTTGGGTCCTATTGATTAGACACTGGATCAAGCCTACAATCCCCGACATGAAATGTGGCGAGGCTGCCCCTTCTGAAGATGACCGCCGAGCTGAGGATGCCTTCAACCTGCTTGATCAACTGTCTGGCAATGCTCATTCCATACGGATATTCTGGGGTGAATTTCAACCCTAAGATAAAACCGCTACGCTTCCGCCTTAACCGCTACGCAAGCAAAGTGTCACCCACATGAAGGGTGGTCGAGCGGAATCGCTCAACAGGCACAGCGAGAAATGGAACATCACTATCTAAATATGGAGGTCAGCATTGAGGAGGTCACCACCGCCAACAGCCAACGAGCTATTCACTATCGAGTTACTTCTTCTTGTAGGCTCGGGAGGTCGCACTCTCCCGTCTTGAAGCCTCCAGTGAGAAAGAACTAATTGAAGGCGCCTCCCTCAGTGGCAAGCGCTTCACTGGCAATTGCATCACCATCCAGCTCTTCACACACCCCCTGGGTCTGGCACAACAGTTGACACCTATCCTTTCACCGCCAAACTACTTTTGTCTTCTGTCCTCCTTTGTCTTGGGTATTTACCTTCCCTCACGTGTTCACACCACACTCCTTTATCGAGCTGAGATTGCTCACGTGTTTTTCCCTATCGATCTCTCTTTCATATCATAGGGCATTTATTGATATGCAACCATGCAACTGAGAAAATGTGTCACGGTGCCCAATCGCTTCGAAGATGAAGTGCACGTCGGACCTGCAAGTCGCAACGGCACCAAGCCAGCTTTTCCAGCGATGCTCAAAGATCAGATTGTCGCCTTCAATCCAAACAACCCTCCAGCAGCCTTCCCTTCGCTTCCACTGACATCTGTCAATGTGTCGGCTGCAAAGAACCCAGAAAGATCACAGGAGTTGCTAACTCTCCGTCCGTCGCTGAATTTTCTTTCAACCGAGGGCCTTCGTATCAGCTTAGCTGGCAGCAGTTCCTCTGAAGAAGACATACCGCAAACAAAGCAGGAAACGATCAAACCCGTTACAACGGAGAACAATACCGGAGCACCTGTCGGACCCATTGCGAATGGGCCAAATAGTGCAAAGGTTCCAAGCACCGCCTCGGAGGTCCGTAATCTGCTCCAAATCCAATCCTCCAAGCATCATGCTAACTGATATTTTACAGGTCAACAACGATGTCACATGGACCATGCTTCCGCTGTCTTTGCAGTCTCACATCTATAAAGCACTTTCAGCAAACTATCCCTCAAAAATAGTGCCAAAGCTTCTGGGTTTGACGGAACATGAAGCGGGCCAAATTCAGAAAGCGGTGGGCATGAGGATTCTGCATCCAGCTTCGGTGGAAGAGATATGGAATTACTGTTCCAATGCCACCGTCGAAGATCCCGGAACTCTCCAACCACCCTCCTCCATCGATGCCGGTATATTCAATGAATATGTCGGCTACATGGTATATGCGAGCAACCATGAGTTGGCCTTCCAGTCTGAGGTTAGCTTGGCAAAACACTTCCTGTCAAGTCGTGGCATTGCGACAGAATTGTTGGGAACGTGGCTGCCAGATCCTTCAGATGCGCAAATTGGCGGACTCTGCAGACATGTCCCGGGCACAACGAGTCATCCCGCCCTGTTGAACAATCAGCTCCACAACGATTCAGGATACTCTTCCTTCTCAGAAGCCGACCAAACCCCTGGAGCACAGTGCAGTCAAAGACGCCCGCAGTCTAGACAAAATTTGGTCAAGAATAAGATGACGGGAATTCGGAGCACAGTACCCACGGCTCCGATCAGTCTGGTCCATCCAACTCAACATCGCCCCCCATTAGAGAGTGCCCTACTCGATTTGAATCCGAACCTGATGGTGAGGATATCACCCCATCCGCGGTCTATCTTCACAAAAGACGGTGAATTTCTGAATACTCCTGGAGGCACATTTTTCAATGCACGAGACCTCGACGGGGAAATCCAACCAAGTGTCCCCCAGGCCGGAAAGCACTTTCGGGATTCAGCGGGCCGTGACACTTGTCGACAGCTTGCCACACAGTCGTCAGAAGCACGTCCCCCCACTGGGATTACATCAAATCCTCAGCGCCTAATTCTCAGGATACAAAATAAGAACGGGGTGGCCAGGATCTTGAGAAAGAACCTGAGCCCTATGGATTGCACTCAGCACCTATCCCCTCCAAAGGCTGGAGATACTACGGCAGTGTCTCTCAACGGACTCGAGAAGCCTTCTCGGCCTTCATCTCTCAGCACCCAGGTATTCAGTCCTAACACATCTGAGTTCAGCAAGGGTCCGACGGTGAAGGATGTGGGCAGACCGCCGAACAGTGCTACGTTCGAGATCACTTTCATGAGCTCCGAAGCTCGTCCTTCAGTCAGTTGTCAGCCCGCAGAATCTGATAGTTCAAAGCGAAAGCCTTCCCAGTCAGATATTCGTCAGGATATTAGCAAGGTGCAACGAATGCTGATAAACGTGGCGTCAGAGGGTTCTTCTAAAGCTATCCTACAGGATTGGAACAGTGATATCAACCAGCTACACACCGAAGCAAACAGATTTCACAAGCTTCCCACCGCGCATCGAATGTCGGCAAGTGAGACCGATACTCTCAGCAAAGCCAAGCACATAATATCCAGCATCGAATTAACAAGAAAAACAACAGGAACCACGAAGGATACCATACCCGTAGAAAGTATGAAGCCACGACCCCTACGTTCACCATCATATTCTCCAATTTCCGAAAACGAGGACTTGGAAGAGTTCCAGGTGCGACTCCGAGGACCGATGACGGACAGCATGAGGGGCAAGGTGCCTGACCAATACGCCAATCTTTCTTCGCAATCAGACCTCTCTCACATCCTGAGCTCGCTGTCGAATCCAGCCGTTTTCTGTCCTGCAAAGCCGGACGTACTGTCGAAGGATAAACAAGGGCAGCGCGAAGGCAGAATAGAACACCCCTTTCACACTCGTAGCCGGAAAGCCTCTCCGCCATCAGCACAGAGCCAGGACCCTCCTCAGGGCACTGTGAATGATATAGCTGATGGACAAGAAGCTGGGCTTGCTCAGCACCAGCCCCGGCTTTCTTCGAATGCCCAAGCGGACCGCAGCACGACGAGCGAACAGACATCCGTGATAACTCCCCCAGAAAAGACATCGCAGGAAAAGAGCACCAGTCAGAAGAAACGTGGCAAAAAGAGAGGACCCAGAGGCCCGTACAGAAAAACGCGAGAAAGACTTGCAAGGCTTGCTACGGAGGAAGCGAATGCCGATACTTCAGAATCAACCTGAAACAGGTCCAGATCGGAGGCCAGGAAATCGATGTCCGTTTTGCGAGCAACGACCGCAAGGCATTCAGAGCAGGAGACCACCACTATCATTCAACATATTGGCTCTCGCTCAACATTGAGGAAATTTAGCATTTCTTAGTCGAATCGGGTGAGGCTGGTCCTGAGGAGAAATTAGAAACGACAGAAGCTTACGAAGCATTGAAATCAGCAACGAAGGGCGACAAAAGGGCAGCTGAGGAAGCAATGCGTGTGGAACAATTAGTCTAAAAGGGCTTCATAACTGAGAGAACTTCACGGCTCAAAACCATTCATCGACGTGTTCAGATGTAATTGACACAGCGACGATCGCTTGTATTGATGTGAGCATGCAAATAGCAATACAAAAGGAGCTTTTTTCAGGATAGGCTTTTTGTTTTCTCTCGCCCTCGCTCCCCACGACGGTTAAGAAATCGCGGCCGGGCTTTGTCGATTCTCCAGTGTTTCGTCGCTGATGTAGTTGTCGTTGGCACGTCTGCCCCTATACCACGTCTCTCTCTCGCCTGGCAGCCAGCATTTTATCCAAAGCGCCAATCGCAAAGACACGGACGGTCCGTCTTTTTCAATACCCGGACTGTTCTCTCCTCGTGTTCCCGTCGGCTTCGCCCCCACCGTCCCCTCCACTGTGGCCGTTGGACCTGCCGTCCCTTTCCTTGGCCTCTTTAATGGCCGCCTCGTCGCCTCTCAGCTTCTCAAAGTATGCTTTGATGTCCTCGGCGCTGACGGCCTGGCCGCTCTCCGCGTAGGGCTTGAGGAACTCTTTCACTTTGTCGCGCAGGTGGTTGTAGACCATGACGCCCTCGATGGCGCGGACGCGGTCCATGTTCGAGAGGGCGGCTTCACCCCGCTCCAGGAGCGAAGCGCGCGAAGATCGTGAGTGGCCGCCACCGCGGGCCCCGTCCTCCTGCGACGAGCCCTCAGATGATAGCGAGGGTTCGTACGTGTCTTCCTCCTCGAGCAGCTGGGGGTGCGGGATCAGGTCTGGGTAGCACTGTGGGCAGTGGCACAGGTGGTCGCGGAAATCTGGCCGCAGGAAGAGCGAGAAAGTCCCCGTCGGGGCTGGGCTGGGGAGGTATTCGTGCGCGCGTTTGAGTTGTGGCATGGTTTCTGTGTCGGTGGGATTTGTGGGGTGGACGTCGTTGGCAAGTGTCTCGGTGGTGGTGGTGGTTGGAACAACCTCTGGTGGTGACTGGTTTGCTTCGTCTTCGTTCTTAACGCGCTTCGACGGGCTGGGTGGTCCGGCTTGGATGTCGTCGTCGGAGCTTTGCGCTTGAGGGAAACAGACGCGGTCGCCGATTTGGATGTGGCCGCGCCATCCGCGGCCACTTCAGATGTCTCATTCGCCGTAGCTGTCTGGGCGTTTTTCTTAAACACAGCCGGTAAAAAGCCCTGTGTACCAGCGTATTTCTTGATCCAAGGATTGGATTCCACGCACTTGTAGCATATAATGGCTTCAAAGTCATCTTCGCTCGGGAAGCCTGGCGGGACTGGGTGGCTGGCTTCTTCTGCCTCTTGGCCTTCTGCCTTCTGATCTTTCTGTATGTCTTCTTGCGCCTCTTGTTTCGAGTCCTCTGGCTTGTACCAATCTCTCGGCAACCCCATCAGGCATTCGGGGTGGTACCAGTCCTCCCCGCAGCCACCACTGTCAACAGTCCCTAACCCCAAACATTGAAACATCGTCCCTTTCTCCGTTTCTGCGTCATACTCCTCACCGCACGCACAGAATCGATTTTGGAAGTTGTGGTTGTAATGATTTCCCTTGTGAGGTTCCTGCGAATGAACTCCTCGATTCCCTGTCACGGGATCTAATCGCAAAGTGCAGGACGAAGTCGACGGCAAGCGACTCGTGCCACAGTCGCAGACGAAATCACGCCGGGCGAACAGTTCAACGAGGGTGTGTTCGCCGTGGCACGAGATGGAGCAAGCGTAGCAGACTCCGGCGGGCGTGTACACTTGCGCTGCGGAAGCGGGTGGAGGGTTGCATGTCAGGCAGGCAAAGACGTTCTGGCGCAAGGGCCCGAGAATGTTGGTACATTTGTCGAATTTCTGTGGGCAGCATTAGCGGTCTGACAGTGGCCTCGTGGAATTAGGAGGGCGAGAATCATACATATGGAAGCACCTCTCGGGCATCAGCCTCGAGGGCTAGTTGTTGATCGATGAAACTGGAACTGTCAGTATCCACGAGAACCGACAACCTGTTAATCGGGCTACCAACTCGGATGCGGTTTGCGAGTCTTGCGTTTGCTTGACTTCATCTAGTTTAGGTACGGTCTCCATTGTCGTGATGTAGAATGCCAGTTAGAAAAATAGCGAAGAATTGCCCATTTGAAAATCGCATGAGGAACAACTACCTTGTACTACTCCCACGGACTCGGAGTCGAGATGACCTCAATGCTCCACTTTATAGAGTCTTAGCGTGTTTCGTCGAGCGCGTCCTCGCGCGTAAAGTGGTTTTAAGAACTGCGGCGCTCCCTACTCAACTCAACCCCTTCCATGCTAGACTACAACGGTTCATCTCTTCACAGACTCGCCAGAAAATGAGGTATGCTGATAAACAGTGCCTAAAATTGTTCCTCGACTATATCATGAAGGCTGACTTTTTCAAGTTCACCGCTTCGACCCAGCATGTCCGCTGCAAACCGAGGAGGCCCAAGCAATGCCGGCAGGCGGAAGAGGGCTCGCGATGAAGAGGACGAGATCATGTCTTCATCACCAGCTGGTAAGTTTAATGTTCGCTCTCCGAATCTAGGAATCTAACTTCGTTAGCTCTGCCTTCCTCTCCGCCTTTGCTCCCTACGAACGAGAACGATGATGATCTTGGGGATGATGAACTGCAAACGGAGGACGACCTCATTGGCGACATTGACGACGCCGATGAGATGGCTGAAGACGAAGATGGAATAGACCTATTTGGAGACAACTTCATGAATGATGAGCGCGAGCGCCGCGATCAGGAGACGTATCAAGGACGAATGATCGATGACGAAGGTGACTATGATGACCTCGATCTGGCCTCCCGACGTCAATTGGAAGCACGTCTCAACAAACGTGACCGTGAGCTGGCTCGGAGACGCCGCATGCCGGCAGCATTCATGCCGGACGACGACGACGACGATGCTGGGATCGATTTAACCAAGCAACCACGAAGACGCCGCCATCACTATGACGAGGATCAAGACGACATGGATCTCGATGAAAATATCATGGAGGAAGAACTTTCCTTGGAGACGTTGCAAGACGTTAAAGCATCCAACATCACCGAGTGGGTCACCGAACCCTCAGTTATGAAGACCATTGCTCGCGAGTTCAAGTCATTCCTTACCGAGTACATCGATGCCAACGGCACATCGGTGTACGGCACCCGCATTCGCACATTGGGAGAAGTCAACTCCGAGTCGCTGGAAGTCTCCTACGATCACCTGGCCTCTACGAAAGCTATTCTGGCGTACTTTCTAGCCAATGCTCCGTCGGAGATGCTCAAGATCTTCGACAAAGCCGCCTTTGAGGTGGTCCGACTACACTATCCAAACTATGAGCTGATTCATCCGGAGATTCATGTTCGAATTTCTGATCTGCCAGTTCAATATACTTTGCGGCAACTACGGCAGTCGCACCTCAATTGTCTTGTGCGGGTCTCTGGAGTAGTTACCAGACGAACTGGTGTCTTCCCACAACTTCAGATGGTCAAATTTACTTGTCAGAAGTGCGGTGTAACTCTTGGACCATTCGCCCAGGAGTCAACATCAACCGAAGTCAAGTTAACCTTCTGCCAGAACTGCCAGTCTAGGGGGCCTTTCACGCTGAATAGTGAAAAGACCGTCTACCGGAATTATCAGAAATTGACTTTGCAGGAGTCTCCTGGGACCGTTCCAGCGGGCCGTCTGCCACGACATCGAGAAGTCATTCTTCTTGCGGACTTGATCGACAAGGCGAAACCCGGTGAGGAAGTTGAAGTGACTGCGATTTATCGTAATAACTACAGTGGCCAGCTCAACAATAAGAATGGCTTTCCTGTGTTTGCCACTATGCTCGAAGCCAACCACATCATCAAGACTCACGATCAGCTCGCTGGCTTTCGACTGACAGAGGAGGACGAACGACAGATCCGAGCCCTTTCAAAAGACCCCAACATCGTTGAAAAGATTGTCGATTCGATTGCCCCTTCAATCTATGGACACCGGGATATCAAGACGGCAGTTGCGCTGTCTCTCTTCGGCGGGGTGAGCAAAGAAGCCCAAGGCAAACACAAGATCCGTGGTGATATCAATGTCCTCCTGCTCGGTGACCCTGGTACAGCCAAGTCTCAAGTGTTGAAGTATATTGAGAAGACGGCTCATCGGGCTGTCTTTGCTACGGGCCAGGGCGCTTCTGCCGTCGGTTTGACTGCGTCTGTTCGCAAGGATCCTCTCACACAAGAATGGGGACTTGAAGGCGGTGCTCTTGTCCTGGCCGATCGAGGAACCTGCCTGATTGACGAGTTCGACAAGATGAACGATGCCGATCGAACTTCTATTCACGAGGCCATGGAACAACAAACCATCTCGATCAGCAAGGCGGGAATTGTTACCACTCTGCAAGCACGCTGTGCCATCGTCGCCGCAGCCAATCCCAGTGGAGGGCGATACAATAGCACCATCCCATTCAGCCAAAACGTCGAGCTCACGGAGCCGATCTTGTCTCGTTTCGACATTTTATGCGTGGTTCGAGATACTGTTGATCCCGCTGAAGACGAGCGGCTGGCAAACTTTGTGGTCAACAGTCATGGACGAGCGCATCCCGCGAGACTCGAGACCGATGCCGGAGATACTGCCGCTATGGAAACCGAACGGGAGAATGCAGTCAACAATGGCGAACCACGACAAGAGGGAGCCATTCCGCAAGAGTTGCTCCGCAAGTATATCCTGTATGCCCGGGAAAAGTGCCGGCCAAAGCTCTATCAGATCGATCAAGATAAAGTAGCCAGGCTGTTCGCAGACATGCGAAGGGAATCTCTCGCCACGGGCGCATACCCTATCACGGTAAGTCATTGGGATGCAAATTCATTACGGTTTTTGGCTGACTCCCTTTGCAGGTCCGTCACCTTGAAGCAATCATGAGAATTGCAGAAGCATTCTGCAAAATGAGACTGTCGGATTTCTGCTCTTCGCAAGATATTGATCGTGCGATTGCGGTGACTGTCGATTCATTTGTTGGGAGCCAAAAGCTGAGCTGCAAGAAGGCGCTTGCCAGAGCGTTCGCGAAGTATGTTGTCTACTTATTGGATTTTGTGACCCGCTAACATGAAGTTGCAGATACACATTACGTCGTCCAGAGCGTCAACGCACTCGCTTGACCGGAAGAGGTGCCAATTCAATGGCAACAGTGGCGGCATGAGAGGCTAAGATATTGAAGTGTTTTGATATATGTGCTGGGTTCCTACGAATACAGGGTTGATGATGGGATTATGACATTGAGTAGTAAAGTTGTTTTATCAAGGAAATACCCATAAAAATCTGTTCAACTATATTGCGAACCCAGTGAACAGAAGACCTGCCGTGAAGCATTTGAGTAATCAAGATGTTAGCGCCGATCAACGCGTACTCGGACGCGTATAGTGGATCGCGACAAAGCGTGTCTTTCCGCCCTTCGTGACGACACCATATTTGCTAGCAAAGGGGCCAATTCAGATGGGATTAGATCGAAGAACCAGATTGTTGCCTGGACGGAACCCGTCAGGTCAGCAGTACTCTCGTTTTCTCTTCATATCGATTGTATGGTACATGTAGACTAATATTATTTCTGTTTGATCCCCCTCCATTGCTGCGTTTGCTGAGAGTCATTGCGCAGGAGATCTTCAGTTGGATAGCAGCAACCCCTTCACCTCCCGCAAGTTGACAGTAATGGCGACGAGTTCTGCAAGCTCAGAGCCAACGACACCAGCAATGTCTTCTGATAAAAGCAGCCCGCCCTCTTCGCCACTCAACGGCAGTCCCTCGGAGATCAAAACAGAGGCTGACGGAGACAAGAAAGATCAAGGTGCAAATAAAATGGAGATGGATGGCGATGATGTTGAGGAGATGGACCACAAGTCACGGGCACTCACGAACCTCCTCAAGACAAGCTCAGTCTTCGTTGCGATCATGGCAGACAAAATGAAGCAAGAGCAGAAGCGCAACCAGGAGCAGGCTCGGCGGGCCGCAGCGAAACAGAAGCATGAAGCGGCCAAGTCTGCTGAGTCGAAAGGCCCTACAAGAAAGTCCGCAAGGAGACGTGCTCAAGACGAGGAACCGACAGATGCTGAGGAGGTAGACGAGAAGAAGGCCACCCGGGGTCGGGGACGACAGTCTAAGAAGGCCAACGTTGCGAGGAAGAGCATCACTGATTACTTCGATTCGGGGGCTATTAAGACTTCCGAGGAGGGTCCAACCGTCCAAGAAGCGCTGGCAGAAGCCGCTGACGAATATGAAGGTGAGGGCCTCGGGGCCCATGATCTTGTCGCAACCGAGCAGCCTTCCGTAGTGACTGGCGGGAAAATGAAGCACTATCAACTTGAAGGCCTCGAGTGGTTGAAATCGCTCTGGATGAACGGTCTTTCTGGCATCTTGGCCGACGAGATGGGTCTTGGGAAGACGTTGCAAGCCATCTCATTGATTGCCTTCTTCAAAGACAACAACATCTCGGGACCCTTCTTGATCGCGGCTCCTCTGAGTACCGTGCGCAATTGGGTCGAAGAGTTCAAACATTGGACTCCGAGCATTAACACGGTCCTCTACCATGGAACCAAGGACGAGCGCGAGATGATGAGGCGGAAAAAGATGAAGATGCAAGATCAGTTCAAGTACGAATTTCCAATCGTCGTCACCAGCTACGAGATTTGCATGAATGACCGGAAGTTTCTGGCGACCTATCAATGGAAATACATCATCGTGGATGAGGGACATCGTCTGAAGAACATGAATTGCAAACTGATCAAAGAGTTGATGACATACAACTCTGCCAATCGACTTCTGATTACAGGCACACCTCTCCAGAACAATATCGCCGAACTTTGGTCACTCCTGCACTTCTTGCTTCCCGAAGTTTTCAACGATCTCGACAGCTTTGAGCGGTGGTTCGACTTTTCGAGTGTGTTGGAAGGGAACAAGGGGGCCGATCAGAAAACGTTGAGCCGAAGAAATAATCTCGTGTCGACCATGCATGCCATTTTAAAGCCATTCCTGCTCCGGAGAGTCAAAGCGGACGTTGAGTCAGACCTTCCTAAGAAACGAGAGTACATCCTCTATGCACCTTTGACCTCCGAGCAGAAGGAACTGTACCGGGAGATTTTAGCGGGCACGAGCAGGTCGTATCTGGAAGAAAAGGCTGTCGAACGCATCGAGGCCAGAAGCCGGACCGTTTCCCTCAAGCGCAAAGCAGCTACCAGCGGGCGCGGTACCCCTGCGAAGAGCTTGAAGCCAAGCCGTGACTCAACACCAGCTTCTGTTGTTTCCACTGGCTCGGTGCGACGGGGCCGCAAAGCAGCACGCACAAGCTATCGAGATGTAACGGACCGGGAATTCAATGCTCGCCTTCGCCGAATTGAACAAGGTGAAGAAGACATCAACCTGGATCGCGCATCCCCGTCGCCGGGTTCACAAGATATCTCCTCTGAGGAAGCCGAAGAGCTCGAAAGAGCCCAGACATTCAAGCTTGCAAAGAAAGAGATTGCCTCCAAGAAATTGCAGAATCCCCTGATGCAAGCGCGCCTCGCGTGCAACAGTCCGCACAACTTCTATTGGCCATGGAAGCCAAGTACGGCAGCTGAGGAGCAATCAGGCGAGTACCCTCACGTAGATGAAAGCCTGGTTACAGCCTCGGGGAAAATTCTTGTGCTCGACACGCTTCTTCCGCGACTCTTCGAATTGGGGCATAAAGTTCTCATCTTCAGCCAATTCAAAAATACCCTGGACATATTGGAAACATACGCGGTGGAGCTGCGCGGTTGGAAGGCGTGTCGAATTGATGGCTCGGTGGCCCAAGAGGAGCGCTACGAGCAAATAACCAACTTCAACACGGACAAGTCTTACAATTTGTTCCTCTTGACGACCCGAGCCGGCGGGCAAGGGATCAATCTGACTGCAGCAGACACAGTGATTCTCTTCGACTCAGACTGGAACCCGCAACAGGACTTGCAAGCGATGGATCGTGCACATCGTATCGGTCAGACGAGGCCTGTCATTGTTTACCGCCTTGCGACCAGGGGAACCGTAGAGGAGACACTGCTGCTCAAAGCCGATACAAAAAGGAAACTCGAGAAACTGGTCATTCAAAAGGGCAAATTCAGATCTCTTCTTTCGTCCAGCGTCGATGCCGACGACATCAAAGGCGCGCTTGTCAACGACGACTTCGAGAACTACGACGTCCCGCATTTAGAGGAAGATGAGAAGGAGGGACAGGAAAAACACAAAAAGAGGAGACCGATCCTGAGCGAAGAGGAGCTGAAGATCTTGACGGATCGGAGCGATGAAGCTTATGAGCGGGCTGCGAAGGGATTGGATATGGGAGGTGAAGGAAGTGCGTTCCAGGTTGCTGAAACGAAGAGGGGAGGGACGACGGCGGATGTACTTGCGGATTTGACGGTCAGGAGCAAGCCATGATGAGTTTGCTACTTTCGATCGGCAGTTGGAATGGATGTTTTGGCTTGAGATACACGGCGGGTTAGGGAAGATGTGTACCATGTGTATAGGGCACTTGGGGACAAGAAATTGTGTCAGCCTGACACGTGACCGCAGATGAAATATCAGGCTGATATGAGCACGTGATTCCGGGGTTTGGAGTTTCCCCGTCGGATAAAAACTCTCTTCAACCTCGTATGTGTGATTGTGGGATAATCACACTGGCAGCATGCCTCCGTACTCGATCAGGCTTATGATGCTGGAGGTCAATGACCCAGCTCTTGCTTCAATGGACTGTCCACCCTGGGTTTGGGTCGTCGGCGCGGTGTCTCGGCGCATATGTTCAGCCGCTTGTGCGCGTCTCTCCCACCCTTTTAGTAGCTCACAATTTAGTGTTATGCATCGACAACGGGAAGTGCACCAAGAGACTGCACCAAGAGACACCAAACAAGAAGAGCACCATCGCAAACGGTAAGGATGATCTGGCCCGGAACTGATGGGCAGCCGAAATGTGCCTGATATCAATGACCCATCTCCGCAATTCAGCCGGGCGGGATGACTGATTCGAGAAGTTCCGTGGCTGATCAGGCAACTTTTTGCACTGCATAGCCACGCCCACGCGGTAGGAAATCTACAACCCTCCCTTTTAGCTTGGGATCTGGCGGGGAACCTCAGCAACATTCTTCAAAGCTCCAAGGTCAAGGTCTGAAGATTGACTCGTGCCTTGCGTGTCACGCCCAGAGTCATTGAGATAGCCTGCTGCGAGGAAAGCCCCAACCATGTTACTCTCCAAGGACGACACTCTGCACTATACCTACGATTCTGAGCGTGTCCAGATCGAAGCGTGGGGTCCGAACGCCCTTCGGGTTCGTGCCACCAAGTTTCATACACTTCCGTCGGAAAACTGGGCTTTGACGGTCACACCTCCCAAGACCGATGTCTCCATTTCGATGCGTGACGGGCATGCATCCATCAGCAATGGCAATATTTGTGCCACGATTTCTTCCCGTGGCAAGATCATCATCAGGAATGCTAAAGGCGACCGACTGCTGGAGGAGTACCAGCGCAACCGCTCCGATGTTGAGGATCCAAAGTGCAGCGCTCTGATGATCGAGGCACGGGAATTCAAGCCATTGCTTGGCGGCGACTACCATCTGACCTACCGGTTGGAATCTGTTGATCGAAATGAGAAGATCTATGGCATGGGCCAGTACCAGCAACCATTTCTCGACCTCAAGGGACTTGACCTCGAAATGGCACAGCGCAATTCTCAAGCCACGGTTCCTTTCATGCTCTCAAACATCGGATACGGCATGCTTTGGAACAACCCGGCCGTCGGCAGAGCTGTCTTGGGGAAGAACACGATGAGCTTCGAGGCCTATTCCACGAGGGTGCTGGATTATTGGATTGTGGCTTGTGACACTCCCACCCAGATTGTCGAAGCTTACGCAGATGTCACCGGGAAAGTGCCAATGATGCCGGAATACGGACTCGGTTTCTGGCAATGCAAGTTACGATATCAGACCCAGGAAGAACTTTTGGATGTTGCACGAGAGTACCGGAAACGCAATTTGCCGCTTGATGTCATCGTGGTGGACTTCTTTCATTGTAGGTCCCGTTGTGCGATTCCGTGGCTATGGGAGGCCTTCCCGAAGGCAGCTGACGTGACATAAACAGGGCCAAAGCAAGGAGAATGGAAGTTCGACCCCACATATTGGAAAGACCCCGGTGAGTCTGCCATGCGAAGACTGTTGTCAACGTGGAAGGAGTCGGCGACAGCGTCTGTGCCTGAATTCCACTTTTCCCCTCCTCCCTCAGCCATCAAACTCCAATTCGGCTCGTTCTCACCTCAATCCGCCCCTGAAAAGGGCCCTACTATCAAGGTGGAAGAATACAGCTCTGACGAAACGTCGTGAAACTTGGCGACTACAGACGACATGATCAAGGAGCTTCAGTCGATGAACATCGAGCTCCTCGTTTCCATCTGGCCCACCGTCGACAAGCGGTCCGAAAACTACGACTTCATGCTGGAAAACGGACTTCTGATCCGGCAAGACCGAGGCCTGCGGATTTCAATGGACTTTCAAGGAGAGACGGTCCATGCTGACTTCACGAATCCGGCCACGAGAGAGTTTGTCTGGAAGACCGTCAAGAAGAATTATTATGATAAGGGTGTCAAGCTTTTCTGGCTTGACGAAGCAGAACCGGAGTACAACGCCTACGACTTTGATATTTATCGGTACCATAGCGGAAGTGTGTTGAGCACGGGGAATGCGTATCCGGTGGAATATGCCAAGGCATTCTTTGAAGGGATGGTGAAGGACGGCAAGCAGAAGGATGTCTGCAATCTCATCCGCTGTGCTTGGGCTGGAAGTCAGAGGTTTGGAACGTTGCTGTGGAGTGGTGATATCGCCAGCAGCTGGGAGAGTTTTCGAGACCAGTTTGCAGCTGGCTTGAATATTGGAATTGCCGGCATCCCATGGTGGACCACGGACATTGGCAAGACGACCCTGTGGCCTACAGCCTCATACACCATGCTGACTCCAATCAGGTGGCTTCCATGGCGGAAATCCTACGCACCCTGAATTCCGTGAGCTCTGCACTCGATGGTTTCAATACGGTGAGTAAATCAGGGAAGAAGCCAGCCTATGGTTCTGTCGATTCTGGCCGTGCTGATTATATTATCTTCGGCGACACTAGGCTGCTTCTGTCCCGTCTTTCGCCTGCATGGCGATCGTGAACCCAAACAGCCTCAACACGGCACTACCGGTGGTGCGACCTGTCTCTCCGGGGCGCCGAATGAAATATGGTGTTACGGCGAAGAGTGTTACCAGATCATGAAAAAATACCTTTTGCTGCGGGAGAAACTCCGTCCATATGTCCGCGAGCTCATGGCCCAAGCACACAATAAGGGCACGCCCGTGATCAGGACGATGTTCTTAGAGTTTCCTGACGATAAGAAGTGTTGGGAGGTCGAGGACCAGTATATGTTTGGTCACAAGTACCTTGTGGCGCCGGTCATGTATCTGGGCATGACAAAGAGAGATGTGTATCTGCCCAGAGGGGCCAAGTGGAAGAGGTTTGATGATGGGGAGGTCCAAGATGTAAAGACCCTTGAGGGCGGGACGCAGGTCGAAGCAGATTGTCCATTGGCTGTGATGCCGGTTTTTGAGCGGGTTTGAAAAAAGCCCTGCCCGCTTTCACTTCCGAGATGGAAAACAAAACGCAATTTATCCCAGTCGAGTTTTCTAATCACGATCACTCACACGAGGACGGAACCCCCTCGATGAATCCAACGGAGCTTTCCTCATGGTCTGTCCAGTTGTTGTGTTCTTTACCATCTGCGTCAAACACACATTACGTTTGAGAGAGCCAAGACAAGGCTGCCCGCAAAAAGGGGCGGCGGCTAGCCTAGTAAGCCCGCTCTCTCTCCCCCTAAGATCTTCCTCGCCTACGGGACCGACCCCACCACGTTTCCCCCTTCCCCCCCAAAAGATTGGAGCTTGCATCCATAAAGGTAAGGGACACGAGATGGGTTCCGAAGTTGCTCACACGTCCTCATCATTGGTTCATACTGATTCATTAGAAGGGAAGGAAGAGGGGGTCGAGGTCCAGTTTCAGAACACAGCTGTTTCAGGAAGGCTCGGCGACGGGTCCAGGGTTTTTGTGGAGAGGAGAGGAAGGGTCTCCCTACCATACTTGTAGATTGTAGATTCATTCGAAGGATTTACTGGGGGGGGGGGTCTTTGTGATGGAAATTCTGCGAGTGCCGACGACGTCGTCTCGTGTGCGTGCTTCGTTACCGTTCTCCACAATGGGTAGGTAGGTAGGTAGGGAGGGAGGGAGGGTATGTGTCGTTGCTAAAACATGCTGAGGCTGAGGATGATGTGCCTGGGCCGAGATGGAATCTTGCTAGACCTGTGCATCCCGCCATTTGACCAGAGTCATGGCTAAGCTATTCTGAGCTGTAGCTATGCTATCCGCTTTTCTGGACGCACTGCCGCCTGAAGTGGGGATAGTCTAACTGATAGCTGGGAGCAACTGCCTGTTGCCGCAATTTGAACCCCATAACTCATTTGTTACAGCCTCTTGTAAGACTGTACTCACTATTCTCCGCCCGACTTCCAATTGGAGTGGGTGGTTGACATCCGGGTTGACTTGCCGTATGAAGTTAGGGTTAACAGATTTCACCAATAATGTAGGAGCTTTTGCTAACCAAAGTTTCAACTATTACAATCACGTACGTGTAATATCTCCCTGTCTAGCCATATATAGATAGGTAATGGAAGGTACAAGAGCGGCAACAGAATCGAGGCTGAGCGCCCAAAGAAAAGGTCGTGTCGCCGCAGCCTTACCGATGTGATTCAAACGCACCTGCGTGCCTTCCTATTCATTGCTGTGCGGAAAGTTGAATCGCATCTCGATAGTCGCATTCTGCACCAGAGTCTAATGACTAGAATCAGTAGTGTGAATGAGCGAACCCGAGCCTCACGTTTCCTCGCCAGCCATGGACTGCGCACTGGTCTCAGGCGCTTCCAACCCACGCAAGCGACCACGTCTTTCCCACGCTCAATATACAGTAGCCTGCGTGTGCCCCATGTCTGTCGAGCTGACACCGCTTCGCGCCATGCTCGATAGCATTCACGACGACTTGCCTACCCAACGCGATCACAACGCTTATGTACTGGGAGAATTGGGGAAACACAATGTGGTGATTGCGGTTTTGCCCTGCATTGGAAACAATGTTTCGGGAGTTGCTGCAAACCAGATGTTGCACGACTTCCCATCAATTCGATTTGTCTTATTGGTGGGAATCGGCGGAGGTGTCCCTGGGAATCAAGAGACGGAAGATATTCGACTAGGGGATGTTGTGGTCAGCCAGCCAACTGATACAACGGGAGGTGTAATTCAATTCGACAGGGGTAAACGTCATTGCGGTGCCTATTTTGAGCGGACAGGCTGTCTGAACAAGCCTCCAGCCTTTCTGAGCGCAACAGTCGAGAAGCTGAAGGCACAGCATCGGCAAGAAGGAAATCAGATGGGAAAGTTCGTGTCGGACATGCTCAAGCGAAATCGGAACCTATGCGGAAAGTATAGGTTTCCTGGACGAGAGCGAGATCAGCTCTTTGAGTCTGAGTACGAACATGCGGGAGCCGAAACATGCCAGAATTGCGACGCCACAAGAGTAAAACGACGTGAGGACCGTGCGGAAGATCAACCCAGAGTGCATTACGGCACGATTGGTTCTTCGAGCTCTGTCATCAAGGACGCCATGGAGCGCGACAAACTGAAACAAAAGTATAAGATACTTTGTATTGAGATGGAGGCTGCTGGGCTAATGGATGCCTTTCCGTGCCTCGTCATCCGAGGTATCTGCGACTATGCCGATTCGCATAAGAACAAGGAATGGCAACCATATGCTGCCGCTGCCGCTGCAGCGTACGCAAAGGAGCTGCTTCTAGCCATTCCTGCACAAATGCCGCCGATCCCTCCTGTCCTCTACACACCCTCTCCAGGTGAGCCCTATCTACTGCCTTCTGCTATCTTTATCCCCTCACCTGATTCACCCTATGACATATGGGCGCTCGTAGAGCCCCAATATTGGTATCTAAGCTAAAATGCACATTATTTCTCTTTGTCAGACTACGCTAGAGTGATATACACTAACTCTTCTTCAATAGCAAACCACGGCGATGCCGAGCCTAATCCCAGAAATGATGATACAACACTCGATAAGCAGAGCAGATATCAAAGGCTTCTTCAATGGTTGACTTTTGTGCGGATGGATGCACGTCTTCGCAACATCACCGACGCTTTGCCGCAGACATGTAAGTGGCTTTTCAAAGAGGAGAAATTCAAGATGTGGATTGAGCGTATCGAGATCGAAGACCACCTTGGGTTTCTCTGGATCAAAGGAAAGCCCGGGTCTGGCAAATCGACAATAATGAAAGAGGCTCTCAAAACAGTAAAACGAAGCCATCCCGAAGAAATTATTGTCTCTTATTTCTTCAACGCACGAGCACCAGGCCATTTGGAGAAGTCAAGTGTTGGCATGTATCGCTCACTGGTCCATCAGATTCTTCAATCTTGTCCCCATTTTCGAGGCCATTTCACCGAAATGTTTACAGCAAAAGATCGAGAGGGCGTCATTGACGACTGGACCCCTGCAGAACTACAAGGATTCTTAAACGACGTTGTGGAGAACTTAGAGAACCGCTCTCTCAATATATTCATAGATGCTCTCGACGAAGGGGATGAGAACGACGTGCGTTTGCTTATCGCTTTTCTAGAAGATCTAAGTGTGAGGGCAGCCACATCCGGCACATCGGTGAGGATATGTCTCTCCAGCCGCCATTACCCGTACATTAGCATCCGGAAAGGACTTTCCCTCGTCATGGAGGACCAAGACGGACACGGAAATGACATTAAGACATATATAAGACGCAAGCTCATTGGCGACGAAGATCCCGAGTACGAAACACTGAGAGACAAAGTATACCGAAAATCATCCCGGGTGTTCTTATGGGTTTTCCTGGTCATACCAATACTCAATCAATTGTACGGACGCGGTCAGCCTGAAGCGATGGAGAGACGTCTTGAAGAGATCCCAGATGATTTAGATGATCTTTTCGCCCAAATTCTGGCGAAGAATTCCGAGAATATCGACTCATCTATTTTGCTCCTACAATGGGTTCTTTTCTCGAAGCGGCCGCTGAGTCCGCCAGAACTGTATCTTGCGGTTCAGTCAGGAATAGATCCCTCAGTCATCGAAGGGACTTGCAGTTTGCCAAAGGAAATGTTGGAACGGTACCTTCTCAATTGCTCTCGTGGACTCACGGAAGTCACGAGGACAAACCCACCTTTGGTACAGTTTATCCATGAGACGGTTCGAAACTTTCTCATTCAAGGGAATGGCCTGGCAAAGGTCGACCAGAGGCTGGCCGGAAACGTCGAAGGGATCAGCCATGAACGACTCTATACAGCTTGTTTACGATTTTTCGATCGCTGTCTGTCATTAAATCAGAACAACCAGCTTAGCGGCGTTCCAGAACGCATATTTCGGCCAGGAGATGCTCAATGGAATTTCCGTTTCTCAGATTATGCGGTCAACTTCCTGTTTTGGCACGCCGAAATCTCTGAAGCCAGTGGAATCCCACACCGAGAATTTCTGAGACGATTTCAAGGCAATGATTCTACTGACCTTCAGGAGTGGATCCAATATCGCAACTCTTTCCAGCGTTATCAAGTACGTAACTATACTCCGACAGCGAATCTGATATACATTCTGGCTGAGCAGGGCTTCGCCAATCTTGCAAAAGTGTTGATCGATGACAAGGTTAATGTCAACGCTCGTGGGGAACGTTACGGGAACGCACTACAAGCAGCCTGTGCCGGAGGCCACAAGCAGATGGCACAACTTCTTATTGACAGCGGAGCGAGCATCGACGCTATCGGTGGGGAACATCGTCATGCACTTTGTGCAGCGATACATCACAAGCATGAATCTATCATGGAATTACTGCTAGGCACTGGCATACTACCACCTGTTGAGACTCTTGAAAAACGACTTTTCATATCAATTGCTCGTGGGTATGTATACGGAGCGGAAACCCTCCTCAGAGCTGGCGTCTCGACGAGATGTACAAACAACCGCGGCGAATCACCTCTCTACCTGGCAGCGCAAAAGAATAAGCTCGCGGTAGTCGATCTTCTCATACAGAAGGGTGCCGATATCAATGCCCAAGGTGGCCACTCTGGTAATGCACTACAGGCGGCAATAGCTTGTGGCCACGAGCAGGTGGCGCGGCTACTGATTGAGAAGGGTGCCGATGTCAATGCCCAAGGTGGCCACT